CGCGCGCCTGCTGCGTCCTCCCCCAACAACTTCCTTATTTAGTTTAAATTAAATACTGTAATAGGTTTAGTCGCCTTTTGTTATTTGTGGTTTTATATTTTGATTTGATTCTGTGAACCGCCCTGAGACCTCCGGGTGTAGAGCGGAATATAAATTCTAATAATAATAATAATATATACAGTAGCTAGATATAGGCACTGGCTGGCGTGTTGTTTAGGGGGGAGTTGTTAGGGTGGGTTGCTGATGTTAATTTTTGGTATTGTTATAGGAATTCTAAGGTCTTATATATAAAATAAATGTTCATAAATGTACAAGGCAAACACATACATAAGTATATAAACGACGTGTCTGAAATAGTACAGGAGAACAATCCTGAAGCCATTTTGACTCTCCCAAATGGACCTCAGATATTTCTCTGTAAGGAGGAAGGAAATGGGAAAAGCTTTCCAATGGTCTTTGGACTGTAGGGGCTTACACCTCCCTTTTCAAATACAGTCGGGCAATTATCTGTTAAGCTGATCACACTATCAATATGCATAAGGGATTCAGGAACCAAGTATTTAACATCTCAAAGGAATGGCCAGAAAAAGCAATCATTATCCGGTATCCTGGCAGACAAGAGAGAAGCTACTCTATAAGGGCTCTTGGATACCCTTGAGGGATAAAGGAGCAGTTTTATCTTATAATAGTATCTTTATTTTTATCTTATGAATGATGTGGACTTTATTCAATTTGTGCACGTTGTGATGCCTTGTTTATTTATTACTACTTTTGATATGTTTGTTATAATCTATACATTGTAAGCCGCCTTATGCATAGTTTTAACTTTGAAAATGTGGCATATAAATAAAATAATTAAGATCATAATGTTGCAGGCCACACCAATAGCTGCTGAGCCGTGCATGACATTCCAGGGTTCTTGGCCTTCAACCAGGGTCTGTGCTCCTTTGGAGAACTGAAGATAAGGCAAAAGCTTTAAAAATATTTATTCACATATTTAAATCTGAAATCAGATGGAGAGAGTCAGATCCTGCAGTACGGTCATCGCAAGAGGGGCTTCTTCCCCACAGCAGAGTGCAGTACTGGAGTCCAAGGCATCTCTCCCGACCCGCCACTAGCCAGCCAGCCAAGACCCTTCTGCCCCTTTCCCAAACTATTCCTTTGACATCACACCCCATTACCCTGGCAACCTTTCAAATCCCTTGTCTCCATTCATACCTCAGGGCATGGGCAGAACAGTTCTCTTGTACTGCTAATGTATGGCCCTCAATGGCCCTGTATTGTTTCTTAATGGTCCTAGTTTGGCCAGGTCATTTTGCATAGGCTAGCCCAGGAATTCCTCTGCAGGTGGTATTTTCACTTCCTATCGCAAATAATGAAAATCCTACCATTTATTCATTTATAGGGTTTAGGGGGGATGCGGGTGGCGCTGTGGGTTAAACCACAGAGCCTAGGACTTGCCGATCAGAAGGTCAGCGGTTCCCCACCGGCAAATCCCCATGACGGGGTGAGCTCCTGTTACTCGGTCCCTGCTCCTGCCAACCTAGCAGTTCGAAAGCACATCAAAAGTGCAAGTAGATAAACAGGTACCGCTCCAGCGGGAAGGTAAACAGCGTTTCCGTGCACAGCTCTGGTTCGCCAGAAGCGGCTTAGTCATGCTGGCCACATGACCCGGAAGCTGTACGCAGGCTCCCTCGGCCAGTAAAGCGAGATGAGTGCCGCAACCCCAGAGTCAGCCACGACTGGACCTAATGGTCAGGGGTCCCTTTACCTTTACCTAGGGTTTAGGGAGATCCCTTCCCAAACCTATAGCAGTAATAAAAACCCTGCTAGATCAAGGTGGTCTAGTCCAGCATCCTGTTTTTGCAGTGACTGACCAGATGCCCCAAAGGGAAGGCCACAGGCAAGACCAGCATCCTTCATTATATATTTTATTAACAATGTCCCTTAACCCTGAAGCCATCCTCCACCCCATCCTTCTAATCCATGATACATGCATTTCCCTTCACATTATTCAGTGACCTACTCCCTCAAAGTTTGTTTTCCTGGAACATAAGCCTTAAAAAAAGCCACCACTCTATTCTTTGTCTTTCTATTCTGTATTTCAAGGCAGCAGCACTAAGCACACTTCAGGCTTTCCCCAAAGGGTGCTGAGAGCAGTTAGGAGACCCCTATTCCCCCTCCCAGAGCTACCATATTCCCAGGAGTGGGATTGATCCTTAAACCACCTTGGGAATTGTAGCTCTCTGAGGTAAAGATAAGAACTCTCAGCACTTATAAACTACAGTTCCCAGGATTCTTAGGGAGAAGCCATGACTGTTTAAAGTGGTATGATAGAAAGCACTGCTAATAACAAGGCCAGTGGAAGTGATGAACTATTTAAAATTTTAAAAGATGATGCTGTTAAGGTGCTACACTCAATATGCCAGCAAGTTTGGAAAACTCAGTGGCCAGAGGATTGGAGAAGATCAGTCTACATCCCAATCCCAAAGAAGCGCAGTGCCGAAGAATGCTCCAACTACCGCACAATTGCGCTCATTTCACACACTAGCAAGGTTATGCTTAAAATTCTACAAGGCAGGCTTAAGCAGTATGCGGACCAAAAACTCCTAGAAGTGCAAGCTCGATTTCAAAGGGGCAGAGGAACCAGAGACCAAATTGCAAATGTGTGCTGGATTATGGAGAAAGCTAGAGAGCTCCAGAAAAACATCTACTTCTGCTTCATTGACTATGCAAAAGCATTTCACTGTGTCAACCACAGCAAACTATGGCAAGTTCTTAAAGAAATGGGAGTGTCGGATCACCTCTATGTGGGATAAGAAGCTGCAGCTAGTTCAAAATTGGGAAAGGAGTATGACAAAGCTTTATGTTGTCTTCCTGCTTATTTAACTTATATGCAGAATTCATCATGAGAAAGGCTGGGCTGGATGAATTCCAAGCCAGAATTAAGATTACCGGAAGAAATATCAACAACCTCAGATATGCAGATGACCACAGAAAGTGAGGAGGAATTAAAGAACCTTTTAATGAGGGTGAAAGAGGAGAGCGCAAAATATGGTCTGAAGCTCAACATAAAAAAAACTAACATCATGGCCACTGGTCCCATCACCTCCTGGCAAATAGAAGGGGAAGAAATGGAGGCAGTGAGAGATTTTACTTTTTTGGGTTCCAGAATCACTGCAGATGGGGACAGCAGTCACGAAATTAAGACACACCTGCATCTTGGGAGAAAAGCAATGACAAACCTAGACAGCATCTTAAAAAGCAGAGACATCACGTCGCCGACAAAGGTCCGTATAGTTAAAGCTATGGTTTTCCCAGTAGTGATGTATGGAAGTGAGAGTATGGACCATAAAGAAGGCTGAATGCCAAAGAATTGATGCTTTTGAATTATGGTGCTGGAGGAGACTCTTGAGAGTCCCATGGACCGCAAGACGATCAAATCTATCCATTCTTAAGGAAATCAGCCCTGAGTGCTCACTGGAAGGACAGATCCTGAAGCTGAGGCTCCAAGACTTTGGCCACCTCATGAGAAGAGAAGACTACCTGGAAAAGACCCTGATGTTGGGAAAGATGGAGGGCACAAGGAGAAGGGGACGACAGAGGACGAGATGGTTGGACAGTGTTCTCGAAGCTACGAACATGAGTTTGACCAAACTGCGGGAGGCAGTAGAAGACAGGAGGGCCTGGCGTGCTCTGGTCCAGGGGGTCACGAAGAGTCGGACAGGACTAAACAACTAAACAACAACAACCACTTTACATGTAACATTATTATCATCAGCAATTATATCCCTTCACTCTTAGGTCCCAGGCTGGTTACAAGAATGAAAACACAACTTTAAAAACAACTTAAAACAACTTATAATCATGCACAGTCTGGAGCTGGACTAATTCCTCTGAGCCAAACCTCCTACAGACCTTCTTCTTCTTCTTTGGCAATCTTTGCCAGGATCTGATTACCTTACATTATCTTAATATATTGTCACTTGAGACAGTCGGATGCCAACAACTACTGGACATTAGGGACACCCCCAAGTTGGGTGGGGGGAGGAGTGTACTTTAATAAAAAGACTTGAGATCTCTGTACTGCAGGGGGTTGATGCTCAGGATCAGTTCCAAGTCTACAATTCTATGATTCTAGAACAGAAAAATGGTGGTGGGGCGAGTGTGCAGTGGAGTGTAAGGAAGTCTAACAAAGTTCTGTTCCCCGCCCCTTCCATGAGAAGTAGAGTACTTCACAAATATCAAATTATTGCTATGGTTATTTAAAATAAATTAGTAAATTGATGCCTGTGCTTTGCTGGTGCTTGATTGGGTAATTATTAATTAATAATAATGATACATAATAATCTATTCATTTCAAAAGAAACATCAAGGAGGTAACACAAGACAATAACCAGAACACAACAACAATCTTAATCCAGCACCAATGGCAGCACACACACCACTGGCAGGGTTGACAACAACTAATGCATATGTATTATGCATATGTTAATATTTAACCTCTTCTTAATTGTGTTGCCTTACATGTCCATTCTATATTGGACTCCATGTAGCAATGTTTTATTTTCAAATCTCTAGTTTTCTGTTCATTGCTCTGAACGTGCACTTTATATTTGACTTTCTTCAGGAACATTTTGTTCTGGATTGTTTTATTTGAAGTTTTAATGTGCTGTAAACCGCTCTGAGATTTTTCTCCCTTTACAAATATAAAGCGGCATATCTTGTGTTTGTTTAAAAAGCAATAAAAGTTTGTCTTTAAAAGGCAGTATGGAAATGAAATAATAATAATATGTTGTTGATATAACGTTGTTGTTGTTATTATTATTATTATTATTTCCTCCCTTCCCGCTTATGGCAACGACAAGCGGCCGCATCCAGCAAACCGGAAGCGCCTCTCGAGTCCCTTCGGCTCTCGCTCTCTTCCGCGTCGCGTCATCGGCGCCGTGACGCCACGCGTCGCTGCCGGCCGGAGAGGAGGGGGGGCGCGTGCGTGCGAGCTTGCGCGCGTGCGCGTTGGGCGGGGAGACAAGATGGCGTCGCGCTGTTGCCGAGGCGGGTACGGAGAGGGGAGGCGGCTCGTCGTCTTCGTCGTCGTGGTGGCCGCGGCCGGCGGGGACTTGTAGCTGGCAGAGCCGCGGGCGAGCGTGACGACTACGAGTAGCAGCCGCAGCAGCCGTTATCCGGGGTGAGTAGGCCGGAGGCGGCGTCGGAGGTCGCCCCTCAGGTAGGGGGCGAGTGTCGGTGGGGCGACGCGCCTCTCTCCTCGCCGCTGAGGGGTGTGTGTGTGCGCGCGCCCGCCCTTCTGCGCAGGCGCGCCTTGGCGGGCGGGGTTGGGGAAGGGAAAGACCCCCGCAGGTGGGGATGAGCCCAGGCTGGCTTCGCGGCGCCCCTCGGGCGAACCTCCGTCCCTGACGGGGACTCGGGGGCTTCGCTTCTCCGTCCCCCTGGGAGGGAGGGAGGGCTCGGTGGTCGCGAGAGCCCCCCTGGTCTGGAAGGTCCCGAGTTCGAGTTCTGGTCGAAATCAAGATCGCTGCCCCCTCCTTCCTCCCCGCCTCTGGGGTCTGAACGCCGGTGGCCCCAGCTCCACCCTCGCGGCCCGGTTTGTCATCCTCAGGTGGCCCTCACTGACGCTCAGTGTCTCTAACTAACTATATAGGTATAGATTTAGATACTATATGTATATGTACACACACACACACACATACATACATATATATATATATATATATACACACACACACACAAACACAGTACAGTGAAGAACTGTGTATATATATAAATATAATATGTGTGTGGGGGGGTACTCTCATTTTGACTCAAGGAAATCACCATTTTCTAGTTCAGATTGCCAAAAATAAATACAGTAAATTGACAAAAGTACAAAGATTCACACAATGTTTAGGGTTATGCGTACCTCTGCAGCCTCCCAGAAAAAAGCACTGTGTGTGTCTGTGTATATGTGTATATATATATATATATTGTGTGTGTGTTTATGTCTTGCCTTTCTGGCCATTGTTGCCTCCGGTTGGCTAAAGAGGGAGAGACTGGGTTCTCTCCTGGCAACAGTGGTCGCAGAATTTGGTTGGTTTGTCTATTATTGTACTTGTACTCTTCATCTGTAGGTCTCAGGGCGGTTCACAGCATAGAAATACAGGAGGAGGACACAAAAGGCATAATAGAAAGAAAAACATAACAAACCAACAATCCCCACACCCATACAATAGGAATAGGAAAGAGGCCAGTTAAGGAGTGTGTGGGGAGGGTGGGGTGAAAAGTTGATCACTGGAGGGATCAGTTATTCAAGGCCAAAGCAAAGTGGGGCGTTGTATGCATTTGTGTTCCGTTCCGTCCAGGCTGGCATTCCTTCTTGAATAGCAATAGGTGACTCATGTTCCTTTGGCTGACGGATGGGAATTGTAGGATTCAATCGACTTCACAGGGCTGTTGTAAGGAATGAAATGCTCCTGATTAGTCAGAGGCCTTCATGTTGCACTATCCTGCTGTGATTAGAGCAGTCCTTAAGGTAAGCAGGACCTACCAGCTCTTTGTTGTATGAGTTGGAACAACTTGTGTGACAGTTGCTTCCCTAAGTGCCCTTGTGTGTTTGTGGCAGAGGGATAGAAGCTAACTGGTGATTTCCTGATTTGTAGCTCAGACTCATCTTGGTGACTAGCATATTCCAGTTCTGGAAAAGATAGTGTGTTTTGAGTGCTTTGAACAGTGTAAGCTCTGTTTAAATGTGAGTCGTTGGCTGTTGCAATACAAATAGCAACAGAAGTTCCCTGTTCTGAAATCTCACCCTTGTTGGTTCTTGATAAGTAGTTTAAAGGAAACAACTCACTGGCCTCTGACTTTCATTTTGAGGGAGATAATGAGGGTGTACTTTGTAAGGATATTGTAGAGATTACTGTTCTCAGAGCAGACCGTAGAACAGGTGATTAAGGCTGCTCAACAGAGGAGATGTTTATTTTATGGAGATATATTTGTCATATATATCCTGCCTTCTTCAAAATAGCTTAGAGCCTTAGACTAGTGTTTTAGCCCAACTACATTTCCTTGAGGTAGAGAGTTCAAGTCTCACTCCTTCTCTTTGCTGAGCTTAATGGCTGAATTGACTTGACTGTGTGGAACACAGCACTGTCACTGTTTAATGCAGAGTATCAGTATTTCAAAATGTACATTTCTTTTGAAGTGAGGAACTGCATCATTTGACAGGTAATAAATTTTTGGCTGGTTTGTTCAAAGCAAATATGTGTGTTTAGTTAGCAGTATATGCTTCTGGCTGCTTGAAAGGGTAGAGGGATATCACTACTTAACTTGATTGGTGTTGGACTTACAGAGCTTGTGTGTCTTGAGAAAAAAAAATCTCATTTTTGACTGGTAAGATCCCAAAGTATATAAGCATTCTGTCATTTTAATGTGGAGTCCTCTTCTCAAACATCCCATGTGGAGTAGCTTCCCATGTGAAAAATCTCTTGGGTCACATTATTTATTGGAAACCTTTATGAAAGGTTTGAAGAATAGGAGACTTTGTTTTGTATGTGATGTTCCCCAACTTTGATCCTCCAATGATCCCCTTATATCTTGAGTAGAGCCTAGCAGCACAGTTTTATTACGTGCGTGGGAATAAGCCCAGTTTAACATGAGGTCTCCATGTAAAACATGCATGGGATTGTGCTGTAACTAATACTACTATTTTCCACTCGCTTCAGAATTGGGAACATAGGTCACCACCTTTCTCAATACACTGTTGCAGGCTTTCATCCCAAAAGCCTTCCGTCTTGTCTTTGGAATAGAATAATGCTTTCACTGTTCTCTGTAGTAGTTTTGACAGTTGTGTTTACTAGGTATTCTGACTGGGAAGGGCAGCACAGAAAGGCCTTTTTCTGGCCTGGGGTGGATTCCAGCCAACTCAAAACACACACATACTGTAAGGGACATGGATCCCAGCGGAAGTAACTACCCTTTCTAATCAATGTCCATTATCAGTGAAACAGTGTAGTGGTTAAAGTGTTGGGCTAGAACTGGGGAAACCCAGTTTCAAATCCTTGTTCTACCCTGAGCTCATCGAGAGGACCTGGGCAAGTCACACACTCTCAGCCATACCTACCACACACAGTTGTTGTGAGCATAACCTTTGGTGGGGGCACGTGTGCTATCGTGAGCTTCCTCAAAGAAGAGCAAGATTTAAAATTAAAAGACAAGAGAATTCAGGTGAGGAATGCTGTGCTCTGATTGGCTATAATAGGCTTTGTTCTTTTATTTCAATTTTTGAGTTTGCCTGAGGTGGGGAACTCTGTAGGTGATGACACCGTTAATTAGTGTGCAGTGCAACTTCCTTTTACTGAGTCACAGTTACTTCATTTGGCATGTTGTCTTCTCATGGGTTCCTTGCCAGTTCTCCAGACATAACCTTTTAAAAAATTAGCAGAGGTGATGATGAATGGGACTTTGTTTGGCACAATTAACATATAATATTAAAAGGCTATATATCTACAGTATATTTAATTGATTGTTTATTGCTCTTATATTCCATCTCTTACCAGAGGACCTCATGCTGACTTACATGGTACTTGCTCTCTCCATTTTATCCTCCCAACAACTCTGAGGTAGATTAGGCAAAAAGTGACTTGCTTAAGGTCCCACAGTGAGCTGCAAGGCTGAATAGTGTTTTCAACCTTGTGCTCTGAATCCTAGCCCAATACTGTAAACACTAGAACACACTAGCTTTCCAAACTGTGGTTATTTGGAGCATAGTAAAGTCAGTGTTAGAAACTGGAATAGAATAGGTAGGAGCTAAATGGCTTCTGGGACCTGGGTTGTGGGTACCAAAAGCCACAGGATATCTAGTCCCCACTGTGGGGGTCTGCAACACTTTTTATTTATTATTTTGATAAGCATGAGTTAATATGCAATTCACTTTTGCATTGACACAAAAGTGTCATTGGTAACATACTTCAGTTTTCAAAACACTCTACTCTTTATTGTTAAACTCCTTAACATATTGTCTATCCTTAACATATACTTTGAGGTTTCAAATCTCATACATTTCAGTAATCCTTGAGTGTCAGCAAGGTTCCAATAAATGGCACCCAGACTTTTTGAAGTGTTCACAAATGGAGAATCTTTTGGCGCAAAATGTGCCTGGCTCCCTGCTAATTTCAAGCCCTGAGTAAAGTTGGAGAAATGAATCTTCTCTTAAAACTAAGGTAGCACTTAGACTTGATGATAATGTGTGCAGCAAAAATTAATTCATGGCCTGAATAACTTTTCACTTTACATTTATAGAAGTTAGCCATGCAGCTGAAGGGGGATGCAACACACTTGGTGATTCCAGCTAAGTCACACCTAGAGTAGACACATCTGTTGATTTCACTGGGTCTGTTCTGAGTATGACTGAGTTGAACATCACCCAATTTTATGCAAACATAAGATTCTTGCAAACTAAGCAATGTACACTGCTTGCTATGCTGTTGGAATTTGATCTTCTGTAGAAAGTTAGGGGAATGCCGAGTATTTTGGCTTCCATCCTAAGGCTGGCATAATAAATAGCAAGCAAAAAGTAATCTGAATCATGAGTGTTCTTTAACTTCAGATGTTAACATGTGTGCTGTCTTGTGACAGCTTTTAAAAGAAACATTTCGACTGAGGTTTTCAGATAGGGAAAATGCTCTCAGTGTTCTTCTGTGGGATGATACTTATTTTTAAAGATGTTGAGGAGCTTCAGGAATTAAAAGGATTCTGAACATTTTCAATCCTAACATTGTTTACCTGAAAGTAAGGTCTATTGGTGTTCAGTACAGCTCACTTAATTCAAATGTGTTGAGAGTTGGAGATGTAAATCTCCGTGATACCCTGGCAGCTAAGGCCTTTCCAATTGTCCATGCGAGCAGTATTAAGTTGCATAGACACACAGCAGGACATTAGAAGCAGAGATGTAAAAATGTGTTCTTGTCGATGTTAAATCCTTGACCTGGTACAGAAAAAAACACATTGATTAAATGATTATTAAATGGCACAAGTCTCGCTCTGAAGTCAGTCGAACACTGGTAAGTACACATAATAGTGTCTGCTATGTGGCAGTGTGGGCTGCAAAAAGGTTCATTTTGCACCTCGCATTATGTTCTCTAGTAGCAGGCCAGTGGAGTTATCTTGGATAGTCTGGAGGTTACTGACTCCCCATGTAGGGGAGGGACCTCTGACGCCCCAGGAAAACCCACTGGATCCAACTAGCTACACATATTGAGGATGACTTCGGAGGGGCCTTGACTCTTTGCTTGTTGCAGCTCCGGTTGAAGTACCCAGTGCCACTATTGAGAACGGTTTCATTTTCACCTTAGGCCAGGGGTCGGCAAGGCTTACCAGGCATGGACCGGATCACTCCCGCGGAGATCCTCCGTGGGCCGGACCAGTGCAGTGCGACGCCAGAAATCGGGTCTGCGCATGTCCGCAGTGCTGGAAATTGCTTTTGCGCATGTCCGCAGTGCTGGAAATTGCTTTTGCACATGCCCAGACGCCCAAAATTGCGCCTGCGCAGAAGCAATTTTTGGCGTCTGGGCATGCGCAGAAGCGATTTCTGGAGCCGCGGAAGAGAGTCCCTATGCCCCGCTGTTTATTTTTTTTTTAATATAATATTTATTGGTTTTACAAAAATTCCAAAACATACAAAAATACAAAAATTCCAAAGACAAAAAACAACAATAACAGTGACAAAAGGAAAACAAAAAATAACAATAACCATAAAAAAGAAAAAAAGAAAAGAAAAGAAAAAGAAACAGAAAAATTTAAAAATTTATACTTTCATTTAACCTTCTTATCTTTCCTTAGTTCTTTGACTTCCCCGCACCTCCCCACTTGTATTTCCATTTAGAAACTCCTTTCAGCAAATCCTTACCCTCCTTCCTTTATCTTAACTCAAGAAACTTAATCTATTTATAAATAGATATTTTTACAACCTTATCAATCAAATATTCCATGCTCTTAAACGCAAGGCTTTTGCCAATACCAGTTATTTTCAAACAGACCTCAATTTAACATTCATTAATTTTATAGTATTTCTGTAGATAGTCTTTAAATTTCTTCCAATCTTCTTCCACCGACTCTTCTCCCTGGTCACGGATTCTGCCAGTCATTTCCGCCAATTCCATATAGTCGATTACCTTCATCTGCCATTCTTCCAGAGTGGGTAAGTCTTGTGTCTTCCAATACTTTGCGATAAGTATCCTTGCTGCTGCTGTTGCATACATAAAGAAAGTTCTATCTTTCTTTGGCACCAATTGGCCAACAATGCCCAGGAGAAAGGCCTCTGGTTTCTTTAAGAAGGTATACTTAAATACCTTTTTCAACTCATTATATATCCTTTCCCAGAAGGCCTTAATCTTTGCCTATGCCCCGCTGTTTAGTGCAGCATGTGGGGACTCGCGGAGCGGGTGGCTCGGGTCAGAGGCAGCTCGTGGGCCGGCTAAACAGCCTCCGTGGACCGCTTCCTGCATGACATAACAGACCCATAAATTTTATTCTTTGTTGAGAAAGAGCATGTCTTTGCAATAATTTTCACCATCAGAAACTTTTGATTCCATCGTGCCCTCACACTGAAAATTTAGGTTTTCTAAACCTCATTTTTCCACCAAAAAACTACATTTATACATTTTTAAGGCATTTATAAAATCTTTTGAGTGCTGGTGTATTTTTTCCTGAAATCCTCATCATGTTATTGAGCACTGTGTAAAATTTCAAAGAGATCTGATCATTGGTTATAGAGAAAAAATATAAAATGCACACAAGGCCGAGGATCTCAAGAGGAACAGAAACACAGATTTCATGAAACTTTGAAGTGCTATAAAATTAAAACCACTTGAGATAGAGGAAAAAAATTTAAAGGGGTTTCTTTCAACCACAAGGGAAGGGTGTACACCAAGTTTCATTAAAATCCGAGACGGTGGGTGGCAAAACCCTTGTTTTTTGCATTGATTTGATGTGGAATGACCCCAGATGTTTAACTGATAATTGATCACAGTCAGTCCTAGTGATGTTAAATTCTCAAGAATAATCTTTTGGAGAATATTAATGAGAATATTAGAGATTTTCATTTAAAATAGGAGAATATTCATTTTAATGCATTGAAAATGATATAATTAGTTAATATACATGTTTATTCATGGGTAAACTTGTTCAGAGGGCAACCAAAAACTGTACAGATACTTTTATTCAATGGGGCAATGCCGCGAAGGTTTGATACAAGTAAATTCAGTAATAGGCTATCTTGTGCTTCTAATAGCTCTAACACTTAATAACTGTTTTGGTGACTAAAACACAGCTTGATAAACAAAACTATATACATACATATAAAAAAGAAGCCATTAACATTAAATATATGATCATTATATGATCATATATTTCAGTATGTCAATCTCTGGTAAATGGCACCTTTTACCATTGAATGGCACTGCAAAACCCAGTTACTGGCATTAAATAAAAATATAGAAACTGTTTAAATCAAGGCCACCTCATATGCTGTTACACATAATTGTATAGGCCTAGGTAATTTAAGTGTATAAAGCATTAAAGTGACTTTCTGTAAAAAAATTAAAATAATCACACTGTATGTCCAAGGGTATAGAATTGCTAAGAATAAAATCACACCAAAATAGAAAAAAGGCTATTGCATATAGTTGAAATACATACGAATCCAAATGTTCATCAAATTAAATGAATAACATTTTAAAAACTAAAAAAAAAAAAAAAATGTTTTCTGTAGTTCACATTTCAGATCTGCCAGTGGTGAATGACACAATGCTCAGTAATGTAACTGGATCAAAAAAAAAAATCATTACTCATTACTTACACTGGCAATATCACAGCTTGACTTATTATTTACTAGATTTTTTTAATGTGGGTTGTAAAACTGGTTCTTACATTAGAATTTACAGTTTGTGGAGAACATTCTCCGGAGAATTTTCTAGCAGAGGATATTCTCACCTCACATCACTAGTCAGTCCATCAAAATGTCAACTAGACATTCCATTTTGGCGACTGTAACCTTGGTTCAAGTAGCTATAGGGTGCCTAGCTTATATATTTGAGTTTTCAACACTGGTTGTGGGATCAGTTTCAGCTTATTCTACCAGCTGAGCTTGATTCTTTCCTACATGGATTTTGTGCCATTTAGGTCATGACCCTTTGGGTGTAGCCTGTGTGTGTATTTTCTCAAGGTAATAATCTTGCACATACTTTGAGAATGAGTTACTGAACCCAATGACAGACAGCAGTTACTTATTATGGTAGAAGACTGTTCTATCCTGTAGCTGTGCTGTGTTAAAAATTGGACTTGCTTCAGCTGCCAGAAAATCAGCCTGGATGAAGGCTGCATGGTCCTCTGACCCTTGTCCTTGGGGGTTTTTTTTGTGCAGGGGGGAAGAAAGGCACAAATGTTCTTTGTGTACAGAGAGAAGGCAGTGGATTGATAGGCGAACATCCTGTCTGTTCAACACCATCCTATGAGTAATTTGTATGAATGGGCAAAACTACCTTTTAATGATCTGAAAAATCTTTGGATGAATGAGAAGATGGATATTATTGCAGACTATTTTGGAATAGTCTTAAGTGTGAAGTACCTTTTAATGTAACTCTTCGTTACAAGGGCAACACAAGAAGACCACAGCAGGGTTCGTTGTGCCTTTATTGCAAATCAAAATTCCAGCTGCCTTAAAAAAAGAGAGAGAAACCTTTGCTGTTATCATGTGTGGTCACTTCTTATCCTAAATTTTCTGTTCCAGATTTTTGTCGATCTTGGTTGGGTATGCTTGCAGTCACTATTAGACAGCAACAACTTTGACCAGAATCCCAAAAAAGGTCAACAAAAAAAAAGCTCAACAACTTCCAACAACTGGGGTAGATCAGTTTTTGATTCTGTGAGTAGATCACAATCTCTTGGGAGTTGGACGACCCTGTATTGACCATTCCAGTAAACTGTGGATATTATCATATTTGCCCAACAGGAGAATTGTTTTTTATTTAACAGATTTATAAACTGCTTCACAGCCAAAGCTATTGAAACAGTGTACAATAAGATAAACTACAAGTAATTTAGATTTTTAAAACAATAAAAACCATTAGTTACAATTATAGAATTAATATTTCATTAAAAGACTCTTGTCACATTTCTGGGAAGGGCTTCTTAAACCAAAATATCTTCAGTAGGTGCCTAAACATCAAGATGTTAGGTGCTAGTCTAATTTTGGCTGGTAACTGATTCCAGAGGCCTGGAACTGCAACAATAAAATCCCAGTTTATAGTGCAAACCAAGTGCACCCCTGAGGCATGTGGTATTCTCAGCAGTGCACCATCTGACGATATAGGGGCCAAGTCATTTAGGTAACCTGATGCCAAGTTCTTTGCCTTGCACCCTTCATTTATTTAGGAGTAGAAATCCACTTAGCCAAATGTCGTACTTGGTTACTCAACCTTAAGGGAAATACTGTTATTCACTTGCTTCAATATCACTACTGAGAACTTTGGGGGCTTGCCTACTATGTGAGAGGCAGCTGTGCCGCAGTGTTTTTTCGTATTCTGGTCACAAATTTCCTGTGGAGCAAACTTAAGAGTGGCTGGAACAGCACACCCTTTGGTTCTCTAAGAACTCCAGTTGTCTCCACGTGGCCATGAAGCATGGGATTTATTTTATGAAGTGAGCAGCCTTGGCTATGGCACACTGGGCGATTCAGTCAGATTGGAAATGTTCAGTGGACAGAGATGGGAAGGAGGCATGCAAGAATGGGGAAAGTATTGGCATGCACTCGTTGGCATCATTTTGGCCGTCAAAATGACCTTCCGCATGATGCCCACATCTTTTGTTTGTCCCTTTTGAAAAAAAGCTTATGCAAATTACTTTGTATAGCAATAATAAAAGAGCCCTATGTGTTGAGACCCAATGTTTATCTGGTCCTGCATTATTATTTTTACAACATCAGTTACCCAGCTGTCATGCCTCTACGAAGCTTACAAGTCGGGCATGAAAGCCACAGATCTCCCATAGCATTTGTGTCTCCTGATATCTCCCTCTAGGTGGGTTACTGTTGCTTATTGGTGGATGAAATGTGCCTTGGCCCAACTATCGATAGTGTGATATCCAGGATCCTAGCCCTACTCAGCTCCATTTTGTAAATTCTTTGCACCTGGTTTGTGTTTCCATTGAAATACTAAGGGAAAGAGGGCTGGTTAATTTAAGGGAACCGAGCATTAGCTTGTGATGATGTGTGTTGTCTGCTTAATTCTTACTGATTTGCAAAAGCTACTATAGTATGAAAGATAAAGGCTGGCTTATTATATACACCTCATTGAGGCTGAAGGTGAAAGATGGTAATTAGTATGGAATTGCATAGTTGCATGAAGACAATAAAAATGTATGACTTAATGTTCCCTGAACGAAATCCAATTACAGGTTAAACGTATAACAGAGAAGCTGAAAATTAAATGCTCGATTTAATGTGCGAGAGAAATATGAGGCAAACCTATTTGGGCCTGCATGTGAACAGGGAGAGATATAGAGGTGGTACTTAAGGGCAAAATGAGAACTTCAACAGCTGCAGGATTCCTCTCCCTGAATTTGCTTCCAGCATACAAAGCGGGGTGGGGGAAAGAGAAGTTGCAGACACATTACAGGTTAAAAGCCACTCTCTATCTGCCTCATTTCTCCCAGAGATCTCTTTCAGCCATTTAGGTCCACTTTGACCAGGAAACCAAGTACAGTGGTACCTCGGGTTACAGATGCTTCGGGTTACAGACTCCGCTAACCCAGAAATAGTATCTCGGGTTAAGAACTTTGATTCAGGATGAGAACAGAAACTGTGCGGCGGCAGCGGGAGGCCCCATTAGCTAAAGTGGTACCTCAGGTTAAGAACAGTTTCAGGTTAAGAATGGACCTCCAGAATGAATTAAGTTCTTAACCCGAGGTACCACTGTATTGGAGCCATGCTAGAAGAATGCAACTGGGAGAAGAGTTACAGAAGGATACAGTAGTGGCAAGTGAGAAAAGGCTCAGAAGAAGGCTTCTCCTTATTAGGTTTAATGCTCTTTTTCATACAATAAAGCTACTTTTGATTTATCTTTGTTGACCCAAGTCTTCAGTAGAAGTACCATCAGGTTGGCCACCCCTGATCTATTCATTAAAATTATATGGTTCATTTTCATTAGGTTTATCTTTATGAGATGAAGCCAGTTTACTCCCATGTACAGAACTGGGCTTTCCCATGGTCACGCAATGAGCTCATGGCAGAGGAAGGGCTTTTAAATCAGGGCTTGACCTGCTTTTAAGTCCTAACAAATCTACTTCAGGCATGCTGAAGTCACATTGTAGTCTAAAACATCTGGAGCAGGGTTAGGCAACCTAAGGCCTGGGGGCCAGATGTGGCCCAATCGCCTTCTCAATCCGGCTTGCAGACAGTCCAGGAATCAGTGTGTTTTTACATGAGTAGAATGTGTGCTTTTATTTAAAATGCATCTCTGGGTTATTTGTGGGGCATAGGAATTCATTCATATTTTTTTCCAAAATATAGTCTGGCCCCCCACAAGGTGTGAGGTTGCTGACCCCTGATCTGGAGAGCTGCAGATTGAGGAAGGCTGCTGTTCTTTCTAGACCATGCTGGCTGTCAAAAAATACTGTTTTGAATCAGGGTCCTAAGAGTAATGGTGAGGGATTTTGCATCATTAGGAAATGCTTCACAAAAGTTGCTTCTCTCCAACAGCATTATGTTCCATGTGACAAAGATAGAAAGATTTGCAAGCACTCCATTTTTATATACATGGATAGTTGCACCACTTGTCACAACAGATATATCAGTGTGTCTCTTCCAAGCTGCTTTTAAGAAACATTTCTCCCCCTCAACCTTCAGGTCAGTGGTCTATGAAGTACAGCAGTGGTGACAATAGTGTGGAATAACAGGTACAGTCAATGAAAGATCAGATCAGAAGAATCTTTATTTGCATCAGCTACTAGCCATACCAGTAAAATTTTAAAAAAAATAATGTACTGAAATAGTACAGAATATGTATACAAAATACATTTTGGAGGTTTACATCAATAATCAAATAATAGATCTTACTCTAATTGCCCCTGCTAATTTTTTTGCAGTTTTTGCTCTCACTTGAATGACAGTCAATGAAAGGTATTCTATAGTCCAAGTCCATGCTAAATTGGATCTGGTTTATAAGCAGTGCAGTTTGGGGGAAATGGGGAAACTTGCTCCCCACCCTGTCCTGATTCATTCAGAACTGCCCAATTTCAGAGGAGTCTCCTGTTGAATCACTGTATAAGAATAGGTGTGGACATACCTCTGTTTCAAACTTGAATCTGTTGAGTCCTTTATACCAGAGAGAGTACTGTGTGTAGATATGTTTGGGGTTTATCGGGTTTTTTAATCTTCATGTCCACTGTGGATTTATTTTAATTTATATTTATTAAATTTATATACCACCCTTTATCCAAAGATCAGAGGGCAGCTTACAGCATTAAAATTTCTTTTGATAAAAGTGAATGTCTTTTAAGTTTACATTTTTGTCACTTGGGATACCGTAGGATAAAAACTAAAGAGTATATTCTTCTTTGCGATAATACACAGAAAACAAAATGCCCAAAGGAATGCTGTGTCATTGTTCTGACACAGATTTCAATACAGTGATAATTTCAAATGACTTCACGTTTTTCTTTCGGCTGAAGCCAAGTGGTTGTGCTTTGTTCAATATCCCCAAAACCTTCATTTTTTTGAGGGAGAGACTCCTTTTTCATAATCCCTGTTCAGTTCTAGCCTGTGTCATGCCCCAGTAATGTCAGGGACTTAACTCATCCTTTGATTTATTTATGCCTCAAGTAATTGGGGGGAGGGTGTAGCCGTGTCCATGTCAAAAATACTCTTCAGAATACGGAACCTTGGATTGCCTTTAAGTGAAAGTGCCACCACCTCAGGTTTTCTGTTGCTGGTAAAGAATAGAAGCAGTTTTGTTGCAACAGGATCTCCTGCAGGTAAGGCCGAGCCTTGAGTTACACAGATGTGCATGTGTGGAAACACTTTTGGAATACCCAGCACATCTGTAAGATTAGATCAGTAGCATCCAGACTTGCAGATTTTGATCATACTGAAAGCGAAGCCTTTAGGCTTGAAGTTTCCTCCTGTCTGCCTAGTGTAAGCTGTGTTGTGGAACGAGTACGTTTGTATCCCCTTGGACGTTAGATTGTTGAAGGGGCAACAGACAGACCCTTGCTTTGCTGATAATTGATACTGACATTTGACAGTTTATGGCATAGAGGCTGTGCAGGGGAAAGGGCTGTTGGGTATAGATGGGGGGGTCTTGATAAACTGACACTTCATGGTTTCTTGCAGTCATTTTTGCTGGAGAAGCTGTGGATTTCCTGATTGCACACTAAGAGTTGTGCTAACATGCATGCACAAATAGCATAATTGGGATCGCAATATTTTTGATGCAGAGTTTGGAGAGGACTGTAGTAAGGAATGGAGTAATAGCAATCTGAGCAGTCACAGTGGCAAGTTGTTTCACAAAACTTAGTGGCCAAAGGAGGCACATTCCCCGCTCCCCGCCCACATAAGGCCCTCTCCTCAGTTTTGTTTCTGATTCTCATAACTCTTCTGCACATTTTTTAAAAAAACAAAAACTATGATAAGTAGGATCTAAATTTTTGTGCCAGATCTCAGGTGTGTAGAACACAGGGAACTCTGTTGATAAAGAAGGTTGTGTTACCTGTCACATTAAAAAAAGCTGAACTAATATTTATGGGATGACTCCACTGGATGGAGAGTATGTGTTGGAGGTGTGATGATGCAAGGTCACTAATGCTGTTTCAAAATGTCTTTCAGATTCTAAATGGCTGCTCCGAAGTCAAGGTCCGACTTTCATGGTAAGTGAAATGTGTGTCTTTTGTTTCAGGTGTGGCAAGGGGAGGCTGTCTTTTTAAAGATAGGTTAGGGTATTCCTAAGCAATTGGATAGGGATGCGGGTGGCGCTGTGGGTTAAACCACAGAGCCTAGGGCTTGCCAGTCCGAAGGTCACGGTTCGAATCCCTGCAACGGGGTGAGCTCCCATTGCTTGGTCCCTGCTCCTGTCAACCTAGCAGTTCGAAAGCATGAAGTGCAAGTAGATAAATAGGTACTGCTTCGGTGGGAAGGTAAATGGCATTTCCGTGCACTGCTCTGGTTCACCAGAAGCGGCTTAGTCATGCTAGCCACATGACCTGGAAACTGTACGCCGGCTCCCTCAGCCAGTAAAGCGAGATGAGCGCCGCAACCCCAGAGTCATCCGCAACTGGACCTAATGGTCAGGGGTCCCTTTACCTAAGCAATTGGATAAGAAATATTGTGAAGGTATTCATGGAAGAGCTGGCTTCATTGTTGTTTTTAAGCATTTACACACAACTTTTCAGGTACACGTTGTCTCAAAGTGGTGTACAGAATGTTGAAAATGAAACTGTGCCAGCAAATAGATTTATACAGCATTAAACAGAATAGCAGTGTGAAGCTAAGTAAAGCCATGTGTCAGAATGAAGCATCTTGAAAAGTAAAGTTTAACTGGGCACTGTAATGATAACTGATGGTGACAATTCAGCTTCACAGGGGGTGAGTTCCAGAGGTTTGGCACCACAGCAAACAAGGTCCTTTCCTGGGTCACCCCTACTTACAACAGAGTTGGGATCTGTAACCTGAGATGTGGTGAGGATCTCTGGTCCCAAAATAGTAGTATTGATTGGAAGGCGTTCCCTTTTGACTAGTGACCTGACTATAGTAGGTTCCGTCTAGTCAGGGGTCAACCTAAAAATAAGCCATCTTCAGATAAGCAATTAGGCTAGCCTTTAACGGGCAGCCTTAGCCTGGAAGAATAAAATGCAGTAGGTTGGATGACAGAAGAGAAAAACATGCCGTGCTCCACTTTGTGGAGGAGGGGGGATGGTTGTGCATAGACACATAGCCCTTGTGGTTTTCTATCCTGTGGCTCTTGCTGAACAGTGCCTTTTCCCCCCGATGTGATTTCAAGTTGACAATACAAAATTTCCACCTAAAGGAAGCTAATGATGACATAAGAGAGCTTTGCAGCAAGCACAGCTCTGGATAGTTCAAGCTGTGTCTCTGCATACAAAAGAAGAAGAGACTGCAAGCTGAACAGCACAGATATCTTCTTTCTTTTGTTCTGCTTGTACAACGTACTAAGCATTCGCTGAGATAAATATTTTCCCCTTCAGTCAAAACACACACCTCCCTCCCCGACTAATGTCTGTACTTTGCCTAATACCAGGTTTGAGTGATCGAATCTGCTAGCATTTTAGAACCACAAACCCATTCACTCTTCTTCCATAAATTGTTTGCTGTTTGATTTTAATCTGTTCGGTTACCCGAGACCCTTTTAAATTTCTGAGATTGAACATGGGGTCTTATTCTGCGAGCAGAGGACATGTTCTACCACTAATCTGTGCAAAAACTGGATTTATGAGCTGTAGGTCTCTTGTGATTGGCATCCTGTATCAGCTCTGTCAAAGGAAAAGTCATTGGTGGGGGATGACTGTAACTGGAAACACCCTGGGAAGAAGAAATACGGCACACGTGCCTTTTATTTCAGGGATTTCCTCACCAGTTGTGCATTGTCACCTAGATGTGTAATATTTGTGCAAGACTGTCTCAGGTGGCCTCTTTTGCACATAGAAAGAATCTGTACTAAGGTGATCACTATGTATAAAAGGGGTGTGGTGTAATTGACCAAGAAGAAGTAGAAAGGAGGAACTATTATTGTTCATTGTAGTGAAGTGCCTATAGTGCCAGATAGGTGTTTTGGGAAGTCTTTACACAAATGTTGCTCCTTTGTCCAAGAAGGTATTTCAGTTCTGAAGCGGGTTTTTTGTTTGTTTTGCAGCAATAAGCATTATTAGTTTGCACCTTTGAGACCTAGCTTTCTCCCTTTTTTGCATTCTCTTTGTTTTCTGTGCCTCCCTCCTCTGTTTTCCATAACTGACCAAGGCATACATTTTAAGTGCAGAGTACTGAGCAGTGCACGCTGGAGATATTGAGTGGCCGCATGGCTGTGGGGAAGCTGACTCTTGTGTTGGTTCTCCATCATGTGAGTTTATGCAGGATTACACTGGCCATTTAGATAGCAGCCGGTATGGGAGATTCCAAGATGCTCAGAGCAGTTCCCTCCTTGTTTTTCTTGTTTCAGACCTGGACTTTGAATTGGGAAGCAGCTGCTCTCAGAGAGTAGACAGGATAGTAGACAGGATGGGGGCCTAATGGACCAATGGTCTGGCTTGGTGCAAAGCAGCTTAATATATCCAACATGCATGCACCTTACAAGCTGTATAATAAGGCCTGCTGATCCCCTGAATCTGTTGCTCTCCCCTTTGGTTCCTGTTGGCTCTTCTTGCTTGCATAATACTATGAACTGTCCCTCCCCTGCCTGATAATATTGGACAGTGCAGCAATATGAAAAATAGACTTGGGATGCCAGCAGCTGTTGGAAGCAGGTGTGTGAGCTCAAGGTGCCTGGGAACCCCATTAAGCCCATCTCCCATCTATGGAAGCTGTTTAACTGAAGACATCTGCTGCTGACTATTATATAGGTGCTGCTGACTATTATATAAGTTCATGTTTATATAAAACATGAACTTTCAAGCATAAAAATAGAAGGCGATTTCTAACTAAAACGGCTAGTGTGGTTATTTTTATCGGTGTTCGGGGAAATTGGGATGAAGCAGTTTTTGGAAGGCTTTTGCAGAGCCAGACACCGTGTCACATTTGAATTGAATATAAACCCCAACATTCATTTGCTTTTCTGTTGGTTTCAGACTTTTAAAGCCTTGCTGTTACTGGTGATTTGGCCTAGATGGGCGAAATGGGGTTGTATTGACTGACAAATGCAAAGTCACTGATGTGTTTCATTCCCTCTCCTTAGGGACCTTCAGTTACCTCGATGACGTCCCGTTCAAGATAGGAGACAAGTTCAGAGCACCAGCCAAAGTTGGCTTGCCCATTGGCTTTTGTTTGCCTGACTCTCCACAGCTTGTAAGGGAAGCCCAGGTGAGACTTACTTGTTTTGTACAGGGTTGCAATAGAAAGTCGTCTACAACTTGTGGAGGCTTCCTTCTGCATAAGCATACTCAGGACTGTGCCTTTAGGTAACAGATTATTCTGCATTAACCTACTATCCAAGATTAAAAGTGTTTCACTCTGAACAACTGAAGCAGGGCCCCTCTTTTGTTAACTGCACTGGAACGACTGCTTCTGGTCCCCTTAAAATAGATTTGGGTAGTTTGTCAACACCTGCCCTGTGCGTGCTTTAATCCATCTCAAAGCCAGATAAGGAGAAGTAGCTTCTGAAGCAAGCTCAAGTCATCAATGCAACATCCACCTTTGTTAACCAACAGCAGAAAATTCTTATTGAAGATAAGGAAAAAGAACCGCTTCCCTTGCTTGATTTAAGGGTGTTCTAAAAGTTGCTGGATAAAGGCTTTGTCTTCACAGCTGGTTGATATTGGCCTCACTTAACCTTTGCAAACTGTAAGATAATACATTTAAGGGTTTTAATCCTGTTCCAGGTGAATGTTATCCACTAACACAGGGGGAGTCTGCCTTATTATTTCTGTATAGTTTTTAAAAATAAATCCTTGCGTGCTCTCAAGAAGCAAACAGCAATTTCAGGTCATTTGGAACTGACAACTCTGAAAGACCCTCTAGGTTTTAAAAATAAATAAATCATGGAGTAGAAAAAGGTTTTTTAAAAAGGGAATTATTCCTATTTAATAACTTAATATTCGGTTAATATTTCATAAAAGAGAAGTATACAATATTGAGTATAATTCATGATGATTATAATAAATAAATCATTGCATTTACTGGCAACCAGACTACTGCAACATGGTCCTGCTTCATCTGGGCCTCACCTTTATCGTGTAAATGCACAAAGAAGAAAATCTGTGCTGATAGCAGCAGCTCTTATTTTTTCTTTAATATATTTGACCACAAGGTTCCAATTACTTAGCACTTCTTTATCACCCTCCTCCTTTTCTCCTAACATTGCTGTAGTTTAATCATTCCCACTTGTCCCCATAATCTCATAATTCTGTTTTAGTTGGGCTTTGGCTTTTCTTCCAGTACATGGCGTATAATATTCGGTTTGATTAGATTATTTAATTTCTGTGCCGTTCAATATATCAAAAATATATCTAAGCGATGAACAAACAGAAGCAACAACAAACAGCTTAACAAAATATTACAGAAATACAGTTGCATATAAAATAATACATTAATACAGTTACTAATACATATATAAATCAATATCAGTTCATTTTCCTTCTGACACACTCTTCCTCTCAGCCTCTGGGTTCTCACAAATTCTCAGCTCACCTATAAAAGTCTCACAACAAGAAGAGTTCCTGGAAACAGCAGTCATCACCCTAGTATCTGTTTGTTTGTTTGTTTGTTTGTTTGTTTTCCGTCCTTCACCCTAAGGCCATAGGGCAGGTTACAACATTAAAAGCACAACATTAAAAACAGTTTAAAACCATGTACAACCATTATTACTAGGCTATCTGTCAGTATGCGCGCGCGCTCTCTCTCTATGTATATGTATATGTATATATGTATATATGTATGTATGTATGTGTGTATGTATTTATCATTCACTGATGTTCTGAAATTTGTTTTTAATGTTGTACACCCCCATGGGATATTTTGATATTTATTTGGTATATAAATGGAATGATGTAGGTCCTAAGAACCTAAACCTCAAGTGTAAAGAGGTGCCCTTTCAGCATTCTCCAAAAGCAGTATAATGAAGGCGCAGAGGCATCTCTGTATCTGGTATACTTTCAGTCTTCTGTGTTTCATGTTGGCTCTTGGTTCTGTGCAGCGTATCTTGACATCTCACGGCCCCTAATAGGGATGGGCAACTGTGGTGATTCTTCTCTCCCACCCTGGCCAAGCTGCCATGTTAGCATAGGCTAAAATTTTTTTGGGACAAACTGGAGTGCTCATCCTCAGTTTGGTAGTAGGTCCCAAATTGCTTATACACTTAGCCATGTCATTAGAAGTACCCCCCCCCCACATTCTTGAGAGAGTGTGACATTGCTAATTCTCCTTAGTGTCTCAGCAGCCTTTGGCATCATTGCTCACAGTATCCTTCTGAAAAGGTTCTTGAAATTGGAGGCATGGTTCCTCAGGAGTTCCATTCCTAATTTGGCAGGGGTTGATTTCCAAAGTAAGCTTTGGAAGAAGATGTGTTTGCCAGCATAGCTCCTGCAGCTCTTTCTTACCTTGTTGTCTTGCGTTTTCCTCTCCCCCCAGTATGACTTCTCCTTGGAAAAGAGGACTATTGAGTGGGCTGAGAACATTAAACGAATTCAGGCTGCCCAGCAAGAGGCTGAGCAGAGGGCTGAGGAGGCGCTAGCAAATAAAAAAGCAACCTTCGAGGAGCAGAGGCAAGCAGGCTTCCCGGACAGCGGCTGCCCAGAGAACGCCGTTCCGCCTCCCATCAACCCCATCATTGCTAGCCTGCATCACAACTACATCCTCATTCCTACCCCTGCCAACAGCAGCACCGCAAAGCAGAAAGTTCTGAGTCCGCCCCATGCAAAGGCTGATTTCAACCCAGCGGATTTCGAGTGCGAGGAAGACCCCTTTGACAAACTGGAATTAAAAACACTCGATGATAAAGAGGAGCTGAAGAACATTCTGCAGCTCCATGTTGGTACTCCGGGGCCAATCGTGGCCCAACTTCTAGACAGTAGCTTGCCCAAAGTAGCACCCGAGTCTGTATTACAAGACCAGGAGGTCTTGGCGTCCTTGGAAAGGGCCAGTTTGGACCTCAAGCCCCTTCACAAACCAAACGGTCTTATCGCTTTACCGCAGCTGGGGGGTTGTGAAAAGATGTCCCTGTCTTCCAAAGTGTCCCTCTCACCCGTGACGTCGGTGAGCAATATCAAGTCGCTCTCCTTCCCGAAGCTCGACTCGGACGAGGGCGACTTGCAGGCGGCAAAGCTGGCGAGCACGTTCCCCGGCACAGCCTGCCTTCGCAACGGCACTCTCCTCAGCTCGTTGCAGAGCAAAGCCAGCGAACTGAATGGGCACCACGTGGCTGGGCTCTCTGACCTCAGCGTGGACAGTGGCCCAGAGGCACAGACGTTGCCCCCCACGTCCAGACTGCCTTCCCTGCCCAGCTCAGTAGCATGTACAGATGAAATCCCAGCGCTCACCACAGCCACGGTGGTAAGTTCCTGCGCAACTGAAAACGTTGCTTTCGGATTGGAGACCTTGATGTGGACAGGGGAGGGAAAGGCTGGGTTGGGCTGCAGCTGGCTAAAATAACCCAAATCACATTTAGATGCCTTGTTGCCATGCTGTTGCTGTTGGGGTGATCGATGCGTTGTATTGCCTGGGGGTCTACGGCGAGTCTTCCTGCCTGCACCTAATGCCTACAGGTGCCCTTATGTTCAGTATTTTTGTGTTTTTATACTGTAAACTGCCCTGTGATCTTAGGATGAAGGGTGGTACAGTCATACCTCGGGTTACAGACGCTTCAGGTTGCACGTTTTCGGGTTGTGCACCGTGCCGAACCCAGAAGTACCAGAACGAGTTACTTCTGGGTTTCGGTGCATGCGCAGAAGCACCGAATTGTGACCTGCACGTGCGCAGACATGGCGCTGCGGGTTGCACGGATCATGTTTGCAACCTGAGAGTCCACTGTATATAAATACAATATACTGTATAATAAATTGATGAAAGCAAATGTGTGGTTCTGCAGGGCATGCAAGTGTACACCCCTTCCCTCCATAGCAGCTATTCTGCCACTAATATTGCCTGGCTAGCTTAGTGTTTTTGCAGAACAAGCTAGTGAGGGTTGCTGTGGTTCAGATTTAGTTGGCATCGTGGCTGAATGTACAATCTGGTGCGTTCCATGGCTTTCCCTGGGGATGGCTATGCAGTCTGTACCAGGGTGTGCAATGGAAACTAATTTCTAGAAAGCTGGGCACCTTTAAAGCCTTAAATACAGGCGTCACGTGGCCCCCAGTTATGCAGGGGTTACATTCCGGGACCCCATATGCATAAGTGAAAATCAAGTCAGTGGGTAGCATCCTCTTAAAAGCCTCTAAACACCTGTTCCTGCTCTCCGGCTCTCTCACCATACAACTGTCCCTTAAACTAGAGTTGAAGCTCTGGGGCTGGTTGGAGGACATGCGGAAAAGCAGCTGCTGCTCCCATGCATGTGTCAGCTGCTAGCCAGGGAGGCTGAGCAGCCTTTAAAATGCCCCACTGCGCCTCAGGTTTCCTTGGGGGTTCCTCTGCCCTCACCGAAGTCCTCTTTGGGCTCTGGGGAGGGTGTCCTCACAAGCCACAAGGACTCTCTAGCTCTCGTATGCCATTTCCTGGTTTGAATCTATTTTTTATTCCCTGGCGTCGCACGTATACATGGTCATGCGTGATTCAATCATGCTGTTGTGGACTAGGGCCCTTTTCAATATGAGGTTGGTTCTAGCATACAAAAACTTATTATACCATAATAAAATTGGTTAGGCCTTAAGGTGCCACAAGACTTCTTTTCATGTAAAAACAAAAGCAACAAAACTCGGCCCCTTGGAGAGGGCGTTGTTAGCATTTGCCCAGCAAGATGAAATGTTGCAGTGAGTTGAGTATATTTCCCAGTAGAGATTATCCTGATTCTTGGCCTGTGTGGATTAAGCATAATCCTATTGCGCATCCTGGAAGTTATTTTTACAAGGCTTCTTCCTATGACGAGTCTCTGAAATGTGAGTTCTGGCCGTGCAGGTATGAGAGTTCATTTGTAACTTTCCCTGCAGCAGAGTCTCTTGTTGGTTCTTGCCTTAGTTGTTACTTCTCCTCTGGGTTTTCTTGTTTTAGGAAATCCCTTTAAAGGGAATCCTCCTTTTTGCAGGACCTGCTTTTTCTCCAGCTGCTTATCTCCAGCGTGTAATTGATTCTGCCTGTCTTACTGATCTTGCTGGCATGGCAAAAGCTGGCAGTGTGCCTAGCTAAAGAGGGGCTTTGTCTAGTTTACACTGAACTGTGTTTGCCTTTAGGGAAATCTTGAAACAAGGCAGTCAGGTTGGGAGAGTACTTGGTCTCCATAAATGTATTCCCAGGCTAGTTCTTCTAGGTACGCTTACTACTTTTTTATGGGTTTCCTGGCAGGTAAATGGTAAACAGGCCAGCTCATTGGGTTTTTTGTTTTACATTGGCAGACTAAAGAGGGGCCCCGCTGCTCCCAAATGCTGTCATTCAAGGATGCATTGATTTCAAGAAAGCTGACTTTAATAGCTAAGGATTAAAAACAGCAATGCAATTTATTTATAGGTTCCCATTTTGAAAACTATATATTCCAACTAGTTGCTCTGCAACTAGAACATACTTGGAAATAGGGCTGGGCGATATATCAATCTATCGTCCAAAACTGGTTTGAAGTTCACATTGTGATAACCGTTTTATAATATTTGACCTGGCAATATATCGTGAATTGCAATGTGTGTGAGGGCTGTTATCATCAGCTAAACATTGCAGTCTACCACAATGTCTGAAATAAGGGTGGAACTATGCAGAGGCTAACAAGACAATGTCCTGGTAATTGCTACTACTTAGGGGTCTAAAACAGATAAATGACGATAGTATCAATCACCGTCACTGTAACTGTTGCCGCCTTCCGCCGCTGCCACGAGGCCTTGCAGACTGTCTCTCCTACTGCTGACACGTCCCATGGCAAGGCCTGCGAGGTCACCGCTGTTTCTGCCACCACAGCTTCTGCTGCCAAGCAGGCCTTCTGGTAGACCCAGATTATTTGTATTCACTATGACTCATCACTGTACTTTGGATTGTCCTGAATAACACAATTTGGTATCCAAGCGCAAAACCACGAGTCCTGTTTGGATGCATTTTGGCTTGCCTGCTGATGAAACTGTGTAGTGATTGATATCATCATTTATCCATTTTAGATCCCTAAGTAGTAGCAGTTGACAGGACATTATCCTGTTCGCCTCTGCGTAGTTCCTTCCTTATTCCAGATATCATGATATATCGTTGTATCACGATATCAACTGGTGATTTATTGCGATACTGAAAACCAATATTGCACAGCCCTACTTGGAATTAGATTGTGTCTTAAAGTTAACACAAAGCAGCCTTGTATGCAAGTACTTGCCTGCTAGAGGCAGGTCACAAGGAATTCCATAGCAGCAAGCGAAGCCAACTCGCTTGGCTTCTGTGCTTGACATGGAAAAAAAGGAGCTTCCTTTCTCTGGCCTGCACGGAAATGCAACAGGCTTCTGTAGGGGGAAGGGGTAGGTGGCTTTATCCTTTATAGCAGCATATATCATTCTGTTCTAGTCACCACCAGGGACTTGTTTGCTATGCATTTGTCATTCTGGTTTGGCGAGGGTATGAAATCAAATGTTGCCGGGAGGGGCTGTCTTTCTTGGGCTCACCCCTTTCTGAAGTAATGAGTCTTGTTGTGACTTCCTGTCCAGTTATTAGCCAGGCCAAGATTAGCTTTAGACATGGAGGAACCTCTAGGGCTTTCATGTGGTTCTCGGAGGAGCTGTGCATGGAGCCCAAAAGTACTTACCTGTAACTCTCCACCTCCTGTTCTTGAGCTCTTGGCTATTATTTTGCCCACAGAGGAGGAGGGGATTGGCCACAGATCAGTCACATTCTATTACAGTCATACCTTGGGTTACAGACGCTTCAGGTTGTGCGTTTTCGGGTTGCGCACTGTGCCGAACCTGGAAGTACTGGAACAAGTTACTTCTGGGTTTCGGCGCATGTGCAGAAACACTAAATCACACTTTGCGCATGCGCAGAAGCACTGAATTACAACCTGCGTGTGCGCAGATGCGGCACTGTGGGCTGCGAACGCTGCGGGTTGCAAACGGATCACATTCGCAACCCGAGCATCAACTGTATTGTCCAATGGCTATTAAGGGTTTATAGGAAGACTTTTGCGCTGACTTACATTCAGACTGCAGCACCCCAATTTCTCTCTCTTCCTGAAAGAGGTTTGTTTCCCTCTTGTTCAACTAGGTAACTCACCAAAGTTTCCTGACGTCTCAAGTGCCCAATACCACCAGCTGTGCAAAACGGCCCGGCAGCTCCACGTATATCAACATGCTGCAGGCCCTTTCCTCTAGTGAGCGGCAGTGTGTTGAAACTGTTGTCAACATGGGCTATTCCTACGAGGATGTCCTGAAAGCAATGAAGAAGAAGGGCCAGAACATAGAACAGGTAAGAGGAGCCTTTTCCCTGCTTAAGCAAGCCAGGAAAAGGAAGTGAGACTGGATGAAAGCCAACTTTGGCCTTAGTTTGGGTTTTGAATGGTAGATGCTCTACAGTGTCTGAAAGGATGTGGGTTTTAGAGCCTTGCATCCTACACATCTCGGTAATACTGGGCCCAAGAACCTATGGTGCTCCAGCAGGGGAAGGGGGTGCTTGGGGCAACAACTAGCCACAAAATATTTTCAGACCTTAAGATTATGGCCATATTAGTTTGCTTTCAATATGTCTGTGATAAGTGTTCCTTGTAGCCAATTGAACTTAAAACAATCTCTGAATTGTGGAGACTGGGAGAGGGCATTATAACTCAGTGGTAAAGCTCGTGTTTTGCTTGTAGAAGGTCCCAGGTTTAGCATTTCAAGCCAAAGGAACGTGGGTGAAAGAGATTGGTAAAAAAACTATTATCTAAATCCTTGGGGAGCCGCTGTCAGCCAGAATAGATTCTCCTGGGCTAGATGGAGCAGTGGTCTGACCTGGTATAGCTTCATCTCTTTGTACTCAAAAAATATCGATTTTGCATGGCCCAAGCAGGTTTGTTTGTGCAGCTTCTCCCTCTTTAGCTTTTCATGTGGATAACCTGTCACTAAGATCCAGTGGCAGAAACACCCGATAAGCTTCAGATAATTGTTAGAAAAGGCTTGTTAGTGGGATCATGCTTGCGGAGCAACTGCCTCAGTTCCTCTCTGTCCTGTTCCTCCTTGTAGGTCCTTGACTACCTGTTTGTCCATGGGCAGCTCTGCGAGAAGGGCTTTGATCCACTCCTTGTAGAAGCTGCTCTTGAAATGTATCAGTGTTCAGAGGAGAAGGTGAGTTTTCAGCTGCTGGATGCGCAGTGGTGCTGTAGAACCACTCCCGTGATTCAGCTTAATCATGTGTGCTTGGCTTGCTAATCTTACTGGTGCTGCTCTTTGACTGTAGTGACTGTCAATTCTTCTGGCTTGTATTCTGAATATCAGGAGCAGTTGTCACAAATGTCTTGCACTTGTGACTCTTTCGTTGTAATCAGCACCCCGCCAACTTCATCCCAGGCTCAGGGTGGAGCTAGGGTCTGGTGCCTTGCCTGACAACATCTGAGGAAAGGAGCACCACAGTAGAAAGTAGAAATCCTGTTCCCCATTTCAGAAACAGGTGTACCTTGTGCTCTAGGTGGAACTGAGAATAACCACTTCTCACCACCTGGGTCTTAAGTGTGACAGTGCTGGATCTACCTCTCTTTCAAATCCGAACCAGTGAAGGTCCTGTGTGTCTGGAGGCGGTTGGAGGATGGATGGCAGCCAACAGCTTGAGGTTGAATCCTGACAAGACAGAAGTACTGTTCTTGGGGGACAAGGGGCGGGCAGGTGTGGGGGACTCCCTGGTCCTGAATGGGGTAACTGTGTCCCTGAAGGACCAGGTGCGCAGCCTGAGAGTCATTCTGGACTCACAGCTGTCCATGGAGGCGCAGGTCAATTCTGTGTCCAGGGCAGCTGTCTGCCAGCTCCACCTGGTACACAGGCTGAGAACCTACCTGCCCGCGGACTGTCTCGCCAGAGTGGTGCATGCTCTAGTTATCTCTCGCTTGGACTATTGCAATGCGCTGTATGTGGGGCTACCTTTGAAGGTGACCCAGAAACTACGACTAATCCAGAATGCGGCAGCTAGACTGGTGACTGGGAGCGGCTGCCGAGATCATATAACACTGGTTTTGAAAGACCTACACTGGCTCCCAGTAGGTTTCCGAGCACAATTCAAAGTGTTGGTGCTGGCCTTGAAAGTCCTAAACGGCCTCGGTCCAGTATACCTGAAGGAACGTCTCCACCTCCATCGTTCTGCCTGGACACTGAGGTCCAGCTCCGAGGGCCTTCTGGTGGTTCTCTCGCTGCGAGAAGCCAAGTTACAGGGAACCAGGCAGAGGGCCTTCTCGGTAGTGGCACCTGCCCTGTGGAACGCCCTCCCACCAGATGTCAAAGAGAAAAATAGCTACCAAACTTTTAGAAGACATCTGAAGGCAGCCCTGTTTAGGGAAGCTTTTAATGTTTAATAGGTTATTGCATTTTAGCGTTCTTTTGGAAGCCGCCCAGAGTGGGTGGGGAAACCCAGCCAGATGGGCAGGGTATAAATAAATTATTATTACTATTATTATCCCAGACCATAGTTCTGTTCCATATGAGGGAGTAAGACTCCATCAACAGGCATCACACCCCAATTCTTGGATATGAGAACCACCCACCAGGAGTGCTTCGGTCTTATTAGGATGTAGCTTGAGTTTGTCCCCCTCATCCAGCCCATTGCTACCTCCAATCACTGGGTCATCTCCAATAGTGGTTTCATTTGGTTCAGATGGTATCCACTGGCTTCATATAAATTTATTTAGGTGTGTAATGCCCAGGTTGCTAAGAACTGTCTAACCTAAGAGATCCGTCTGGCTCTTACTTAATGTAATTGTATTCTTAAGTGTCTTTTAATTGCTTGGATGCAAATTCTTAAATGTCATGTCTTGGAAGTTCTTGCATGGGGCTCTGTGCTTTTCCGTGGCTACTCCTTAGTGATGGAAGACTGATCCAGAGATGCTCAGTAGGATATAAGTAATCTTCCTTCCCGATGGGGGTCTCTTCCTAGCATGCTCTTAAAGGTGTCCTCTTCCTTTTTTCTCCCTTTTTCATAGACAACAGAACTTCTCCAGCTAATGAGTAAATTTAAAGAAATGGGATTTGAATTGAAAGACATTAAAGAGGTTTTATTATTACACAACAATGACCAGAACAATGCACTGGAAGATCTAATGACCCGAGCAGGAGCCAGTTGAAGAATGCGGGACGGAGCACAGACATTGCCCTGCTCACCAGACCCTTTGCCGCCACCATCATGTGGCTCTCCCTGCAGGCACTGGAAGGAGGACAACACCGCAAGGATCCTGCCTTTCCCAGATGCCGAAGAGAGCTGGGGGAGCAGCTCCGTGGGCACGCATCACTCCAGGGTGCTATTCCCAGCGGAGAGACCCCAGCCCACGTTCTTCGATTAAAGTTTAAGTGTCCTTTCCTAAGTTTCCTTTTTTTGGCTCGGCCACGGAGAATCTTGACTGGAGTTGTACATAGTCAGACCAGGCTAGTTGTATTTCTCCCCATCCCCCTCCCACGTCTTGCACTGGACTCAGCCTGGCTCTGAAACGAACAATGCTTTGGCTCCTTGAAGCTGCTTTCATTTGTGCGTCTGCTTCTACTGAAAACGTTTGACCCTTGCGTCAAGATTAACACAAGTCCACCTTTAGTGCAATGGAATTTTGGTTTTATTTGGTGGAGGGGGGAGGCTTTGGTTGAAGGTTAGCGTGTAATTTAAGTGTGACACTGGTTCTGAAACTGCCTCTATGCATACAGAGAAGCTGCATTGCTTCCTTTTCTGGTGTTTTGGCCCTGGCTGTCCACACGCTCTGGCCAGTGTGCTTGAACAGATAAGTTCTCAGAACAGGTAAGCTGTGAAACCCCACCTGGACCCCTTGCCCACTGGCTGGTTTCTGAAGTCTGAGGAAGAGGCTTGAACCTCTTGGCTCTACTGTCCTCCCCAGACTGGTAGGTTTTATTATTATTATTATTTAAGCAGAGACCCATCTGGGAACTCGGCTACTCCATTAGTTTAAAATAAATACACAGTGTGAAATTGGAGGTCTGTCTTTCAAGCACTTTCTTTTTAATATTCACTGCATTGGTTCCTTTTTTTCCACACTGCTATAGTAATCATTAATCTATTAACATCTAGTAATAGAAATCAGACTTTTGGTTTTGATAGTACAATAGTGTATTATGTTGTACATGGTTAAAAGATCTAAATACATAAAAAAATATAAGCAGTCTTGATATTTGGAGTAATTTGCTAAGTATTTTGGTTCTGCAGAAAGAGATACTAATAAAACCTTAAAATGTGGCTGCTGGTCTCCTGCTCTAGAGGTTTAGCGGTAGGGAAAAGAAACGGAATGAATCTGGAATGGTTATAAATCTCTGATATCTCTAGAACATCTTGTGTCTTGAGTTTGAGCTTTGGAAAAACGTTTCCAACTCTCCAGCGAACATACCTGCAGTAATCTCTCTCTGCCCCCCTCCCCCCAGGTCACTACATAGACTTCAGCAAGTACAGTATGAAAACACTTTCAGCAACCTGGATCTTGGGGCCTGTCCCACATAACTGGGGCAACACCTCACTACCAAAGTTTTTCAATACCTGATTTGAGTTCAGTTAGGAGCCATTGATCTCGGTAGAAGCTGCCATCTCCACTACCATAAGGGATAATGGAAACAATAGTAGAATTTATCTGTGGAGCTCATAATTCAATATGGGGACATGCTGTATTGTCAGTGACCCAAACAGCAGTGACTCTGTGATTAGAATGTTGGAATTGGTTTTAGATGTATCAAGTCACTTTGAACAGAAAAGGAACTGTATCTCATGCATAAATTACCACCCCCAGGTATAGGTGGTGAGATCTGATAGTAAAGGCCTGATAGTGTGTCTGAATTTTTACTGTAAACAAGCGCTTGATGGATGAATCTGGAGCAGAGCCCTATGGCTGACCATGTTTTTACACCTGAGTTATAATGTAAGCCCTTAACCTATCGCTTTCCTAATGACAGCAGCTTGGCTCTGGCTTTTCAAGGGAGGGAGCGAACAGCTTTCACAAGAGACGCTTCATTACTAAATGAGACACTGAAGGAAGAATGCTGCAACAGAATTTGAGGTGCAGGTTTTGGCGGCAGAACCAAAGCAAGTTGCTGCTGATCAAGTGCTCTGTCTGCATCTGTAAACTTAGAGAGTCATGTGTGGATCCTGCAGCCACCAACTGCTGCAATGGTCAGAGCACAGGGAAATGTGATTTGCTGCACTGTGTGTACTGGCAGAAAAGCCTTTCTACCATTTCCTCCCTTGAGGGAGACCTCTGCTGCTGGACAATTTACTTGAGTTGTGATCAGGGTGTTGTCAGCCTCTCATATCTGCAGCCAAAAGCAGCTACCGATCCTGTTGCACATCAGTGTTTGTTTCTGAGCAGCACTATTTAGCACTTCTCCCATGCTGTGAATTACTTTTGCATTCAAACCAAATTACATTTATCAGAATACTGAATTTGACACAATTTAGACCTCTGTGCAAGTTTTGCTCAATTATCTTTTTACTTCAATTAAAAATTCAGTATAAAAGCAACATGCATAATATTCTAAGTGAATTCACTTTAACCTACTGACTCTTAAAACAAAGAACTCTTAGAAACATGTCCATGTATTGTAGTACACAGCTCTTGTGTAATGTCACTCAGCTAGATTCTCGACCATTTTACTAATTGGTTAAGTTGTACCTGAAAAGCAGGAACTGTGTCCCTGCTGGGTTTATACCTGCCAAGGAACGTACCTGCACCAGGACTTAATGTGCACATGATTTCCTTTAGCAGTGGGAAAGGTCAGTCAAAGAGCTGCTTCTGCTGCTCTGAATGTGACGTGGTTAGTTGGTGCTTGCTATGTGGGAAAGGGAATGACCAATGTTGCTGTAAGGACAGTGCTGTGACCCCTGAACTGTTGTGTTGAAGTCACAAAGGTCAAGCCAGAATGGGGTGAGATGAGGTTGTGGCATCTATTGGCATGTGAATGCTGATGCTACTCTTGTGAAATGAGGCACCACCCAAGTGGAAAATATTGCTGCCTGACTGCTAAGCTTCCAACTTAGATGAACCTTGGGGTAGAACAACCCTGTTAATGGATACAAAGCCCATCTTTCATAAGCGATGGGCTTGACAGAGTAAATCTCAACTCCTGACTATGCTGTCTCCCTGACGCATGGAAAGAAACAAATTAAGAACAGCTATTCTGATGTACAGCACTGTGTTCTCCAAGGCAGGCAAGGTTTTAAAGGATACTGGCTTTTGCTGCCCTGTGCTCTTGTTTGGAGTTTCAAAACTTCCAGTTATCACTTTCTGTGAATCCTTTTAAATTTTGTTTCTCTCCACCATCTTGGAAAAGCCTCATTCACAAGATGAACTAGTATGCTGCAAAGCTATTGTCCATAATGCTTGCATCCTCTTTGGGGCTGCTGCCATAAAGCAAGTATTCACCTATTTTTGTACAAGTTGGATTGAGTTCTGTTCGTTCAGACTAGTGTTGATGGCTTGATAAAAGTGGCTTGGTTCTGTCAAAAGTTCCTGCTTAGAAATCCTGCCTAGCGAGACAAGAGAGCACCAATTTCACAGAGCTGTTAGGCACATTATGTTTATGACAGTCATGCAAAGGCTTCAGGCACCATGTCACTCTGCCTTCCCACTTGCAGTCTGACGGCTTGCTTCTTCTAACCCATCTTCACAAAGCTCCTGAAGGTCATGTGTGGAGCAAAGTGATGCCCACCCAGGCTTGACTGAAATCCGCTGTGGTTATTTAATTTAGTGCCTGCCCTTCACACTAAGGTCCCAGAATGGGTTACAACAATATAAAATACAACACCAAAAACAGTTTTAAAGCTTACAGTCAAAAAAAGATACAACCGTAAAAGAAAGTGAATCCTGAAAATAAAATGCAATTCTAAAAGGAAGGGCAAATCTGAAAATAAACCTTTTTAGTTAGCGTGGAAGCACCTGATGAGCAGATCGCCAAGGCACAAGTGTAGAATGCTTGGTAAATATGGCTGAGGGGAGAAGAGAGGGATAACTACAAGAATGTGAACTCTGTGTCTCTGATCTGTAATGCTGATAAGCAGGTCCACTGGCTCTCTTGATACTTAACTCCAAGGCAGCCTAGCCATACGGGGCTTTGGTAGTAACTAGTACCTCTTTTTCAAAGGCTACACTGCCTGAGAACAGGACTAGTTCTGATTGCCCATCTGGCTGGGTTTTCTATAGTTTTTTGTCAGTACGCAAAACTGCCATAAATGTGAAGTTGCCTGAGTGATGGCAGGAGAAAAGGGATCACTTTATCCACTTCTCAAAGTCTTGCCACAGTGGTCAAGTATTTAGATGAATGGCAGAGCAGACGATCTGGACTTCCGCTGAGTTTATGCTGCTAAAGTTAAGCCTTAAGTCTTCAAGCACATGCCATGTAGAAGACCCAAACTTTTGGAAGTCCTCACTTTCTTGAGCTGCTGGTCACTGAAGGTCAAATGCCTCAGCGCAGTCCTCACCCATGCTGCTATTTCATAGGGAAGTTGTCTGGCGCCGTCCCACTTGCAGGAGCAGCTAGAATAGGCTGCAGCTGGCTTCGCAATCTTTGGATGCATTTGGATTTCAGCGCCAGGATTTCATCTAGCTGCGCCACAAAGTCCTCAAAATCCTAGCAGAGGGAAAACGGAGCCAGTAAGGAATAAGGATGGGTGTGTTAAAGATCATGAACTCTACAAGTGAAGGGTATTTTTAGAATCAGAGTTGCAAGTTGCTTGCCCTGTATTTTTCAATGTTTGCTGAAGGGGCTCGCCTTCACAACCCCAGCGGACGGCACACGGTATGCAGCGCATGCATCTCCAAATAACAAGAGATGATCCATGGAGAAATAAGCACGGCTGCGGGGGGGGGGGGGCACTTTAAAGAATATTCAAACACAACTCACCAGCTCTGACATCTTACTGATCAAGCCCTCTTCCTGGAAACACAGGGCTGTCATTTCATCCAGCTGTTCCTGATGGATTTGGAGCACAAACTGCCTATTGGGCACAATTAAAAATAAAAACCCTGGTAATAAAATCTTCAGTGTTGCCTCGCTGCAACTGTCAACTCTCAGATTTGGCCTGCGAAAGCTAAACCAGCTCGCCAGGCCCATTCTGGAGCCATCCTGACAAACCTTTTTCTGGAAAAGGGGAAAGCTGAGGATAGACAGTATGTAGCCTTTATTTAGTGTTTGAGCATTCAGAGCACGTCACTCCCATTCTCAGTAATTCTGACAGCCACCCAGAGTCTAATTGTCCCTACGCTGCAAATGACAGGTTGAGAGACCATGGTTTGCCTAATGCTGCCTGCAAGGTTTGAAGTGGGAGCTTCTCCACAGCTCACTCATATTTTCATAGTTGTTGCACTAGAAACACGGGGTTGTTGCTACAGAAATGGCCGTGGGTTTTGCTCTCTGCAAAGGACATAGCCCTCTGATCTACCCAGTGGCTAGGATGTTTTTCTACCAGCTGCCAACCACTGTAAATGGGGAGTGGGGTGGGGGATAGAATCCAGAAAACTCACCTTCCTAAAGCTTCCTTATACTGGAGTGAGCTTGGAGATAAATCCTGTGGGCTAGAAGAATTCAATGTGTTCTTGGAAGACCTGGTGTTCACCTCCTTGGAGACAACCCCTGAATCCTGTTCTGCATCGTCTGAAGGTGTGTGCATAAACACATTCTGAGAAAAGTCGTTCTTAAGAAGCCCCATTTCGTCACTGCTGAACGTCAATTTGAATGCTTCCTGCAAATGGCCAAGTTCCAGTTTCCCAAATGCCAAGCTGGGCTGCGGTGTGATGCTCTCCCCAGCGAATTCCTTCTTCCCTGAATCATTAGAGATGGAGAGTGCCTTTGAAATGGAGGTTTTCCTCCCTGTATCGGTATGTTTGAGCTGTGTCATGGACTTGGAGCCATCCTCTTCCCCCAGGCTGAATTGCCCTGAACAGCTCAACGAGGCAATCATGGTTGCTTCGGTGTCTGCATCATACTGTGGGCTGGTCACATACTCACTGACCTGCAGGTTACTAAGGAGCAGGCTGCCCCCGCTGTCTCTGTGTGGGGAGAGGAGATCCACCAGGCCTCCATCTCTGGGCGAGTATCCACAAATACAACCATACAGTTCACTCAAGCCCAAGGGAGAAGAAACCTTTGGGCTCTGACAAGGCTGCGAAAGCCACTCAGTCTTGGCTTGCGGCGAAAGCACCAAGCCAACGTTTCTCCTCCAATTACCTGTTTCATATAGACTGGGCGCAGGGGATGCTTTTTCCCCATGAAGGTGCCTGGTGCCCTCATCCAGTCGCTTTCTGGGGCCAAAGGGTTTCTTTTCGACCATCTCCTCCTGTGGAGCCTTTCCTTGCTGCTGGTGGGAAGGGTTGTCTTCTGGATTGCGTGTTGTCAAAGCATTGAGAAGGGTTACAGCCAAAGGGGTCATCTCTCTAGCAGCAACATCCACTGAAAAATCCAGAGTCCCACAAAGGCCTGTTCCTGTTTGGAGATGCTGTTTTCCTGTGGTTCCTGAAAAAGGACCATCTTTCCCTTTGAAAGAGTCTTCCATCAAGCCGCCTACATCACAGCTTGGGGATCCCAAGGTATGGGCCGAAGGTGGGCTTTGCATTGCCTTTTCTGGCCCAGGGAATTGTTCATCAGGGCAGCTTAGAGGTAGATCTGTGCATCTGAGCTCTTTTTGCCCCAGAAGCGATTCTTCGGTGCTTAGCCTGTCGCACACAGTGTTGTCTTGCGAGCAGTAAGGCTTCTCTGGCACGTCATTCTTTGGAGAATTGCCTGCCGAGGTGTCCTCTGTGCTCCAGTCCAGCAGACTGCTGTTGCCTTCCTCGCAGCTCATGCAGGCCTCCTCCGCCCCCGGCAAGGCTGTGCCTTTACTCTCAAGCTTGCACGGTTTGAAAAGCAGGTCTTGCCCGCCCTGGACTTCCTGCCCTTCAGCGCATTCTCTCTGATGAAGGAAAAACGAACCCCCCTGGCTGCATTCCCTTCCAGCTTCTGCTTCTGGCTTCCTCCGGCTGGGACCGACGGAGAAGGAATCCTCGCTGAAGTCGCTGTCCTCCAGGTCCTCCAGCTGCATTGTCTCGTCCCGGCACTGGGGAGGAGATGCCAGAGCCTGGCAAGGGGGCTCCTGCTTCACCCGGATCTCCTGAGGCATGTACTGGGCCAGGAACTTCTCCAGGGGTTGGTAGTTCAGCTTCTGCTGCAGAATAGGAGGCTGCTGGAACTGCTGGTGGTAAAGGCGGAGGTGTTGCTCCCGGTCTTTCTGGTGGGGCGGGAGCCTTGTCCATGCTGCAGTGCACTGCTCTGCAAACACTCTCCCGCCTTCCTCTGTGCGGAAGGATGGTTGGTCCGTGTCAGCAAAGGAAAAATCAGCTCTGGAAATGAGCTGTTTCTGCACAGGTTGGGCTTTCAGGCACTTGGCTCGAGGTCTGTCTGCTTGGCCGCTTTCTCTCCTGGACCCAAAGTCCTTCCCAACGAGGCTGTTCCCAGGATGCAGCAGTGAGTCTTCCGTTGTCTTTTTGGCCGCTGGTCCTGCCCTCGGAACGCCTTTAACTGGGCTGGTGCGGCCGAGCCACAGGGCACCAAAATGACCTTTGCGGGCCTGTCCTTTCGGGGTGGAAGAGAAAGGAGGGTGCAGCGGGTGAAACCCCAAAGGTGAAGCCTTCGCCTTGGAAGCTGTAGGTGTTGGGGGCTGCTGCAACCCCAGCTTCACTTTCTTAGGAGAGCTCTTTTCCCCGCCTTGCACGCAAAGAGAACTCTGAATGCGTTTGGGAGATACGCTGCCTGGCGTTCGCCGTCGCTGTGCAACAGGTGTACAAAATTTCATCCCTCTCTTCAACTCTTTCACCCTGGGAATGAAAAGATGGACATTAGGGAAAGAAAGGCTTTCAAGCCCAGATTTTATTATCACATAACGCCTAGAATGTCTCTAGTATTTACAAGTGTTCAGGGCCCTTCCGATACATTATCTCCTTGCAGGCCTTACAGCAACCATGCAATAAAGATCATAGCCCTCTCAGCACAGCCACTTGCTCAGTTCTGAACTGGAGCCTCCCCAATTTGTAGTGGAGCCCATTAGCCACAGTACCAGATGAGCTCTTTCATAGAATCATATCGAGTTGGAAGAGACCACAAGGGCCATCGAGTCCAACCCCCTGCCAAGCAGGAAACACCATCAGAGCACTCCTGACATATGGTTGTCTGTGGGCATATGGTTTCTGTGGGCAGTTTTAAGGAATACTTATCCTGCTGCAGTTCCATCAGAACCAATGGCTCTACGCTGGCAGGAAGGATTTCCACAAATCTTTCATATCAAGATACACGAAGGTGGAACCCAAATGCCCTTATTTAGTTTCTGCCCGATTTCTTCATCCGCTTATGAAACACATCTTCCGAGTTTCTTTCTTAGGGAGCTCTTCACAGGACAGAGAAAGAGTAGCGGGACCCGATATGGGGTAGAAGGGGGGATACTTTGCCAGGGGCTGGGGGTCTAGTCAGTGGGAGAGGGTCTCTTTGGTGGCAAGTCAGGGGGACAGGACAAATGAGACATAAGTTAGCAGTTGTGCTTGAGGATATTGATGCAAGCTTTATTCCCTTCATTTGTGTCCATTTCAGATGTTCAGATCTTGTAAGATCTGAGGCTGAGCAGAAACAGCAATCTTAATCTATACTGGTCCAGGCCCTCTGCTAGAGCAGGTCAAAAGCACATAGGAGAGGATTTCCATAGGTTTGGGGGTGAGGTAAAGTCACCCCTAATTGGACTCCCACACATTGGGGCTTGCAGGGGAAACGGAGATGTTGTCTTTGGTTGGGGAACAGATGCAGAGAGGAGGTAACAAGACTGACTCGCTAGGCACTTTCCACCTCGCTCCTGTCAAAAGTTATATCAGGGAGAATCTGCATATGCTTTGGGAAAATAGGAATCTGGGTGTGTGGTGAAGTTGTTTTAAAAAATAAATGCTGCTTCCCTCTGTTCCCAACTCTTCACTTGCCCTGAATATTGCCTCTCTTTGGGTCCTTTTGCTTCCTTCCCAGGTTCCAGTTCCCAGTTTTTGCTATGTGTTCCAAAGCCCTCTTAATTCACCAACCAACTCTTCTCTTTAAAATTCTTCAAGATCTAAGCTGCAACAAAGCTTTTCCTGAATTCACCCAATTCTACTGCCACTAGATCCCCACTGCTGACTGCACCTCATGTAAACCAGCCCCTTGCTACAGATTGTACCACTTCATTATTATTATTATTTTTGGGGGTGTTGTCTTCTTTCTTTGGTGATCACTCGTAGCCGAGTAAGATGGTTTTCCATGAAAATAGTCTAAACAGTGAGTCCGTAAGTGACTGTGGAGACCAGTGATCACAGTGAGGGTTTGCCAAACATGCCTTCCTCTTAGCACGTTCCTCCTTTTCATCCTGAGTTCGTGCTTCTTCAAAGTCCACAACACCTTTGGTAAAGGCTGTTCTCCAGTTGGAGCGCTCACAGGCCAGTGTTTCCCAATTATCAGTGTTGATGTTACATTTTTTTAGATTTGCCTTGGGAACATCTTTAAACTTATTTTGTTGTCCACTGGTATTTCACTTTCTATTCTTAAGTTGGGAATAGAGTAGTTGCTTTGGAAGACAATAATCAGGCATCCAAACAACATGATCTGTCCAACAAAGCTAATGTTGAAGAATCATTGCTTCAACACTGGTGATCTTTGCTTCTTCCAGTACACTGACATTTGTTCGCCTGTCTTCCCAAATGATGTGTAAAATTTTTCATAGACACTGTTGATGGAATCTTTCAAGGAGTTAAAGATGGCCTTTATAAGTGGTCCATGTTTCACAAGCATATCGTAAGGTTGGTAGTACAATAGCTTTGTAAACAAGCGTTTTGGTTTCCCTGCGAATGTCCCCGTCCTCAAACACTCTGCACTTCAATCTGGAGAAAGCTGCACTAGCAGAGCTCAGGCGATGCTGGATTTTGGATCAATGTCAGCCGTTGTGGAAATATAACTGCCCAGGTAGGTAAAGTGGTTGACATTTTCTAACGTTACACCATTAAGTTGGATTTGTGTTTCTTTGTATAGCAACCAGCACACTGTCTTTTGTCAACATAGGATTCTTCAGCTTTGCCCTCGCTGACACCCATTGCCAGTCTTGGGGGGGGGGGGGAGAGCAGGACGTAGACCTAGACAAGCATCCCCAATAGAATAGTGCCATTCAAGTAGGGACTCTGGAAGATTTCTAATAGTTATAGCTGGGAGGAATGGTGGGGTGCAAATTTAAACAAATGCATATACATTTATAACTATCTGTTAAAATCTCAAGAAATGTCTTTTCACTTGCTTCTTGCAATGGACCAAGCCACAGTTAAGCAAGTTAATTTGGCTAGAAATATTCACTCCACCAGTCATTTTAATCCACTAGCTAAATATAGATTCTAGCATCTAAAACAAGTTCAAGACACCAATAAATATCTGAGCTGCATTTTTGTTTATGTTTCTGGATGGCAGCCCAGCTTTACAGGAGTCTTTATCACTGTGCGATTCTTGGTAATTTCAGTGAAGCTTGCAGTGTAAAAAGTTCCCGATGGAATGTGCCATTCGTCTTGTTTCCCATAAAGAAAAGAAGCTGGCAGCGTAGCTCAGATCATGAACCAAGGCTGCTCATCAGTTTAAACCATGGATTGATGGTAAGGCCAGCAGCTCATTCCTTGGAACTGGAGGGACGGAAGAGCTCAATCTTCAACCCACTCTTGACAAGAAGTGACAGTTAAAGATAGGAACCAGCAACACATCACCTTATAAGTGAAGCTAGGCAACAAAAGGTAATATTTGCCTCACAACTGCACAATTTGGAATCTCACAGGGCCCAGGAGTGATTGCAGTGAGTCCATTTTGGTTCAGTGCCACCACTTACCTGTCTGCATAGCGCAAGGTGTTTAAGGTGTGCTCAGTCGCAATGTGGCTGGGGGAGACATTGGCTATCATGCAGGTCTTGGAATTGCCAACAAAAGAATCCTTCAGGACCTTGAAGGGAGAGGGACGGAAGGCACATCTTAAAGCGCTTTAGCCCAAACACATTTTCAAAGATTGTTGTTACCCACTCTGAACTAAATAAAACGGAACTAAATAAACAATGGTAACTGCTTTTCAAAAGTTTATATGCTTACATCCCACCCTTCCTCCAAGGACCTCAAGGTAGCATACGTTTATCTCCCTTTCCCATATTATTCTCACAGCAACCCTGTGAGGTAGGCTAGGCTGAGAGAACGTGCCATGAAGTGCACCTGAGTCTTAGCCTGATATGTACGCTACGCCTGACCTCAACAGGATGCCTGGGATGTAAGCCAGCCAATCCAAGGTTTCCTCCCGCCATGGAAGTCCAAACTTTCTTGGGAAAACAGTTTAGATGGAATTTATTCCAGATATCCAAGGAAACCACATTGTATTTTGCAACTGTGGGGATCTGAGATTCTGTCAGGGAATGTACAGCATCCTCACAAAACTACAATTCCCAGAGCTCACTGAGGAGGAAAAAGCCATTTGCAAGTTTAAAAACAAAGCAAGTTTAGAGCACAGAATGGTGCTGTTTTCCTGTAACTTAAACCCATTCGTTAATGTTGCTTTTCTTCCCATCGGCAAACCCTGAAGTAACGCTCGTTTAAAGCAGCCTTTGGGGAAAGAGTTCTGGTGTTGACCTGGGCCTTACCTGAGTGAGTTTGCTTTGCCTGAAGGGAGTGTGAGCATGTTCCTGATCCAGGGCGCGGATGCACTCTTTCAGCTAGAGAAAGACAATAACAGGTGGCCTCACACAGTGAGCGAGTATAAAAATGCCAGCACACAGGGTTGTTTTTTTCACAAGACCACACTTTGCTCGTTACTTCCGGGTTTCGCGCTCACGCATGTGCAGACACTCAAAATGACATCTCATGCATGCACGGAAGCAGCGAAACGCCACACGCACAGACACGTGTTACGTTCTACTCAGGATGCGAACGGGGCTCTGGAACGGATCCTGTTTGCATCCAGAGGTACCACTGTATTGGATGGGCCTTTGCAAGCAGAGGGATATTGTCAGTTCCTCCCTGGCTCTACTCAAGATTGCATTGCCTGGAGCAGGCATCAGAGTAGCAATCTTTAGGTTAGTCACCAGTGCTTGGGACCATGGAGCAACCATCTGTTGCTTTCCCCAGTGGTTTTTTTTGGGGGGGCAGCTTATGTTATACGCCCATTGCCCCTAAAAACCAAAGGAAAGAAGGAAGGTTGCAACCTTCCTTTTTCCGTGTTACATGCCTAGAGAGTCTTTCCTTGGCACAAAAAAGCCCACGAATACAGCATTTCAGGATTTATGCTCGCTCTATAGACTATAGACCTCTGTTGGAATGAGGCCACTGCTTCATCTAGCCTAGTTTGGTCTCACTGACAGTGACTCTCTGAGGCAAAGGTTCCCCCCACCCATCTCCTCTTTCAGCAGGTTTATTTGCAGCTTCTAGGGCAAGACCCAGTTCATAATCAGGTTCTGAGTCTTCTTAGAAGGTTCAGGATTGGTCCTTTTGACTATGCAATGCAGCCAATGAGATTTGGTAAAGGGATAACACATTCTGAAGCCAAATCAACGTTAGGGCAATGCATTCTGTCCTCATTCTGGCACCACCTGTCTTATAAAAAAGGGAGAGAGAAAGTACCCAGCAGAAGCAAAGAGCATCACTACTTTATGTCCACGGTGGAGGATTTTTGCAAGCCGAAAACCGGATGTGAAGTTAGTGAGGGCCCGCTGTGGCTCAATCTTAATCGTCTCCTATTCCTGCACCAGCATCCAGATCTGGTACTCCATTAAACACAAGCAGCCCTGCGCAGAGTTCTCATCCCAGAGAAAATTCCATCTTCTAAAAAATCACTGTCAAATATTAGGAACTGTATTGCAAACTGTATTCAAATAATCTCAGAAAAAGCACAATTCACAGCAACTTACAGCCAGAAGACTTTGATTTATTTCTGCACCTTCCATTTTCGTCTGCCGGTCAGAGTCCCTGGCATCCGCAGCTCTCTCGCTGCCAGCCAGGTCAATGAAGGAGATCCTGGAAAACCAAAATCAAAATCAAAAACCAAAATTTTAGCACCACCTTATCCATCTTTTAATTAATTACCGTATTTTTCGCTCCATAAAACGCACCTTTTCCCTCCTAAAAAGTAAGGGGAAATGTGTGTGTGTCTCTTATGGAGCGAATGCAGGCGGGAGGCTCTGCTCAGCGCTCCCTGAGGGTGTGTGCGGCTCTTGGGGGCTTTTCCCCGAGGAGGGAGAAGGGCAGCCCGTCAGTCCCTTCGTGCAGCTCTTTAGAGGGAGCGCGGCTCTTGGGAGCTTTTCTGGGTGGTGGTGGAAGGGACTGACGGGCTGCCCTTCTCCCTCCTCGGGAAAAAGCCCCCGCGGCTCATGAAACGGAGCGCTGAGCAGAGCCTGGGATGCATACAGGTTCTCCTCAGCGCTCCCTTTAAAGAATTTTTTTTTCTTGCATTCCCCCTCTAAAACCTAGGCGTGTCTGATGGAGCGAAAAATTTTGTAGTTCTTCCAGCAGGTCCAGAGTGAGGTTTTATCCTCAACACCTAGAGACGGGCTTGCTCGAAGCCATTTAAGCCAGCTTTTCCACCTTCACTGCTGCTGCCTTTGGGACTCCCTCCTATTGTCACTTAGCGACAGCCATTCCATCAGACTACCTGAGCCATTTCCATCCCCAACCAGTCAACATAAGAACAGTAAGCCCTAAGTGGCTTATGCCCAAGAGAGCCTCCAGCACCAATCTGCCCAGTCAGCAGGATCTACGGTATGGGACCGAACCTTTTCCATGTTCCATCTGTAGCTGGGGGGTGACTACTCAGGAGAACAGAGGTCTTCCTGATGGCTGAACTTAAATGATGGAATACCTTGCCCACCGATCTGCATTCTGCTCCCTTGTTGTTCCTTTCTTTTTTGGCTGGCTGGTTAAAACTTTCCTACTTCGACAAGGAAATTGTCTTGCTAGGCTTAGAAGTAGACCCTCACCACCTCAGAACGTTTATGTTGTTTCATTTCTTTTATGGGATTTTCATTCTTGTTGTAAACCACCTTAAGTGTACACTGGAAGGGTTAAAGGGACCCCTGACCATTAGGTCCAGTCGTGACCGACTCTGGCGTTGCAGTGCTCATCTTGCTTTATTAGCCAAGGGAGCCGGCGTACAGCTTCTGGGTCATGTGGCCAGCATGACTAAGCCACTTCTGGTGAACCAGAGCAGCGCACGGAAATGCCGTTTACCTTCCCGCCGGAGCAGTACCTATTTATCTACTTGCACTTGGAAGTGCTTTTGAACTGCTAGGTTGGCAGGAGCTGGGACCGAGCAACGGGAGCTCACCCCGTCGCGGGGATTCGAACCACCAACCTTCTGATCGGCAAGTCCTAGGCTCTGTGGTTTAACCCACAGCGCCACCCGCAACCCTACAGGAGGGGTTGGGTGTACATTTTTTAACAAGCTCTTCACCAGGAGTTTCCTATGAGCAGAGTACATACACTCTGCACATGGCAGCTGCATTCTGAGAAGAGGCCTGCAAGGCTCATTGCAAGGTCTTGGAGGCAGAATGGAACATTTCCAGCTCTTTACCACTCACCTTCCAAACACTCTGTTTGCTGGGTCCTTAATCTGAATCTGGATAATGGCATGGGAACGGGAGGAATCCGAGTTGACTCCAGTTGCCCCGGTACTGCGCTCTTTTCCTCCTTTCAGAATTACCTGGAATGAAGGAGGAGCAGAACTAAGACTAGGACTCCCCACATAAACCCCACAGTGAAACTGCATACGTACTAGTACAGTGGTACCTCGGGTTAAGAACTGAATTCGTTCTGTAGGTCCGTTCTCAACCTGAAACTGTTCTTAACCTGAGGTACCACTTTAGCTAATGGGGCCTCCCACTGCCGCCACCGCACGATTTCTGTTCTCATCCTGAAGCAAAGTTCTTAACCCGAGGTACTATTTCTGGGTTAGCAAAGTCTGTAACCTGAAGCATCTGTAACCCGAGGTACCACTGTACAGTCCAACCAGCCCCAGATGACTCAAGGGAGACCACGCCACTCATTCAGAGAGAGGCAAAACTCCAGCATCATTGGGCATTTGGGAACTTTATAGTCTTCATATTATATTAATTTGTCTTTTTCTTTTTATACTGTAGGAACACAACATCTACTTATGCCCTCTTTTGTAAATTACTTTATTTTGCTTATTATCTGTTTGATCCTTACTCTTCTTTTTTTGTTGTTGTTTGTTTTGTTATTCCATATTTGAGTTGTTTCATCTAGTGTTTTATGTTTTTACCTTTATATTAAAAAGCCCAATAAAAATTACTTTAAAAAAGAGAAATAGGAAATTCAATGTCCTTGCAACTTAAATGTCTGATGGCAGTTTGATGGCAGGTAATTCACCCCCCTAAATATTTCCTTCCATCATCACCAGCATTACCACAAAACGAGGAGGCAGATATTTAAGCCCAGCAACTTGTGGAGTCCTCATCTCTGCCACAAGGTCCTTTCATATGGCCCATTTATCACTATCTGAAAAAGTCATTGGAAATCCTACCCATGTGCAACAATCACTCACTGGAAATGAGCAAAGCAAAATGTATTTCGTTAAGGCTGGACATAAGCTGGACAGTTTCTCTTCTCACCCCCCTACCCGAAACTATACATTCCAAGCGTGCCAAAGGATTTAGTGAGCCAGAAAGTGAAGAGACACACAATCAGTTCAGTGCACTACGAAAGGACAGCTTGCTCATCTGTCTCCATAGCCAACAGCAAAGAAAATACTGCCAAAGTAAACAGCTGGGCCACTGGTCCCATCACCTCCTGGCAAATAGAAGGGGAAGAAATGGAGGCAGTGAGAGATTTTACTTTCTTGGGTTCCATGATCACTGCAGATGGGGACAGCAGTCATGAAATTAAAAGACGCCTGCTTCTTGGGAGAAAAGCAATGACAAACCTAGACAGCATCTTAAAAAGCAGAGACATCACCTTGCCAACAAAGGTCTGTATAGTTAAAGCTATGGTTTTCCCAGTAGTGATATATGGAAGTGAGAGCTGGACCATAAAGAAGGCTGATCGCCAAAGAATTGATGCTTTTGAATTATGGTACTGGAAGAGACTCTTGAGAGTCCCATGGACTGCAAGAAGATCAAACCGATCCATTCTGAAGGAAATCAGCCCTGAGTGCTCACTGGAAGGGCAGATCCTGAAGCTGAGGCTCCAAGACTTTGGCCACCTCATGAGAATACTCCCTGGAAAAGACCCTGATGCTGGGAAAGATGGAGGGCACAAGGAGAAGGGGATGACGGAGGACGAGATGGTGGGACAGTGTTCTCGAAGCTACCAGCATGAGTTTGACCAAACTGCGGGAGGCAGTGGAAGACAGGAGTGCATGGCATGCTCTGGTCCATGGGGTCACGAAGAATCGGACATGACTAAACAAAACAGCTGGGCAGGAGGGGGGTGGGGGATGCACAGCAATTTCAATTTCTGGTCAATAGAACAAAAGAAGGAATTGGTGCCCAGGGCTGAGACCCTCAGTGTTAAAATTTTGCAATATCGTTTCTACATCTATTGCAATGCCCAAAGTACTTTGAAGCTCCTATCAGCACAAAAATATTGGGGGGGGGTGGGAGGAGGGAGAGAACAACTGTGCGGTTTGAAAGCTGAAAGAACCAAGTTGTGGAAGTTGCTCAGCAATGAAAAGTGTTTGTTGTTAGTTCAAGGCAGGATGGGAGGCACTGCAGAACAGGATGGCCCAAGTAAGTAAATAAAATCCTCAGAACTCTTAACCCCAAAGTGGGGAAAGAAATTCTTTAACGTCATTAACTGGGCTCAGAGATGATGAGACCTAACTTTTGTTTTGGTTCCTTCTAGTACTTTTTTTTCAAGGGAAATCCGTTTTTTAAGAAAACCCGTGAGTCTTAAGAATCTAATGAGGAGAGAGAGAAGAAATAATCTAATGAGAGCCCAGGTATGTCCAGTATTTTCCTTAAGAAAACGCTTAATGAGAACAATTGGCCACATGCACTCTGTACACATCCTGAAACGTCTAATGACCATTACGTGGGGCACAGTGGTATTTCCATGGTACCTGCACCCTCAAAGCTTAATAAAATATGCCCGTCTGGGTGGTCAGAATTACCTCTAGTAGCAGGCTGACGGTGTTCACTTGGACCTCACGCAACCCGACTATCTGCACAATATGCTTACTGTCTTCCCTTGCAAAAAGCCTGGAGAGGAAACCACATAGATTAGTTGCAAAAGTGTTTGGGGAAAGGTTCAACAAATGCCCATTTTTAATTTTCAAAACATGAAATTTACTTTTAACCACTACTTCCAAATAGAGCCGATTACAATAAGCACCCATTAAATAATTCAATGTAACAACAACCAGAAAAACAACAGAGTCCAAGGAAGGGACAGCGGAACAAAACTCAAACTACGGAAGACCATAATGCTAATTTTAACCATAAGCTGGCTCCTCAACAGTCACAGGATGGGTGCCATGTGAGTTCTCTTGGAAATCATGTTTCAGAAACAAGCTGTCATTGCAGGAAATACCCTATTCTAAAAATCTCTGAAGGGGAGGGGCACAAGGAGCCTTGACTGATGTTTGGACAATGATCTCTGTAAACGGACAGGTTCATATGACAGAAGTCATTGTCCTGGGCACAGGACATTTGGATCAGGGATGGGGAATCTGTGGCTCTCCAGATGTTGCTGAACCCCAACTCTATCAATCCCAGGCACAATGGCCGATTGTCAGAAATTATGGGAGTCATAGTCCAGCAGGTTCCCATCAATAACCTGGCCGTGATACTCCAAACCAGCTCCAGTTTCCAAGTAATCTTGAAAAGCGGAACCATGTTACCAAGTCCATCTCTTTCCAAGAAATGTTGCAGCCATTGCACCAAAGTTGGTTAAAAGGTGCTTCATGCCACAGGCATCACTGTTCTATACACAATCAAAGAGAGCCAGTGCGGTCTAGTGATCAGTGTTGGACCTGGGAGACCAGGGTTCAAATCCCCACTCAGCCATTAAGCTCCCTGGGTGACCCTAGGCCTGTCACTCACTCGCAGCCTGATCTACCCCACAGGGTTTTCGTGGGGATAAAGCAGGGAGGAGGGGAACATCACCTTGAGCTCATTGAAGGAAAAGTGGGATATAAATGCAATCAGTCAAGGCTGGATCTAACTGCAGGCTTTGAACTTGTCCCTCCATGAGTGCAACGCCATCAGTCACAGGATGAATACTTCCTTCCTGGCCAGCTGAGGCACCCACCAGCAGCACCTCCACCTTGCCTGGGTTGAGCTTCCATTTATTAGCTCTCACCCAACCCCTGACTAACTCCAGAAACTTGGGGCATCCCCTGACACACTCAAATTAGACGAACACAAGAGCTGAGCGTCATCAGCATGCCGATAATTAAGATCCCAGCAAGATCGGACCAAAAGCCTATCTAGAGCAACATCCTGCTTCCTCAAGTGGCCTCAGCCAAAATTTATTGATGACCTCACTCACTGGTTGAAAAGCATGACCAAAGGACAGGAAGACACACAGCACCTGATCCAGCAACCCTTATGTGGAAATGGATCCCACCATGAACAATGGAAGGTAAGGCTCCACAATTTCACATCCGCATCCTCACCCAACCCTGCCAACAGTGGGATAGCACCAGCTGCCCTTGAAAGACACAGCCATTCACGGGAAATTGGTTTTATTTCAATGCACAGTCCACCCCATTCTGAAGCAGAATTGATAGCTGAAACTTCCCAGCGGGAGCTCCTCATTTCATTTCACACTTGAAATCGCAGGGGCAGCAGACACTGCTGAGTGTATCAGGTAGAACAATCAGGAGTGGGGGAATTAATTTATGTTGATATTTAAATTGTCATCTGCCTGTTGCAGAATTAATAACCCAGAGAGATGATTAAGTGTTTGCAGTCCTCCGTCCCCACAGAGCCCCCACGAAACAGCGCTCTCGCCACCTCTCCGCTAGAAAGCACTCCCTGTGCCATGCAAACATCAACACATCCCTCAGGTCACCCTGTCAAAGGAAGGACAAAAGCTGACATGACTGAGCCACACGGGAGACGTCTCCATTCTGGAATTTGAATCTGGAATTCAACCCTGCTGTGTAGCCCTGGCAACAGAAGGAGGAGTAGATACTTCTCTGGGGGCAGATTTGGCTCTGGGCATCTAGCTACCAACTCCTAAACTGCACACTTGTGAAACTACAAAATCAAAGCCTCCCTCCTCTTTTAGGCTGACTGAGCAAGCTGCACAGCTCTTGGGACAGGACTTTATTGTGCATCCCTTCACTAAAAAAACAACAATAACCCACTTGTCCCCAGATTTCTCTGTTCCAAGCAACTCTAATTCTGTTCAGCTATATCTGATTAACGGCCTTGGTTTCAAAAGCTGTACTCTCGGATTTTAAGCACCTCTTCCTTCCATTTAGCAGGTCATAAAGCTGTCCACAGTAGATCTCATAAAAGCTGATCCAGACGTGGAGGTCTTTTCTAGTCTGAGATGCTTCCAATTGCCTGAAGATATCGTTAGCAGCCAGGGCGTAGAGTCCTGGGTTTTGGTGAGTGCCAATCATAGTATAGGTCTTGCCAGCACCCGTCTGCCCATATGCAAAGCAGGTGGCGTTGCCGCTGTAACAAAAGAAAGAGAAGCATCTTTTAATATAACAGCTTCTATTAGCGTGTAAAAGACTATGGTAAAACACAGACACTGAATGCTTGCCCAAAACTACTTCTGTGGGATAATCAAATGTGGAGATATGGAAGCAGCCTCCAAGAGATCTCCTGATGTCCTCTCACATCCTGTTTAGATCTGTTGCACATAAGACATTCTCAAAAGGCTTGACTGTAGAGAAGGCAACAAAGCATATGGAAGAGGCATCAGTGGGGAACATCATGTACAGAGCTGCTACGTGAAGTTCAGTGGCTATACAAGAGAACCACCATAAGCTACAAGAGCTAAGCTTTTCTGCCTTCAATACTAATGCAGTCCTCCCCCTGGCGGGCTAACCGGGGCAAGGATGGCACCCTTTAAAACAGTCCCCTGGACCTGCTTGCCCTTCTTTTGATTCCTATCTTGCACGTTCCACAACACAATGGCTCCATTAGGAGCGGCTGTCACTCCAATAACAACCTTCCCAGCTGCCTCAAAAAGAACTCCTGCGTGATGCCTCTGTGGCTTGGGCGCAGCATGGGGCACTCTCCATTAAGCTGGTGCCATAACTGATTATGTTTACATTATAATGTTGACAAAAATGTGGAGTTTAGTCTTTTGTGATATTCAGCTTGGCCCAATAGTCAGTCTAACTAATCAGAACAGCCAGGTGGAAGATGGAGAGAAGGTATTTGGTCTTTTTGCTTCCTTAAATATGAAAGCGTCTTGTGTCTGTGTGTATGTACAGTTGAATGGTAAAATATTTATATAGAAGTTGTGAGCAGTATTACATCTGACCTTTCTCAAGTTACACTCTGATTTAATATGGTTGCATCCTAAAAGTACCTTCATCTAGTTGACTTTGTCCCAAAAGTCACAAGGCTGAAAACAAAATGTAATTGTACTGGTGGGTTTTCCTTATGTAGCTGAATACCAGTTGTTGTTTTAAGTAGCAATATGAAAGATGCAAGGAGAGGGGACTACACTAAATTGGTATAGTTAAAGAAGCAGAGACCAATGGTACAAGACAATGACCTTGCAATAAATATTTCTTCTACTTACACCAAAGGAGATCGTCTCTGAAGTACCTTTATTTTATTTTGCAGTGCAATGCAGAGCAGCAGAAATCCAGATTTCAATCCCTGCTTAGTCATAATGGAGCCTTGCAAATCGGCACCATCAGTAGGGCACCATTTTTAATGTCCCTGGCCCAGCTTATCTATTGTAATCCACCCTGAACATTTGGGATATGGCAGGAAAGAAATTTTACGTGTGCCCCAGGTGCAATCCACAAACTGCTTATAACCCAGGTAGTATTACTCAAATCTCTGCTGACTTCTCTGGCATCAAAAATTAGTGGGCAGCGCCTCCAGCAGATGACACTCAAGTCTGACACTCCATACTGAGACTTATTTTGAAACAGCATCTGAAATCCTGAATGGCCACAAGAGGCTGCTCTTTTTCTAGCTGAGTGAGGTGGCATTAAAAGAAGCAAGCCTTAGTTTAACAAACAAATTGGGACCATCAGCACTGGTTTTCCAGCCCATGAGCTGATTTGATTCACAATAAAGCAGCAGTAACAACAACCACAAGCAGCTACTGGAATCTCTCAAAAGCAGAGTGGGTATAGCCCATGAAAGTTCAGGCCATGATACAGAAAGGTAAAGGTAAAGGTACCCCTGACTGTTAAATCCAGTCGCAGACGACTCTGGGGTTGCACGCTCATCTCGGCCAAGGGAGCCGGCGTTTGTCCGCAGACAGCTTCCGGGTCATGTGGCCAGCATGACTAAGCCGCTTCTGACGAAACCAGAGCAGCGCACAGAAACGTCGTTTACCTTCCCAGCGGAGCGGTACCTATTTATCTACTTGCACTTGACGTGCTTTTGAACTGCTAGGTGGGCAGGAGCAGGGACCGAGCAACGGGAGCTCACCCCGTCGCGGGGATTCGAACCGCCGACCTTCTGATCGGCAAGCCCTAGGCTCTGTGGTTTAGACCACAGCATCACCCGTGTCCCTTGACACTTACATTAGTGTTTAAAGCACCTTGGGACCCTGCTTTTTTTTTAACTATTAAAATAAAAAAATTCTGATCGTTCATTGTTACAGAAGTAAATACAAGTCACCATTACTTTTCAAAAGCTACACATTTCCCTAGTGTGGTTGAGAACACTGGTGGGGAGGTGACACTCCTCCTAAGTCATGTGCCTGCTGCAGTGCTCCAAGATTTCTATACCGCCCTTCATCCAAGGAGCACAGCGTGGTTTACAATATAAAAACACAAAAATATGTAACATGGTAATGCAGAAGATCTGCGCTGCCAGCCTGAAAATCAACCACCAACCCCATTATACTTTTGTGTGCTTATGCAGTTCCCCTTCATTCTGTGGGGCTTTGGCATGATGCTATTTTGGGTTTTATTGTTATTTACATTGTTAAGGAGATTTCTATTCCCCCCCCACATGAAACACTTCATATGGGACTATCCTTGAAAGGGTGTTAAGAAGCAGCCCCTGGACTAGAATTGGTGCCTAGCTACTGGCTGCAAACAGTCACAGGATGTAAGAACATTCATAATGAAGAAGCACGGCTGGTTGCTGGTTGGTTTCCAGGCTCCATTCAAAGTACCAGTTTTGACCTTTAAAGTCCTAAGTCGTCCAGTGGAAAGCTTGCTTCTGCAGCTGCCAATGCAAACCCCACGTCAGACCCCCTTTACCACTGAATATCTGCTAGAATGGCATACCTTAGGTAATACTTTCCTAAATGGGTGCCCATCACAGCAATTCCATGGAAGTCTTCAAGACACCTATGAAAATGTTCTGGCTTTGGGGTTACGATGGTGGGAACAACTGAGTTATGCTACGCCTGTTGCTGATTTTATACCGGATGCCCTTTTTTACTACACATTTTGTTTTTCTTATTTGTTTTATGATTATTATATTTGATTATTCACCTTTTAAATTGTGAGCTACCTTGTCAAGTGGCAGGATATAAATCTAAATAAATAAAAAGGAAAACAATTTTTACTTTCCTTCTCTTATCTGCTCATTTATTTTAAAATGACACATAATTCAGATATGATAGTGTGTGTGTGTGTGTGTGTGTGTGTGTGTGTGTACCATCACCAAAAGAAAAACAGAGGAAGAAAGGTGAGCACCATGAAAACTTCAATAAACTTCTATAAACAACGAAAATGTTCATAGGCACAGAGAGGGAAAGGATACAACAACACCCTACCCATTGAAAATGTGTTGAATGAGGGGGTGGGCAGTCTTCATGTACACATCCTGGTTGGAACAGGCCTCCCCAAAGACTTCATCAAAGTAAAACACATGCTGCAAAAAGAAAAGGGATATTTACACAAAAAGGAATTCCACTCCTTTCACCCACCCATGATGATAAGATACACAGCTGTGGATGTGAATCCCATTCAGAGTGAAACCAGGAAGCTCAGACCCCGCATAGCCAAATTCAGACATCATGCAATCACCATCAGCCAGAGCAAACTAATGGATTCAGCAACTGTACCAAGCAAGTGTCTCTGGAAACAAAGCTGTGAGCAGAGCTAAAATAAGAAAGGGAAGAGGGAGGGAGGGAGGCAGAAGAGAATACTTCATCTTGCCTTAAGCGAACAGGTATGCAATGATAACATGGAATGATGCAAAATAAAAGTTAAGGCCCAAAATCAAGCCGTGGATTCTTGCTGCTGAAAAGGAACTTCCACTACCAAATTCTGATGTATTTTTGAGGCAAAGGAAACTAGAAACCTAGAAAGACATTTCTAGGAAATCCTCATTTCACAATTTCAGAAGTAAAACTTCCTGCACTTAAGGCGAATTCTTCCTCTTAAGCTGTTTGTGTCAGTAGGCACAATCTATGAGGACTTTATTTATTATTTGGCAAGAGCTCCACTGAACTGAAGCACCGGGGGGAGGAGGGGCATGTGTGTACATAACATGCTGCTCTGCAGACTGGTTACCTTCCTGCTGCTGTCAATCGGAATGAGAATTTGATCTAGGCAGCAGAAGGTACCTGGGACCAAGAGAGAGAAAAGATGCAAGACTATTAGCTGAAAAATCATTAACCACAGAGGGGAAGGAGGGCAGAGGAAGAGAGAGCATAGATCATTCAGCGAGAACTGGAGCACTGAAGGCCTGTGAGAACCTTGCTCTCTAGTACAATGGAAACCGGGGGAAAGGGAATTCACTAGGCTGGCAGCCCAGTTCTGTTGCCTTTGTTAAGCACAGGCGCCTCGGGCAGTAATTACAATATGCTCACTTTCCAACAGAAAAGAGAGAAGACAATGCAAGGAAGAACATTTAATCGTTAGAAATACCCATTTCTCTTTTTGGTGGGAGAGTGTAAATCAGAGGCAAGTCCAACAAAATTACAGAAAACTTTCAAGCAAGAGATATTGTATGTTTATCACAGTCTAGATAAGTAAAAGTTTGGATCATGTCATCCTTATAGCACCATTTGTAATGTTATTTGGGGAGTGTTCCAGTACTGGTCTGAGATGCCTCCCCTCGCCACCCGCCAATCACAGGTTGTGGCTCATATGTGGCAGGAATATCTCCCTAGAGCACAATATGGCATCTGGAATATGGTCTTCTACTGTACCATAGGCATTCACACCAGAATGATTCGTGAAACACTGTCGTGCAATATGAGAATATAATACAGCAGCACTTAATTATTATGCAATCATTTTCTGGTAATGTCAAATTCCCTGCTGCTATAAATGTAATAGATATCTAAAAGGTAAAGGTAAAGTACCCCTGGATGGTTAAGTCCAGTCAAAGGCGACTATGGGGTGTGGTGCTTTTCAGGCCGAGGGAGATAGCGTTTGTCCACAGACAGCTTTCCAGGTCATGTGGCCTGCATTACTAAACTGCTACTGGTGCACGGAGGACCATGACGAGTGCCAGAGTGCACGGAAACACCATTTACCTTCCTGCTGCGGCAGTACCTATTTATCTACTTGCACTGGTATGCTTTCAAACTGCTAGGTTGGCAGAAGCTGGGACAGAGCAATGGGAGCTCACCCCGTCGTGCGGATTCGAACTGCTGACCTTCCGATGGGCAAGCCCAAGAGGCTCAGTGGTTTAGACCACAGTGTCACTCACGTCCCAAAATATCTAAAATAAACAAAGAGTATAGGGGTCCATGGACCTTGGAGGACATCTGCCTTTTGTTGGCCTACAATACACTATAGCATTCTCCTACAGACTGCAGTACTGTTGCAATGCTCCTTGCTTGCTGTCACTGCTGCAACTACGCTTGCTCCCTTTCAGCTTCCAGGGGCAAATCAAGGTGTTGGCTTCAACTTTCAAATTCTTATTTCCTAGGCCCAAGGACAGTGTCATCCATTAAGATAAGACCCCAGGGACTAAAGCAGTCATTCAGATTTCTGGTGGAGATCCTTCTCCACCTGTCGGCAAGCCACTGCAAAAGCACAAAGATGCCCTCTCTCACAAGCAGCTTCCTCTCTCACCTTTCCTGTCTCTAAAGCCTTATCCACTGGGCCTATGGAAGTCCACGCAAAAGTTCTCATTTTCAAAAAAGGGCTTAATATTCAGGGGATAAGGTGTTGATGAATATTCTGGATTTAACCGTTTTTACTGTTTCGTTTGCTCAGATTTATTTTATTTTTTACAAAATTTTAAGAATACAGATTAGTACTCCAAGTTCTGCTGTGGGAAGTTGTTGTTTTATCTCCTCTTTGATTGTAAATAGATCAGTTTGATACCATTACTTGAACACTTTAAGACATGATACAAGACGAAAGGAGCCAAAATACTGCAACCTGCAAAATGTACTGGCTGAGGTCAACAGCCTCCTTCTTCTCATGGAGCAGGAGGGTTTCTTTATCTTCTACTGTGATGATATTCACTTCCCCACGCCTCTCTTCTCTTAAGCCAAGGGGACGCTTTCGGACGCACACACGGATCTTGTCAGTCTCAGTCCACGGGGTCTCCTTCTCAGAAGCATTAGGTCTGCGAAACACAGGATGTCAAAAATGCTAAATTTGCAATTTCAAAGTCAGCCCACACTATAGAAATTTATACGTGCAAAATTAATTGTATGCACAATGTATTCCTAAAAGAGTATGTAGGATAATTGGTTGCAGAATTTTATTTTATTTTGTAACTTTTAACTTCCCCCACATGTATGAAGGAGAAAATTACATTGTTCCATGTAAAGGAATACAGATAAATGGTTATTACCTGGTACAAGAATGAGGCACTCCATAATTATAACCTGAAATATGAGCTACTCTTTGTACAATGGGGGCTTCAGCATCCCCTAGGAGAGGAGCAATATCGTTAGATGAACTGATAGCTGGAATGCCCAGTTTATGTTCTGTCCATGTTGCAGCAGCATTCAAAGAGTCTTTCCTAGGTCTTTTGTATTCAGCTTCGTGGCTCAACACTGCAGCTAAATCATCTTTATCTTCATTTACAGAGCAATTGGATAAGGCACTCAATTCAGGCTCAAGCTGTTTTCTCCCTCCATCTCTTTCCTCTGAGAGGGAATCAAAGTGCAGTTGTCTTCGAGGGCCACATCTCGTTGCCTGAGGCCGGAGGTAGAGAGCACCTGTCTGAAAATGCTGTTTCTTCCTCATTGCTTCCTCTTCTGCCTGCAACATTTTGATTATTCGAATGAGCTGGAAGAGGCGCTTGCGGTCCTTCATGTTATGCACCCCCAGCTTGGTGTAATCTTTCATGGAGACCTTGGCAAGTTCATCAATCCTCTGAAAGCCAAGGGCACTAAAATGGGGAAAGTATTTCTCAAGCTCTGCTTCACAAAGGCAATCGTATAGACAGGAGGCCATCTTCTATTCAAGGTCTGCTAAATAAAGCAAAAAAGACAAAGCGAAACATGTCTGTATGAAACAGTAGCTTTTTTTAAAACATGGAAACTATCCATTAAGGGCAGCTGCAACAGAGCATCTGCTTCATGCTAAAGGGCTCACTGGGAACAGGGCAAAGATCCTGCAAAAAATGAATCAGGGTCTTGGAGCAGCAGCAGTGCTTACATGGCAGAGTTTATTGGTGGATAGTACCTCACCATTCAAAGTTTTATTCATATTTAAATTATTTCTAGACATGAAAATAAGACTGCCATTAGTACCAGCGGAAAAGGAAAACCCAAGTTCAGATCCCCATTCATCTGTGAAGCTGCCATTTCAGTAATCCTTACATCAACTCTGTCAAGTAGGCCAGTAATATTACTATCCTATTACAGGGAGGGAGCTGAAGAACAGTGGCTTAGCGAAACTCCCCAGTGAGCGAACAGCTGACGAGATTGGAAACAGAAGCCTTCTGGCTTGCATCTCATTTCCCTTTAGAAATGTGCACCTGCCAACGGGACAACAATTTGTGGTTCCAACAAAGTGGCCTCTACTCCACAAAAGCCGACACCACTGATATCTAGGAATCTACCTTATTCTAAGTGAGACTGCTAGTTCTAGTTCAGTATTGTCTGTACACTGACTGGGAGCAGGAGACATTCCCAGCCCTAACTGGAGGTGCCAGTAGCTCTGTTACTAAGCTACTGACACTTCCCATAAAAATTAGCGTATAAGGTCCCACAAGACTCTTTGCCATCTTACTCCAGCCCACTAAACATCAGCAGACACTCTGGAAATGGTACTGAACTGGCTACTTCAGTACATTTAACACATTAGGAATTACTAGGTTTGTTTCTGTTTGTTGTAAATGGGTTTGGTTCCCCTTTTTATTCTGATTGCTTATTAATTTTTAGATTTTTAATTGTTTTGTTGTTATTGCTGGATTACTGTTTTACCATATTATGATTTTTGTGTGTGCTTTGAGTAATTTAAAATAACAAATCAAAGGAAAATAAATCATTTTCTGGAGCTAAATAATACAGAAAACAGAGAAAGGAAACTCTGGATATCCAGGTATATCAGTGCTTTCATCAAAAGGTATTCAGCAATGCTTCTCATTGTGCTCACCTTGTCACTCTGACAAAATTAACAAACAAGTGACTTTAAAATCACAGCTGTAGAATACGAGTTTATGAGGAGAATGGAATCCTGAAGCCCCAAATCTACCCATTAAACTTATGAACCTAAGGCAGAACAGTGCCTACTTCAAACACAAATTGTATCATAATAAATATTGCTTCTTTTTCTCCAGTGAACTGATAAGTAGATCTTCTTAAATTGTGACCCTCATTCAGGAGCCTTAAAAAGCACCTCTAATGCAGTATTGCAGTGTGTAAATGGAATCAGTCAATTAATCAAGTCAGACAGTTAGTCATACACAAATATTCACAGTATACGATAACACTACACTGAGAAGCACATACTAGAACGTGCAATCACTTACTTGTGTCTCCCGGCTTCTTACACTTGCAAAGTATCTACAACTAATGCTACAAGCTGCAGAGATTGACTCTACCAGCTACAGAAAGCGATGTGCCTAAATTTAGATGTGCCTCTTCCAGGCCAACCATGTGTCCCAAAGGCTCCCCACAGCTAATGATCAAAAGGCAGTGAAATGGATATGGACAAATTCAAAAGGTCATCATGTCACAAAGACAAAGGGGTGCCTGCATGTATTAATATATATAAGAGGTTCTGCTCCAATCTTAAGTGTGCTACTGCTGCTCTGGAAATCAAATAGTTTCACTCCAACCTAAGTGTATTTAAGATGAGCAACTATACACAATTTCAAGTTTATATTTCCTTTTTTTATTGCGCACCATTTGATTATTATTATTGAGAAAATCTTACAATCTTGATGCACTAAATAGGATTTTATTCATATTCATATTCACATTCAAGCTAATGACACTTCCCTCTACCTACATCCAGGATGCATTCTTATAAAATTATTTGATAGCAACTCACAAATCCCCAAACAAAACTTCCATTTGTTTCTTGGTGGAATTTCCCTTTTGATCAAACAAATGCTGAAAGCTTCATACGTGCTTTGTCAACCGATTATGATCTCAGTCACCAGCAATTCAGTGTTAAAGAAAGAAGACTTGCTGGAAGGAAAGCAAATTGTTAGCTGAATCTACTGAAATCAAATGCTCTCTTGTTTATTTAAAATATTTTCAGGTCACCTTTCAGAGCAATCATTTTGAAGGCTTTTGGGGGGCAATTTTTACAATCAAGTGGTATATAAATTTTGTGCAATAAATAAAAAAAAAAGCCTCCTCAACGTGGGTTACAAGATAAAACAGAATACAGCAAAACGTAATAAAAACAGCAACAATAAACAAAGCAACTAGCCCCAAAATGTCAAAATCCAATAACAAAGTAAGACTGAAGCAATCAAGCCAACAAGCGAACCTGAAAAGGTGCTTCTAATAATATCCTGTTCACTTGGGAGGCCAGAAACATGGGCAAAAGGATGATTAAACATTACTGGGGTGGTGGAACAAGTTATGAAGAATGTGGCTAAAACAACCACTGGCTCAACAACGTGTTTTAACTACCCAGAACCATTTGCTACATGGGAGGGATCTCTGGATAATGAGATGCAGAGAGCACTAGCCACATAATTTTTAGTTTGCATTTAGGAGAAATAAAAAATGCTAAGTAAGAAAATTCACCTGATCTACAAGAATACCAATTTTGGACGCACACAGTGGTTTTAAGACCTAGTACTAGGCATACAGAAATCAACGGGATCTGCTTCAAACAAAGCGTAAGAACAGGTTGTAAAAAAGGCTGTAAAAAAACAACCTTTTCCCATTCTCTACATGTTTATTTCACTTATTTATCTTGGTTATGCCCCGGTGCCTCGTGAAATAGACGTTTTAAAATGTTATGCTACATCTAGAAATTCAGCAGTTGAGTTTGAATGATCAAGCCACCACCTACCAGGGACATAGAGAATTAATTCTGAGCTACAAGCAGAATCAGGTCAATTTATTATGCAAAAAGCATGTTTAAGAAGCATTCTACCCTGAAGCCAATGGCAGGATTCCCATTGTTCACAATTCAGCTGGACTGCAGCCCCTGGATTTTGTATTCTAGAGCAGCTAGCCATCATGGGTCAGGTTTACTCCAGCCTATTAATCCAAAGTGTTGCATTTTTATCCCACCCATCCTCCAGGGGCCCCAGAGCATTATACATGGGTCTCCTTCTCCCTCTATTCTATTCTATCTCCCATCTATTCTAACAACTACCCTGTAAGGTAGGCTAGGCACCAGGGCCATTCAGCAAATTTCATGGCAGAAATGAATTACAATTTTTTGCCCAAACACTATCAGTTATACAACAGTAGTTTGAAAACATGGCCTGTGGCCTCATCTGTTTCCTAACTGTTGTAACCCCCACTTAAAAATGCAAAAAGCGTTTCTCAAAAGCAAGTATATATTTCCAGCTACACTGAGGAAAGAACAGGAGTTCTTTAAAATAATAATTGAAAAAAGCTACATTCTTATCTTCAGTGCCACCTGCTGGTACAGAAGGGAAAAGCCACTTATCACATCACGTAAATACATTATTTGTCTACAGACCAGGGTCAGCAAACTTCTTCAGCAGGGGGCCGGTCCACTGTCCCTCAGACCTTGTGGGGGGCCGGACTATATTTTGGGAAAAAATAATAATGAATGAATTCCTATGCCCCACAAATAACCCAGAGATGCATTTTAAATAAAAGCACACATTCTACTCATGTAAAAACACCAGGCAGGTCCCACGAATAACCCAGAGATGCAATTTAAATAAAAGGGCACAGTCTACTCATGTAAAAACACGCTGATTCCCGGACCGTCCACGGGCCAGATTTAGAAGGCGATTGGGCCGCATCCGGCCCCCAGGCCTTAGTTTGCCTACCCATACTATAGACCCATGAGACAATGATATCCACATAAGTACAAAAGAGAGAAAACCTTGGCCTCCAGAAAAAAATCACTTTAAATTTAATAATGCATGCTGAATATCATTTACACCTCCTGCCCTCATACATTTCCCACAGGAAATTCATTCACAGGAATAAATGGCACCAGGGTGAGGATCTGCGTTAGGGCGTGGGGAGGAATTTGCTGCTCAGATTTAAATTTCAGCTTCACAAGGGGCAGCTGTTGCTTTCTATTCTGCTCTATTTTACTCCAGTGCAAAGTGGCCACAGGGCACATAGTGGAACCACAAAGCCAAGCAGATTATCTTTCCTTGTTCAGACACAGTGAAATAGCTCCACCACATCCCCTTCATAAAGGAACTATATTTTGAATCTTCTGGTACTCTTGTCTAAATGACAGATTTGTAGACTGGGAGAGGGGGGAGGAAAAATGCCTGTGTACAAGTGGTATGCATGTGTGTGGACACCACTGGGCACAACCCTGGTTGACAGGAGCAGCCAAGCAGCTCTCCCTATATGATCCTTCCAGCTCTAACCTGGCACCCAACCAAAGAACCCAAGAGGGCATTCCCAACATTAGGGAGCATGACCAGCATTACATTGAAAGGGGTAGCGGAGATATATATTCTGCCTCACCTAATGGTACCCTGATGTACTCAGAGATGGGAGAGGGAAGAGAAAAGCTTATTACCAATACAGTGGTACCTCGGGTTAAGTACAGTGGTGCCTGGCAAGACGAAATTAATTCGTTCTGCGAGTTTTTTCGTCTTGCGAATTTTTCGTCTTGCGAAGCACGGTTTCCCATAGGAATGCATTGAAAATCCAAAAGGAAACAAACTTGCAAGATGTTTTCGTCTTGTGAAGCAAGCCCATAGGGAAATTCGTCTTGCGAAGCAACTCAAAAAACGAAAAACTCTTTCGTCTTGCGAGTTTTTCATCTTGCGAGGCATTCGTCTTGCGAGGTACTACTGTACTTAATTCGTTCCGGAGGTCTGTACTTAACCTGAAACTGTTCTTAACTTGAAGCACCACTTTAGCTAATGGTGCCTCCTGCTGCTGCTCCGCCACCGGAGCACAATTTCTGTTCTCATCCTGAAGCAAAGTTCTTAACCTGAAGCACTATTTCTGGGTTAGCGGAGTCTGTAACCTGAAGCGTACGTAACCCGAGGTACCACTGTACAGTTTTATTGCCCATCTTCAACTGCACAGATGATCATAAACTGCTGCCCCTTGAAAGGTGGCAATGGAATCCACAAAGCAATATTGTTTGCTTACCCCTCCCTTAGCATATCAAATATTTTACACCCTTGGTGTGTGGATGTGTCTGCTTGTGCAAATCATAGCAACCCAGGATCTCTCTAATCCATTCATTTTTCATTTATTTTTAATCTCACAAACTCTAGTCTGTGCCTTTAAGTTCTTCATACTGCCTACATAAATAGTTCTGTAAAACTGAAAATGCTAATAAAAGTTTTATCAAATAAAAATGAAATCACTACCTACTTTGTAACTGTGGCTAAAAGCTAGCCAGTTAGCCTTACTCTTTCTCATCACTAATTTCAAATACAGCAGCCTGATCCATTTTCTGATCATTCTTTCACATTAATTTTAGCCTGATGACCTCAGTGAAAAAGCCTCTGCTCTACAGCCGATGTAGGACAACTGCTGTAGACAACAGCTGTTGTGGTTCCTGGAAACTTCTCATTTTCCTGGTACGTGAATAAAACAAGTCTGAGTTATAGTGGGCAGCTAATCATTTAAAAATTGCACGCGATTCTTTCCTGCAAGGAAAGCTTTCAGAAATCCAAGAATGCTTTCTTCATTATGTTTCTATATAAAAGGAAATCTGTCTTTACACAGTTGAAGCTATTATTGCTTCATTCCCTGTGCTTCAGTTGCCATGTTAATGGTTTCTGTTACATAGCAACCAGCTTCTTCCTTTCGAGTTATAGAAATGATAGGAGGGAGGAAAGCTGCCTATACTTTACTAAGTTCTTGTTTCAGCTCAGGGGGAAAAGACATTCCAAAGCTCTAACAGGGCTTTTAAGCTATGCTGAAATTTGTAGCTCATAACTAATGAACAACAGAGAGGGTACAAGGAACATTCTGCCTTTTACTGAGTTTGCCCACAGACAAAGGCAGCACTGAGTATTCAGCCTGTCGGGCAAGAGGTATGAAGGGCAAGCAAAATCCCCTCAGTGCACAAGTCTCACACAACATCCATTGGGATGAAAGGATTCATCTTATGGTCACTAGGTCCAAATCTCAGCACTGAAGCAGGATCCTCTCAAAGTTTGCCATATTTGTTGGCTGGGGACTCCTACTGCCACTCGCTCGGATCAATGTGGGTCTTCCCAACAATCAAGCTAAGGTGAAGGGAGGCCTGAATGCTTCAGGACAGAGAACGAGTCCTTTTGGCATACAAAAAAGCATCCACTAAAGTAAACCTACTTGGGAGGATGTGTAGCAGTATACTGCTTGGAAGACTGAAGTGATGTGTTACTGTAATGCCAAAGGAAATTTAGAGGAGCACCGGGACACAATGTGAATCCCACCAGTGAACAAAAAGAATGGGGAATTCATTCACCACATACTGACCTTTCCTATTTCATGGAAAACACTGGTGGAGGAGCAGGGCACACCACACTCTGAAGCAGCACAGGGGTGGAGAGATCACTCCCTATCTTTCTCTGGCTTTCTACCAAGGGTGCTATGATCCCACAGATTCTCTCCCTCTTATAGGGCAGCTCAGCACACTACAAAGCACAGCACTGGTGAGACTCCCAGCAAGAAGCAGGAATAGGCTTAGTATGGTATGCCAGTATAGCCAACTGTGCCACACAAAGAATTTGGCACTACAAAGTTTAACGCACATGTGCTTACAGCACTGCTTTCAAGTATCTGCAAGGCCCCTCCCCAAAGGCAGCTGTATTTCAGTAATTCCTGGGCATGTATAAGCACACAGAACCATAAACAGAATGACCCCAGCATAGAATCCACTCTCTATCTTTAGGCTGCAACACAGTACATAAGACTGCAGCCTAGAAGATGCTGAGGAGAAAGACTCAGCCTGTTTGCTTTTCCAAATAGGAATGCATTATCCGATACAAGCTGAGGTTATAAGAAACAATGCCTCAGCCCTGTTCCTTTCCAATTATTGCACAAAGATTGCGTGCTCAAAATGAGGTCAGTCTCATAGAAGCAATGTCCCATCTACGACAAGGCAGCACCTGTTTACCCAGAATTCACGCATCTCCCCCACTAGCCCAATTTGCATAGTTGCAGTTGGTGCTAAGCAGCTGATGCTAGCAGAGCTTTCCCCATGCTAGAACCTTGCTCAGTGTTGAGAAATTCTGGAGGAGAAATGAATTGGGAAGAGACAAGGCAGTTATATCCTGCCGTTTCTCTTAAAGGGTTGGTGAACCTATTGGCCAAGCCACACCCACCACATACGACATCAGGTGTGGGGCAGGTAAAGATGAAGAGTTTGGATTTGATATCCCGCTTTATCACTACCCGAAGGAGTCTCAAAGCGGCTAACATTCTCCTTTCCCTTCCTCCCCCACAACAAACACTCTGTGAGGTGAGTGGGGCTGAGAGACTTCAGAGAAGTGTGACTAGCCCAAGGTCACCCAGCAGCTGTATGTGGAGGAGCGGAGATGCGATCCTGGTTCACGAGATTACGAGTCTACCGCTCTTACCCACTACACCACACCAAGCTGGGCTAAAGGGAATTTGTAGACCTGCGGGCACAGTGCTTTGCAAGCACCAACAACCAGCTGATCAGCAGAGCCTGGTGCTTTACAAACTCTGGTAATCAACTGATTATCTGCACGAGTGAAAACAGGTTACCTGACATCATGGTGACTTTGCCCTGCCGGCCATATTCAGCTCCCTATCCCTGCTCAGGGTGGCAAAAGTGTTTCTCCCACGACTCAAATCCTGCTCTCAACAATGCTGTGTAGGTTAGAGAGGGAGTTGACCAGCTACAAAGTATACTTCATTGGGATCTGAACCTGGGTCTCTGTGACCCCTCTAACCACTCCCCACCACCACAAGGCAGATAATAGCTAAAGACCCAGGCATCATAAGGAGTGCTTTCTCCCACATGAACTTGCCCATGAATATAGGTTATTTAAGACCTTATTTGTATCCAGTAGAAACAGAGGTGACAAAGACAATGATAATGGCAGAGCCTTCTTTGTGGTGATGCTATCAGCTCTGCAATTCTTTCCCCATGGAGATCTGCCAGACAACAAGTTGGATACCTTTTTCTTCTTTTCTTTTTATATTCCCAGGTCTTTCAGAACTGCTGATTTTCATTCTCTTCCAAATTTTGTATTTTTCATACCATCCAGGCCAGACTCCGCTTTCATCGTTATTTCAGATTTTCTGAGTTTATCGCTTTAGGCAAGCTCGGATTTCGCACAAACGGCTGCACAAAATCCTTCCTGAACTGAAGAGCGGGCTGCCAGACTCTAGGAATACAAGGAGACAAAAAACAAAAACAAACCTTAAATCAGGCTTTCACTGAAGATAAACGGCGGCACCAGAGATACGTGCAACGAGCATTACCTGCTGACAATTGATGCCTCCAAAATCTTGCCAAACGTTATGTGAGGGGAAAAGCAAGGCGGCCTGTCAGTCCTTTCAGATCCGAGGTCGGTTCCTCCATGCCCCACTTTAAATTTTTTAAACTGGTTTTAAAACAAGGCCTTTAAATAGTGGCTCAAGGGCCAAGGAAATCCGAAAAGCGTATTATCCTAACAGGGATGTACGAATATGCGGGTTCCGGCAGGTGCAGCGCAAAACCAGCGCCGGCCTCTCCTGACTTTCCTCAGAAACTTCTCACAAGCGGAGGCCCTGAACCGCCGCTAGGCCTCGTGGAGGACGCTCCCGCTTCTAGGAGCCCGTCGCCATGGCAACAGGGCAGAGGTCGGAGCTAGCCGAGTGTGGGGCGGGGAACGGCTGCGGCTACTGGGCCTCTTTCTCCTCCGCCACGGCTCTCCCGCCGCGCGTCTCCCCCCTCCCCAGATTTGTCCGACCCCCGCTAAAGACTCCCTCAGGGTGCGCTGAGAGCGCTCCGTCCGCCCGGCTAGGCCGCGTCTCCATGGCGACGCCGCCAAGCCTACGTTTAAAGACTCGCGCCTATATGTCGCGCCGCAAGACGTCACCTCAAACCGCCCAATAGGACGTTGAGCAAAGGGTGGAGCCTCGCTCTTCGCCAATTGGAGAGGCGACCAAAAAAAGGCGGGAAGCGGGTATCCTAGAGGCGGCACCCCGCTCGCGCGTCAGCATCTATTGGCTGTTCGCGCAGCAGGAGACGGAAGCGGATGCTTCTTTGCTATTCGTCCGGCGCACGTCAATTGCGATAAAAAAAGTCCAATAGTGCTTCGACTTTGACGTATTGCACCGCCTCCCGATTTCTGATTGGATTCTGTGGTCACGGCGGCGGGCGCTGTTGCCAAGGGTCAGCCACGTGACTTCCCCTCTGCCGCTACCCGCGGGTTGTGATTGGGCTGAGGCCGGCGGCGACTGAAAGATTGGCAGGCCTGTCGCCCAATGGGGAAGACCATTTGAGTGCGCGCTCTGGTGAGGGAAATTTCCTTCCCATTCGGGCTGCCTCGAGGCGAGGGAAGCGGTCACGGCTGGGGAAGTTGGAGAAGCTCCAGTCAGCGCTCGCTAGTCCGGCCTGGAAGAGGCCGCGCGCCTGTCCCCGCTCCCCTGAGCTGCTCCTCTTCCTGCTTCACGTAATCAGAATATTCCTTCAATACCTTAAGAAATAATAATAACCTGATTTTTTAAGAATAAACAGTCCTAATAATTCTCCTCACAATCTGGTGAATTAATAGCAATAACTCATCAAGATCTCCTCCTTCATATCTCAATAACAACAGCAGCAGCACTGCATTCTCGTGTTTCATTAGTTTGCAGTTATTCACCTAAAAGTTTGTTATTTGCTCACTATCTTAATAATAATCCTCTAAGGAGGTAATAGAAATCACTGAGTTAAAGTTAACCGAAAGTCCAGAGGTAGCATTATTATCAATTTACGATGGGGTGGAAGGTTCGCAGCCTATGAAGGACTTGCTCACAAATTTATTCTAGCTAGGAAGAGGAAGGGGCAAGCAGAATATAAAATGGAAGAATGGTATAAAGAGGTGTGGGATATAGCTATTAATTATAGCTATTTAATTAATGTGCCATTAAGATAGGGAATATGCAGGAGAAATGGTTTTGAGGAGATATGGAGGGTGTTCATAGAATTTGTACTGTTAAAACAAAAGGGTCAAACCATCGCAAGAGGTGTTGAAATTTTGGGAGGTTGGATAGTTACAATGGAATGGTCTTGGGGGTGGGTTTGTACATTTTTATTCTTATTTATGATTATCAAAATAATCTGGTGCTCTACATAACTTGTTTACTTAGTTACTATTTGCTTCATATCTTAATGACTGCTTTTTTTGCTCCACACAATTTAGTTATATACTCAAATAATAGCAATGCTATTGTTAATAATGACAGCAATGTTGTTAATTGATATCTTAATTATGGTAATATTGTTGATTGTAGAATTATAGGGTTGGAAGGGACCACAAGGCCCTGGTCTTGGGAATAGTAATCAGTGATATCAGAGGTAAATGAAAATGCAGACCAGTGAAAAGTCAGTAAATAAATTAACAGTGAATGTCCAAGGTTAATAGTGCAATTATAATCCCCTGTACTTCTCTGGTTTTCATTTCCTTTTGACCCCACTTTGTAATTGCACATACACAACCCTTCCAACAATGTAGATATGAATGCCTTCAACTCAGTATAACACTTCCTGGATCTGATTAAGTGAGCTGTTTATGCCATGTTAAAAGTTATTAATGTCTTCAAAGTGTCGCAAGACTGATGTTCTGGCTGCAGCAGACTCACTCGTCTACCCCTCTGATCTAAAATTGTTCCGTAATCATGATTTGCCATCATAGTTGTAATGCAGCTTGAGGTGGAAGCAGCATGTTTTGATTGCGACCAAGGCAATTTAAAGCAGCAAAATGAAGGAGGGGGACCTACTTAAAATACATAAAAATACTGACTTTAAAAGACTATCTTTCCATTAGTACTTCGCCAGCCTGGTACCCAGAGAATGGTGCATGATATGCTAACTCACATGCTTGTTAGGGATAATACCTAAAAAACATTAATCACAACTTTAAGACTGCCAATCTTGCCTAACATCCTATTTGCAGTTGGTATCTGTTCATTGTTGCTAATGAAGCCCAATCCAAATAAGACTGAGGCACTGTAAGTGGGTGGTTCCCTAGACTGGATTGATGGGAAATGGCCCATTCTTGAAGTAGTGGGCATGTAGCTTGGGCACGCTTCTGGATCCATTGCTGTCGCTTGAGGCTCATGACCTCAGTAGCAAGGAGTGCCTTCCATCAGCTTTGGCTAGTAGCCCAGCCGTGCCCCTACATGGACAGGGACAGCCTGTTATTTTTGCTCTGGTAATCTCTGGTTTAGATTACTGCAGCACGTTATAAGTGGGGCTGCCTCTGAAGATGGTTTGAAAATTTCAGTTCATTCAGATTTTGGCAACCAGGCTGTTCACCGGGACAAGATGGGGTTTTTTTGCAATGATCCTGGCTCGGCTGCACTAGCTACCAATTAGCTGGTTTTGACACAAAGCCTTAAAACAGTTCAGGATTGTCTCTCGAGGACCGCCTCTCCCCATATGAACTGACCCAGACCCTGTGATCATCATCTGAGGCACTTCTTTGTGTGCCTCCCCCAAGAGAGGTGGAGGATGGCAACACTAGACTGGGGCTTTTCTGCAGTGGCTCCCCATTTGTGGAATGCTCTCCCCAAGATTATATATCTTTAGGCTCCAAGCAAAAACATTTCTCCATAACCAGGCCTTTGGCTGATTAACATTCTATGACCTATGTTTGTGAGAGGAGTGTTATTGGTTTGTTTTTCTTTTATAATGTATTTTGTGTTCTCATTTTGTAATTTTATGTTGTGAACTGCCTCTGCTCTTTGGATGGTATGCAAATTTAATAAATAAAAACCTTCCATGGAAAAATAAAGCACTGGAAGTGTTTCCACCCCAGTGGAATAAATTATATTGGATTTGTGGGGCACAACTGCCAACCCCAGTGTCCCTGAATTTGCCAGATCCTCCTGCTCCAATCAGGACATTTCTGCATTTGAGCAGGAAGTTCTTTAGGAGGATTCTCAGAAGAACTTAGAAGCTCCCACCCACAAATCAGGAACCCTGTGAAATTAGGAAGATTCTTAAGAACGATCAGCTAAACACTCAAAGGCAGACTTCCCCAACCTTGTGCCCTCCAGGTGTTTTGGACTGCAACTCCCATGGCTCATGGTCAGATATGGAGTTTCGCTGTGACCCACAGGTCTAGCCTCTCCAGTCCCGCCCAACCTTACTTTGGCTCACTGTAGGACTATCCCCACCACGACTTTGCACTTACTAATACCTCTCATTTGTACTTGTTCTGGACAGGACAATCATGTCATTGAGAGCATGTGGCTTGATTATCTTCAGGAAACTGCGTGAGACATCGTCTGCTTCTGCTGCTGGGAACAACATTGAGTACCTTCTCCTGCAGACATCCTATGGGTCTCATCACTGGACCCCTCCGAAAGGTGTGTCATAAGTTTTTATGGTATCTAGCAACTTCAGAGAGATTCTCAACAGGGCTGTCAACTGATCAAGGAATTAAATCAGGCATTGGCAAACTTGGCCGTGCAGATGTTTTGGGATTACAACTCCCATGATCCCCAGATAACAGGACCAGTGGTCAGGGATGATGGGAATTGTAGTCCCAAAACATCTGGAGGACCGAGTTTGCCTATGGCTGAATTAAATCCATCTGTATTTTAAGACAAGTGCATGTTTTTCTTGTATTTTGCAAGTGAATAATAATAATGTTGACATGGTGTGATACATGCCGTTCTGCTGTGACTTCAGAAGTCCTTTCCCCTTGACTCTTGAGTCTTCTTTGGACTGTTGCTTCCTGGAAACTGCTCTTGGAGTCGCTGTGTTACAGATAAGACTCCTTGGCTGGCTGTTTATGATATTTCAGAGCAGGAGCTCTGGCCTAGGCATTATTTATGTTGCCTTTGTTTTTCTTAGACCCCATGTGGCTTGCTGTGTTTATATTTCTGTCCATAATATATCTGTGTGAAAGCAAAGGCTGACTTTTCTCAGGGAATGCTAAAGCTAGCTTGAAAACAGGCTATATTTATACCTGACTGAAAATGGGATCTTTGTGTTAGAAATAATGGTGTAGCTGGCAAGGATAGCCGCCTTCCCCAGATGTGCTTTTCCCCATGTTCAACTCACTTTTGGGGCCAGGCAATACTTAGTTTTCAACATCACGATATATCACAAGCTAAACATCACGACACCCTGATATATAACAGTGTCTGAAATATGCATAAAGCTGTGCAGAGCCACTGGCTGACTTTACAGTTTTCCCCCATACGGTATTGTGATTTTTGCGTAGCAATCCCACACATTCATGATATATTGCTAGGTAAAAAGTGATGAAACCAATGTCATGATACGGACTTCAAACCGGTTTTGGATATATTGATAAATTGCCCAGCCCTACTCACTTTCCTCAAAATAAGTTAAGTGTAGCATTTTCCTTTATTTTATGGCAGTGATACTCCTAGTTTTGCACTAGTGACCATTGCAAACCTTAAACTCAGGGGTGACTAATCTGTGGCCCTTCAGATGTTGCCAAACTACAACTCTCATCGTTCCTGACTCAAGATGGCTGCAGGTTGACCATCACTGCCTTACTATCTATCGATCTATCTAATCCAGGGCAACCCGAAGTGGCTTACAACCAAACAAGCAGACAAAACATCCCACGTAAACACATTAAAACCAAGAGGAAAAGGAAATATATTAAAAACATCTCACCCACTTCTAAAAGGCCACAGCTTATGTGCTGCTAGTTAATGTTTCAGTGAATAAATGGCTTAGATCTGACATACCTTAAATGCTGTCTCTTTACTTGTGACCCATTAGGCCTTTGCTGTGTCAGTTGCAGACAGCAAGCGTGTGAAAAGGAAATAGTGGGCCTGCAGAAAGCCCCTGTTCATCCTAGCCTCAATCCCAGAATCTCCCATTTCAAAAAAGTATCAGGTGGCAAGTGCTGAGAAGGAGCCTGGAGAGCCATTTCTGACTGTCAGAGTAGAAAAGAATTGAGTTGAATTTGCAGATAGTCTGGTTTGGCGCAAGGCAGCTTCCTCTGTTTAAACTGGCCTTTGGTGCTCAGATTTAAATCTGGAAAGTGTTCATTTAGAATGGTTCCGACTTTGCTTGCTACCTGTCCAAAGCCCTGAGGATGAGGTGGTCTGTAAATATGTTGGAGACACATTAAATGCAGCCACCTCTGCAGTAAAGCATGGTGATGTTTGGAGCCAACCATAAAACACTTCCTTTTTCTAGAACCAAGTGTCAGGAGAAGATAAAAAGCAGAGCCCCTTGTTTCTGCTTTCCTGAAAATTCTGCTTTCCTTTCCTCGTGCCAGGCCATGTTGATCCTGGGGAAGATGACCTGCAGACCGCCCTCCGGGAGACGCAGGAGGAGGCTGGGCTGAACTCCACTCAGTTCACCATCATTGACGGGTTTAAAAAGGAGCTGAACTACACTGTGAATGGCAAAGCCAAAACCGTCATCTACTGGCTGGCTGAAATGAAGGACAACAACACGGAGGTCAAGCTCTCATCGGAGCACCAGGCCTTTTGCTGGCTGACCCTCAATGAGGCTTGCAGGCTTGCAGAGTTCAAGGACATGCAAGGCGCCTTTAGGGAAGCACACAACTTTCTCTGCTCCAAAGGCTGAATGCTCCAGGGGATGCAGGAATGGGGTTTTGTTTTGTTTTTTTTAGCTGAAAGTTTAACTGACGATTCCATAAAAATAAAAGCAGAGAATACTAGGGGGGAAATGCAAAAATCTTAAAGATGCACTTTAATTATGTCAAGCTACTTAAAGCATGGATGTTTCCACACCCCCGAATTCTTAGAGAGGGATGTTTAGCGCGAGCAGAATTCAAAATAGCCTCTATAAGTTATATGCTGAGCCTTTATACTGGGCATTGACAATTGGCGAAGCAGGGTGTGGATGCAACCTAACGTTTGTGGCACTCAGTGATGTTCATGGAGGAGAGTTTTATCAAGGACTGTTAGCCACGCTAACCAAGTGGCAGGTTCAGAGGCAGGCAGCAAATAGTAGAGAGAGACACACTCGTCGACGTTGTGGCTGCTTGTCAGCTTCCTAGAGGCATTTGTGTGTCGTTGGAAACAGAATGCTGGTCTAGATGGACCTTTGGTCTGATCCAGCAAGGCAGTGTCTTACGCATTTGTATAAACTTGTAGCAGCAGCGGGGACAAATTAGGCACATGTAAGAAACCCACCCTCTGCCCTCGCAGGCTGAAGTCCTGCAAGGGCCACAAGCAGTTTGCCCATATGTGATACAGAGGAGGTTCGCATAGACAAAGTCTAGCCATTCTCCTGACCCCAATATCCTTGTCTTAACGCCTTTGTGGGCTTCCATCGTTGCCTTTGAGCCAGGACTGGTATCATGGCTGGAGTTTCCGGCTAGGGCCAGGGTTCAAATCCTCACTCAGTCTTAAATCTTGCTGGGTGTGACGTTGGGCCACTCGCTACATCTCAGCCTAACCTACCCTACAGGTATGTTGTGAGGATAAAATGGGAAAGGAGAGAACCATGTACGTCACCTTGAGCTCCTTGGAGGGAAGAAGGCGGGATATAAAAATAATAAAATACGTGTCGACATGATCGCGCTGCTACACACACACCCCTTTCTGACAAAGCACAGAAGCTCAAGAGCTTGCTAATGTTCCTGCGTGTGGCACAGATGTCCTCTCTGCACCAATGCCGTCCCCAGTGCTACTGCAGTACTGCAATTTGGGCAGAAGTCCATCCATTCATCCCACAGGTCAAGTCAGGTCTTGCCTGTAGGCCACTGGACTCCGCTTAGTTTACAGCGAGTTGAGGAAAATCCATGTCAGGAACAGGAAATCCCTTGTACAGTGATCGCACAAAACTAGCATGTCTCATGATCAATTCTCTGTGTGCGGATGTGTGCTTTTTGTTAAAAAATAAATAATCCCCATTCAGGTTTAGTCCTTTATTTTGAGCCTGGTTTAAAACAAGCCGCTTGAGTGAAGGCAGAGGGTATCGGGCTGGAGTTAGTGACATCCAGAACAATCAAGCTGGGAGCAGCAGCATGCTCCAGTTAATATCTGCCAAGAGTGACTAGGAATGCGTGTCATGCACAGTAGAAGAATTCAGTTGCCTCTTCTTTTTTAAGGATGTCATTGTATCACTATGGTTTTAATACTGCACATTGCTTTCGGGAGCCACAGCTTGCCTTTGAAAACCGGACATGAGTAAAGCAAGCTACAGAGTCCTTAAGAACAGCTCACTCTCCCTTGTGCATCCTCTTGCCCAAGGGGCTGCTCATCACTCAGCTTTCCCTCAAACCTCTTTCTTTCTTGAGCAGTCTTCTCCAACCTGGTGCCCTCCTATAGGTTTTGAGCGCTATCTCCCAGCAGCCGTGGCCAATAGTGAGTGATAATGGGAGGTGTGGCCCTAAGCATCAGGGTTAGAGAAGACCTGGAGAGTGAAAAACTTCCAAGCAAGGAACTAACATCCCTGCATCATTCTGTAATGCCTGGTATGTCCTTATTAGAAGCTAAGCCATAGCCAAGGAGACCGTATTTGTTAGCCTCCCAGAAAGGGCTGTGTTAACCGAATGCAAAGTTCTATATACAGCTGCATTCTAATGCTCCTTCACTGCTTGCAAACCTTGGGGTGAGTAAAGATTGCCCCAAGGTGACCTTGCACAAAAAGCTGGTTCTTGTTTGTTGCTGCTGTCCTCCTCTTTTAGGTCCAACATAGGCACAGATATCCCAACCCTTTTCTCCAGTGTTGTCTCAGGCTCGCCACACCCAGTGTGGACTGGAAAAAGCCCTTTGCAGTCATACAGTAAGAAGCACAAGGACTTGAACTGTGATGTAAATGATCTCCATCGAGGTGGTCCTTTCAGAGGCTGATTTCATACTTGCATTTCTGAGGCTGACTGGTTCTAATGGGAGGACTGTACCACAGTAGCGTGAGATGGGAAGATGCCATCTTGACCTACCTGCCACCCGCATGGGGGTGCTTGACAACTAACCTGCCTGATCCAGAATTAGATATCATGCAAATACATCCCCTGTGCGAGGACTGTACCATCTCAGAGCAGCAAGCACAACCTAGCCTAGCCTCTCGGCTGTTTCTTAATGCAGGCAACCCTGGCTGTACATTTTGAGACAAAGCAAAGCTCTCTGCCTAGCTGCATAGCTGTGCAGTGCAGATATGATTGTTAAGAAAATTATCTTAAGTGACCTGCTTTCTTATCAGGACTGTTAGTCTAATGAAATTGGCTGCATGGACCTTGGTCAAATGAACCCTACCAGAAACGCTTGCTTTGAGAGCAACAGAGTCAGCGCCCGTCACGTTCAGCATATTTGATAGTTCATGTTGTCGAAGAGCGGTGTGACTGTCCCATCTTTCCATTCAATCAGGATTTCGCCATGTTTCAGTGAAGGAGTGGGGGACGCTGGGATGATCTGCCCCTTGGGGCTGGGGCTAGGTGCCCTAGGTAAGGGTGGCCGCTCCTCGTGAACCACGCGGCAGCTCTTCAAAGGAGACAGCTTCTGCTTCCGCTTCTTCCTAAAGCAGGAAGCAGCAGCAGGTTATGCTTTGAAATTACTGAGAGACTCAGGATGGTATTTGCACAGTACCTGTGAGGCCTATTAGGCAAGTGGTGTCTTGAATATTCTGTGGGGCCAATTGAAGGCATCCACGAAGTTGAACTGATGAATCAGTTTTGATCCATTTGAAAGATGATAATAATTAAATTATTTGTACCCTGCCCATCTGACTGGGTTTCCCCAATCCTGATTATCAGGGCAGCAGGCTTGGTTATTTTCAAGGAAAGTACTTACTAAAAAATTAGAGCTCCTCTTAAACTCTTATGAAATGCCAGTAGAGAAGTGTCCTCACTGCAGTTACCACCAAACACTCAATTCTTTGCAACCTGGTGGTTTTGGTCACTAGAGTAAACTGCATTATTTTAATTTTATTCTATTTTCTAAAATGCATACACCGCTCGGCTGTTTTTAAAAGAAAAGCCCTCACAGCAGTTTGCAAAAAAGAAAGAAAATTATCAAGAAGAATTAATAACAATTTAAGATTGTCAAATTGTTAAAAGAACAATAGTGTTAACTCGCATCTTACACAAGGGTTCAGTTCAGGGGGTCCACATGTATATGCAAAAATGTGTAGAGCCAGAGACCCTTGGAATTGGTCCCCCTGCGAGACTTTGGGAGGCAGCGTGAGGGCTCTGGGGTGAAACAAATAATGAGAGTGGGTTTGCTCCACTCTCCATTTATTTATTCCCCCCACCTGCGCAAAACTGCGATCATGCAAGTAAAAAAGGTGAAAGATGTGAGTTACCTGTAGACTAAAAGCATTAAAACTTGCATCAACTTTCTGGGTAGTTTTGTCTAAACCATATTTTTAGCAGGTGCTGGAAAGAGTGCAGTGAAGGCGCCTGCCTGATGTCAAGAGGCAAGGAGTTCCAAAGTCCAACAGTAAGCGATCATTTTTCTTACAAATGCGGAACAGGTAATATGTGGCACATGTAATAGTGTCAGTTCCGCAGATCAAAGCGATCAAGCGGGCGCACCTAGAGTAAGGCGTTCTGGCTTGGTACTCCTATGGCGCTTTGGAGAGCTCAAGAACTCAACAGATAATATCTTCTTGCAATCTGTGCAACAGCCATGGGGGGTGGGTCAGCGTTATTTGCTCCCACATTGTAGCCTGAGGCCCCGGAAGAAGGGAGGGAACTTACAGCAGAGGAGGCAGAATCGGAAGCCAGGGCCTTTGTGATGGAGAGGAGAGAAAGCGGAGCAAAACAGAGACTTTGCTGGTGAGACAGTAACACTGTGGGATGAATGGGCCTCTTACCTGTTGTACCGGATATTGAGAATGAGGATTGTCACTCCCAGGATAAAGGCCAGCGGGCTCAGGACAAGTATGACCGTCTTCCAGTTGGTCCCTGAAAGTGCATTGCACCCTGTATGTTTAATTACATCATTCCTGTGCTCTGCCTACATCTCCTGTATTACCATCTTAAGGCGGTTTCCTCGTACACGTGGGTGGGTGGGGAATATTTGGGGAAACGGCCTGCCTCTCCTTCGCTGGAGGTTCTTAAAAAGAGGTTGGATTAGCCATCTTTAGCTGCGATTCCTGCATTGCAGGGGGTTGGACTAGATGACCGTAGGGGGTCCTTCCAACAATTCTATGATTCTGTGAAATTGCAGCAGGGGTTGGGTAGTAGGGCTCCCAGACTGTTTCCCCTGCAAGCTGGATTGCTGGGATATGGGGAGGCAGGAGCGGAGAGTCAATGAATGGATGTGCATTACAGAGGAGAATGGGTGTATCTGAATGTGTGTGTAATTGAGCCCCACCCACCACTGAAATACAGACCCCAGAAATTCGGCTATGAGGGCATGTGGCTCTTGCCACTGAACTCACTTTGTATTTCAGGGTACAATGCCTCTGCCCAGGGAGGCTCTACTAAGCTCCCTATTGAGTTCAGTTAATCCTAGCGCCATCCAGGCCAGTGGCTAATACCACATTTTGTGTTTGTGAATTTAACACGGGCTTTTATTTTTTATTTTTGTTTCAAAAGAATAATAATTACGGTGAATATTCCATTTTCCACTCGCTATCCATCATACCTGTCGATCGGGAAGCTGCACCCTTCCTCTGATGTTTCTTATGAGGCATGTGCCTTTCTGGCAAGGAGAGAAAGAGGGAGAATGAAACTAAAGGATTCGGAGCAAGAAGAGAAAATCTCGCGTTCTTCGCTCGTCTCTGCACCTTTGTTTCCAGGTCAGCTACACTCAGGATTTGTTGTCACTGCAGAGGTCAACCTCTGGGTGGGCTGCGGACCTGGCTTCTTCAGGGTGCTGCCAAAGGCATGCCCTCCTCCATAAAAAAATAAAAATATCCATGCACATAGAAAAACAGTGTGTCAGGGAAAAGTGTCCTTGGCATGCTAGTCTTCTGTGTGCAGGGATTTTTGTTTTGTTGTTGTTTTGTTTGGAGGAGTGTTCTCTCCTGTGAGATGCCACATGCAATTCACCGGGTGTAGATTGGCTATTTCAGCAAGAACAAGCCCGGGGAGCCCAGGCAGGTACTGTGAGGAGGAGGGCAAGAAATCACACTAGGGTGACCAGGACTCCTGCTCCTATAATAGTCTACCTGAAGGAGGTTCAACTTTAAGGGGCCCTGCAGTGAAAATAACCTACAAAAATACATTATGTTAGGGGAAACTGCTTGCAGAAATATGTACGTCACTCAAAACTACGTACAAAAATGTGTTTCCTTGGAGAACTTTGCACTAAAACGCTGGTGAATTTTCACGAGGGTTTTTAAAATCGCAGTTTGCTCCAGAAATGGGGAGAACTGAAATTAAAATTGGAAAGATAAGAAACAGAGAGAAATGCAATGGGCAAGTTCTTCCATCCCTATTGCCTGCAAATGGCAATAATGTAGTAACTCTGAAGAAGCATTGCAGAGCAATGGAGAGAGCGAAATTATGTGTGGAAGGTCCAATATAAATCCACAACGAATGCACTATTGACGTGTTGGAGGACGCCCCTGTTAAAAAACATGATAGTCTAGGGCAGCCTACAGAACCCTATGTCCTGGTGAGCTAGGATTTTCACAAGCAGGGTGATATTGACAACACAATTGCACCTTACATGCATGCAGCCTGCACGATTCCAACCATAGGTGGGTGAAGGCAGGCTGGTTGAAATTGGACATGTTAAATCCAAGCAAGGAGGACAGCTTAATAGCTCCTTTTCTGCCGGATTTTGTGCTGTGTACCTGAAGGAGCATCTCTACTCCCAGCATTTAGTCTGGAGACTGAGGTCTGGCTCCGAGGGCCTTCTGGAGGTTCCCTCACTGCAAGCAGTGAAGTTACAGAGGGCCTTCTTGGTGGTGGCGCCCTCCCTGTGGATTGCCCTCCCATCAGATGTCAAGGAGATGAATATTCAATATCTGAAGGCAGCCCTGTTTCGGGAAGGTTTTAATGTGTGATGTTCTGCTGCGTTGTTTTATATTCTGTTGGAAGGCACCCAGAATTAATGCTTAATTCAGAAACATCTAATTCAGTGCTGGCCACTGGCTTGCATGGCTTTGAAAGAGGATTACACAAACCCATAGAAGAGCATGCGTCTATCCCTGGCAATTAACTGTGGTGGCTAAATAGAACCTCCAAGTTCAGAGGCAGTCTACCTCCGAATACCAGTTGCTGAGGAGAGCTGTTTCCTGCAAGCCCTGGAGGATAGTCCCCTGAGCCCTGCTGGAAACGGGAAGCTCTGGCTTGCTTGGGACCATTTGCTTTATCCTGCATGGGTAGCTCAGCTGACTAGAGCATGGTGCTGATGCCAAGACTGCAGGTTCGACAGCTGCATATTCCTGCATTGCAGGGGGTTAGACTAGATGACCCTCAGGTTCCCTCCCAACTCTGCAATCCTATGGCCCTTTGTGCTTCAGGCTGAAGTCCCCACCCTGCTTGTCGTACTCACCGTCATCTGCTTCCAGGATGACATCTTCGTTCTTTGGAAGATTGCTGGTGATATTAGGTTCATCAACGATGGCTGGAGATGTGGGTCTGGTGTCTATAAAGGAGGTACTGATCTCTGACAACGCAGTAGTTTTATCTGGAGGGGGGGAGAGAGAGGGATATGAGGGCAATCCATGTTCTTGGGCGACAGGAGGCGGGTAGGTGTGGAGGACTCCCTGGTCCTGAATGGGGTAACTGTGCCCCTGAAGGTTCAAGTGCGCATCCTGGGAGCCATTTTGGACTTCCAGCTGACCATGGAGGCGCAGGTCAAATCTGTGTCCAGGGCAGCTGTTTACCAGCTCCATCTGGTACGCAGGCTGAGACCCTACCTGCCTGTGGACTTTCTCACCAGAGTGGTGCATGCTCTGGTTATCTCCCGCTTAGACTACTGGAATGTGCTCTACGTGGGGCTATCTTTGAAGGTGACCCAGAAACTACAACTAATCCAGAATGTGGCAGCTAGACTGGTGACTGGGGCAGCCGGCGAGACCATATAACACCAGTCCTGAAAGACCTACATTGGCTCCTAGTACGTTTCTGAGCACAATTCAAAGTGTTGGTGCTGACCTTTAAAGCCCTAAACGGCCTTGGTCCAGTAGACCTGAAGGAGCGTCTCCACCCCTATCGTTCTGCCCGGACACCGAGGTCCAGCACCGAGGGCCTTCTGGCGGTTCCCTCCCTGTGAGAAGCCAAGTTACAGGGAACCAGGCAGAGGGTCTTCTCGGTGGTGGCACCCGCCATGTGGAACGCCCTCCCACCAGATGTCAAAGAGAAAAACAACTACCTGACATTTAGAAGACATCTGAAGGCAGCCCTGTTCAGGGAAGTTTTTAATGTGTGACATTTTAATGTAGTTTTAATCTTTGTTGGAAGCCGCCCGGAGTGGCTGGGGAAACCCAGGCAGATGGGCGGGGTAAAAATAATATGTTGTTGTTGTTTATTAGGTGGAGCTGTCATATCACAAAACAATGCACATGCTTCCAACTCCTCCAGAGTTCTTTTTCAGGCCAGATACTAGGCAAAGCCAGGGGTGGGGGTTTCACGTGATATCCAAGGTTGTGCAAATGTGTCTCCCCTTCCTCTCTCCCCATGTAGCCCCTCTCAAATCTGCTCCAGGGGGTCCCCAAACCTCTGGAGCAAATTTGGTGGGTTTGCTGGCATTGGCGAGAGAGGAGGGTAATTTCATCCTCCTGCGAGGATTCTAACTGGAAATTTAATTACCTAATTAACTAAGTAAGTAATAATCATTGCTATCAAGCCACTTGCTTTAGAGATTAACAATCCTCTCCTCAGGGACTGGACTTTGTCAAATCCTGCCATATGAACATCATCATATGTGTTCTTCTACATGAAGCCTCTGGGAGAGATCATCAGGGGGTTTGGGCTGGGTATCCATCAATATGCGGATGATACCCAGCTCTAGGTAAAGGTACCCCTGCCCGTACGGGCCAGTCCTGACACAGACTCTAGGGTTGTGCGCTCATCTCATTCTAGAGGCCGGGAGCCGGCGCTGTCCGCAGACACTTCCGGGTCACGTGGCCAGCGTGACGAAGCTGCTCCGGCGAACCAGCACCAGAGCAGCACATGGAACGCCGTTTACCTTCCCACTATAAAGTGGTACCTATTTATCTACTTGCACTTAAGGGTGCTTTCGAACTGCTAGGTGGGCAGGAGCTGGGACCAAACGACAGGAGCTCACCCCGCCGCAGGGATTCGAACCGCCGACCATGCGATCGACAAGTCCTAGGTGCTGAGGTTTTACCCACAGCGCCACCCGCGTCCCAGCTCTACCTCTCTTTTAAATCGGAACCATGAAGGCAGTGAAGGTCCTGTGTGAGTGTCTGGAGGCAGTTGGAGGATGGATGGCGGCTAACAGATTGAGGCTGAATCCTGACAAGACAGAAGTACTGTTTCTGGGGGACAGGGGGCAGGCGGGTGTGGAGGACTCCTTGGTCTTGAATGGGGTAACTGTGTCTCTAAAGGACCAGGTGCGCAGCCTGGGGGTCATTTTGGACTGACAGCTGTCCATGGAGGTGCAGGTCATATCTGTGTCCAGGGCAGCTGTTTACCAGCTCCATCTGGTACATAGGCTAAGACCCTACCTGCCCGTGGACTGTCTCACCAGAGTGGTGCATACTTTGGTCATCTCCCACTTGGACTTCTGTAATGCGCTCTACATGCTCTCTACATGCACTTTCATGCGCCTTTGAAAGTGACCTGGAAACTACAACTAATCCAGAATGCAGCAGCTAGACTGGTGACTGGGAGTGGCCGCTGAGACCACATAACACCGGTCTTGAAAGACCTACATAGGCTCCCAGGACGTTTACAAGCACAATTCAAAGTGTTGGTGTTGACCTTTAAAGCCCTAAACGCCCTCAGTCCTGTATACCTGAAGGAGCGTCTCCACCCCCATCATTCTGCCTGGACACTGAGGTCCAACTCCAAGGGCCTTCTGGCGGTTCCCTCACTGCAAGAAGCGAAGTTACAGGGAACCAGGCAGAGGGCCTTCTCGGTAGTGGCGCCTGCCCTGTGGAACACCCTCCCTTCAGATGTGAAGAAAATAAACAACAAACGGACTTTTAGAAGGCAGCCGAAGGCAGTCCTGTTAGGGAAGCTTTTAACATTTGATGAACCATTGTATTTTAATATTCTGCTGGAAGCTGCCCAGAGTGGCTGGGGAAACCCAGCCAGATGGGTGGAGTATAAATTATTATTATTATTATTATTATTATTATTATTATTATCATTATCATCATCATTATCATTCCTCATGATGCAGCTTCCCACCTCATGCATTGCTGGGTTTAGCTAGCTGCAGCAATGCAGCGCCGGTTCTAAGTGCAATAACCACATTCAGTGGCGAGGGGGAAAGAGAGCTCCTGGTTACGGATGGGAGCGGTTTTCTGCAAGCAAATCCTTTTTGCCTTACCTTCAGGGACCCACACCTGGGGGTCTACAAATTCCTCCACTGGGATGCTGAGCACAGGGGCCGCTGCCAGGTCTGCAGCGCAGACGATCTCCTCCGTCTCCGTCTTCCACCTGCTGAACTTGTCCTTCTCTCGGGCCAAGAAGGCCTTGTGTCCCTCCTGCTTGGTGCTGAGGTGAAGCCCCAGGCCTTGCAACGTGAGGTGGCCTTTCCTGCTGCACACCCAGGCTTGGCGCGCCCTGTCTCCTCCGCAGGACTCCAGCTGAGCGGGTGCAAATTCCTGGGCTTTGGGGACCGTCAGGCACAGCCCGGTCTTCCAGTGGACGATGGCCCGGGTGGCGGCATCCCAGGTCCAGTGATATTGCGCAGACTGGGGCTTGCAGTCGGCCAGACCAACCCTTCCGATTTCGTGGGACGAGGCGTGGATGCACTTTTGCAAACGGGCGTTCCTGATGAGGAAGCCATCGCCTCCCGGCACTGGGGAAGAATACGATACGATACGATACGATACGATAATCTTTATTGTCATTGTCCCATACAGAACAACGAAATTGAAAACATCTACATCAGACATTCAAAAACCAACAAACTCTGATACCCCATAACTGAATACACTATATTCCCACAGAGACAACCTTAAAGGTAATGGTAAAGGGACCCCTGACCATTAGGTCTGGTTGTGACCGACTCTGGGGTTGCGGCGCTCATCTCGCTTTACTGGCCAAGGGAGCCGGCGTTCAGCTTCCGGGTCATGTGGCCAGCATGACTAAGCCGCTTCTGGCGAACCAGAGCAGCACACGGAAACACCATTTACCTTCCCGCCAGAGCGGTACCTATTTATCTACTTGCACTTTGACGTGCTTTCAAACTGCTAGGTGGGCAGGAACAGGGACCGAGCAATGGGAGCTCACCTCGTCGCGGGGATTCGAACTGCCGACCTTCTGATCAGCAAGCCCTAGGCTCAGTGGTTTAACCCACAGCGCCACCCGCGTCCCAAAGACTACCTTACACTGCGTTTAAAACCAAAATCGCACTTGGATAGAAACTGTTTCTCAGGCGGCTAGTCCTAGTCTTAATAACCCTGTACCTTCTTCCAGAAGGCAGGAGCTGAAAGAGATAATTTCTGGGGTGCCCACTATCCTGCGCTATCTCTGCAGCTTTCTTATGGCACCTGGAAGCGTAGATTTGATCCAAGGTGGGAAGAGTGCACCCAATTATTCTCTCCGCAGTCTTTACAACCCTGGACAGCATTGTTTTTTCCCTGACCGTGCAGCTCCCAAACCACACATAGAGACCATAAGTTAATACACTCTCCACAGTACAACGGTAAAGTGCCATCAACAGGTCCTTTGAGAGATTATTTTTCCGGAGGATTCTCAGAAAATATAACCTCTGCTGTGCTCTCTTCATCAGGTCTTTACTGTTTTCTCCCCAGGTTAGGTGATCTCTCAACTCCATTCCCAGAAATCGAAACACCGAGACCTGTTCCACACACTTCCCCTCAATAATGAGTGGCTGAATATTCAATTTACATTTCCTAAAGTCCACAATGATCTCTTTTGTTTTCTTTAAGTTAAGGAGTAAGTTGTTTTTCCTGCACCACTCCCCCAACTGCTCAGCTTCCTTCCTATAGGCCTCCTCCCCATCTCTAGCCATGATTAAACCAACCACCTTTGTATCACCTGCAAACTTAATGATCTTATTACTGGGGTATTTGGGGGCACAGTTAGCTGTATAGAGCGTATATAAAAGCGGGCTCAACATGCACCCCTGTGGCGTCCCCGTATTTGTGATGAGATCCGCAGAGACGTGGGAACCCATCCTGACCCGTTGGGAACAGTTTGATAGAAAATCTAATATCCACCTGCACAAACACGGTGAAGTCCCAGGTCTAATAGTTTGGGCACCAATCTATGCAGAATAATAGTATTAAATGCAGAATAATAGTATTAAATAAAGTCTACAAATAATAATCTCACATAGTTCCCTTGCTTCTCCAAATGAGTCAGGACAGCATGTAAAATAGAATCATTGAGTTGGAAGGGACTCCCAAAGGTCATCCAGCCCAACCCCTGCAATGCAGGAATCTCAACTAAAGCATCCATGACAGATGGCCACCCAACCTCTGCTTAAAAACCTCCAGCGAAGCGAGAGCCCTGAGGGAGCCTGTTCCAAGCAACTGCATTGCATTTATACGCATTGCCACAGAATCACAGAATCGGAAGGGGTTCCCCAGGGGTCATCTAGTCCAACCCCCTGCCATGCGAGTCTGCTATATGTATTGGACTACAACTCCCATCAGCACAGCCGTGTTTGTTGGGGCTGATGGGAGTTGCACTCCAAAGCACCTGGAGGGCAGCAGGTTGGAAAAGGTTGCCGCCTGTGTTGTTTCTCAAACTTGAGTCCTGTCCCCCAGCAGTTGTTGGACTACAACTCCCAACTTCCCCTGCTAGCTAGGGATGATGGGGGTTGTAGTCCAACAACAGCTAGGGACCCAGGTTTGAGAAACTCTGTAGGCATATTGCATCAGTTGGAAGGGGATATTATTTGGCACAGCATCTTAGAAAGCAGAGACATCACCTTGCCGACAAAGGTCCGAATAGTTAAAGCTATGGTTTTCCCAGTAATGATATATGGAAGTGAGAGCTGGACCATACAGAAGGCTGATCGCCAAAGAATGGATGCTTTTGAATTATGGTGCTGGAGGAGACTCTTGAGAGTCCCATGGACTGCAAGGAGATCAAACCGATCCATTCTTAAGGAAATCAGCCCTGAGTGCTCACTGGAAGGACAGATCCTGAAGCTGAAACTCCAAGATTTTGGCCACCTCATGAGAAGAGAAGACTCCCTGGAAAAGACCCTGATGTTGGGAAAGATGGAGGGCACAAGCAGAAGGGGACGACAGAGTACGAGATGGTGGGACAGTGTTCTCGAAGCTACCAGCATGAGTTTGGCCAAACTGCAGGAGGCAGTGGAAGACAGGCGTGCCTGGCGTGCTCTGGTCCAGGGCATCACGAAGAGTCGGACATGACTAAACGATTAAATGACAACAAATTATTTGGCACCCTGCCCGCTACCTCCAGGGGGGCACCCGGTGGGGGCAGGGCTGGGGTGGGGAGAAGGTTGCTACAGAGCAAACAGCAAGCCCTGCAGAATTTCCTGTCCTTTGCAAGAACAATCCGTTATGTGGAGGTATCAGGGAAGGCCAAAACAACGGATCTGCAGTATAAACAGAATCCAGGTTGGGGAACAACACACAATAGATTAAAGGATTGCTTTCTTAAAGGAAATCTGATGCGCCTGATATGCATTCCTCCCAGTTTTTGGATTTAGAAGGAAAAGAGGAGCTTTTTTTGCTGAGGGTTGACTGAGGTGATGTCTCAACCACCCACTGAAAATGGAGGAACACCAGGCAGAGAAAGTGGTCCCATTTCATCTTCTAAAAATGTTTCCATACATTGGTGCCAGGAGCCTCTCCTGTTGGCCATCCTGTGAGGGCATGTCTAAAGCAGCCTTCCCCAAGCTTGTGCCCTCCAGATGTTTGGAATACACCTCCCCTCAGCCCTCAGTTTGGCCAGCAGCAGAATTGTGGTCCAAAACATCTGGAAGATGCCAGGGTTGGGAAGGTTGGCCTTAGGGATTTACAGCTGCTGATAGACAGCCCTGATTGCTGGCTAATATTTTGCTAATATTTCCTTGCTGAAGTACCGTATTTTTCGCTCTATAACACGCACCCGACCATAACACGCATGTAGTTTTTAGAGGAGGAAAATCCGTAGGCATGCCACCCGTAGGCATTCCTTCCATAACACGCACAGACATTTCCCCTTACTTTCTAGGAGGAAAAAAGTGAGTGTTATGGTGCAAAAAATACGGTATGTGCTTGCTAAAACGAGGGAAAGTAACCAAATGTAAGGCCAAACTGTTTGATGAGATTTGGGAGCGGCAGGGGCATTAGTATAAAACTGGTTGCCTTGATGACACATTCACAAAAAATATTGCACAAGGAAATGAGATCCATCAGTGAGGTGTATGATAGGAAAGTTGAGATCAGATACCACAGAGAGCGCTGGGATACTATTGAAACATTGGAAGAAAATGAACATCTGCATCATCTAGCATGAAGAGATAATGCAATATATAGATATATATGGTATATACATTTGTTTATAGATATACCATATATATGGTATATTTGTTTATGAGTGTTTTGTATGTTCTTAAATTAATTTTTGAATGATGACTGAACAGAACAAAATAAATAAATACATAAATTGCAGAAAAAGAGGGAGGATACTCCAGAAACATCTGAAGGGCTCCATCCATTGCAGATTCTGCTACATATTACGCCAACCTGGTATGCTCCAGATGTTTTGGATGACAACTTTTTCCAGCACCTTGTAGTTCAAAACATCTGGAGAACAGACTGCATCGCGGACTACTGTGCAGGATTGAAGCTAACACTAAGAATAAGCCAGCTCTCTCCTTGCCACCCAGAAAGCACCCAACATTTGTGCAATGCTTAAAACAGTTAAATATCCCAGATTCCCCCTTCCAAATTAGTAGAGCTAAAATATGCATTGGAGACAACCCGAAATATGAGTGCTTATTTATTATTTTATCACCTTCCTGCAAAGTCCTTGAGACTGAACACAGTGGGAGATCCCATTTTGTCCTCACAACTTTATTTTGAGGTAGGCTCATAGCTGTCAACGTTTTCCTTTTTTAAGGGGAAATTCCCTTATTCCGAATAGGATTCCTCGCAAGAAAAGGGAAAAGTTGACAGCTCTGGGTAGGCTACACTGAGAGCTCGTGATTTCCCTAAGGCCACCCAGTGTTTCATGGAGGCTGAACTCACACAGATTTTAGGTGACCGCTCCCTGGTCCAGCTGCAACCTCCTATTGATTTTGTTGCGCAGGGTCTCAAAAAATTAGGATGTGCGGTTTGCATATTCATGACTTGCCTAACAACATTTGTAGGTCCCAGAATTCCTGGAACAGTTTCGTTGCTCCTTTTCAAATAGCCTTCAATGGTCACCTAGCTGCATACACACAGAGAAGGGTACATTAAAAAAAAACCTCTCGTTGCCAGGAGAATCCGTTTCACAATCAAAACAAACACAGATCAGCCAGCGAAGGCGAACTGAAACACTGTCCATGCAGGGGAAGTATTTGTATGTAAAAATAATAATCTTACGGACAAGGAGAAAAAGGGGGTGCAAAGAGGGAGCAGCGAAAGCAAACTTACCCTGCAGCCAAGGAAGGAAGAAAGTCCAACTCAAGCTCAGCTTGAAAAGCTTCATTGTCTCTCGGGAGAAAGAAATTGAGGGGGGTTATAGATGGGGAGAAGAGCCTTTGCAAAGGGCAAAGTGAATTGCGAAGTTGCTTTGCCTGCCTTTCATCCAAAGGGAGGAACAGGATGCAACAAAAGACGAAGATACAATTTAAGGCAGCAAGTTCTGTCTCTCCCGGCCAGCACCCTTTAGCACCCAAGATAGCAGCAGGGTGGTGATCCCAGGGGAAGTGCTGTGAGAAAGCCTATGTCCGAGGAAAATCACATCCTGACTTTCCCAGGAAAAATTGCAAAAAGCACCGGCCTGCTTCTCAGCTAGCTCTTGCTGATGGAAGAGAAGGGAAGCTTTTGAGACGCGCAGAGTTCTTCTTCTTCTTCAAGCAGGGTGATGGCGGGTTTTGGGAAGAAGACCACCTTCCTGCCCGGGTGGCAAGTAGTGCCCTAAAAGGATATAAAAATCTATAGCGCAATAAATGCAGCAGCAATGTGGGGAGTGGGAAGGGAGAAGCAACAGAGCCGCTGGGCTCCGTTCTTTACAAGTTGTGATTCCTGAATAGGGACAGAGAATTCTAAAGAACTGGAGCTGTTGCTGGTGAGGTCGCTGCTGGGAACTGGAGGGGAGCCAGAACAGCCACTTCAGCCCACAAAGGCGAAGGGGAGGCCCCTGGGCTCCCAGATTAGGACGTTCCCTTTTGCTGCGGATCCTCTTTTCACACTTAGAAAGCCTGTGGTGTTTGCACGAGAACCTACGAAGCTGCCCGTATTGAAGTGTGGTGTGCTGGTCCCGGGGGGAGGTTACCGTGAGGCGTGGTCAGAGTCCGGTCCTGGGTCGAGTGTCTGGAGACTGTCCACCAAGGGCGAAGCGGGGTCCAAAGCAAGAAGCCGGGCATGGTTAGGAACTCTGGAAGAGCAGGAGAGGGTGCTGGCAGAAACAGGTTTCCAGCGATGTTGCTCCCGCAACCTGGGACTGGGCTGACTGGCCTTTATCTCCTCTGGGGCCTAGGGCGGTCCTGGCCCACAGGTGACTCGCCTCTCCTGGCCTGGAGGCGAGCACTCCTCCTGTGAGAACTTAGTTCTCTCTGCCCTGAGCCTCTGCAGCTCAGGAGAGGCTGGAGGGTTACTGGACCCAGGGGCAGCCTCACCTTCCCCTGACTGGGCTGGGAGAGGAGCACCTGCAGAAAATGGGTCCTCAATCACCCCTGGAGCCAGAGTGGATTCATCTGGTGTCTGCTCCTGAGGATCTGGCACAGGTGTGGGCCCTTCAGATTCAAGGCCCTGCCCCGGCTCAGCCGGCCCTGGAGGCGGGGACTCCTGTGCAGGCTGGGATTCCTCCGGTTCAGCCTCTGAATCAGATTCTCAGGCCATCACATGTGGGTTCCCACGAGGCAAGACACAGTGATAACAGCAAGAACCTTTCCTGAACTACAGTGGTACCTCTGGATGCAAACGGGATCCATTCCGGAGCCCCGTTCGCATCCAGAAGTGAACGCAATCTGCGTCCGCGTGTCTGCTCCTGCGCAGGTCGCGATTCGCCGCTTCTGCGCATGCGCGTGACGTCATTTTGACTGTCTGCACATGCGTGAGCGGTGAAACCCGGAAGTAACGCACTCCGTTACTTCCGGGTCGCCGCAGCGCGCAACGCGAAAATACTTATTCCGAAGCTACTTCAACCCGAGGTATGACTGTACATAACTGGGAAAACAAGGGCAAAGCAACTGCTTATATACATTTCTGAAAGCCTGGGCCACTCCCACTCCCAGCATGATTGGTTGGCTAAACTTCCAAGCTGCGAATCACTACTCACGAGTTCAAGGGCCAATGGCAGAGGCCAAAATCCTGAAATGTTCTGTGATTGGACATCCTGTATCGAATCAGAACAAAGGAGCTTCAGACTCAAACTCAGGCAAACAGAGACCACTGAATACATAATGTGTATGCCAGGGGCCCATCCAGTCTGGTCCTTAGGGCCATCGCTCAGCGGTAGAGAGCACCTGCCTTGCTGCAGAAGGTCCCTGGTGGCAGGGCTGGGAAGTCACCCTGCATGAAACCCCTGCTGTCGGCCATTGTAGACAATACTGAGCAGGATGGCTCTGTATGAGGCAGCTTCCTCCCCATGTTCCTATTGGAACCAGCATCTGTATTCAGAACAATGAGGACTAGAATCTTAGCTCGTTTTTAAAGGAAAGGGCCATAGTGCAGGGGAAGAGCATAGCACAAATATGTACACACTTTCCACTTACAAATGCCTTTTCATATGTATCTTTTGGTTCACAAAACTCCAAGAAGTGCCATGTTTCAGTTTGTGTGTTGCAAATTAAGTAGGTTCACATTAAACCTCGAACCAAATATATCCTCCATCGCTAGCTGCAGCTGTAGGGAAATAGGAAATATACTGAGAAACCCTTTCCCCCAATGCAGAAAGCGAGACTTTTGAAAGATCCTTTGCTTTATTCCTCAGCGTCCTTGTATTGATCTCCCGCACCTGCCTTTGGCTAGCTGTGCTCTTTTTGCTGCAGAATGAAAGACGTTCTTTCCATTTATTAACTTTTTATATTAATATTCTGGTAGTGAATGCTGTAAATTAGATCAGAGCTGTGGCATCATGAGACCACAAGTGAGGATTCCAGGAGGAAACTTTGGGTCCTTCAAAACAGTCCATTTTCATGAGATCTGCCCTCCCCATGCATGCAAGTTTTGGGGTTTTTTTTTCCAGCTTTCACATACCGTTATTGTCATCTGTAATGTATTTTTACCTCCCTCATTTAATCCAGATTTACCCTTTCCAGTAGAAATCCAGTAAGTTAAAAAAATAACAACTGTGTTGCCAACAACCCATTTGCAATATCTCAGCAACCCGCTTCTAGGAAGTATTCAGCCCCCTCCTGGAAGCATCCTTAAAAAGCACAAGGGGGGGAAATCATCCTTCTCACAGGGGCTAATTAATTTGTACAGTGGTACCTTGGCTCTCGTAGGACGCGGGTGGCGCTGTGGGTTAAACCACAGAGCCTAGGACTTGCCAATCAGAAGGTCGGCGGTTCGAATCCCCGCGACGGGGTGAGCTCCTGTTGCTCGGTCCCAGCTCCTGCCAACCTACCAGCTTGAAAGCACATCAAAGTGCAAGTAAATAAATAGGTCCCGCTCCTGCGGGAAGGTAAACGGCGTTTCTGTGCGCTGCTCTGGTTTGCCAGAAGCAGCTTAGTCTTGCTGGCCACATGACCCGGAAGCTGTACGCCTGCTCCCTCGGCCAGTAAAGCGAGATGAGCGCCCAACCCTAGAGTCGGCCACGACTGGACCTAATGGTCAGGGGTCACTTTACCTTTACCTTGGTTCTCAGACTTAATCCATTCTGGAAGTCCGTTCCAAAACCAAAGCGTTCCAAACCCAAGGTGCGCTTTCCCATAGAAAGTAATGCAAAACAAATGGAACCTCTACTCAAGACCACAATCGGTTCCAGAGGCCCGTCCTTATGGCAAAACAGGTCGCTGGGAGAGGTGCTATTGTGTGCAGGTACGGGTGGCGACTGACCACTTCTGCGCATGCGCAAACGGCGGCAAACCCACTGGTTACTTCCAGGTTTGCCATGGTCGCAACTTGGAACGTTCACGAGTGGAGGTGGTTGTAAAGAGAGGCTCTACTATAATCCATTCCAGACTTTTAAAAACCCCTAAAACAGCAATTTAACATGAATTTTACTCTCAATGACAAACCTAGACAGCATCTTAAAAAGTAGAGACATCACCTTGCCAACAAAGGTTCGTATTGTAAAAGCTATGGTTTTCCCAGTAGTGATGTATGGAAGTGAGACCTGGACTATAAAGAAGGCTGATTGCTGAAGAATTGATGCTTTTGAATTATTGTGCTGGAGGAGACTCTTGAGAGTCCCATGGACTGCAAGCAGATCAAACCTCTCCATTCTTAAGGAAATCAGCCCTGAGTGCTCACTGGAAGGGCAGATCCTGAAGCTGAGGCTCCAAGAGTTTGGCCACCTCATGAGAAGAGAAGACACCCTGGAAAAGACCCTGATACTGGGAAAGATGGAAGGCAAAAGGAGAAGGGGACGACAGAGGACGAGATGGTTGGATACTGTCTTCGAAGCTACCAACATGAGTTTGACCAAACTGCGGGAGGCAGTGGAAGACAGGAGTGCCTGGCGTGCTCTGGTCCATGGGGTCACGAAGAGTCGGACACGACTAAACAACAACAACAACGAGACTATTGATCCATAAAATGAAAGCAATAATCAATGTACTGTACTATAAAATAAATAAGATGGTATTGTAAATGATAAAGATTAAAATTATTTTTTTCCTCTTACCTGCACTGATGATAGTCATTGTTTGGATGGGGAGCTTTTATCCATTTCAGCAGTCGCACAATCAACCAATCAGCTTCCACACAGTCACAAAAACAAATTAACCGAAAAAGGTCAAAAACAAAAACGCTAAATAAATAGCAAAAGCGCCAAACTTAATCCATTCCGGAAATCTGTTCGACTTCCGAAATGTTCAGAAACCAAGGTGCAGCTTCTGATTGGTGCAGGAAACAATAGCCGACAGTCACTTCGGACCTTCGGCTTCCGAAAAACGTTCGAAAACTGGAACACTTTCTTCCGGGTTTTTGGCGTTTGAGAACCAAGGCATTTGAGAACCAAGGTACCACTGTATAGGTTTCTTAAAACACAGTGGAGTCACAGAGCAGAGTTAAAAAGCAAGGGAGGACCTTTCCTCTCAAAAAACTATTGAATAAAAGAAGGGGTGAAATTAAACTGGATACAAATGATAAAACCAAAAATTAGCCTTTCTGGATCAGGGCAAAAGTGCATCCAGTCCCAAGATGCTGAACTAGTTGGGCCATTGGCCGGATCCAGCAGGCAGTTCCTTAGGAGTGCTTCCTTTTGACTGACCTGTGTTATAAATTCAGCAGGCTGCCTTCAGACCAAGGCTGCAGTCCTATCCTATATACAATTATTAAGGACTTACACGCTTCAGCACAGTGGATTTTACCTGTGAGTAGATATGCCCAGGATTGCACTGAAACCTCATTGTGCTTGATTATCATTGAAATCAAGGAGACTTGACTTTTCCGCACTGATTTATATGGGGCCAAATTCCAAGCCATTTCCTGGATCCAGCCCAATATATTTACACGCACAGCTGCAAAGCAGCATTAACTATGCTGCATGCACTGTGGGTTAAAGCACAGAACCTAGGACTTGCCGATCAGAAGGTCGGCGGTTCAAATCCTCGCCACAGGGTGAGCTCCCATTGCTCAGTCCCTGCTCCTGCCAACCTAGCAGTTCGAAAGCACGTCAAAGTGCCAGTAGATAAATAGGTACCACTCCAGTGGGAAGGAAAACGGCGTTTCCATGTGCTGCTCTGGTTCTCCAGAAGCGGCTTAGACATGCTGGCCACATGACCCGGAAGCTGTACGCCGGCTCCCTCGGCCACTAAAGTGAGATGAGCGCCACAACCCCAGAGTCGGCCACAACTGGACCTAATGGTCAGGGGCCCCTTTACTTTTACCTAGATATGCTCAGGATTGCACTCAAACTTCCTTGTGCTCGATTCTCATTGAAATCAACAGACTTGACTTTTCTGCACTGATTTATATGGGGCCAAATTCCAAGCTATTTCCTGGATCCAGCCCAATATATTTAAACGCACAACCGCAAAGCAGCATTAACTATGCTGCGTGTTGTGCAAGCAAGCAGACTCTTCCAAGAGTTTCAGGAAAATTCTGCAGTAGGAGATGGATTTCCACCCGGCTGCTCCAACCGTCAAGTCAGAACCTCCTTTGCAACACAGAATTTGCAGAAAGGTTCCAGCCTTTTATTCCCCTTGCAGAAAAATTAGATTGAAATGCATGGAGCTTAATAAACTTTAATCTTGTACATCAAGAGTTTCCTCTCTTGTTTTCGCCTTGGTGGCTTCATGCAGCCTTCACTCCCTTAATCTAAATTGCTTTTCCTCCGTTGCCACCTTCAGGAGCCAACTTCAATTGCAGCCGGAAAACTTCAGAAACATTTGTGACCGGGTGGTACAGTTTGTGCTCTGGTTGTTATCCAAAGGCCCCTTCAGCCAATCTATTAATTGAGCATTCATCTCAATTTGCTCGCACAAAGTATACATGGAGGTTAGATTATATCTGGTCTTTATTTAGCGTTCATTCTTATCTGTTTTCAGGTCAGCAAGCATTCTTTCTGCATTCACCCTGATTTGCTTGTGGGGCGTTTACCAGACTTTTTGCAGCTTGAAATTTTTAAAAAATTTTATTAGGTAATTCAACAAAACATATTATCTTAAAACATATAATCCTTAATTTTTTCCCTCATTTCCCCCTCCCCCTCCCTCCCATAAACAACCCCCCCACCCCACCCCCTGACTTCCCTCAGTTCCAATCTCTGGTTTCTCTATAAATGCTATTCTCTGCATGTTACAGAATTGTATAAGTCCTTAATTTATCTAACTGATTATTATCAATAAAAAGTTTGTGAGTGTTTATTCAAAGCCTTGTAAAAGGTTCCCATTCCTCTTTAAAGTCACAGTTATCCTTGTCCCGTAGTTTATGTGTCAATTTTGCCAGTTCTGCATAGTCCATCAGTTTCTCTTGCCACAGTTCTTTAGTCGGGATTTCCTCAGTCTTCCATCCTTGTGCTATTAAGACTCTCACCACCGTTGTCGCATACATGAAGATGTTTTTCAACTTCTTTGGCAGGTCTTTTCCTACAATCCCTAACAAAAATGCTTCAGGTTTTTAAACAAATGTTAGATGGAACATTTTCTTCAATTCATTGTATATCATTTCTCAAAATTTCTTAATTTCATTACAATCCCACCATATGTGGTAAAATGTCCCCTCCTTTTTCTTACACTTCCAACATAAATTTGAGCTGGTTTTATACATTTTTCCTAACTGCACTGGTGTCATATACCATCTATACATCATCTTCATATAATTTTCTTTCAGCAAAGATCAATCTGTAAATTTTAAATCAATTTTCCATAACCTTGGTTAGGGAAAAGGTTATGGTAAGGTTAGGCAGCTTGAAAATTGACACGGTAACGCACTAAGAAATGTAAAATGCACAAATGACTAACAGGAAGGCAGGTAACCACTGTGCAGGCAAATCAGGATGAAGGCTCATTAGGGTGAATGCTCAACCTAGCGGCCTCAAAAGTCTGTTTTTTAATAAATAAAAAAGTGGATTTGATGTGCTAGGGCAACAGAGCATTTTTATCATAGAATAATAGACTATATTAGTTGCAAGGGCATCCAAGGGTCATCTAGTCCACCCCCCTGCAATGCAGGAATCTCAACTAAAGCATCCATGACAGATGGCCATCCAACCTCTGATTAAAAACCTCCAAGGATCTTTTAATCAATTTTATTAAAGGTTTTCAACCTAATATAAAATTGAAACTAAAATATAGAGAATTTTTTTTAAAAATCAGAAAAGAAGAAAAGAAAAAAAATCAGAAAATACATTTTTAATTATTGTTGTTGTTGTTGTTACTACCCCACCCATCTGGCTGGGCTTTCCATATAACAATCCTCATATGATCCTCATAAAACACAAAATTATAAATATATCTATGCCGCACTCAGTCAGCATTTTCTCTTAATCTTCACACATACAGAATAACAACAACAACAACAACAACAACAACAAATTATTTATATCCCGCCCTCCCCAGCCGAAGCTGGGCTCAGAAGAGCTAACAACAATAAAAGTAACACAGCATTCTAAAATCAATTCATTTTAAAAGTTTAATCTTCCCACCTCCCACCTGGGAGACCTTCCTCTTCCTCAGTCTCCCACCCTGAGAAAATCCACTCTGGCCTGGCTCTCATACCAGCTCCTTCCTCTTCTCTCTGTTAGCTCTTCGGACGTATCTCCATTTATCACAAATATAACTTTTCAGTGTGTTAAGGCATACATCTAGTAATATAACTAGAGCCATCAAAGGTCACACAAGAAACCCAATCCAAGAGAAAAGAAAGGGCGATCACTCCAAATCTTCAGAGTCATTCATGAAGCTGAACTGCCGCAGAGAAAATTATTGCCAGGGCAGGGAGCGGCGACGCTAAGACATCTCAAGGGCAGCTATCAAGATATGAGATGCAGCCGCCAGAGGACTCCCCAGCCTTCAGAGAGGACGGCAGCCTGCTCCTGGGGCCTTTGCACACAGCTGTAGGTCTTTGTATCGCCTGGTTTCCTACTCCTGGGGCCTCTCATTCCGAAGCAATTTCTTTGCTCCCTCTCCCCATCCAGGAAAAAAAAAACCTGGCTGAGGCTTTGCAGGGAGTTGTGCCATCTCTCACTTGCGTAATAACCTTCCTCGGTCAGCTGATCGCCTCATCCAGTCGAGGAAAGCAGCAGGATGCTGGCTCCAGCAGAGGTTGCAGTGGCAGAGAAGTCTTGCTCCCGGTAACCAGGATTAATTTATTAGGCTCATTTATTAGCCTGGCTGAGATGTGTTTTGTCGCTGCATTCTGAAGGGTAGTGATCTGCATTCCTGGATACAGCGAGTGAGAGAGAGGGCAGAGCTGTTTTTAAACACAGTCTTTATAAAGCTGAGAAAAACACTCGCCACCACGAGGGCCAAGCAACCACTGGCCACAGCTATTAGATCTGTGATATTATGGAAGCTCAGTTGTCCCGTCGCCAAGGAAAAGGAGAGAAGCGTCAGAGGGAAAATGGCTCCGGGACAAAACCAATTCTCCATTCCTCTCTGGAGTCTCAGACATCCCGGCAGAGTTATCTTGGAAGAGCTGCGCTACTGACAACAGGACTCATCATAGCTGTGGCCGTGTGCTGGCATTGCTACACGGTTCCTCCTATGAAGGCAGAGAGGGTAAAGATGAACCAGGCGGACCTGTGGCAGGGAGGCTTCACCATTGGAAACCGGGATGGAGAAGTGGTCTTCAGGATGGCCTTCCAATCAGGTGTCCTTGACCTGGAATCTTGTTCTAAAGAAGGGGGAGTTTTAAGCTGTACGGGTACGGAAAGGGGGATGTTCAGCTTCCTCATCCAGACTGTCAAACCCAACGAGGCGGTGACGTGCTACATCATCCGCTGGGAAGAGTTTGAGGCAGACTCTGCGGTGGAACACAAAATGTTCTGGGGGGACGCCCACTGGTATGGAGGCTACGAGATGAGCAGACAGCAATGGCCAATCAGTCTACCTGGAAGCCAAGAACCTGCGCCATTTGTGACTAGTGATGTCTATTCTTTCAGGAACAGCTTTGGGGGCATCTTGGAGAGGTATTGGTTGTCCTCCAAAGCAGCTGCCGTCAAGATAAGTGACTCTGTGCCCTTCCACCTTGGGTTCAATGCTTCGGAAAGGTCCCTCACATTCCAAGCCAGGTATAAAGATTCTCCATATGAGCCGTTGAACGAGCCCTTCCCACAGTTGAGTTACCATGTCTGCATAGGTTCAGACATTACCTCTGTCCACCGGTACATGGCCCAGGTCCATTTCAGGAAACCTTTGAAGGTGCCTTCAGAAAGGATGTTCCAGTTTCCAATCTGGTCAACGTGGGCCATGTACAAGAAGGAGATTAACCAGGAGAAAGTTCTGGGATTTGCACAGATGATTAAAAAGCACGGTTTCAAATACAGCCACATTGAAATTGATGACATGTACACACAGAATTATGGTGATTTTGACTTTGACCCTTCGAAGTTCCCTCAGGCGACAGATATGTTCGAAAAGCTTAAGAAAGATGGCTTCAACGTCACCATCTGGATACACCCTTTTGTACATGAAAGTTCCCCAAACTTTGAGGTGGGAATAGAGAAGAAGCTTTTTGTCATGGAACCACAAGGGACACTCCCTGCCATGGTTGTGTGGTGGAACGGTGTGGGCGCCATATTGGATTTCACCAACCCTTCGGCTAGAAAATGGTTCCAGAGACACCTGAGGCAACTCTGCACTAAGTATGGCATCTCGTCCTTCAAGTTTGATGCCGGTGAGACGTGCTACCTTCCCAAACAATTCCATACTTTCCACACCTTGGCAGATCCCAGCATTTGGTCCCGGCATTATGCAGAAATGGCCATTCCATTTCACGAGCTTGCAGAAGTCCGAGTCGGCTACCGATCCCAGCACATCTCTTGTTTTGTTCGTATCATTGACCGGGACTCAATTTGTGGGTATGAACTTGGGCTGAAGTCCTTGATACCAACGGTGCTGACCATTGGCCTCCTGGGATACCCTTTTGTACTGCCCGATATGATTGGCGGGAATTTTCTCCCTAACAAAACGGAAGGTGCTGTCGACATCCCAGATCGGGAGCTCTACATCCGATGGCTGGAGCTGTCGGCCTTCATGCCTTCCATGCAGTTCTCCATTCCACCGTGGCTTTATGACAGAGAGGTCATAGACATCGCCCTGAAGTTCACCAGGCTCCACGAGTCTTTGGTTGCACCCCTCTTGCTGGAGCTGGCCGGGGAGATCACCGACACTGGGGACCCCATCATCCGGCCCATCTGGTGGATTTCTCCCCACGATGAGGCTGCACACAAGATCGACTCCCAGTTCCTGATTGGGGACACCCTGATGGTGGCTCCCGTCTTGGAGATGGGCAAGCAAGAGAGAGACATTTACATCCCAGCTGGCAAATGGCGCAGCTATAAAGGGGAGCTCTTTGAAAAAACACCCCTTCTTCTTAAGGACTACTCTGTCCCTTTGGACGAAGCGCCTTATTTTGTTTTGAATTCGTAAGCTGCCTTGGGGCCAGGGAAAGGCCTTGGAGCAACCTTGTCTCTAGCCCTCAAGGTGACTTTGACTTAATCAGTTTATCTTAAAATAAAAGCTCTTTCTTCACAGAGGGTTTTTTTTAATGCTAATGTATTCTCGTTACAGACCTCATCTGGCTTTTAGTTCTGCTGAATCTGTGCAGCTCGCAATCTTTTTATCTCACCCTTCCAGGATGGGGAAGGGCTGTTATCTCCCATGTTGCAGAAGACGAAAGTCAGGACCAGGTTAACTCATTGACGTTTTGTGAGTATGGAGGGAGGCTTTCGATATCACGGTCCAATTCTACACGCAGATGTGCGCGCACACACTGCAACGGGGGTCCTTTGGAATGATTCTCCACAGAGAACCATGCAGTGACAGCATCACGGAAAATAGATACGGGCATTGCAGAGAACGTTCTGTGAGCTGGACGCTTCTCGCTAGTCAAAGCAATTTCTGTTGTGAGCTGCAAAAGCGGGGGTTTCCTACGCCAAAAATTATCCAAATTATGCATCGTGGAATTTTTGTCTTTCAGAATAAATTACGCATGCACTTTTGCACAATAATTAGCACCACTAGATGGAACTGAGGGCTCGTTCTGTTCTGCTTGTGCCATGAGGCTTTCCACTTTCCTACTCTTTAGCAATAGATCAGAACAAATGTCAATCCAGGGAAAACCTGAACTGCCTTTCCTCCAGTTGAACTGCCTTTCGTCCACGCCCCCCACCAAGCCTGGTGGACGATGACGACGACGATGATGATGATAATTCATTATTTATACCCCACCCATCTGGCTGGGTTTCCCCAGCCACTCTGGGCGGCTCCCAGCAGATTAAAAACAGAATAAAACTTCGAACATTAAAAACTTCCCTAAACAGGGCTGCCTTCAGATGTCTTCTAAAAGTCAGATAGTTATTTATTTCCTTGACATCTGCTGGGAGGGTTTCCACAGGGCGGGTGCCACTACTGAGAATGCCCTCTGCCTGGTTCCCTGTAACCTTGCTTCTCACAGGGAGGGAACCACCAGAAGGCCCTTGGCGCTGGACCTCAGCGTCCGGGTAGAATGATGGAGGTGGCGACGCTCCTTCAGATATACTGGACAGAGGCCGTTTAGGGCTTTAAAGGTCAGCACCAACACTTTGAATTGTGCTCGGAAACGTCCTGGGAGCCAATGTAGGTCTTTCAGGACAAGAGAAAGAGTGATTTTCAGAATTCAGAAGAATCTAGCAAGGGCTGAGGTGGAGCCGAGCAATGGTTGTGGTTAAGTCTTGGGCTGGATAGTAGGCACAAGAGGCAGGAAGAGATGGGGCTTTGCATTACCTGCCGCTTGGCAAGAATAAATAAGGCTTTAGTAGTGTATGGTGAACCTGCAGCCCTCTAAGTATTGTTGGATTATGACTCCTGTCACCACCCCCTGACCATTGGGCATGCTGGCAGGGGCTGATGGATTTGAGTTCGACAAGGACTTTGCACATTCTCCATCCTTGCCTTAAGTGTCCTTTGGCTGCTGAGACACCGGAAACCCTGCCTAGTTAATTGCAAAATGTTCTCAATGAGTTCTAGAAGCTTTCTCCTTTAAACTGAGCAACACTGATGTTTTCCAAAAGCTACAGTCTGTGTTGTTATAAACAAAAAACCCCTGCCCTTTTCCCCTAATGGGGCATCCAAGAGTCCATATAGAGTCCTTATGTAGGTTCCCTATTGGTAGGAGAAAACAACAGAGGCCAACCAGAGAATATTGAGAAGCAAAGCAGCTAGTAAGCCTGATGTTTATTGATCTGTTGCAACAGGGTCCTCACTCACCACACGCAGGAGAGAGGTCATACCTACATCACAGAAAGGGAGGTCTACAGCAGAAATCTGAGTGCGTTGTTTACCTCCTGTCTGCCAGGTTACCTGTTTAATGGTCACTTGATTGGATTGCCTGGGAAGCCTGGCCAGTCTTTTGTAATGATAAATACTTAATTCCTGAGCCAGGTCACAGCCTCACACCCTATTCATATTTTAAATGTGCCCTTAAGACAGGATTTGTGAAGGAAAAGACAATGGGGAGGCTTTTCCATTTTCCTTTGACCTTGCAGAGAAAACATTTGCTCATTTTGGGAATCAAAATGGTTTCAGGTCGGTCTTCCTGTGCTGATCTATGTACGTGCTTGGTTGGTACACTTATGAACATTTAACATGTATCTAAGACCTCAACATTCCTATCACAATATCAGGGTCTGTATTTAATGGTCCAAGGGTGGGACAAACAGAGGTGTATCTACTAGAAAGAAAGGGAAAAAGGCCAACACAAATACAAAGTCGTTGCATGAGTGGCATGCTGACAGACATGTCTTGAAGGTAATGCTATTGCAAACAGTACAGAGGGCAGGGCCAGAAAAAGAGGTTTCTTGTTTTCCTGAGTGTAACAACCAAACCAAACCAGTCTGGCCTGCTGTGCAGTAGCTGCCTATGTTTCTGTTATCAGAGAATGTATCAAGATACAATAATAAAGTAAATAACTTATGGCGGAGTGGATTTCATTGCATAGTTTTACCTACAACAAATTCATGTTACAAGTTTGACCAATTCATGGAGGAGAGGGCTATTGATGGCTACCAGCCAGGATGGAATATATATAAAAAAAAATTTAAAAATTGTCCTGTAGCACCTTAGAGACCAACTAAGTTTGTTCTTGGTACAGTGGTGCCTCGCAAGACGAATGCCTCGCAAGACGGAAAAACCGCTAGACGAAAGGGTTTTCCGTTTTGGAGTTGCTTCGCAGGACGAATTCCCCTATGGGCTTGCTTCGCAAGACGAAAATGTCTTGCGAGTCTTGAGATTTTTTTTTTCGCTTTCCCCCCCCTTTATCTAATCTGCTAAGCCTTTAATAGCCTTTAATAGCCTTTTAGCAGCTAATCCCCTAAGCCTTTAAGCCTTTAATAGCCGCTAAACCGCTAATAGCGCTAATCCGTTAAGCCGCTAATAGGGTTGCTTCGCAAGACGAAAAAACCGCTAGACGAAGACTCTCGCGGAACGGATTAATTTCGTCTTGCGAGGCACCACTGTATGAGCTTTCGTGTGCATGCACACTTCTTCAGATACACTGAAACAGAAGCCACCACACCCTTATATATAGTGAGAGGGTGGGGAGGGGGATTACTCAGAAGGGTGGTGGGAATGGGTGATTGGCTGATAGGTGTGGTAAACCTGTTGACGACTGTTAACCACTGCAATTGGTCTTACAGGAAAAAGTGAGGGGTGAGATGGCCACAAATAGCTTTATCATGTATAATGAGATAAGAATCCAATGTCTCTATTCAGACCAGGTCTCTCCATGGTTTTAAGTCTGGTTGCTGCTGTTGTTGTTTAGGCGTTTAGTCGTGTCCGATGGAAGTGTTGGGGATGGAACTTCCAGATAGGTGGGAAACTCGACTTACTCGATTTCATCATGAGGAGAATTCTCTCTTTTTCTCTGTACTAGAGATAGAGAGTATGAAGTCGATGCAAACACATCATTTTAAAAAGTGGTGGGTTGTTTTCTTAAATAACTGAAGACAGAGTGTTCTTTCTGCCATCTTCTCATTGGCTCTGAGGAGCTTCATTCTTCGTCTCGGAGGGTGAGAAGTGTGGGGTGTGTGTGCGGGAAGAACAGCGAAGTCTATTTCTAGTTTGAAGAGCAGATTGGAAGCACAACAAGACTTTCGCACAACGCCAGCCATCCTGGCTCCCCATCTGGAAGTTTGTCTGCTCCATTCCCAGGCTGCAAGCGGCAGCAAGATGATTGACGTAAATGTCAACTGAAGGCCCAGTCTCCTTGTTGTCAGCTTATTGCGTAAGCCCCACTGACATGAAGGGGGAGCTTTGCATTCGGGATAGATGCAGATATATGTTGTTGTTGTTTAGTCGTTTAGTCGTGTCCAACTCTTTGTGACCCCATGGACCAGAGCGTGCGAGGCACTCCTGTCTTCCACTGCCTCCCACAGTTTGGTCAAACTCATGCTGGTAGCTTCGAGAACACTGTCCCACCATCTCATCCTCTGTCGTCCCCTTCTCCTTGTGCCCTCCATCTTTCCCAACATCAGGGTCTTTTCCAGGGAGTCTTCTCTTCTCATGAGGTGGCCAAAGTACTGGAGCCTCAGCTTCAGGATCTGTCCTTCCAGTGAGCACTTGGGGCTGATTTCCTTAAGAATGGATAGGTTTAATCTTCTTGCAGTCCATGGGACTCTCAAGAGTCTCCTCCAGCACCATAATTCAAAAGCATCAATTCTTCGGCGATCAGCCTTCTTTATGGTCCAGCTCTCACTTCCATACATCACTACTGGGAAAATCATAGCTTTAACTATACAGACCTTTGTTGGCAAGGTGATGTCTCTGCTTTTTAAGATGCTGTCTAGGTTTGTCATTGCTTTTCTCCCAAGAAGCAGGTGTCTTTTAATTTCATGGCTGCTGTCACCATCTGCAGTGATAAGGTCAAACTTATGCAGAGCATAAGGTCAAACAGATTCCTCACTGGCCTTGCAGACAACTTCATTGTCCAGAAAGTGGGAGAAGCAACAAGAGGAACAGCCATTTTAGATCTGGTCCTAACCAATGTTGATGACCTGGTTAGTGGGGTAGAAGTGGAAGGATCATTAGGCGCGAGTGATCATGCTCTTCTGAAGTTTACTATACAGCAGAAAGGAGCAGCCAAGCATACTAGGACTCAATTTCTTGACTTTAAGAAAGCCGACTTCATAAAACGTAGGGAAGTGCTGGGTGAGATCCCATGGACAGTAATACTAAAAGGAAAGGGAGTTCATGATGGCTGGGAGTTTGTTAAGAGGGAGATAGTAAAAGCACGACGTCAGGCAATACCAATGAGACGGAAACATGGAAGGTGCCTAAAGAAGCCAGGGTGGCTATCTAAAGAACTTTTAACTGAGTTAAGATTAAAAAGGATGTGTACAAAAATGGAAAAGGGGGAAACCACCAAAGAGGAATTCAAACAAATAGCCAGCACGTGTAGACACAAAGTCAGAAAAGCTAAAGCACAGAATGACCTCAGGCTTGCTACAGACGCTAAAAGCAACAAAACCTGCTTTTATGGGTATGTTCGTAGCAAAAGGAAGAACAAAGAAACAGTGGGGTCACTCAGAGGAGAAGATGGTGACATGCAAACAGGGGACACAGAAAGGGATGAACTCCTCAATGCCTTCTTTGCCTCAGTCTTCTCCGATAAATAAAACAATGCCCGACCTGAAGAATTTGAAGCAAATGATTCAGCAAAGGAAACACAGCCCAGAATAACTAAGGAGATAGTACAAGAATACTTGGCTAGTTTAGATGTATTCAAGTCTCCAGGGCCAGATGAACTGCATCCAAGAGTATTAAAAGAACTGGCAGATGTGATCTCAGAACCACTGGCAGTCATCTTTGAGAATTCCTGGAGAACAGGCGAAGTCCCGGCAGACTGGAGGAGGGCAAATGTTGTCCCTATTTTCAAAAAGGGGAAAAGAGAGGACCCAAATAATTACCGCCCAGTCAGTCTGACATCAATACCAGGGAAGATTCTGGAGCAGATCCTTAAGCAAACAGTCTGTGAGCACCTAGAAAGGAATGCTGTGATCACCAATAGTCAGCATGGATTTCTGAAAAATAAGTCATGTCAGACTAACCTGATCTCGTTTTTGACAGAATTACAAGCCTGGTAGATGAAGGGAACGCAGTGGATGTAGCCTACCTTGATTTCAGCAAGGCATTTGACAAGGTGCCCCATGATATTCTTGTAAAGAAGCTGGTAAAATGCGGTCTTGACTATGCTACCACTCAGTGGATTTGGAACTGGCTGACTGACTGAACCCAAAGGGTGCTCATCAATGGTTCCTCTTCATCCTGGAGAAGAGTGACTAGTGGGGTGCCACAGGGTTCTGTCTTGGGCCCGGTCTTATTCAACATCTTTATCAACGACTTGGATGATGGACTCAAGGGCATCCTGATCAAATTTGCAGATGACACCAAACTGGGAGGTGTGGCTAACACCCCAGAGGACAGGATCACACTTCAAAACGACCTTGACAGATTAGAGAACTGGGCCAAAACAAACAAGATGAATTTTAACATGGATAAATGTAAAGTATTGCACTTGGGCAAAAAAAATGAGAGGCACAAATACAAGATGGGTGTCACCTGGCTTGAGAGCAGTACATGTGAAAAGGATCTAGGAGTCTTGGTTGACCACAAACTTGACATGAGCCAACAGTGTGACGCGGCAGCTAAAAAAGCCAATGCAATTCTGGGCTGCATCAATAGGAGTATAGCATCTAGATCAAGGGAAGTAATAGTGCCACTGTATTCTGCTCTGGTCAGACCTCACCTGGAGTACTGTGTCCAGTTCTGGGCACCACAGTTCAAGAAGGACACTGACAAACTGGAACGTGTCCAGAGGAGGGCAACCAAAATGGTCAAAGGCCTGGAAACGATGCCTTATGAGGAACGGCTAAGGGAGCTGGGCATGTTTAGCCTGGAGAAGAGGAGGTTAAGGGGTGATATGATAGCCATGTTCAAATATATAAAAGGATGTCACATCGAGGAGGGAGAAAGGTTGTTTTCTGCTGCTCCAGAGAAGCGGACACGGAGCAATGGATCCAAACTACAAGAAAGAAGATTCCACCTAAACATTAGGAAGAACTTCCTGACAGTAAGAGCTGTTTGACAGTGGAATTTGCTGCCAAGGAGTGTGGTGGAGTCTCCTTCTTTGGAGGTCTTTAAGCAGAGGCTTGACAACCATATGTCAGGAGTGCTCTGATGGTGGTCTCTTCCAACTCTATGATTCTATGATTCTATGATCATGGAGCCCAAGAAAGTAAAATCTCTCACTGCCTCCATTTCTTCCCCTTCTATTTGCCAGAAGGTGATGGAACCAGTGGCCATGATCTTAGTTTTTTTGATGTTGAGCTTCAGACCATAATGAAGATATATAGGCAATTCTTAAAGCTACCTTCATAGCTTGGGGCCTTCAGATGCACGCTATCCATTTAGAGCATATTCGCTACACATTTAAAGTGCATGACCACCCCCAAAGGATCCTGGGAGGTGTAGTTTATTCAGAGGGCTGAGATTTGCTAGGAGACTCCCATTCTCTTCAGAGAGCTACAGTTCCCAGAATTCCTGAGGAGGAAGGACTGCTTGGGAATTGTAGCTCTGTGAGGAGCATAGCAAATAGCAATAGCAGCTCCCTGTTTTTGAAAATGTAGTGCCTTGCTATTGTACCATAAGCTTTATATGTTTTAAGTGTGGTGTAATGGTTAAAATAGGGACGCGGGTGGTGCTGTGGGTTAAACCACAGAGCCTAGGACTTGCCAGTCAGAAGGTCTGCGGTTCGAATCCCCGCAACGGGTTGAGCTCCTGTTGCTCGGTCCCTGCTCCTGCTAACCTAGCAGTTCGAAAGCACGTCAAAGTGCAAGTAGATACATAGGTACCGCTCCAGCGGGAAGGTAAACGGTGTTTCCGTATGCTGCTCTGGTTCGCCAGAAGCGGCTTAGTCTTGCTGGCCACATGACCCAGAAGTTATATGCCGGCTCCCTCGGCCAATAAAGTGAGATGAGTGCCGCTACCCCAGTCGTCCATGACTGGACCTAATGGTCAGGGGTCCCTTTACCTTTACTAAATGGTTAAGGTGTCAGATTGTGACCTGGGAGAGACCAACCTACCTCACAGGGGTGTTGGGAGGATGAAATTGGGGGTGGGGAACCACTTTTAGCTGCTTGGAGGATAGGTGATATATTGGTGTGTTGGTGTTGGGGTGTGTGTGTGTGTGTGTGTGTGTGTGTGGGTGTGTGTTTGACAACACTTAGGTGGAATCTGCCCACATATAAGAAACGCTGTGAAAATGTTTTTTTTAAAAAAAGGTTCTGAAAAGGCCATCAAATTTTGCATAGCTCACTATCGCCATCTTGTGTCACATGTGTACATTGCAATTTACATTTAAAACATTTTATTTGCAGCTGTATAGCTGAGTCTTTAGTCATCGTTCCTGACTAGTATAGCAATGTTTGCACCAGAGCCTAGGAATTATTCAGGATTAAGATGAGGGTCCAGTTGGGTCCAGTCATCTCCCACATATCCTCCAACATGTCCCAGAGGAAAATGAGGGTGCACGTCTTTGGCGGGGGCCACAATCCTGTGCGAGTCATGTGAACCCCCAATGAGAGCATGGCCCCCCAAAATACGCGTCTTTCAGGGATGTCCTGATTAAATTGGGGCAGTTAAGGGGTCTGCTATCACATCTTGAAATGCTGTCTCCCTGTCAAAATTTGAACGCACTTTTACACAGTCAGTGTGAGGAGAGTTGAAATACCTATTCCTGCAACATTTTCTCCTTGGTCTGTTTCCCTTCTCTAGCCCAAAATAACCCCCAGAGATTTGGCCTTGGGTGTGTGTTGTAGCAGTAGGGCGGACGCTTGGGTAACTAGCTATATGTAAGGACCAGACTAGATTCAACATCAATTGTGCAATTCCTTTGCTAACTTGATATATACAGAACTGTGATTCTTTGTGAGGACACAGAAGTAAATTATTAGCTTGCTGGTAGCTGCATGAGAAAAGGGAGCGAGTGAAACGAGAACCTTTTACTTGTCTAACCTTTTATTTGCTCTATACAAATAACAATATTATTTAATAATAATTAAATTTAATTAAATTTAATAATAATTTTATTATTCTGTTCAAGTGCCAGTCCACTTGAACAGAATATTTTAAGATCGCTTTTTTCTAGACTACCCTTCACCCTCAGGCATCTGAGGGCAGTGCACAAAATACCATAAAAACAGCACATAAATACACAGAATCAGTAAAATCAATAGCTTTATTGGGACCAACAAATGCTCACAATGCCATGTGCAGACTTCTGAGCTATACAGAACTCAACCCCAGGCTGGATGCTGAAGATTTTGGTTTTTGTTTTTTTAAGGGAAAAGAGTTGCTTCTGAGAGAGGCTGTGGTGTTAACCGTTAAGCCACCCTCTGCAAATTGTTTCAGTCTTAAATTGTATTTTGCAGCCACGCAGCCTGATCCTTTGCATTTTTTACTTGGAAGTAAGTAGACCTGCTGGTTTCAATGGGACTCATACCCAAATAAGTATGCATAAGATGGCGGGTATTCATGGGTAGCAAACTACTGTGAATTTGACTGCATTAATTCCAAGGAATCATGTGCAGATACTGGATCGATAAGATGGTAATGGAGGGGTGTCTGCAAGCCTTAACTTGGTTAAGAATAAGAAGCTGTTACTGAATTAACTTGGCCGCTGTGTCCAGATTACTTAACCCCAATAAAAAAGGCATTATTGCTCTTTGCTTAAGTTTGTAACCCCAGGCAACAGACCTCTTTAAGCCAGTTCTTTAAGTCTTGTTTACTACCTCCGATTTGCACGGCACTTTTGTGTATACACAGTACTTTACAGTTCATACCTCATTAATTAAAGAAACCCAAGGAATGAAAAGCTGAGCCTGAATGCAAAAAGCATGCTGCTCTTTTCCCATGATGCATTACAAATAAATAAATTATTTTCTACAACAACCTGGCAGCAAAGATATGTTTTACCGCAATCTGGGAGCAAGGAACACATTTTCGCATTCCGGATTAACGTTCCCCTTGGTGGTCTTCTATAATGAATGAGATGCAGATGACAAAAAGGCTTTGTGTGTGCAGAAATCCTGCGGGAATGCTAAATAATAAATACGGCTTTTAAGAGGACGGTTCCGGAAAGGCACACCCGTCGCTTTTGTCATCCTCGACCTTTTGCACCAAGTCAGTCTTTTGCACCAAGCCAACCTTTTGCACAAAGTCAGACATTGTTCCACCCAGCTCAGCATGAAGGTAAATGGCCATTAGGTCCAGTTGTGGACGACTCTGGGGTTGCGGCGCTCATCTCGCTTTATTGACTGAGGGAGCCGGCGTACAGCTTCCGGGTCATGTGGCCAGCATGACTAAGCCGCTTCTGGCGAACCAGAGCAGCGCACGGAAACGCCGTTTACCTTCCCGCCGGAGTGGTACCTATTTATCTACTTGCACTTTGACGTGCTTTCGAACTGCTAGGTTGGCAGGAGCAGGGACCGAGCAACGGGAGCTCACCCAGTCACGGGGATTCGAACTGCCGACCTTCTGATAGGCAGGCCCTAGGCTCAGTGGTTTAGCCCACAGCGCCACCCGCATCCCATTGCCTGCACTGATTTCAGCAGATCGTGTCCTCCCTCAAAGAGGGCATGTGTTGCAGTGTGACCTGGCAACCAAACCTTGAGTTGTGGGTGGCTAAGATTGGATAGCCACAACACCCTATTGGTAGGTCCCTCGATGCTGGGTTTAATCAGGTCAATGGGACGCTAGCCAAATGGATCAAAGGACCTATATATGCCCATGCACGTGACCCTGAGCTTCCTCTTTGGGCCCGTGCATCGGAACACCCGCCCACCTCTCCCTATATTTAGGGCTTGTGCTTGACCTTGCTATGCCGTCGTCTGTCGTTGGGACAGGGGCACGGCAGGAATTTCCCCCACTTGGCTGATTGGCTGTTGCCATTTGGGTTAGCAAATTGTCACAACTTGTACGGTTGCAGATAGGCTCTGGTTCAGGTGATAGGGATGGGAGAACGCTCTCGCCATCCCTTTGTGAAGGGTATTCCGTTAAGGGAATCCAGGGACTCAATGGTTTGGTCAACCCTGAGAGGGGTTCTGCCCATGCCTGAGTCCAGGAGGACATCTGGGTGTTGGACTAGCCTGACCCCGGCTTTCTGCTGTTCCAGGTGTTCACCCTAGGCTGACCTATGCTGGTGCCCTGGGTCAGCGCTACCTGCCACAGTGCAGGGAGCTAGTCAAACCAGAGCCTATGCAACCACTCACTTGATGTAATCAATAAAGTTGTGGCTTAAATTCTGCCAAAAACCAAACCAAAATTTGAGTCTTGTCTGAATTTATTTAAGGGGGAGGTTAAAAGGTCTAAACACACAACTCTCCAGAATTTCAGACAGGACCTTTTCCTGCTTGGAGGTGCCTGGGATTTAGAGGAAAGGGCTGCAGTTCAGTGGTAGATTACAGGTCCCAAATTCAATCCCTGTGTTCTCTCAAGCTAGGGCCGGAAATGTACTGTGCCTGAAACTTCAGAGCCACTGCCAGTCAGTGCTTGACAGCTGCCCATTTCTTTCTCTTGAACCTTGGACTCAATGCCTGCTCTGCTGCTGAGCTATGGTAAAAGGTAAAGGTAAAGGACCGCTGGACGGTTAAGTCCAGTCAAAGGTGACTCTGGTGTTGCGGCGCTCATCTCACTTTCAGGCCGAGGGAGCCAGTGTTTGTCCACAGACAGCTTTCCGGGTCATCTGGCCAGCAGGACTAATAATAATAATAATAATAATAATAATAATAATAATTTATATCCCGCCCTCCCCAGCCATGTTTTTACTGTGATTTTATTGGTGTTAGCTGCCCTGAGCCTGGCTCTGGCCGGGGAGGGCAGGGTATAAATAAATTTATTATTATTATTATTATTATTATTATTATTATTCCAGTGGTTTCAGGAAACTGTTATTCAGAAGCACATTGCCACCTCTGAACATGCAGGCAGAGCATAGCCATCCTGGCTAGTCATCTTTGAAAGCCTTCTCCTCCATGAATTTGTCCTCTTTTAAAGCCATCTAGGTTGGTGGCCATCACTGCCTCCTGTGGCAATGAGTTCCGCAGTTTAACTCCGTGCCGCAGAGGACTTTCATCTGTCCTGAACTGTCCAACATTCAGCTTCATCAGATGACCATGTGTTCTAGTGTTAGGAGAGAGGGACAAAACCTTTTATCCTATCTCCTTGCTCCTTTTAAACTTTTGCATATTAATTTTAAAACTCCAGCACCGACTTTTTTCATGTATTCCTTAACGCATTCCCACTCTTTATTAATTTTTTTGATTAGAGTAGCCTCTAATTGATGCTGTTAAGTATGCCATCTCTGTGATTTCAAGAAATTTAGTTCTCCATTCTAATAATTCTGGTACTGATAGTTTTCCAATTTTTTGCCACTACAATTCTGGCTGCTGCGTTTGCATAAAGGAATACATTCCTTTTATCCTCGGGGATGTCACTTGATACCAAACCCAGCAAAAATGCCTCTGGTTTTTTTAAAGATTGAACTCCTAAATATCTTTTTAAGCTTCATGTATCATAATCTAGAATTGTTTCACCACTTTGCACCCCCACCACATAGGATACATCAACTACACCTCTGTTTTACATCTTCCTGGGTCACTTTGTTTGCCCTTTGTGACCCTTTCCAAACTCTGCAAAATCCTTTTTGAGGTGAGGCAACTGCTGTTTTGCCTTTGCGCTGACTTTTAAAAAAATGCCCCTGAATAATTAATCTTGGCAGCACGTTATCCACAGCAGATCTGCTTATTAAAGCAGTTCAAATCTCTCCGCTAGGAAGGTGCTCCTTTTCGCAGTTCCCTTTCTGGAAATATATAGAGAAAAGCCTTGTCAGATGTTTCCCTGGGTACCTGAATCAGCAAGAGAGGCTTTTCCATGATAGCGAAACGTTGCATCATTATAGCTAGCAGAACCGTGGTGAAAATGGAGCCCTGAAATTCACCCCTTTGGCTTTCTTCTCTTCATAGAAGAGAAGAGCCAGTGTGGAGATGAGAGCCAGTGTGGTGTAGTGGTTAAGAGCGGTAGTCTTGCAATCTGGGGAACCGTGTTCGAGTCTCTGCTCCTCCGCATGCAGCTGCTGGGTGACCTTGGGCCAGTCACACTTCTCTGAAGTCTCTCAGCCCCACTCACCTCACAGAGTGTTTGTTGTGGGGGAGGAAGGGAATGTTAGCCGCTTTGAGACTCCTTCGGGTAGTGATAAAGCGGGATATCAAATCCAAACTCTTCTTCTTCTTCTTCTTCATCATAGCAACAGGCCGTTTAGCTGCCTTAGACCAAGCCAGACCATTTGTCTACATAGACCCAACATTGCCTGTTCTGGCTGGCAGTAGCTTTCATGGCAAACAGAGAGTAATCTACTGCCCAAGATCCTTCTTCGCCAGAGATGCCGGGGACAGGATGTGGGATCTTTGGGGGAAAAGATGCTCTGCCACTCGCTTCCAACCCAAATGTGGTGGTACCTTATGCTGGCAACTCATCAAGCCCCATATTTTCCACCAGGGCTAGCAGAGGCACTTTGCTGTCTTAGTATTTCCCAAGCCTGCAATCAGACCCTCCAACTGTCTTGATTTTCCAGGGACAGTCCCGGAATTACAGAAGCCATTCCGGTTTCTGGTTTGATCCTGAAATGTCCCTCTTTTCCTTCACTGGAGAAATGCTGGAGGCAATGGAATTTCTTGTTGTTTAGTCGTTTAGTCGTGACCGACTCTTCGTGACCCCATGGGCCAGAGCACGCCAGGCACTCCTGTCTTCAGCTTGGTCAAACTCATGCTGATAGCTTCGAGAACACTGTCCAACCATCTTGTCCTCTGTTGTCCCCTTCTCCTTGTGCCCTCCATCTTTCCCAACATCAGGGTCTTTTCCAGGGAGTCTTCTCTTCTCATGAGGTGGCCAAAGTATTGGAGCCTCGGCTTCAGGATCTGTCCTTCCAGTGAGCACTCAGGGCTGATTTCCTTCAGAATGAAGAGGTTTGATCTTCTTGCAGTCCATGGGACTCTCCAGAGTCTCCTCCAACACCATAATTCAAAAGCATCAAATCTTTGGCGATCAGCCTTCTTTATGGTCCAGCTCTCACTTATAGGATGTTCCTATTTTCGTCAGAAAAATGCTGAAGGGGGTGGAATAAGATGTCCCTATTTTCATTTGAGAAATGTTGGATGGTATGCAATTTGAGAACCTTTGAAACCAGCCAGGACTTCCTCCTTTGCCTTGCTCTGAACTTAATCTGCATTTGGAGGAGGCGGCTTTCATTTTAAGGGCACAGGAAGATTGGGCAGAATCCTGATTCCTGTAAGGAAAAAAATGACAAACCTTTTTTTCAGAGATGAGAGGGCAGTTCTCTGAGCAAAGGAGGCCTCTCACCTTGGCAGGGCGCAGAAGACACTGGAGAAATGATGGGGATCATATGAAACTTTCAAAAACAGGCGCCGGGAGCGTTTTCCAGACCAGGGGCCACATTCTTGCATGGGCAGCCTCCCAAGGGCCACATGGCAGTGGTGGGTGGGGCCAAAGGCAAGAGAGAGTGGAGCAATTGATGTAAATTTTACCTACAGCAGACTGGTGTCCACGCACCCTCCAGACAGCCAAGAGGCATGACCAGAGTTCAAGGATATATCCCACCCAGGCAAAAACACCCAAAGAAGGTATGAAGTAAGAGCTGGAAAGGGCTGTGGCCTGAGAGGAGAGGGGTTGGCTGTGGAGAGTCCCAGGGCCAGATAAAGATCCGCATTTGGCCCCCAAGCCTGAGATCCCCTTCCCCTCTTCTGGAATCAACCACCTCCATTGTGAATCCAGGACCCTCTGTCTTGTTCGCAGCAGGTGGTGCGATGGGCCAGTCTGTGTGGCTGCTGACATGAAGGTTGGGGGTTCAAGCCCACCCAGGGGTAGCTGTGGGCAGGATTCCTGCAGTGCAGTGGGTGCTACTAGGTAACTGTTATGTACTGAGTTGAATAGGATCCAAAAGGCAGCAGTCTGATTGGTCCTAGAACAATAGGGTCCAGAATGCAGCAGTCTGATTGGTCCACAGGAGCCACCCAATCCAGCTCCAGGTGGAAGTGAATCCGCAACCAGATTGGCCTACAGGTGAATCCCGGAATTAGCCAATCACATGGGGCCCATTGTGTAAATAATGTATATAAAGCAGACATTCTGGGGGAACTTCCATTCTGCCTCACCACTATGAGCTGAATAAAGAGCATGAAATCCACTCTCGACTCCGAGTATATTTCAGTAACCCTCTGGGTCCCTTCCAACTTACCATTCCGTGACTCGATGAAGGTTGTGTTTCCGATGGTTTGTGTGAAAAAGCTGTATCTCAAGCCTGGGTAAGTTATGAAACAGCAGAAATGCAGACAACCACCCATACAGTTCAAACTCACTGCTTTATACTGGATTGTCCTTATTTGGCAGTGACAGACTGTATGTTAATATGTTAATTTTTTTAAAAAATGAGCTCAGGTAAATCCCTTTTTGCCCTGGAGCTGAAATGAAACACAGTCGGGGCGGCCCAGGCAGCTTCCTAGCGACTCTGCAGTTCTGTTCGCAAAAGACACACATTTCTGTCCTTGGATGATCTATTGGGGTGGCGTAGGGGGTGAGGACATATTTTCCAGCTCTGTGTGATTTATTTTTATTTTGAAAGGGCTGTCCTTCAACAGGGAAGTGTCAGCTACAGAGGCGTGTTTTGGGTGGGAACCTCTATGCAGCAAAGGCAAAACCATCACAATTGCAGAATTCGCAGAGCACTTTAAATGTTTGTGGCTTGCTTTCTTTCTTTAGGGGAAAAGCGAGCGATGACTCCATCAGCGAATATGTGTTGCTTTAAAACAAAATAACAGGCCACCTGCCCAACTTGCAAGAGATTGGGCTGAGATGCCTTTAAATGATGGCTCCTATAACTTCACAATCTGGCATCCTGTGGCTATCTGGTGGTCAGCATAAGATCAACCTATCACCATCCCAGAACTGCATTATTCAGTTTTCAGAGACTGTTTTCTGCAAATCAGCTGTTAGTTGATTCCTGCATTGCAGGGGGCTATGATTCCATACGACAATCATCTTTGGACCAACCCAGTCATGGTCACCATAATTTTGAATTCTGCTGCTGGAGGAGACTCTTGAGAGTCCCATGGACTGCAAGAAGATCAAACCTCTCCATTCTGAAGGAAATCAGCCCTGAGTGCTCACTGGAAGGACAGATCCTGAAGCTGAGGCTCCAAGACTTTGGCCACCTCATGAGAAGAGAAGACTCCCTGGAAAAGACCCTGATGCTGGGAAAGATGGAGGGCACAAGGAGAAGGGGACGACAGAGGACGAGATGGTGGGACAGTGTTCTTGAAGCTACCAGCATGAGTTTGACCAAACTGCAGGAGGCAGTGGAAGACAGAAGTGCCTGGCGTGCTCTGGTCCATGGGGTCACGAAGAGTCTAACAACAACAAAGTCATGGTGGGAAAACAGGGAACACAGGAAGCTGGCTGATCCTGCGCCAGACCACTGGCCGACCTAGGGTCCAGTATTGCCCACTCAGACTGGCAGCAGCTCTTCAGGATTTCAGAGAGGCGACGATCCCAGCTGTACCGGGAGAGGCTGAAGTTCAAACCCGGGGCCTTCTACATGCAGAGTGGATGGTGCTCTGTCACTGAGCTACGGCTCTTAAGACATGGGACACTGCCTTATACGAAGGCAAAACCCTGGCCCATCTTGTTTAGTATTGTCTACACAGGCTGGCAGTGGCTCTCCGGGATTTCATGCAAGGGACATTTGCAGCCCAACCTGGAGACATCAGGCATTGAACTTGGGGCATTCAGATTCCAACGCAGATGCTCTTACAGCCCTTCCCCTAAATCTTGGTCCTGAACAGGGTAACTGTGCCCCTGAAGGACCAGGTGCGCAGCCTGGGAGTCATTTTGGACTCACAGCTGACCATGAAGGTGCAGGTTAATTCTGTGTCCATGGTGGCTGTCTACCAGCTCCACCTGAGCTGAGACCCTACCTGCCTATGGACTGTCTTGCCAGAGTGGTGCCTGATCTAGTTATCTCCTGCTTGGACTACTGCCATGTGCTCTACGTGGGGCTACCTTTGAAGGTGACCCAGAAACTACAATTAATCCAGAATGCAGCAGCTAGACTGGTGACTGGGAGTGGCCGCCGGGACCACATAACACCGGTCCTGAAAGACCTACATTGGCTCCCAGTATGTTTCCGAGCACAACTCAAAGTGTTGGTGCTGAACTTTAAAGCCCTAAACGGCCTCGGTCCAGTAGACCTGAAGGAGCGTCTCCACCCCCATCGTTCTGCCCAGACATTGAGGTCCAGCGCCGAGGGCCTTCTGGCGGTTCCCTCATTGTGAGAAGTGAACCAGACAGAGGGCCTTCTTGGTAGTGACGCCCGCCCTGTGGAGCGCCCTCTCTTCAGATGTGAAGGAAATAAGCAGCTACCTTATCTTTAAAAGACATCTGAAGGCAGCCCTGTTTAGGGAAGTTTTTAATATTTTAATGCTGTATTGTTTTTAACACTTGATTGGAAGCCGCCCAGAGTGGCTGGGGAAACTCAGCCAGATGGGCGGGGTATAAATAATAATAATAATAATAATAATAATAATAATAATAATATTTATACCCCACCCATCTGGCTGGGTTTCCCCAGCCACTCTGGGCGACTTCCAAGAGAACACTAAAATACAATAACCTATTAAACATTGAAAGCTTCCCTAAAGAGGGCTGCCTTCAGATGTCTTCTAAAAGTTTGGTAGTTATTTTTCTCTTTAACATCTGGTGGGATGGCGTTCCACAGGGCGGGTGCCTTTATCTATCTATCTATCTACCGCTCCATCGATCAATCTATGAGATGGGGAATCTGTTTTTTTACCTGTGAAAGAGTGCTCAGGTGAGTGATCTGAGCCTCACCCCCTGCCTTCACCACGCACCTGCCCAGAAACGGAGTCAGAAACTGGGCAGAAACTTGCTGGAAGTGAAAGGGGTGAGGTGCAGGATCTGCTCCTCTCACCCACGAACACATCATGTTGTAAATGTCGGGTTTCACCCCCTGCCTTGTATGGGAAGTGGGCAGCCCTGTGAATAAGGAAGCACACGACCCAAAGACATCCAGGCTGGATCTTTAGCTTATGTCCGCTCTTCTTGTTGCATCAAGGAAGCTCCAAAGTTATCAGACCAAAGGGGACCCATCTAAGCCCGGCACCCTCTTTCTCACGTGTCCCGGGGGGAAGCCTGCAAGCAGAAAAAGAGGACAACAGCTTTCTACCACATTGCTCATGCCCCAAGACCCAGAATTCAGAGGTACTCTGCCTGGACATGGAAGTTTCACTTAGCTGTCATGACTACAGGTGAAACTTGAACAATTAGAATATCATGGAAAAGTTCATTCATTTCAGTAATTCAACTTAAAAGGTGAAACTAATATATGAGATCGACTCATGACATGCAAAGCGAGAGATGCTTCTACTTCTCAGAGGTCCAATCTTACTCGATTTGCAAGCCTTGCTTTGCTGATTTCCTTGAATATTCTCATTTTCTGAGATGGTTAATTGGGGGTTTTCATCAGCTGTACGCCATGTTCATAGCAATGAAATAAATCAAGGCTTGACATATCTCGCTTTGCATGTCACGAGTCTATCTCATATAAGAGTTTCACCTTTGAAGTTGAATTAGTGAAGGAAAGGAACTTTTCCACGATATTCTAATTTTTCGAGTTTCACCTGTAATAGCCACTGTTAGATCTGTCTGGCATGAAAGTCTCATCTCTTTTAAAAGACATTTAAGCTAGTGGTCAGCCCCTCCCCCCCACCATGTGGCAGTGAGTTCCATAAACCAGAGGCAGGGCCTTTTCAGCACTGGCCCCGGCCTGGTGGAACGCTCTGCCTCATGAGACCAGGGCCCTGCCGGATCCGATTTCTTTCTGCAGGGCCTGTAAGACAGAGTTGTTCCACCTGGCCTTTGGCTTGGAATCAACTTGATCCCCTCCCCCTCTTTCCTTTTTCCTTTCTCCTTCTGTGATGGAACTCCTATTTGGGGACTTTTTTCTGGCCGACGTAGGACCAGTCTGGATAGTTGGCCTTGGTGAAGACTTGACGTTTTCATCCCCCCAAAAGTTTTTGATTTGAGTTCCTACTGAAATGAGGCTGCATTTTAATGTTGTATTTTAATCTTGTTTTTAAGCTGTATTTCAATCAATTGTTTTTATACTGGTGTTAGCCGCCCTGAGCCCAGTCTTGGCTGGGGAGGGTGGGGTATAAATAAAATTTAATAATAATAATAATAACAATAATAATAATAATAATAATCAACCCATACTTTGATAAGTGAAGGGTTTTCTTTACTGTTTATGCTGCCCTGAATACCCAACTAATAGGTTCCTCTGCATTCCGTTTTGCTCCTGGGTGCCATTCCCCATGGTCCTCAGCAGCACAGAACATCCTTCCTCTTTTCAGGATTCTGAGCCCTTTTCCTTTTAAAAAGCAAAATACATAGCTTGGGAGGGCGTAAAAATGGGAGCGAAAGGTCCTTAAGATGTCTACCACTCAGGGAAGAGGGCACATCGTAATGTTGTTGTTGTTGTTTAGTCGTTTAGTCATGTCCACCTCTTTGTGACCCCATGGACCAGAGCACGCCAGGCACTCCTGTCTTCCACTGCCTCCCGCAGTTTGGTCAAACTCATGTTCGTAGCTTCAAGAACACTGTCCAACCATCTCGTCCTCTGTCGTCCCCTTCTCCTTGTGCCCTCCATCTTTTGAATTCTGGTGCTGGAGGAGACTCTTGAGAGTCCCATGGACTGCAAGAAGATCAAACCGATCCATTCTGAAGGAAATCAGCCCTGAGTGCTCACTGGAAGGACAGATCCTGAAGCTGAGGCTCCAAGACTTTGGCCACCTCATGAGAAGAGAAGACTCCCTGGAAAAGACCCTGATGTTAGGAAAGATGGAGGGCACAAGGAGAAGGGGACAACAGAGGACGAGATGGTGGGACAGTGTTCTCAAGGCTACCAGCACATTGTAATACGGCCCGTCAATTTCCCCCCCATATTGGCAGTCACCATGATGCAACGGGGAGCTGAGTAGGAGCTTTTGGAGTGTAGATCTCCCACCCATTAAAAATTCCTTACTGCAGTTGACTATAAGTATAAGGATTCCCCTTCTCAAATCCTAATGAAAACATTGACACACCAGGTTGCATTAGCTTCAGTTTGCCTTCCAGAAGGAGAAACCACGAATCTGCCCATTTGGCGCAGCATCACTTGGGAGCAGGACAAACCATTTTTATTCCGGGTCCTATTAGTAAGTTAACAGTAGAGCTTTGATGCCCCTGCTCTCACCCTCCCCAGCTGCCTCTCTGAACACACAAGAGTCCCGTGGGCTGCCAACAAGAGCTTGCCGTCTTGTCTGGAAGAGTCTGGCGATGCTCTTCTTCCTGGGAACCGTTGATGAGTTGAAAGTCAATCCTTTATTGGCAACACAGCTGCAAAGGCACCTTTGAAAATAACCCCAGAGGAGGCGCAGCAGCAACAACAGCAGCAGCAAGGAAGGGCTTTTAAGTCCCGATCCACACCTCTAAAACACATCTGTTCGCTGTGGGAGCAAGCATGCCATCCATATATCGGAGATTACCATCCTTTTTGCTAGCCAAGGATTGCCTTGGCAAGAAGGTGGCTGGCATCAGGAAGGGGAAAGCTGAGATGCCAGTCCTGTTCAAAAGCCCCAGAGCTGAGTAACCAGCCCAGCCTGGTAACTAAAGGCCTACACAACATGATAAGCCAGCCTCATCTAACACCAGACGAGGAATATATATATATATGTGTGGGGGGGGGTATCTGTGCCTGTAATAAACCGAAGTTATACTCTTTAGGAAAACCTCCCCAGTTATTTCAAATAATAGCTTACTGCACTGTAAAATGTAAGGCTAGTTGTGCTATAGCAACCCTGAACACCTCCCTACCTGGGGAAAGAACCCCTTTCCTAGAAGGGCAGGGATCTCTTGCTCATAGCTCAAGGTTTCCCCTTGGCTCATATTTGGAAAAGCTATAGGCAGGGAGCAGCTTCCCACAGCTTAAAAAAAGATCCAGTCTGGACGGTCTGGCTAACAGCCTGCGACGTGCACCCAATCCGAGGCACCAGAGACACTACAGATGGGTTTGTAAATAATCGCAGCTGGCATTGCAAAGGTCCCCAAGACCCACATCGAAAAATGGAACAAATTTGCTTGGGAGGGAGATCCTGTGCAGTTATGGGCCTTGCGAGGGGAGACCGGAAAGACCGTTTCCTTGAATGTGCAAATCCCACGCCACTGTGATCCAGCATTTTTCTAGATCACAAGAACGAAGCTAGATCTTTACAGCATATGCAAGGGACAAATATATAGCCATTTCCAGTCCCCACCCCCTTCTGCCTCCTTAACGGATTAGAATTATTTGTTGTTAATATTCCTAGAATAAGGCCTGGTTGACTTTCACTAAGCTTCAAAGCTGGTGGTGGCAGCAGTAGCTGAAGACGGTTAGGACACCCACACAAAATAAGCTACTTCATCCAAATCGACAGGATAATCCGTCACCAAGGTGGGTGTCTTTTCAAAGAGCTCCCCTTTGTAGCTGCGCCATTTGCCAGCTGGGATGTAAATGTCTCTCTCTTGCTTGCCCATCTCCAAGACGGGAGCCACCATCAGGGTGTCCCCAATCAGGAACTGGGAATCGATCTTGTGTGCAGCCTCATCGTGGGGAGAAATCCACCAGATGGGCCGGATGATGGGGTCCCCAGTGTCGGTGATCTCCCCGGCCAGCTCCAGCAAGAGGGGGGCAACCAAAGACTCATGGAGCCTGGTGAACTTCAGGGCGATGTCTATGACCTCTCTGTCGTAGAGCCACGGTGGGATGGAGAACTGCATGGAAGGCATGAAGGCTGACAGCTCCAGCCATCGGATGTAGAGCTCTTGGTCTGGGATTTCCACCGCCCCATCCGTCTTGTTGGGAAAGAAGTTCCCGCCAATCATGTCGGCCGATATGAAAGGGTATCCCAGCATACTGATGGTCAAGACAGTCGGTATCAACGACTTCAGCCCAAGCTCATAACCCCAGACAGAATCCCTGTCAATGATGCGGAAGAAGCAGGAGATGTTCTGAGACTGGTAGCCAACCCTGACTTCCGCTAGCTCGTAAAATGGGATGGCCATTTCCGTGTAGCGCCTGGACCAAATGCTGGGGTCCGACAAGGGGCGGAAGGTGCTGAACTGTTTGGGAAGGTAGCTGGTCTCTCCGGCATCAAACTTGAAAGAAGAGATGCCGTACTTACTCCGGAGTTGCCTCAGGTGGCTCTGGAACCAATCCCTGGCCGCAGGGTTGGTGAAATCCAATATGGCGCCAATTCCATTCCACCACTCGACCATAGCAGGAAGCCTCCCTGTCGGCTCCTTGATGAAAAGCTGTCTCTCTATTCCTACCCCAAAGTTGGAGGAATTGTAGTTTATGAATGGGTGTGTCCAGAGAGTGACCTGAAACCCGTCTTCTTTGAGTTTCTTGAACGTCTCCGTCACGTTCGGGAACTTGACCGGGTCGAAGTCGAAGTCCCCGTACGCTTGCGTGTAGGTGTCGTCTATCTCGATGTGGCTCCAGTTGAACTTGTACTTTTTGATCTTCTCAGCAAAGCGCAGCAGCTTGTCCTGGTCGATGTCATTTTTGTACAAGGCCCAGGTCGACCAGATCGGGTACTTGAAGGCGTTTTCCGAGGGAATCTTCGAAGGCTTGTAGAAATACTTCCTCACCATGTACTTGTGGATGGAGGTCACGTCGGAGCCGATACAGACACGGTAGCTCAGCTCTGGGAACGGCGGCTGCCCCAGCGGAGGCTTGTAGGGGGAATCTTTGTACCTGGCCTGGAAGACGAGGGACCTTTCGGAGGCGTTGAACCCGAGGTGGAAGGGCACGGAGTCGTTGATCTTGATGGCGGCTGCTTTGGAGGACAGCCAGTACCTCTCTAGGATGCCCCCAAAGCTGTTCCTGAAAGAGTACACGTCGCTGGTCACGAACGGCATGGGCTCCTGGTACCCGGGCAGCTTAATGGGCCAGTGCTGCACGCTCATCTCGCAGCCCCCATACCAGTGGGCGTCCCCCCAGAACATCTTGTGCTCCACCACGGTGTCCGCCACAAACTCCTCCCAGCGGACCCGGTAGCACATCACCGTGTCTTTTGGGGTGACAATCTTAATGAAGAAGTTGAGCTTCCCTTTGTCAGTCCTGGTGCAGGTTAGATTCGCACCCTCCCTGGAGCAAGACTCCAAGTCAAGAATGCCCGACTGGAAGGCCAACCTGAAGACGATCTCCCCATCCTGGTTTTTGATGGTGAAGCCGTCCTGATGGAGGTCCATCTGCTCCGTCTTCAGCCTCTCCGCCTTCCGAAGGGATGACACGTAGTAGCACCAGGCCACCACGGCTGCGATGAGCAGGATGAGGCCGAGCACAATGGCCACTATCATGGGTTTCAACTCCTTGACCGGCTTCTGCTTCACGGGGGTGAAGTTCTCCGGCAGAAACGAGTACATGGCTGTGTCTTATCTGGAGGAGCTCTTTCCAAAACAGAGATCTTGTCACCTTATCTGCAAATATCTATCTTGTAGCAAAGGGCTCTCTGCCCTCCACTCCTTATGACCGGGTCTCTCTCATTGAAATAAGGGCATTTGTCTTCATTAGAATACACACCATTTTCTTTCCGGTCCAATTCAATGCCAGAATGCAGTTATCTGGAAGGCAAGAAGGGAGAAAAGAGGGAGAATGAGGAAAGGAGGCCAGGAAAACGATGGAGCGAAAACAGGGACCCCCAACCTTTAAGGACATATTTCAGAATCGAAGAACAAAATACAAATATCACTGAATTAAAACATGTTCAGAATCTCCCCCCACTCCCCACAACAGGCAAATCACATATATAAAAAAACAGAAAAACAGGCAATTCCCGAAACAACCCACCTCAAAAGTAAAAACAAAAAACACCCCTCAATTTACAACTAAATAAAAACTAAAAACTGGGAGGGGCCAGGAGCCTTGGTAGGTGCCAAGACCATGGTGCCCACGAGTGCCATGTTGGGGACCCCAGGCTTAAGAAGAAGAAGAAGAAGAAGAGTTTGGATTTGATATCCCGCCTTTCACTCCCTTTAAGGAGTCTCAAAGCGGCTAACATTCTCCTTTCCCTTCCTCCCCCACAACAAACACTCTGTGAGGTGAGTGGGGCTGAGAGACTTCAGAGAAGTGTGACTGGCCCAAGGTCACCCAGCAGCTGCAGGTGGAGGAGCAGGGAAGCAAACCCGGTTCCCCAGATTACGAGTCCACCGCTCTTAACCACTACACCACACTGGCTTATAAACCTTAAAAGGTTTATATGTCCTTTACTTTAGTGTATCCGCTGGTGGCCTATTAAGTTGGCCTGGCTGTCTAACCACTGGGCTTTATGAATGCAAGGCCTCATAACCCAGTGGCTGCTTTTGCCAGCTGAAAATAGCTGGTGGTGCTTGGCGTGGGGGGGTCACAACAGCAAGGGAGCCAAAGGCACAGATTTGCTTCCATGTGGCTGGAATGCTATAACCCCCCCCCCCCTGAACACACACACACACACACACACACACACACACCTGTAGTGGCAACTGTCCTGTTGCCTTTATGCCTGAATTTGGCACAACACATTGCCTTTCACGTAGGTACTGCAAATCCTAGAATGCCCTCCCCACCATATTTGCATTAGAGGACAAATGCAAAATTGGGAAGTCTCCTGTTTGCCTGTACGAATGAGAACTGCTCCCTTGACTTTAGGAGACAGATTTGTTCCCGTCTCCAATAACAGGGATCCCGTAGTCCCTGGCCTTTAAATCCATTACAGGCCGTTCTGCCCAAGGTTGCTTAAATGCACACACGCACAGCATTTAAATGTGGGGCCCTCCAGGAACGCCGCCCCCTTTACTGTGCATTGCTGGTGATTTGTGGTCAGGATGGTGTGTGGGTGGTTACACACAAACCCACTTTCAATACTGTTTGCTACAGGGATACATTCAGTAGGTGGGAATTAGAGGGCATCAGACTTCGGCTAAGCTCTAGGTAGAAGCTTGCCAATGGCAGCAATGGAGCAGAGCTTTCTCAGGTAAAGAGGGCAGAGATATTGAAGCAGGGGTCGGATTGCACTGAGTGGGGGCTTGAACCTGGTGACTTCAGAGGTCTCTCCCTGCTCAGTGAAGTAAAAGGAGGTGGCCTTCAGACATCTGCTGCAACGAAGGCAGCTGCTGTGTTGTTTGTTCGCTCAGAGCCAAACCGCTGTTCTCAGCACCTCCATGAAGCCATGCTAATTAACATCTTACCAAGGGTGACGCTAAATAGGGATCACAAACCTGCAAAATCAGGTTTCATCTTTTGCTGGAAGAGGAACGCGTAACCCCGAGGGAGGTTTCAGGTTGCGGCTGGCATGGGGAGCGCCTCTCCCACTCCCGATGTTGTCATCGTATCCAAATGCCGCTGGTCAGAGAAGCAAGTTATTTTTTGCTAACAGACCCTGGGGCCTCTCTAGGGAATATTCCTAAGGGGCAGCCATCCTCCTGCCTGCCTCCCCACACTTGCTGCTGCTGCTGCTGCTTGGAATAGTAAAGGTTAAGGGACCCCTGACCATTAGGTCCAGTCGTGGCCGACTCTGGGGTTGCGGCACTCATCTCGCTTTCAGGCCGAGAGAGCCGGCGTACAGCTTCCGGGTCATGTGGCCAGCATGACTAAGCCGCTTCTGGCGAACCGGAGCAGCGCACAGAAACGGAAACCTTCCCGCTGGAGTGGTACCTATTTATCTACTTGCACTTTGACATGCTTTTGAACTGCTAGGTTGGCAGGAGCAGGGACCGAGCAACTGGAGCTCAACCTGTCACAGGAATTCGAACCACCGACCTTCTGATCTGCAAGTCCTAGACTCTGTGGTTTAACCCTTGGAACAGTATCAGCTGCCAAAAGATGGGCCTGCTAATCCCAGTTTCTGAGATGGCATATCCAGCCACAGCACATGGCTGTTTTTCGCTCGCTTTGGCCAAATGCAGATGGCACGGGTCTAGGAAAGGGTCTGCAATTCTGGCTCCAACGCAACATTTCTAGGCAGCAGGTGACTCACGAAGCAGGTCACTTGACTGGATACCTGAGTCAAAATGTAAGCCCCATCTACACTAAACATTTAAAGCAGTATCATCATCATCATCATCATCATTTTATTATTTATACCCCACCCATCTGGCTGGGTTTCCCCAGCCTCTTTGGGTGGCACCCAATAGAACACTAAAAACAGAATAAAACTTCAAACATTAAAAACTTCCCTAAACAGGGCTGCCTTCAGATGTCTTATAAAAGTCAGATAGTTGTTTATTTCCTTGACATCTGACGGGAGGGCATTTCACAGGGCGGGCGCCACTACTAAGAAAGCCCTCTGCCTGGTTCCCTGTAACCTTACTTCTCGCAGGGAGGGAACCGCCAGAAGACCCTTGGAGCTGGATCTCAGTGCCCGGGCAGAATGATGGAGGTGGAGACGCTCCTTCAGGTATACTGGACTGAGGCCGTTTAGAGCTTTAAAGGTCAACACCAACACTTTGAATTGTGCTTGGAAACATCCTGGGAGCCAATGTAGGTCTTTCAAGACCAGTGTTATGTGATCCCGGCGGCTGCTCCCAGTCCCCAGTCTAGCTGCCGCATTCTGGATTAGTTGTAGTTTCTGAATCACCTTCAAAGGTAGCCCCACGTGGAGCACATTGCAGTAGTCCAAGCGGAAGATAACTAGAGCATGCACAACTTTAAACACTTGTGGCTTCCCCAAAGAACTCAGGGAACTGTGGTTTGTTAAGCAGGCTGAGATTTGTTTGGAGACCCGCGTTCCCTGAACAGAGGTACAATTCCCCAGAGGGATGGGTTAATAGTCTGTTCCTCTCCCCAGGGAATTCTGGGAACTGTCCAGCAAAGTCACCAGTTAGCTGAAGCAGGGAGAGCAATCATAAATTTGGGAAAATGCAGGCTGGACCCGAAGATGATTTGATGAACGGCAGCCATACAAAAAAGTTCAGAAAAGTCGCTGCCCCATCAAGCTCACCCAGCAGCACAGACTAAATAAATCTTTTCATCCCTTTAACTCCTAGCTTTTCAGTTGTTTTCAATAATGGGATTATGGCGGCATTAGAAGAGATTAGCCACAGCAAGCGACAGATTTAACCAAAGGAAGCGTTCAGCTGCCAAGTCCCCGCACTAAGGGCGGGTTGAAGGCAGGAGGTCACTTTGCAACCCATTAAGGGCACTACCCAATTAAAGGCTTCAATTAATTATGTGAGAGTTTTCTCTCGGTTAAATATGCATAAATTGGCATAGGGCTATCTGGAGAAGCACTGGGCTGCATCCAGAGAACATGATGCTTCCGTAGTGGGATTTACTATTCTTACACGTTGGGACGCAGGTGGCGCTGTGGGTTAAACTGCAGAGCCTAGGGCTTGCCGATCAGAAGGTCGGCGGTTCGAATCCCCGCGACGGGGTGAGCTCCCGTTGCTCGGTCCCAGCTCCTGCAAACCTAGCAGTTTGAAATCACATCAAAGTGCAAGTAGATCAACAGGTACCTCTCCGGCGGGAAGGTAAACGGCGTTTCCGTGCGCTGCTCTGGTTCGCCAGAAGTGGCTTAGTCATGCTGGCCACATGACCCGGAAGCTGTACACCGGCTCCCTCGGCCAGTAAAGCAAGATGAGCGCTGCAACCCCAGAGTCGGCCACGACTGGACCTAATGGTCAGGGGTCCCTTTACCTTTACACATTGTTCCAGCACAGGGTGTGAGTCTGGAAAGGCACCTTTGCATTCCACAAAACCACCCTGATGCTGCAGCTGGCCAGTGGTCCATTGAGTCCTCATCCTGTTCTCACAGTGGCCATCCAGACGCTGAAAGCAGATCCTACGAACAGGATCTGGGCCCATCAGCACTTTCCCCTCCTGAGGTCTCCAGCCACTGGAATTCAGAAGCACACATCCCAAAACAGAGTTGTAACTCTTACTCGAAAGGCTGAAAAGCTCAGCAGATTATCATTCCAAGTCAAGATTCCAGGGTACATGAGGCAGGCAAGAGTTTCATGATCAAACGGAAGCTATAGAGATGTTCTGACGGTTGACACATCCCCTCCTATGAAGCTTTTAAAGACAGGGCAGAGTGAGCTCATTTGTGGGACTTTCTCACCCTTTGGGTTTGCTCACTCCATCTGGGTGGGCTCATTTAATCCCTGTGGGATATCCAGCCTCATATAACCAGCATGCTTAAATCTAATAAATGCATGAAGAGTAGAGGAAGCTGTCCTGCCAGGCTTAGCCAGGTCACTCCCCTTCACCTTGGCAGGAAGGGTTAATAATAATAATAATAATAATAATAATCTATGTCTTATACACTGTCAATCTGACTTGATTGCCCCAGTCTTTGATCCTCCCATTCCACCATGTGGACCCCTACATCTTTGTGTTTCTATACAAATAATTTTGAAACATTTACCACTTTTGGAAGCTACATTTCACCGCCTGTGTTTTTCTTGCTGCTGTATGGGAAAGCGCATGAATTTGATCTTTGAAGGGTCTGTAAGTAAACCATTTTTAACGTACCAAATGTGCGGTTTCTGCCTATGCTAAGGGAAACGGGGAACTTTGGAAGCCGTTTAGAAGGGGCTATTTTAAAGGTCTGACAGGCAATATTTCCAAGCTTTACTTTGCTGCATATTTTGTGAGCTTAAGTATCTGCTGGGGCTCTCTCACCAAAGAGTACTACTACTACTACTACTACTACTAATTTATTATTTATACCCCGTCCATCTGGCTGGGTCTCCCCAGCCACCCTGGGCGGCTTCCAACAAAGTATTAAAATACAGTGGTCTGTTAAACATTAAAAGCTTCTCTAAACAGGGCTGCCTTCAGATGTCTTCTAAAAGTGTGGTAGTTGTTTATCTCTTTGACAACTGATGGGAGGGCGTTCCACAGGGCGGGTGCCACCACCGAGAAGGCCCTGCCTGGTTCCCTGTAACTTGGCTTCTTGCAATGAGGGAACCGCCAGAAGGCCCTCGGCGCTGGACCTCAGTGTCCGGGCAGAACGATGGGGGTGGAGACGCTACTTCAGGTATACTGGACCAAGGCTGGACTTGCTTCAAACCTGAATCTAGCATCCAGGGAATTCTCCTTTTCTATAGTCAAGTATTTTTCTTTTCACCAAATTACAGCAAAATATCAACAATCCTATCCACAAAGCTTGACAAGGAGTCCTTTGGCAATGAGACTGTGTCCTGCCCCTCTGCCTCCAGCTCCAATGACCCTCCTCCTGTTCAGCCTCACCTTCTGGCTGGTCCACATCCTTCCCCTCTCCCCGATGAGGCCAGCAGGCTTCCTTCCTCCTCTCTGACACCTAGAGACAGAAGGGAAGGCCTTCTTCCCCCCATCCCTGCTGGCTCCTTCATCTGTTCCTTCTGCTTCCTCCTCTAGAGTCTGGGGGTGCCAACTCACGCCAGTTTCTGCAGGAGCCAAAAGGCCCACGTCACATGCTGCCTTCGACAGTGGAGGCAGAACAGAGGCATCGTGGTTAGTGGCCACTGATAGACTTCTCCTTTCCCATCCATCGTATACTGTCTGGTGTGTGTGGTTTGGGAGCTGCACGGTCAGGGAAAAAACAATGCTGCCCAGGGTTGTAAAGACTGCGGAGAGAATAACTGGGTGCACTCTTCCCACCTTGGATCAAATCTACACTTCCAGGTGCCATAAGAAAGCTGCAGAGATAGCGCAGGATAGTGCGCACCCCGGAAAATGATCTCTTTCAGCTTCTGCCTTCTGGAAGAAGGTACAGGGTTATAAAGAGTAGGACCAGCCACCTGGGAAACAGTTTCTATCCAAATGCGATTTTGGTTTTAAACGCAGTGTAAGGTAGCGGGTGGCGCTGTGGGTTAAACCACAGAGCCTAGGACTTGCCGAACAGAAGGTCGGCGGTTCGAATCCCCGCGACGGGCTGAGCTCCTGTTGCTCGGTCCCTGCTCCTGCCAACCTAGCAGTTCAAAAGCACATCAAAGTGCAAGTAGATAAATAGGTACTGCTCCGGCGGGAAGGTAAACGGCATTTCCGTGCACTGCTCTGGTTCGCCAGAAGCAGCTTAGTCATGCTGGCCACATGACCCGGAAGCTGTACGCCGGCCCTCAGCCAATAAAGCGAGATGAGTGCCGCAACCCCAGAGTCGGCCACGACTGGACCTAATGGTCAGGGGTCCCTTTATCTTTATGGTAGTCTCTATGGGAGTATATTGTATTTAATTATGGGGTATCAGAGTTTTTAGGGGGCTCACCAGGCTGGGATAGCTGGGATAACAGGCTTGTTAGTTTTTGAATGTCTGATGTAGATTTTTTCAATTTCGTTGTTCTGTATGGGACAATGACAATAAAGATTATCGTATCATATCGCATACTGGCCCATCAGCTGAACAACACAGAATTGCGGAGTTGGAAAAGACCCCCGATGGTTATTTATTCCAAACCCTGCAAAACACTGGATACGACCCAATTTTTTCCCAAAGCCAGCTGCCTGGTTAATAGGGAGCACCACTTTAAATGGACAAAAGATGCCACGGCTCCAGGGATGAAGAACCTTTAGATGTTGTTGGCCACCCTGTTCAGATCAGTCCCGGCCAGCATGTCCAATGGTCAGAGAGGATGAGACTTGGTAGTCCAACGAGATCAGGGAGAGCCACAGATTCACACCCTCCCCCCCCCCCGATTAAATGGATGGATCATCTAATATAGCATCCTCTTACTCATCGTCCTTGTCCCCCTCCACTCCTGTGCATCATTTCTCTTCTTCAGGAATGATAGATGCTTGAAAACAAATATGACAGCGATGCCCGGTGGGTTATTAATATATTTACGCCTCCACTGACAAAGTCTCTCACAGGCAGCTTCTTTTCAAGTCCATAAAAAAAATTGCAGATTCCCCCCCCCCTTTTCTATGGCAGTGGATCCTGGGAGAAAAACAAGATTACTAAAAATATCATTTCCCTCCCGTTGCAGCCGAGCTTTTCCTGTTTCATCTAGAAATCGAAGTCAAGTTAAGCAAAAGAGGAAGGCTGATTTTCTAGGGGGTGACACAAAAGCGTCAGTGCTGGGTTCTTGCAACCAGGGCAGGGAAGTCAAAACGTTTGGTTTTCATCCCATTGTAAGCTGTTCAAAAGGAGACGAGCTATGGAAGGTCTGAGCAGATGTAGGACAGGATTGAAGGTTAGAGAAAGGACACCAAACTTACCATATTTTTTGCTCTATAGGATGCACCCGACCATAGGATACAACTTGTTTTAGAGGGGGAGAACAAGAACCCCCCCCCCCTGCTCAGCGCCCCTTCAGCGAAGCGGCAGGAGAAACGGAGTCCCTTCCAATTCTCCTTCCGCTTCGCTGAAGGTGCTCGCTGAAAGGGAAAACTGTGCAGCGCCTCTCCAGCGAAGCGAAGCCTGGAGAGCAAGAGGGATTGGTGTGCACCGACCCCTCTCGCTCTCCAGGCTTCAGGCGGCTATCTGCAAGCCTTCGGAGTGCAGCGGGAAGTCCCGCTGCGCTCCGGGGGCTTGCAGATGCTGCCTGAAGCCCCTGGAGCGCAGCGGGAGTTCCCCCTGCGCTCTGGGGGCTTCAGGCGGCTTCAGCAAAAGCAACCCAAAGCCTTCGGAGCGCAGCGCGAGGTCCCGCTACACTCCAAAGGCTTCAGGCGGCTATCCCTGAAGACTGGAGAGCGAGAGGGGTTGGTGCGCACCGACCCCTCTCGCTCTCCAGGCTTCAGCGAAAGCAACGCGAAGCCTCCGGAGCACGGAGAGAGTGCTCCCTCTGCGCTTCAGAGGCTTTGCGTTACTATCGCTGAAGCCAAGGAGCCTGCATTCGCTTCATAGAACGCACACACATTTCCCCTTAATTTTTGGAGGGGGAAAAGTGCGTCCTATAGAGCGAAAAATACAGTAAATCCAGCCCACTCTGCTCAAAGCCAAAGTATAGGGTCTCCCCAGCAAGGAAGACCAGGCTTCCATCGCCAGGCTGGATTATTCCTGTGGGCTTTTCAGAACTTTGTGTCTCTCTGGATTTGCCAAATATTGTTTTTAGTTTCTGGCCTCATTTAATACGGGTGCTTTACAGCGCCTGCTTGCTTCTACTGAATTTCTTGGGTGTATTTTTGTTTTTATCAAAGGCAGAAATGTATTGCAATAATTAATAACCATAAGCAACAGCAATGATGATGCTGGCAAGAGAATCGTCAGGCTGCAAGAATAGGGTTCCTAGCAAACTCACGGCCTGGGTAAGACTTCAGATATCGGAAGCGCTTCCCCATCAAAGAGGGAGCAAGCTTGTTTTCTGCCGCCCCAGAGGGCAGGACCCAAACCAATAGATTCAAATTACGAGAAAGGAGATTCTGACTAAACATTAGGAAGAACACTCTGATGCTAAGAGCTGTTTAGAAGTGGAATGGACTCCCTTGGAAAGTGATGGACTCTCCTTCCTTGGAGGTTTTTAAACAGAGCGATTCCTTTGTGTCCCTTCCAACTCTACAGTTCTGTGATTTAATGAAGATTTGAATCCAGGACTTCTTCCCTGACATTCAAGCTACCACATTACTTTAACCCCACCCCCCAGAGAAATGAGCTGTTATTCTGACCTCTGGACTCAGTTAGATTGCTAATGAAAAAGCAATTTATATGCGTTGTATATGCGATATAACATTGTGCCACCAGATGGCGCTGTGGCATCCTGTTTTTCTCTACCTGTTTTCCCTGTTTAAATTTCCCACGCATTTATCTGAAATGCTTCTTTGATATGTCTAGACCCAGCCTCTGGCTCGCTCTTCTCTCTCCACATTCTGCTCTGTTCGCATTGCTCAGAAATTAACTCCTCAAGTACTGTATGTTTGCAACAGTACATCAAGTCAGACAAGGAAGGCTGCAAAGGAGGCGGCAAGAGGATATTCCAGAATTTGTTTCGGGTGCAGACAGGTTTCTGGTCTGCCTCATCCCAGTCCTCAGGCCTCCAGCTACAAAGTTCCTTGCACTGCCTTTGCCCTGTGCCAGCAACGCAACCGCCTCTGCCAGAAGCTCATGTGTTTCGTAACAAGAGCAACAAAGAATCTTGTGATTAGGAGAGCGAGCTGGAAGAATCCAAGAGGGACTTCCAACAGGCTGTAGCATCAGAAGCTTGCTGAGTTGGGCTGCAGGCTAGAATGCACTTAGGAGCAACTGAGTTTCCCGTATCCAAGGGCGAGAGACACAGTTTGACATGAGCCCTTGCCAGGGCTTTCCATACTAGTTTGCCACAATAAATGAGCTGTCATCAGAATCAGGCAGCTGCAGACAGACTGCGTTCTCTTGGCTGCATGAGATTCAGAAAATCCTCAACTCCATTTGCTGTCCATCTTCCCCAGTGATAATGCTGATCTTATAATTTATTTGTTTGCCGCCTTATAATTGATTTGCTCAACTAACTGTTGCCCAGGGATGGAGGACTAACTTGCCCTTTCCTCTTCATAATACCTGGTTCGAAGAAGGTCCTATTTATTGCAATATCCGAAAAACCCATTATTTACGAGTTTCCAAGTGCAAAGACAAACCTATGTAGCTACACGGTGGTCGTTCCAGATATATATCAAAAGACACGGTTGTCAGGTTCTTGCAAAGTATGGTTTTGCCTGGATTTGGTCGTATTCCAGGACTTATTATCGACTGCTCCATTGTGCTTCTGTGCAATCCCGATCTTACTATTCGTGGCATTGTTTTCAACCCCTCTGCTCTCCATCGTTTTCGTAAGTTGCGGCACAAATGATGTCAAACAGTCAAGCCCCTGTTCGTTTCTACATCTCTCAAACATTTGTATTCTTCTATATGTAATAAATTTTATATCTATATCTATACAGTGGTACCTCGGGTTAAGAACTTAATTCGTTCTGGAGGTCTGTTCTTAACCTGAAACTGTTCTTAACCTGAAGCACCACTTTAGATAATGGGGCCTCCCGCTGCCACCGGAGCACAATTTCTGTTCTCATCCTGAAGCAAAATTCTTCATCCGAGGTAATATTTCTGGGTTAGCAGAGTCTGTAACCTGAAGCGTCTGTAACCTGAAGTGTATGTAACCTGAGGTTCCTTTCCAGAACTGAAATTATACAGTCATACCTCGGGTTACAGATGCTTCGGGTTGTGTGATTTCGGGTTGTGCACCATGCCGAACCTGGAAGTACTGGAACAGTTACTTCTGGGTTTCCGTGCATGTGCAGAAGCGCTAAACCGCACTTTGCGCATGCACAGAAGTTCCGCAGGGCTTGCAAGACAGAGCTGTTCCACCAAGCCTTTGGCTAGGGCACAGCCTGACTCCCTCCTTTGGCAATCTTCACAGAACTCTAGCCCAATGGTTGCCATTAATTTGATTTGAATTAATTTTATAATGAAATGATTTTAGAATTTTGTATTATTTTATTGTTGTTAGCTGCCCTGAGCCCGGCTTCGGCTGGGGAGGGCGGGATATAAATAAAATTATTATTATTATTATTATTATTATTATTATTATTATTATTTTGCAGTTTTAATAACAAAGCATTTATTTTCTATTGCACAGCAATTGTTGCCTGCTCAAATCTGGTTATCCGGGAAGGGGCCTTTGATTGGCTCTCCTTCTTGGTAGCTAATTATATGCTGTTTGGGGAAGCCGAGGCCCCATCCTGACCCCACTTGCATGTGCAGAGAGAGAGAGAGAGATCATCGCTCCTGCCTCCCAGCACGTCGATTTCAGTTAAAACAGCTGCAGGCAAATTTCTGCACCACGCTTGCCAGCTGGGTGATGTTTTCTTTGTGAGTGTGAAAGAAACTGAGCTCTGAAGGGAAGACAACGGACAGGACGGGCTTTGCAAGCAAATTCAGCCTAAGACAGAGACTGGTGCCCCAGTGGAGTCTGGCATCGGCTGGCTTTGAAACTGCCAAGGATTTTACTGTACAGAAGCCATTTCAGATTCCAGCAACGGGGAACATGCAGGGTGTCTGAGAAGGGGCTGGCTATTAAAATGATATATAATGAAAGCTGGACTATAAAGAAGGCTGATCGCCGAAGAATTGATGCTTTTGAATTCTGGTGCTGGAGGAGACTCTTGAGAGTCCCATGGACTGCAAGAAGATCAAACCTCTCCATTCTGAAGGAAATCAGCCCTGAGTGCTCACTGGAAGGACAGACACTGAAGCTGAGGCTCCAAGACTTTGGCCACCTCATGAGAAGAGAAGACTCCCTGGAAAAGACCCTGATGTTGGGAAAGATGTAGGGCACAAGGAGAAGGGGATGGCAGAGGATGAGATGGTTGGACAGTGTTCGTGAAGCTACCAGCATGAGTTTGACCAAACTGCAGGAGGCAGTGGAAGACAGAAGTGCCTGGTGTGCTCTGGTCCATGGGGTCACGAAGAGGCGGACACGACTAAACGACTAAACAACAACAACAACATTAAAACGAAGCCTATGGCAAGAAACATGCTTGCCCCAAACTGGAAATTGCAAGAAATTCCTACTATTGCGGAGCGCTAGACGAAAATGATGAGTTATGCGGAGCTAGCACCAAACTGACGGGAAGAATTCAGGATCAGGACGATCAGAGGTTTCAAGAAAGTTGGAGTAAATTTATGGTGTATATAAAGGATGATTGTAAAACTCTAAAAACACTGGCAGGATTGAAATAGCTCTTACAATGTGCGACAGATATAAGGTTAAAAAGGAGAACACACAATATAAGAAAATAAGAGATACCCGCTGAAGGGATGGAGGGAAGTCGCCAGCTTGGCAGAGCTAAAAGTATTTATGTGATTTAATGTATTGTATTGTAAAAGTATGTATAAGGAAAATAATTAAAAAATTATTTATAAATAAATAAATAAAACGAAGCCTTTGGTGAATGGCTGCAACCACAGATCAAACACTTGTCAATATTCTGCATGGTGGCCAGTTTATACAACAATTCTAAACACTATTTTTTGCCCCTCTATGGAAACCCTGGCTCCATCTTTTGCAAACCCAGAATAGGAAGATGCCTTATATAACGTCCGACTGTTTGTTCATCTGCCCCAGGTAATTTTATCCTTTGACTGGTAGTGACTTTCCAGGGTTTTTCTCATTAGCAAATAGTGACAATCTAGAGTAATCTATCTGTCTGTCTGTTTGTCTCTAAATTCAGGTAGGTAGCCGTGTTAGTCCGATGCAGTAAAAAATATATAAAAAATAATTAAAAAAAAATTGTCCAGTAGCACCTTATAGACCAACTAAGTTTGTCTGTCTGTCTGTCTGTCTGTCTGTCATCTCTGCCTTCGGCAGAGGGCAATAGCCAGGGCTGGGTGATATCTGGTTTTTCAACACTGTGATATAGCACCAGCTAAACATCACAATATCCTGATAAATCACAATGTCTGAAATAAGGATGGAACTATGCAGAGGAACTGGCTGGCTTCACAGTTTTCCCCATGTTGTGATTTTTGCATAGCACACATATACGATTTGTGATATATTTCCAGGTCAAAAGCTACAAAACCGATATACGATATGGACTTAAAACCAGTTTTGGACGATATATCAATATATATCGTTCCGCCTGGACACTGAGGTCCAGCGCTGAGGGCCTTCTGGAGGTTCCCTCATTGCGAGAAGCAGAGCTACAGGGATCCGGGCAGAGGGCCTTCTTGGTAGTGGCGCCCGCCCTGTGAAACACCCTACCACCAGATGTCAAAGAGATAAACAACTACCTGACATTCAGAAGACATCTGAAGGCAGCCCTGTTCAGGGAAGTTTTTAATGTGTGACATTTTAGTGTATTTTTGGTCTTTGTTGGAAGCCGCCCAGAGTGGCTGGGAAAACCCAGCCAGATGGGCGGGGTACAAATAAATTATTATTAATTATTAATTATTATTATTATTATTATTATTATTATTATTATTATCACCCAGCCTTAGTAATGGCCTGGTGGCTGCCTCGGCCATGTTCCCATATCTGCCTCACTTTGCCTAACAGGATAGCTGGCCCTGCAGAACAGCTTGAAACTGGCGCACGGATCATGAAACTGGATCATGAAAAACTGTACCTGCATGAGTCAAGTTAATCTCCCTGCAGAGTCCCAACAGCCCCCAGTAAAGCTCTACAGGAGATGAGGGGAAATGGGCAGAGGAGACACATGTCTGTGTTATCCCCGAAGACTGCCAATGCGTTTGCTGTGCACAGACCGAATTTGTCTCCGCCAGTGCCCTTCCTTGCCCTTTTTGCTGCTGCCTTTGTCCAACATGTCCTGCAAAAAATAAACGTTATCAGAGCCTCGGCGGGCTATTTTTCACCTGACTTCTTTTCTGCTTTGTTTGGAGCGTTTGCTGGGTGTTCCGGCAGGTGCGGAAGAGAGAGACAGATAGACAAAGAGCCTGGAAACGAATTCATTGCGGCTTGACCTTTCCTAGGCGAGATGAGGCTCCTTCATCAGATTGCAAAGAGAGTCACCGGTAGCCACATCAGATTTAGCGCTGATTACCCAACGCCAGGGACAGGCATTTAGCACAGCAGATCCATCAGCAAGGTCAGGCATGACAACGCAAACCAATTTGGGCTATTATTTCCCCCTCAGATCCAGTTTCTTGCAAGTCCTTACTTCACCTCCAGCTGCAGCCCCCCAGATGTTGCGTAAAATAGCAAGACGGTACAGAACACAAATGGGACGCGGGTGGCGCTGTGGGTTAAACCACAGAGCCTAGGGCTTGCCCATCAGAAGGTCGGCAGTTCGAATCACCCGCGTCCATTTACCTTCCAATTAAACCTCAAGTGAGACAGGCAAGGCAGGTTAAGGTCTATCCAGGTGGAAGCATCTCTAGGTGTCCTGATCCTGCTGTGAAGTTCTGAGCGCGACACTGCAAATGTTTAATGAGAGATGTTTGCAGTGGGGCAGGGAGAGTCAGGGCTTTGCACAGAAGTGAGGATTTGACTCAGGTGGAGGGGCCTGTCCTGCTGAGCACCTGTCCACCTCCTGGGAAAGCTCTAGGCCAGGAGTGGAGAACATTTGGCCTGATAGCTATTGCTGAATTACGACTCCCATCATTCCCATGCTGGTTTGGGCTGATGGGATTTGGAGTCCAGTAACATCTGGGGAGGGGGTGTGTGTCACAGGTTTCCCATCCTGCTCTAACCCCAAGATCTGTGGGTCCTTGGCAGAGGGTGGGAAGGAAAACCCCGGAACAGGTTACTTCTGGGTTTTGGTGGCTGCGCATGCGCAGAAATGCAGATGTGCCGCTGCGGGTTGCGAACGTGCATCCCGCACAGATCACATCTGCAACCTGAGTGTCCACTGTACATTATAACATGAAATAAGAATGCAAAAAGACTGGTGTATAAATTTTACGGAACGCAATAAAGGAAATAATTGACTTGGCTCTGCGCCTGCCCCTCTCAGCGCCACCCTGCCCCTCTCAGGCTTCTGGGTATAACTTGGCTCGCAACTGCAGTCTGCTGCCTCTGCGTCTTTGAAACCATGTTTAAAAATACGCCTGGCTAACATTCCACTTGTGGGATCCAGATCCACAGAGCCTCTCATTTTCCCAGGCAGCTGCCAAGGGTGTGTGTGTGTGTTGAACTGCCACGAGTTGGCAGGATACCAAGCAGGCCTGCAGCAGATAAACCTCGTTAGATCAGGTGTCAGGTGGCTTTAAACAAAGCCCAGCTGCACCTGACCGATGGCAAAGGCCTTTCTCACTCACGGTTCCCCATGCCGGCCGCTCTCAGCACCAAGGAAACCAATGGCTGAGCACCAACATGAACCACGCACTCGGGGTCAGGCAGCGATCTGCATCCGTTATCCCACCAGCGGGATTTGCATTCTGCAGCCTTTTAAAACATCTGGGCAAGAACTGACCCTCCATGTGTCCCTATTTTCCTGGGACAGTCCCGTATTTACAGAACTTGTCCCCCAGTTTCTGATGTGATCCAAGAATGTCCCGCTTTTCCTTAGGATCAGGGCCGTAGATACAGGGTGGTGAGATGGGCCCCCGCCAGGGGGCAGGCGAGGGGTGTGTGTGCAAAATCGGCTAAAAATGTGTCCATAAATATGTCTATAAATAAAAATATTGATTATTGGCTCATAAGAAAAGGTTTTTAATTGAGGGTGAATTGAATGGAGGAGAGGCAGAAAGAAGTGGCTAGGGGGCGCAATCTGGACAGTTCTGCCAGGGGCACAAGATCACCTACCTTCTGCTTAAAAGTAAAGGGACCCCTGACCATTAGGTCCAGTCGTGACCGACTCTGGGGTTGCGGCGCTCATCTCGCTTTATTGGCCAAGGGAGCCGGCGTTCAGCTTCCGGGTCATGTGGCCAGCATGACTAAGCTGCTTCTGGTGAACCAGAGCAGCGCACGGAAACGCCGTTTACCTTCCCTCCGGAGCAGTACCTATTTATCTACTTGCACTTTGACGTGCTTTCGAACTGCTAGGTTGGCAGGAGCAGGGACCAAGCAACGGGAGCTCACCCCGTCACAGGGATTCGAACCGTGATGTCCCTATTTTCCTTGGAGAAATGTTGGAGGGTATGGAGTTATGCAACTCCCGAGCCAAGGAGATACATAACTATACAACCTTTAGAATGCATCTGAAGGCAGCCCCGTAGAGGGAAATTCTTTAATGTTTATGTTTTATTATGTTTTTATATGTGTCAGAAACCGCCCAGAGTGGCTAGTGAGATGGGTGGGGTATAATAATAATAATAATAATAATAATAATAATAATAATAACAATAATAATAGAATAGAATAAGACCCCTATTTTCATCAGAGAAATGTTGGAGGGTATGCTGTGTAGGCCATGGGGAAAGGAATGAAGGAAGATGCCTTGTACAGTCATACCTCAGGTTACAGCTGCTTCAGGTTGCGTTTTTTCCTGGTTACGGACCGCTGAAACCCAGAAGTAGTAGAATGGGTTACTTCTGGGTTTCGGTGGTCACGCATGTGCAGAAGCGCTAAATCGCGCTTTGCGCATGCACAGAAGCGCCTAATCGCAACCTGCGCGTGCACAGATGCAACGCTGCAGGTTGCGAACGTGCATCCCACATGGATCACGTTCGCAACCCGAGCGTCCACTGTACTGAGTCAGACAATGGAGCCATCTCGCTCAGGGTTGTCGGCGCTGACTGACAGCAGAGCTCCCGCGTTTTGAGCAGGGAAGTGAGGAGGGTGACCAAGATGATCAAGGGTCTGGAAACCAGGCCTTATGAGGAGCGGTTGAAGGAACTGGGTATATTAGCCTGGAAAAGGGGAGACTGAAAGGAGATATGAGAACCATCTTCAAATATCTGAAGGGCTGTCCCATGGAAGTTGGAGCCGGCTTGTTTTCTGCTGCTCTGAAGGGCAGGACCCAAACCAATGGATTCAAATGACAAGAAATGAGATTCTGACTAAGCACACGGAAAAAACTTTCTGGCAGTAAGAGCTGTTTGACAGTGGAACGGTCTCCCTTGGGAGCTGGTGGACTCTCCCTCCTTGGAGGTTTTAAAGCAGAGGCTGGATGGCCAAAAGTCATGGATGCTTAGCTGAGATTCCTGCATTGCAGCGGGTTGGACTAGATGACACTCGAGGTTCTTCCAACTACAGTGGTACCTCGGGTTAAGTACTTAATTTGTTCTGGAGGTCCATTCTTAACCTGAAACTGTTCTTAACCTCAAGCACCACTTTAGCTAATGGGGCCTCCCGCTGCTGCTGCACCGTTGGAGCACAATTTCTGTTCTCATCCTGAAGCAAAGTTCTTAACCCGAGGTAATATTTCTGGGTTAGCGGAGTCTGTAACCTGAAGCATATGTAACCTGAAGTGTCTGTAACCCGAGGTAGCACTGTATATAAATCTACAATTCTGTGAAGAATAATAATAATAAATTTTTATTTATACCCCGTCCTTCCTGGTTCAGAAAACCGGACTCAGGGCGGCTAACAACAAATTTAAAATATTTAATTGATGCAACAAAAAAACAGCATAAAATACAGTATAAAATGTGAATAACAGTAAATTCAGAATTCAAAAATCAATTTAGGGGGGAAATCCGTCCAATAAACATTAGATGTTCACCAGGGCTAGCTGGCTAAATTAGTCCTACTTGAGCCAGCGAGGAGACCAGGGGAGAATTAGCTGTGGGATCCCAGAGCAGGTGATCTTCATAAAAAGGGGAGAGGGAGGAAGGGGAATAAAAGATCAGGCTAAGTTCAAATTGAAAGCCAGGCGGAATAGCTCTGTCTTACTGGCCCTACGGAAGGAAGTGAAATCCTGCAGGGCCCTGGTCTCATGGGATAGAGCTTTCCACCAGGTTGGAGCCATCACTGAGAAGGCCCTGGCCCTGGTGGAGGATAGTCTGACTTCCTTAGGGCCCGGGACCTCTAAACTATGATTATTCATGGACCTTAAGGTCCTCTGCAGGGCAGACCAGGAAGAAGGCAGGCAGGGAGGCACGACCAATTGAGGCTGGTGTGGTGGCCAGATCATCTTCTGGGTTCAGAACATGTTATACTCAAATATGTGTAACTGAAGGTCAAATTATTCATTACCTTAAGGATGTGCTTTAAAAATACATGCTTACCAAATAAACCCCTCTCTTTCTGCTCCCCCCTTCCCCAAAAAGATGCAGAGCTTCTGTAAGGAACAATAAATCACGCCTGAATTATTATTTAGTTGTGATTATTGTGACTGTATGACCATTTGGGTCCCGTCCAGATCGACAGCTAGCTCTACGATTTATGATTTGGGCAAACAACACAGCCAGGCGGTGTGTTCACACCACACGAACTCCGCAGCAAATGCTGTTATAGGACAAAGCAGATTAGCAGGTCTCATTTGCACACTGTAAGAGGGAAAAGTAATCAGCACCCCTGCACTGAGAGAGAAGCAACCGCAGCAGCCAATATTCTGCGTTCCTAGCAGCAAGGTGACCGAATCAAAGATTTGAGGTGACCTTTCCTCCCATCGCCGAAGACAGAAACGCTTCCCATTTTCCAAGCTTGCTAATAAATAATAATAATAATAATAATAATAATAATAATAATAAATTTTATTTATACCCTACCCTCCCTGGCCAGAGCTGGGCTCAGGGTGGCTAACACCAATAAAATCACACTAAAAACATAATACAGGGAGGAAACCAATTTAATTACAGGTTAAAATGCAATTTAAAATGCAGCCTCATTTTAAAAGTAGCCGATAGATCAAGACCATAAGGGGAGGGAAACATAAGGGTCAGACTGAGTCCAAACCAAAGGCCAGGTGGAACAGCTCTGTCTTGCAGGCCCTGCGGAAAGATGTCAAGTCCCGCAGGGCCCTAGTCTCTTGTGACAGAGCGTTCCACCAAGTCGGGGCCAGTACTGAAAAGGCCCTGGCCCTGGTTGAGACCAATCTAACCACCTTGCGACTTGGGACCTCCAAAATGTTGTCATTTGTGGACCTTAAGGTCCTCTGCGGGGCGTACCAGGAGAGGCGGTCCCGTAGGTAGGTAGAAGAGTGACTAGTGGGGTGCCACAGGGTTCTGTCTTGGGCCCGGTCTTATTCAACATCTTTATCAATGACTTGGATGATGGACTCAAGGGCATCCTGATCAAATTTGCAGATGACACCAAACTGGGAGGGGTGGCTAACACCCCAGAGGACAGGATCACACTTCAAAATGACCTTGACAGATTAGAGAACTGGGCCAAAACAAACAAGATGAACTTTAACAGGGAGAAATGTAAAGTATTGCACTTGGGCAAAAAAAATGAGAGGCGCAAATACAAGATGGGTGTCACCTGGCTTGAGAGCAGTACATGTGAAAAGGATCTAGGAGTCTTGGTTGACCACAAACTTGACATGAGCCAACAGTGTGATGCGGCAGCTAAAAAAGCCAATGCAATTCTGGGCTGCATCAATAGGAGTATAGCATCTAGATCAAGGGAAGTAATAGTGCCACTGTATTCTGCTCTGGTCAGACCTCACCTGGAGTACTGTGTCCAGTTCTGGGCACCACAGTTCAAGAAGGACACTGACAAACTGGAACGTGTCCAGAGGAAGGCAACCAAAATGGTCAAAGGCCTGGAAACGATGCCTTATGAGGAACGGCTAAGGGAGCTGGGCATGTTTAGCCTGGAGAAGAGGAGGTTAAGGGGTGATATGATAGCCTTGTTCAAATATATAAAAGGATGTCACATAGAGGAGGGAGAAAGGTTGTTTTCTGCTGCTCCAGAGAAGCGGACACGGAGCAATGGATCCAAACTACAAGAAAGAAGATTCCACCTAAACATTAGGAAGAACTTCCTGACAGTAAGAGCTGTTTGACAGTGGAATTTGCTGCCAAGGAGTGTGGTGGAGTCTCCTTCTTTGGAGGTCTTTAAGCAGAGGCTTGACAACCATATGTCAGGAGTGCTCTGATGGTGTTTCCTGCTTGGCAGGGGGTTGGACTCGATGGCCCTTGTGGTCTCTTCCAACTCTATGATTCTATGATTCTAGGTACATGGGTCCTAGGCTGCATTGGGCTTTAAAGGTCAAAACCAGCACCTTAAACCTGATCCTGTTAACGCTTTCTGTGCCCATCTTGACAGAGTTGGGAGACCTGGACAACCCGTGACTCATCAAGCTGCTGGAGCAGTGAGGTGTAGCGGTTAGAGTGTTGGACTAGGACCCGGGAGTCCAGGGTTCGAATCCTCACTTAGCCCTGAAACTCACTGGGTGACCTTGGGCCAGTCTGACCTACCTCACAAGGTTGTTGTGGGGATTAAATGAGGAGGGAGAAAACCAGTTACATCACTTGGAGCTCCTTGGAGAAAAAGGATGGATATAAATGCAATAAATAAATACAATTAATATAATATAACCCAGCCCACAGGTGCCTTGGCTAGCCTGATTTCTCCAGTGTTGCAGCCCAAGGCGGGTAGCAAAAATTAAACAAGAGGAAGCTCTTTGGTGCCCTTGGGGGGCTCCCCTACTTCAACGGTGAGGCTGTATTGAATTTACTAGGTCTGAAGACTTGTTCTAAGCACATAGCTAAATGTCCTGCCCTGAAGGCTTCAGACATCAGCTGCCCCAAAATGATATACAGTGGTACCTCGGTTTACAAACTCAATCCGTTCCGGAAAGCCACTTCCGCCTTAAGGAGGAAGTGGGGTTGCGGGCTTCACATGGCGGGTGGAGGCCAGCCCCATGCAATTGGGGGGATTCCCAGCCGTGTCACCCCTGTGATTGGGGGGATTCCCAGACGTGTCACCCCCTGGCTGGCCAATCGGCTGGGTCGGGGGCGTGGCCTGCCCTATAAAGGCAGGATGTGGTGGGGATCTCCCTCTTTCCCCACCTGCCAGCTGTTCCTGTTTCCCACCCTCCCACCCTATAAGGTTTTTGTTCCCTGACCTTGCTATGGACCTTGGTTGGTCGCCATTGAGGAGCCTGGTAGGAATTTTTCCACTTGGCAAATTGGCACCAGCCACTTGGTTTTCGCCCACCTCGTAGCAGATCGTCACAACTTCCTTGGTATTGGCGGTTAGGCATTGGTATTGCTCTGTAGATGGAAGAGGGGAGGAAGCGCCATCACCTGCCCCACATATTGAGGGGTAGTCCGATAAAGGATTCCGGGGGCATGGCCCTGTCCGAAGCCTGGGGAGGTGAGGGCCTGAGGCACGCCCCCTAGCTGTGACCCCAGGGGGGTTCCTAGTTGATGTGCATCAGCAGGACTCCCCCGCTGGTGGTTAACCCTTCCCGGACTCCAAGCGGACGGGCTGAATTCAGATATAGTCGGTTAGGACCAATGCCTAAGCCAATACCGCTCATCACCTGTAACCAATAAAGTTGTGGCCTTATTTAGCCCATTTAACCTTAATAATTGTGTCATGCGTCATTATTTCCACCATTATTTCGGGAACTTGCCACGCAAGTCCGTTCTTAAACCAAAGCGTTCTTAAACCAAGGTGTGCTTTCCCATGGCAGCGGGGAACTCAATTTACACTCAATAGGAAGCGCAACATGTTCTGCTTCCAAGGCAAATTCACAAACCAAAACACCTACTTCCGGGTTTGCAGCGTTCTTAATCCAAGTTGTTCATAAACTAAGCTGTTCTTAAACCAAGGTACCACAGTATATGATTCTTTAACTGTGTGAGTCCCGCACTGCAAGGGGGTTAAACTAGAACGACCCTTTGAGTCCCTTCCATCTCCACAATTCTATGATTCTATCAACAATTTGATAGTTTGCTTCCTGCACATCTTAAAAGAAAACCCTCTGCCTTAAATCACAACTGCTTAGCTTGATTGAAGAGGCAGCGGGAAATAGCTGTGCCTTGTGGGTCTCCTGCTGAGGAACCGTGTTTTCAAACCAAGGGGCTAGTCCTCATGGTTGCTGTCAAATCGCTCAGAAATGCCAGGCTGATTCCTAGGGCAGCTCAGAGCCCAGAGCAGGTGTCAAACTGTTGGGGAGTCTTAGCAGCCCTGCATAGCTTCATTAACTTCCCGCAAAATCTCCATCTCCATTCGCAGTGGACCCACATTTCCCTGATGATCCAAGTCTAATTGCTAATCCACACTGATCTGACCCTAACCTCTTTGGTAGAGGGCAGCACCGGAGCCAGAACAGGAGTCTTGAGGCTTCTGTTCCTGATCCAGAAAGAGACAGTCAAGTCTCGCCTATTCTTGCTTGGATCAAATGAGGTGCCGTATTTTTCGCTCCATAAGGCACACTGGACCATAGGGCACACCTAGTTTTTAGGAGGGGAAATAAAGGAAAACAAATTATCCCCCCCCCCCCAGCCCCAAAGAGCAAAGAAGCCAAGACAGCAAGCGGGATCCATCCTGATGGCTGTCTTGGCTTCCTCTTTAGCCGCGTGCAACCTCTCCAGCCTTGGCAGAAGCCAAGACAGCGAGCGGAATGGATCCCGCGCGCTGTCTTGGCTTCATTTTTAGCCGTGGGGCTGGGGCTGGGGCTGGGGCAGAAGAAGCCCAAGCTTCCCCCAACCCCAGCCCCCAGAACAGGTCCAGGAGTGGCAGCAAAGTTGTGTGCAGCCTTGCCGCCGCTCCCGCAGCTTGCGGGGCTGGGGGCGCGCTCCGAAGCTTTGCAGATAGCTGCCTGAAGCCTGGGGAGCGAGAGGGGTCAGTGCACACCGACCCCTCTCGCTCTCCAGGCTTCAGCGAAAGCAACGCAAAGCCTCCGGAGCATGGAGGGAGCGCTCCCTCTGCGCTTCGGAGGCTTCGCATTGCTATCGCTGAAGCCAAGGAGCCTGCATTTGCTCCATAGGACGCACATACATTTCCCCTTAATTTTTGGAGGGGAAAAAGTACGTCCTATAGAGCGAAAAATACGGTAAATGCATTCTGCACATCAGCTTTCCCCAAGATGGTGCTCTGCAGAAGCACAAAATCTCTGGAGGGCACCAGCTTGTGGGAGGCTGATGTACACAAACCTTTGCTCACTTTGTTCCTTGAATTACAGACTTGGGAGATGGAGGGGAAGAGAGAACGGCAGATGGGGAAATTAGAGGGCTTCTTCTAAGCAACACAGCCTGCCTCTTAAAAAGCATTACAGTCATTTGACATTCAGGACGCCTAATTAGAAAAAAAAACAAGAGTCTGAAGAGAACCGCTCGCCCTAAGATCCTGAGGAAATGAGCATGTATTTCCACCCTACAGCACTGCCCCATTCATTTCGGTGAGCCTCGTGGAGCAGATGTTCCCAGCTGATCATACCTGTTTGTGTGTTATCCATTAAAAACATTTACCCACTTATAGACAGCCTATTCATTCTTAAGGAAATCAGCCCTGAGAGCTCACTGGAAAGACAGATCGTGAAGCTGAGGCTCCAATACTTTGGCCACCTCATGAGAAGGGAAGGTCTGTATAGTTAAAGCTCTGGTTTTCCCAGTAGTGATGTATGGAAGTGAGAGCTGGACCATAAAGAAGGCTGATCGCCGAAGAATTGATGCTTTTGGATTCTGGTGCTGGAGGAGACTCTTGAGAGTCGCATGGACTGCAAGAAGATCAAACCTCTCCATTCCGAAGGAAATCAGCCCTGAGTGCTCACTGGAAGGACAGATCCTGAAGCTGAGGCTCCAATACTTTGGCCACCTCAGGAGAAGAGAAGACTCCCTGGAAAAGACCCCGATGTTGGGAAAGATGGAGGGCACAAGGAGAAGGGGACGACAGAGGACGAGATGGTGGGACAGTGTTCTCGAAGCTACCAGCATGAGTTTGACCAAACTGTGGGAGGCAGTGGAAGACAGGAGGGCCTGGCGTGCTCTGGTCCAGGGGGTCACGAAGAGTCGGACACGACTAAATAACAACAGACAGCCTGCAAAATTGGGCTGTCAGCACAACCCTGGACATGTTTACATGGAAGAAAGTCTCGTTGAATTCAAAGGAGCTTACACCTCGGAAAGTGTGCACAGCCTCAAGGGTTCTCTCGTCAGAATCGCAGAACTGGTACGTGTGCAGGAGCCTGTGAATGAGGGCCACAAACAGCCAGAAGTCTCCGGGTGACTGTAGCAGCCCAGTTGGCCTGACAGCTGTCACAGACACATGCAATAACCCACTCCCACCCTGCCTTCTTTCAGTGCTGCCACTGCTCCCTTGGCTCAGTCATCCCCCCCACCCCCGTACTACCTCTGACTGTTTTCTTGGCAAAAACCAGCCAAAGGAATCGCGGTGCCTTTGCCTGCCATATTCCTCTCCTGCAAGAACAGGCAGGCGCTACCAGAGCATGTGGCTGATGGAAAGACAGCAGAGGGAGAGGGTTGGAAGGGCGCTCTGTGTGGGTGGCTGCTGGAACCACTAGCTGCTACAGTCAAGCAGAGGCTTCTCACTTTGCGGAGGCACTTTTGGGAACGAGGGAACAGATTTAGGAAGGCCACTTAGCCCTGATGAGGCTTAAAATGAGAACCCCTCATTTTTTAGTACAGCAGCTGTTTATTTCCATTCATTATGGCAACTTTAAAAATAGTAATCTGAGTGTGCGTGTTTGTTTTAAGCGCACTATTAATATGCATTTACACTGTCAGTTTTATCTTGGTTGCACTTTTTCCTCTTCCCCAGAAAAGATGCATCTGAAAGGCAGCAAGGGGTAAAAACCACCCTGAACTGTTTAGAAAGGCAGGAACTGATATTTAAAAAATTAAGCCACCACAGGGACTGCTCAGCTTCCGCCCGGCTTTGCAACCGAAATTATAAACATTCATTTGCTGGGGCAAATCAGAGCCTTCTGTCAGTTTTGCTTCCTCTCTCATGATTCAGGCCAGCTGCCTATCTGCAGTTTCAGTTTTAAACTCTGCAGGAACATTAAGGCATTTGACTGTTCATGTGTATTTTTCAAAAGGAAGCTTTTTCAAACTGCGGAACTGCTCAGGGGAGGGAGCAGTTTCTTGATGATGTTACAGGCACTAGCCAGTCAGTGCTATGCATCAAACTTGCACCATCACCACCCCACGGCTGAGCCCTAAAGAAAGAGATACATTTAAATTGAACACAGTGCTGCTGTTTCCAGGGTGGCTCCACCACACACACACAAGTTGTGTCTGTGTTCAGTCTCTCTCCACAATCCCGCCCCCCTACAGATCCAGGGACAGGGGGGAAAGAAAGCAAGATGCTTTGTTCGTTGCATTTAAGCAAAAGCAGAGTTTTGCCTTGTGAAGCACCTGACGGATTCCTTCCCTACTTTTAGACTTTACTGCTAAGTTTGACAAGCTAAAACTAGACCAGGACACTTTTCTTTTCCTGCTAGCTAGGGAATAGGAGAAAATTTGTGTGTGTGTCGCTTCTGCCTCTGATGGGGAGGGTGGGGCTGGTATTTCCCTGTCAAATCACTAGAAAGGAAAAGATAAACACTATAATATCCGTTCACCTTTCCTTAAGTAATCCAGAAATGAGACAGGCAGACAAGACATCACCTTCTGGGATGGCTCAGTTTGGAGAGCACGAGAATCTTAAATGCAGAGCCGTGGGTTCGAGCCCAACGTTGGGCAAAGGATTCCTGCACTGCAAGGGGTTGGAATAGATGACCCTCGTGGTCCCTTCCAACTCTACAATTCCATGATTCTAAAATATAAAGTGCCATTTATTATTCAAGGGCAAATTTCACTGGCAGAACTGAACCTGCCTCTGGAATGGGAATTTTCCCCTTCTCCTCCTGCCCACTTCTACATTCACACAACCCCCCAGAGTGACTGTAGCTCTGTGGCTGCAGGCATACAGGCGAAGGGGCATAGCTGAGCGGTAGAGCATCCGCTTAGCCTGTAGAAGGTCTCAGGTTCAAATCCCGGAAACTCCGGGTAGGGCTAGGAGAGGCTCCCTGCCTCACACCCCGGAGAGCTGTTGCCAGTCCGTGCAGACAGCACTGAGGTAGGTAAAGGTAAAGGTAAAGGTACCCCTGACCATTAGGTCCAGTCGTGACCGACTCTGGGGTTGCGGTGCTCATCTCGCTTTATTGGCCGAGGGAGCCGGCGTTCAGCTTCCGGGTCATGTGGCCAGCAGGACTAACCAGAGCAGTGCACGGAAATGCCGTTTACCTTCCTGCCAGAGTGGTACCTATTTATCTACTTGCACTTTTATGTGCTTTCGAACTGCTAGGTTGGCAGGAGCAGGGACCGAGCAATGGGAGCTAACCCCATCACGGGGATTCGAACCACCGACCTTCTGATCGGCAAGTCCTAGGCTCTGTGGTTTAACCCACAGCGCCACCCGCGTCTCTACTGCGGTAGGTAGAGTAGATGAAAAGCCTGACTTGGCATAGGGCTACCGCTGGCATCTCTAGTCAAGAGGAACAAGTAGGAAGTGGAGACCCAGGAGAGCAGCCACCAGTCAGAGCACGAGGCAAACTGGGTTAGAATGACACATAATTTGACAGGTTCCCATGGCTCCCTGGCCGCTCTCCAAGGACGCAACAGATGCACGCTGCAGTGACAGGCAGAGGTGACTTGCTGTACACAAAAAACGCACACCAAAACTAACAGGAGGCAATATTAATCCCGGGATTCGTGAATCCACACGCAAGCAAGGAGCATCCAGCCTGCGTCGCTGGAGATCTGCCTTCGGGAACCAGTTTGGGGTTTGCCGGATAACGTGGCAGGGACCCCCCCCCCCCGCCCGCGGCTGCAAGGAAACAAGAGTTTAATGTTCCACGAAGAACTTGGGCGTATTATCTATTAACTAGAGGATCAACAGCTTCTCCCTCGGCTCGACCAAAGTCAACAGCTAAGGCGGCGGGGAGGGAGGTGGAAGGAGCGAGGGAGAAGACTCAGGGAAGGGGCTGCGCGCTGGGAAACAGCTGATCCGGCACCCTTTGGCTACCCGCCCCCTTTCCTTCTCCGGCTCTGGGCAAGAGGGAAGGCACGCTATTTATGGGGGTCACAGAGTGCGCCTTCATCCGGGCAGGGGGTTTGTTGGTTGCAAACACTTCAGAGAAGGAACGGGGTGTGGGTGTGTTGTGGGTGCAACTTTCCAGGCAACCCCCCCACCGAATTGCAAAGAGGCAGAAAAGACCTCTCGCCCCCCACTCCCAAATCAGGCTGCCTCCAAACCTCCCTCTCTCCCTCTGGCTCTGCAAGAGCGACAACAACACCCCCCTCCCAACTCTTGCAACAGGCCAGAAGTTTCAACTTCGACCTGCAGCCGCCGAGCGTTTTGCAAAGCGAGCCTGTCAGGCGGAGCGCTTGGAGATTCAGCACGCGCGCTGGCAACCGGGGAGAGAGAGGGCAGGACCCAGACCCGTGTCAGGATGTGGCCAGGGAGAGAGGAGCCCCCACCTCCCCCTGCACCCCCACCCGGGGTGGGGGAGGGCGCTGTCAGCCTTGCCAAGTGGGCCCGGGATGGGGAGGCTGGGAGGCGCTGCTCCTGCTTGTTTACGCGTCCCCTATCGGGCCATGGGAAGAAGGGAGGGCAGCCGAGGTCGGCCCGGCCGCCGCCCCGAGGCGCCTGCAAACCCGGAGCTGGCGGCCACCCCCCTGCACACGCGCGCGCCTTGCCCACCTCCGTCCGGGGTCCCCGGCGCAAGAGGCGCCTCTGCCGCGGGGCTGCTGACTTGGTGCTGCCGCTGCTCCTGCCGCCGCCGCCGGGCTGCTCTTCAGGTGTGAGGAGGAGGAGGGGGGAGAGAGAGGGAAGAGGGAGGGCAGAGGAGTCTGGGAGATGTAGTTTGCCAAGGGGAGGAGCAGCCCCCGAGGAGGATCCCGTGCGCGCCGCCGCCGCCGCCTCCGCGCCTCGCCTCTTCGCCGGCCCCAGCTGCAAGCAGGCAAGCGCCAAGAAAGCGCAGCGGCGGCTGCTTTGGAGTTGCTCTTGCAGGATCTCTTGCAGATCCAAGATCCCCTCCTGTTGCAAGCCAGCCTGGTCTCCGAGCGAGGCGAGAGTCCAGGGGATTCAAGCGCTCACGCTCAGGGTCCCCGTTGCTTTTTGGGAATGCGGTCCAGCAGAGACTCTATGAGTAGAGTTTTCTTCTTCTTGGGAGAAAAGCAACGACAAACCTAGACAGCATCTTAAAAAGCAGAGACATCACCTTGCCGTCAAAGGTCCGACTAGTAAAAGCTATGGTTTTCCCAGTAGTGATGTATGGAAGTGAGAGCTGGACCATAAAGAAGGCTGATCGCTGAAGAATGGATGCTTTTGAATTCTGGTGCTGGAGGAGACTCTTGAGAGGCCCATGGACTGCAAGAAGATCAAACTTCTGCATTCTGAAGGAAATCAGCCCTGAGTGCTCACTGGAAGGACAGATCCTGAAGCTGAGGCTCCAATACTTTGGCCACCTCAGGAGAAGAGAAGACTCCCTGGAAAAGACCCTGATGTTGGGAAAGATGGAGGGCACAAGGAGAAGGGGATGACAGAGGACGAGATGGTTGGACAGTGTTCTCAAAGCTACCAGCATGAGTTTGAGCAAAGTGCGGGAGGCAGTGGAAGACAGGAGTGCCTGGCATGCTCTGGTCCAGGGGGTTACGAAGATGCGGACACGACTAAACAATAAACAACAACATGAGTGGAGTTGTCTGGGGAACCATGGAAGAGAGAAGTCAAACCTTTGGAGAGTTTCAGCGCCTGCTGTGGCTGCAGAGACCGATAAGGAAGAGACATGTTTTGTTGCAGCTGGGGCAGAGGAAGGCGTCTGTTTGTGCTGCTGCAGGTGCACCAGGACATTTCTTCTCTCTGTCATTCCTCCTCTAGTCACTGCTAGGGATGCACAACCTGACTTTCTGTCTCCGGGCACTGCGGTCGTCCGCAAGGGATTCCCACATGATGGGGATGATGTTGCCAGCCTTCATGTCATGTGTGCAGACCTCTTCACCATGCAGAGTTGCTCTGCCAGCAGGCCTAGGGCTAGGCAGAGCATATCCTTGGGGAACCTGCTATCATCTACTTGAGTAATCTTTCATAATTGAGAGCCGGTGTGGTGTAGTGGTTAGGAGCAGTGGACTTGTAATCTGGTGAACTGGGTTCGCTTCCCCGCTCCTCCAGATGCAGCTGCTGGGTGACCTTAGGCCAGTCACACTTCTTTGAAGTCTCTGAGCCCCACTCACCTCACAGAGTGTTTGTTGTGGGGTAGGAAGGAAAAGGAGATTGTGAGCCGCTTTGAGATTCCTTCAGGTAGTGATAAAGTGGGATATCAAATCCAAAATCTTCTCTTCTTCTTCTAATACCGTGCACAGTGTGGGCCCAAAATTAAGGTAAAGGTAAAGGGACCCCTAACCATTAGGTCCAGTCGTGGCCGACTCTGGGGTTGTGGTGCTCATCTTGCTTTACTGGCTGAGGGAGCCGGTGTACAGCTTCCGGGTCATGTGGCATGACTAAGCCGCTTCTGGCGAACCAGAGCAGCGCACGGAAATGCCGTTTACCTTCCCGCTGTTACGCTTAGACCGCTGGCCTGGAATTCATCCCCATCGCTCTCCATCTCCTCCCTACCCTGTGCCTCTGTCCCTGAACCCCTGACAGGTACCTATTTATCTACTTGCACTTTGACGTGCTTTCGAACTGCTAGGTTGGCAGGAGCAGGGACCGAGCAACGGGAGCTCACCCCGTTGCAGGGATTCGAACCGCCGACCTTCTGATTGGCAAGTCCTAGGCTCTGTGGTTTAACCTACAGCGCCACCTGTGTCCCTGGGCTCAAAATTAGGCATCCTAAATGGCTCTTCTCAATTATGGATCTTCTGAATTTTGCACCCCCTTGGCTTCGCACCCTGTGCAGCCGAACTGCCGGCACGACCCTAAATCTGGCACTGTAACAGCTGAGCCTAGGGTGGAGGGGCTTGTGGCACTAAACCCCCTCTCCAAAGGGTCTTGTTTCTCCTATAGCTTCAGCCTTGGTCCCAGCAGAAAGCAAATATTGTGCACATCATAGCCACCTCTCACGTTCCAAACTCTGATTTTGTCTTCCAACTCACTCAAAGCTGGAGTAAGGGACCCACCCATATGCCTTCTGGCACAGAGCCCCCTCTCATCGGCTTTCCTAATGGCTCATCACCTTTCTTTTCTTTTCTTTTCTTTTCTTTTAATAATAATAAATTTTATTTATACCCCGCCCTCCCCAACCAGAGCTGGGCTCAGGGCAGCTAACACCAGTAAAATTACAGTAAAAACATAATAGGAAAAAAACCACCAATTTAAAATACAGTGGCACCTCGGGTTACAGATGCTTCAGGTTACAGACTCCGCTAACCCAGAAATAGTACCTCGGGTTAAGAACTTTGCTTCAGGATGAGAACAGAAATCGTGCTCCAGCGGCGCAGCAGCAGCGGGAGGCCCCATTAGCTAAAGTGGTGCTTGAGGTTAAGAACAGTTTCAGGTTAAGAACGGACCTCCAGAACGAATTAAGTTTTTAACCTGAGGTACCACTATACAGGTTAAAATGCAATTTAAAATGCAGCCTCATTTTAAAGTAGCCCATAAATCAAAACCATAAGGGGAGGGAAACATAAGGGTCAGACTGAGTCCAAACCAAAGGCCAGGAGGAACAGCTCCATCTTGCAGGCCCTGAGGAAAGATGTCAAGTCCCGCAGGGCCCTAGTCTCTTGTGTCAGAGCGTTCCACCAAGTCGGGGCCAGTACTGAAAAGGCCCTGGCCCTAGTTGAGACCAACCTAACCACCTTGCAACTTGGGACCTCCAAAGTGTGGTCATTTGTGGACCTTAAGGTCCTCCACGGGGCATTTTCTTTTCTTTTCTAAATAAATCTTTATTAAACATTCAACACATATTTACACAACAATTTGCCATATTACAGTTTATGCACAAACACTACACATGAAAAAGAAACATACAACAAAAAATAATTAAAAAGAAAATAAAGAATGAATGTAAGAAGGATAAAATAAACTTCCGATTTCTTTTGTCCCCCTACTGATGGCCCATTACTCCAGGCAGTTAGGAAACTGACCTGATTTATCCTAGAATCATACTGTTGGAAGGGATCTCCAGCGGTCATCTAGTCCAACCCCCCCGCAATGCAGGAATCTCAACTCAAGCATCCATGGCTCCTTGTGAATTGAAGCCATTGAATTGAGTCCTACCTTCCAGAGCAGGAGGAGAGAAAAGGTCACTGTCTCTCAGTCTCATTTGATGGAGGCGAATGAACCTAGAAAAACTCCTTCCACAATAAACCGGGTTGGGCTGGCTTACAAAAGTATGAATCACTCAGTATCTCAGCGCTTGACTTGCAACAAAATGTGTGCATTGTCTCGACTGAAAACAAGGTGACCTCAGCTGATAGGAAAAGCTCTGATCTGTGATGAGTCTGAGTTAACAATACTGCAACAGGTCCCAGGATCTGTCCCCAGCCTCTCCTGATGATGATGATGATGATGATGATAATAATACATTTATACCCTGCCCAGCTGATTGGGTTTCCCCAGCCACTCTGGGCGGCTCCCAACAAAAGATAAAAAATACATTAAAACATCAGTCATTAAAAACTTCCCTAAACAGGGCTGCCTTCAGATGTCTTCTAAAAGTCAGATAGTTGTTTATTTCCTTGACATCTGATGGGAGGGCATTCCACAGGGCGGGCGCCACCACCGAGAAGGCCCTCTGCCTGGTACCCTGTAGCTTCCCTTCACGTAGTGAGGAAACCGCCAGAAGGCCCTCGGCACTGGACCACTTCTGAAACCCAGTCGACGCAAATATTGAGCTAGATGTACCAGATGTAACAATAATGCTCTGAGCAGATCCACACGGTACATTTAAAGCACATCCAATGCACATTTAGAGCACATGACGTCTCCCAAACAATCCTGGGACCTGTAGTTTGTTAAGGGTGCTGGGAATTGTGTGGCAGATGAAGATGATGGATTTTCTGGAGCCGGCCGACCTGACCGGTAGAATCCGTGAACAGGAGGAGGAGGAATACCAAGAAGAATGGAAGAAATTTAAGGACTATTTAGTAAAATATTTTAAGATAACATAAGTAGTATCATTTGTGAGTACCAAATTCGCTTAGGAGTTAAATGTTTTAAATTGTATAATACTATGGATATAAGTGAATATGATAAGAAAGAAAGATGTTAATTGATTAAGATAATTTTATTGGCAATTAGTATTGGAAAACTGCTACATTGACTCATATGGAAACTCAGCTAGAGGGATTTGAGGAAGTCATTTAACAATGGCAACAGAAGTATGATTATAATAGTTAGGATAAATGTTTGTATGTTTGTTTGTTTTTTATATTGTAATGTTTTGTCTTTTTTGTTATTTATGTTTGTTACAAATTTGGAAAATCAATAAAAAAATGGAAAAAAGGGGGCTGGGAATTGTGTCTCTGCAAGGGGAAACGACAGTCTTCATTATCCTTTGGGGTAAGTCATGGGGGGAAATGGTGTGGGTGTCCCCAGTGGCAGACCTACGTTTGGGGGCCCCTGAAGCTTGAACTGTCATGGGGGCCCCTTCACAACCAGCAGCGAGGCCTGGGGAACCACTCTTACCTTTTTTTTTTTTTATAAGATATTTATTAAGGTTTTTTGAAGTATTACAATAGAAATGAAAAAGAAAAAAGAAAAATACAAAATAAAAACAGTTAAAAACACACATATTTTCAGTTACTTATTTTCCTTTAGCTTGTTTCCCGGACCTCCTCGTACCTCCCTTTTTTGTATTCCACTTCAGTTTATTGGTTCAGCAAATCCTTACCATTAGATTTTAACCCATTTATAACCCTTTTTTTCATATTCTCTTAAAGCATTACAGCTAGAAACCACTTAATTGCTATCCAACATCATTCTATCATTCATTAATTTTACAGTATTTCTGTAAATAGTCTTTAAATTTCTTCCAATCTTCTTCCACCGACTCTTCCCCCTGGTCTCGGATTCTGCCAGTCATTTCTGCCAACACTCTTACCTTTTTCAATGGGGTTTATCCATGACAGATCACAACATTATTATTATTTTTAAAAATTAACAACTACATCTCATATTTGGAATGAAATTGCTGTACTGGATTATCTCACGTGTCAAAGTGTGGATAACATTTTAGCTGAGATTCCTGCATTGCAGGGGGTTGGACTAGACGACCTTTGGGTCCCTTCCAACTCTAAGATTCTGTGATTATAGTTTGCAAATTATTATTGCGGGGGGATGAAAATTAGATAAATGGTGCATGATACCTGCATGGTGCATCATAGAATGTTTGAGTTGTGTGACCTCATCGTGTCTACTAGGGTTTCAAATATATCAGGCCCTGGCTGTCCCTGATAACAATGCAGACAGAAGCCAAGCGGTGCTGGTGATGGAACTCAAAGAACAGCACCTGCACAGAACAATCTAGCAAAGGCTTGGGGAAGAACTGCAGCACATCAAGGCATAACTTTGGGGGTTGGAAGCAGAATCTTCTTATCCCCCCCCCCTATATAATTTTTATTAAATTTTCTGTTTTACAATTTAAAATACTCATTTTTACATCCTTAAGATATCAGTGACTTCCCTTCTTCTCTTTCCATGGTTCATTTTACATATCATAAATCCCTGAATATTTTACAAACACTATACCATTCAGTATTCCATTATTGCATGCATCAAAACTGATTTACACTGTTAAATTTATTTGAATGCTGACGGCGTATTTAGCTGTACACAATTATTTTCCATATACTCAGTAAACGTTTTCCAATCTTCTCTAAATGTACGTTCTTCTTGTTCTCTTATTAGATATGTAAAGTCTGCAAGCTGTGCATATTCTATCAACTTAAGTTACCATTCTTCTTTAGTTGGGACCTCGCTCATTTTCCATTTTTGGGCTAACAAAACACAGGCCACAGTAGTGGCATACATAAATAACCTTTTTTTGACACCTGGGAATTTCAGTCCGAATTATCCCCAACAGAAAGGACTCTTTTTCCGTTGTTGTTTTTTGAGAAAGTACTTTTAAATATTTCCCCCCCAAATTCATTATGGATCATTTCCCGGAAGCAGAATCTTCTTAAATCCTGCTTGCGGGATTCTCACAGGCATCTGATTGGCTGCCGTAAGAACAGGATGCTGGACTAAGATGGATCACTGGGCTGACCCAGCAGCCTCTTCTTCCATTGTTATGTTTGTACAAGACACTTAGGGCTTTTGAAACCGGCTGCTGGGGTTACACATTTCCGAGCACAATTCAAAGTGTTGGTGCTGACCTTTAAAGCCCTAAACGGCCTCAGCCCAGTATACCTGAAGGAGCGTCTCCACCTCCATCGTTCTACCCAGACACTGAGGTCCAGTGCCGAGGGCCTTCTGGCGATTCCCTCATTGCGAGAAGCCAAGTTACAGGGAACCAGGCAGAGGGCCTTCTCGGTAGTGGCACCTGCCCTGTGGAACACCCTCCCACCAGATGTCAAAGAGAACAACAACTCCCAGACTTTTAGAAGACATCTGAAGGCAGCCCTGTTTCGGGAAGCTTTTAACGTTTTATAGGTTATTGCATTTTAGTGTTTTGTTGGAAGCTGCCAGAGTGGCTGGGGAAACCCAGCCAGATGGGCGGGGTATAAATAATAAATTATTATTATTACACAAGAGCAGGCATCGGCAAAGTTTTTGTGTCTTGGGCTGGTTCACAGTCCAGCAGACGCTGCAGTGGACTGGAGTGCATGTGTGGGTGTGTGGATGCATGTATGCATTCATGCATTCATGCGCAAGCACTATTTCCAGCGCTCCTTCCGGTGCTAAGGAGGCATGCGCAGCTTCCCATTGGCTGCAGGAGCTTCCAGCAGCCAACGGGAAGCCGGCCAGTGTCACGGAAGGTGGTCCCTGCTCTGCTCTGCGCCGGTTTAGCACGGCGCATGGGAGCCGACTGAGCGGGCAGCGGGGGTCCATGGGCCGGTTAAACGACCCTTTTGAATTCTGGTGCTGGAGGAGACTCTTGAGAGTCCCATGGACTGCAAGAAGATCAAACCTCTCCATTCTGAAGGAAATTAGCCCTGAGTGCTCACTGGAAGGACAGATCCTGAAGCTGAGGCTCCAATACTTTGGCCACCTCATGAGAAGAGAAGACTCCCTGGAAAAGACCCTGATGTTGGGAAAGATGGAGGGCACAAGGAGAAGGGGATGACGGAGGACGAGATGGTGGGACAGTGTTCTTGAAGCTACCAGCATGAGTTTGACCAAACTGTGGGAGGCAGTGGAAGACAGGAGTGCCTGATTTGCTCTGGTCCATGGGGTCACGAAAAGGTGGACACGACTAAATGACTAAACAACAACAACAACAAGTGAAAGGAGGAACTCTGTGAGGCCAAGGAAGGGACGGAGGCGCAGTTAGTCACCAGCGGCAATTTTAATGGCAGCCTGTCTCAACTCTCTACTACCAACACGGTGGATGGGGGAATGATTCCGAAACAAATTCAGGATGAATGATAAAGCTGTCCCTCTGTGCCCCTCCAGCCTTCTTAAAATGGCTTGTATCCCACCTGGCAGGGAGAGAGAAAGAATAAAAGATTTTACACGGAGCAGAATATGACTTTGATTTGCAGACTGCAATTTTGTGTGTGTCTTTTTGACCCATGGGTCCCATTGCTGGTCAGACACAACTCAATGGGCCACATATGAGATACACAACCCCATACAGCACACCTACAGACCACATGCACACTCACCACATGTAGAATCAGAATTGTAGAGAAGGGACCCCACGGGTCATCTAGTCCAACCCCCTGCAATGCAGGAAATATGCAGACATATTTCTCTCTCACACTATTTCAGTAAGGGGCCTCCCCAGCTGTCTCCATTGTACTTAGGTGGTAGTGATGCACACTTACTTATTTATTAAAAATATTTTATAACTAACTTTTAAAAAAAACTTTCTTTATTTGCCCGGAGAAGCACAAAATTTCATTATGAAAACTTGTATTCCCATATGTGCACCACGACTTATAACAGTAAACCTCTATAAACCTTCAAAACTGGTCTTTGGTTTTCTGGAGATTTTGGAAACCCAAAGAAGAGTCCCCCTTCTCCCGCAAAGGTATATTTGTGCTTTGTTCCTCTTGCGAGTCATGATTTGTAAGCCCATTTTTCCATAAGAGCGATATGCCAAGCATGCTCTCTTGTACCAAACATTCAAGTTTTCACCTATTAAATGTGTAATTTTACTTATATCATTAAGCACTTGGCCAAAAGTTACTACCTTTGGGCATGTCCACCACAACAGCCCATACAGCTGCCTCTTTCTCCCTTGCACCAGCACTTTGGTGAATTATTTTTTAATGTATACCGTTTGCAACCGCTTTGGATTACAACCGTTTTGGATTACAACCATGTCAAACCCGGAAGTGCGTGTCCCTTTTTTTGGACTACAACCCATTTTGAAAAAAAGTACAAACCATTTTTTTTGCGCCATTGGCGAAAGCGTGCCTTGGGTTACAACCTGCTTTGGTTTACAACCGGACCTCCGGAACGGATTATGGTTGTAAACCAAGGTACCACCAGATATGAAAGTTTAACTGAGGTTAAGCGCTATTTCTGCGTTGTCTTCAACGTTATTTCCTTGATGCTGGCTGAGATAGTAGAAACAACCTAAAGAGCCAATTATGCCCATGACTCATTTCTGAAGGACCACTTTTCCTCCTTCCTTCCTTCCTTCCTTCCTTCCTTCCTTCCTTCCTTCCTTCCTGGCCCTTCTAGACTGTTCCCTTCTCCTTCTGGCACAGGATTCCAGATTCCAGACAAACGGATTCAGCACACAAACGGAGTAATTTTGCACGAGACACTCCCTTTTTCCATAAGTAGGACTGATTTGCATCTGTGGGGGTGGAATCTGCGTTCCTCTCGAGCGAAGTTTGAACGTGCTTCTTTTGGCACATTCATTTTTACTTCCATCATTGAATCCAAGGAGGCATGGGGGCGCGGGGGCTGTTAAGCAGACTTTATCTAACCAGGCAATTGCTCACACTTGGACCAGCTCAGCTTTCGCAAAGCTATGACATCACTTTCTTGATGCTCTACATTTCCACGCCTCTGGAGGTTTGTTATTTTACTGCTACACTTTTGGAAACGCAAATACTGAAATCAGACGTGCACTCAGAACTGCCAACCCAAGCTCAGAATTTACGCCACAATTGCGATCATCTCGCTGAAAGCTCTGCAAGACGTGGAAGGCAAACTGACTAGTACAGGGAAGTCACAGGGCAGAGCTCCAGGAGAGGATGAATAATAAGAAGGGCCTCTCAGAAGCGGGAACATTATGAGTGCAACCAGGAAAAAGCTTAAGGTGGACCTCGACAAGATATATCTTCCCTCCTCTACCTTTTTCCTTGTGTGCCATGTCTTTGTGAGTGCAACCAAGGAAAAACTTAGGATGGAGACCCACAAGATACATGCAAGCATCTTCCTTCACCTCCCTTTTCCCTTTTTCGCCATGTCTTTTTAGAGTATGAGTTGGAGGAGAGGGACTACTTAGCACTGATTATTTCTGTAAGCTGCACTGAGAAACGTCTTTGGTTAAACGGGGTTAAAGTGTCAAGATGGCAATGTGAGCAGCAGCCTCTAGCCTCCTTCTCCCTGCTCTTTTCTTTTTAATTTTTAACTTTTGTTGCTGGCCTGTTTTATGCTTAAAGGGCAGGTTAGAAGTGCCTTCAGTAAACAAACCATCTATGGATCCTGTGAACTTTAGAATGAATCTTTATCCTAATCAAGGCCTTTATCCTAATCTGGCTTCTCTTGAGAGTGCTCCAACATCACAGGAATCCAAAACCTGGAAATGTCCAAGGCCTGTGGCTGAGAGTTGGTTGCTGTGCCCCTTTGCCCACCACCTGACTGCTGTTGTGGTCCTGCTATATCCATATAGGTGTTTTATCTGGAACCACCAAAACACCCCAATGGCCCTGGAGGAAAAAGGAAAGGTGGATATATACCGTATTGGCACAAATATAAGCCGCACCCACAAATAAGCCACACCTTTAAAATTCAAGGGGGGGGGGGAGAAAAAAAGACAATACCCGACTATAAGCCGCTCCCTTAAAATTGGGTTACAGCAGGCATAGGAAAACTCCGGCCCTCCAGATGTTTGGGGCTACAATTCCCATCACCCTGACCACTGGTCCAGTTAGCTAGGGATGATGGGAATTGTAGTCGCAAACATCTGGAGGGCCGGAGTTTGCCTATGCATGGGTTACAGGCTGAAAACCGCTGCGGTTGGTAGAATTGTAACTCCGAGCCTAATTAAGCCTTTGAACTTGCAAGCCCGCAACGTTACCGTACAATTGCTAAAATCACAAATCGGTATTCAGTAGCTTCAATCCTGCAGCCACCCACACCTGCAAATGGCCAATTAACAGTCTCAAGCTCGCAAATCGTCAATAAAACATTTTTTGGTCCGTTTTGCCGTATGTCTATTTCAGCAGCGGTATCGTAAAAGCCAATTTTTGTAAGGTCGGGAATTTAAGCCGCACTTTAACTTTACACGGTTGGAATTTGGGGGGAAAGTGCGGCTTATATTCGGGCCAATACAGTATATATTTTTTCCCAGGTATTGAGAGACATGCCTGCTCAACACATACCTGTCAAATTGTTCATACTGCCTCCCCATTGCCTTCATGGTGGAGCTCCCAATTAAATGCCCTCCATGTAGGGATTTCGGAAAGCAAAAAACCAGATTTTATTTGTACTGGCAGAGAGAGGTAGCCTCCAACTGCCTGGCAAACAGAGAAATCCACCTCATTTCCAAGACACAGATGCACAGAAGCAATCGCTACGGCAGCCTTTGCCAGTCTTGTGCCCTCCAGATGTTTCGGATTACGATTCCCATCAGCCGCAGCCAGCTGGTGGGAGCAAAACATCTGGAAAGCACTAGGCTGCGGAAGAATGGCTTAGTCAGTCCCTGCAGTATATCTTCTGATATTCTTCAGATATACCTTATAGAGGGGTGTATGGGATGGGGGAGTGACGCGGGTGGCGCTGTGGTCTAAACCATGGAGCCTAGGGCTTGCAAATCAGAAGGTCAGCGGTTTGAATCCCCGTGACGGGGTGAGCTCCTGTTGTTCTGTCCCAGCTCCTGCTAACCTAGCAGTTCGAAAGCACGCCAGTGCAAGTAGATAAATAGGTACCGCTCCGGCGGGAAGGTAAACGCTGTTTCTGTGTGCTGCTCTGGTTCGCCAGAAGCGGCTTAGTCATGCTGACCACATGACCCGGAAGCTGTATGCCGGCTCCCTCGGCCAATAAAGCGAAATGAGCGCCACAACCCCAGAGTCGGTCACGACTGGACCTAACGGTCAGGGGTCCCTTTACCTTTACCTATGGGGTGGGGAAACACACATTGTGCTACTTCTGGAATAGTCTGTCCACCTTTGGTCCTCGCCCTGCACTCAACTCTTACCTGTGGCTCCTAGAAGCTGCCAGCACAAAACAGCGTCCATTTCCTAGGAGCAGCTTCGACTGGCTGGCTGAGCCAGGTGAGGGCAGCCGATGGGTCTCAAACCCTCATCAGCGAGGGTGAGAAGGGGGTCCTGTCATCCGGGCAGCCTAGGACTGCCCTTACACACTGCAGGGGCGAACGAAGGCATCGTGACACCTGGGGCAGGGCGTCGCTACGAAGGGCGCACATCCATGCGGACGGTGCTGGGACCCTTCTGTTGCCGCTCCAACCGCATGTGGAGGACCCTCCATTCACGGCCGCAGCTGGGAGCAGAGGATCCCGGCACCGTCCATACGGTGCTGGAGCGGCGCCGGCAGCACACCATTATGTACAGCGCATTTGCGTCGTTGTTACGTACAGCACATGCGTGCGACGCCGCACATGCGTTGTACATATCGGTTTGCCGCTGGCGCTGGGATCCTCTGCTCGCCGGCTGCGGGATCCTCCACGTGGCTGCAGTGGTGCGATGGCTGCTCGCGCCTCCACGAGTCCCCGCAGAGTGACTTCTTGTCACCCCCCAGACATGGCACCCAGGGCGCACTGCCCCCCGTTGCGACGCCACTGACACACTGCCCAAGCTCGCACCCCGAGGAAGTCACTTTGGTGCTGCTGATGCAGTGGTTTGACTTCACCCCTGGAGGCGCACTCCACTTTCTCTCGAGGAAGACGCACTAGAGAGCCAGTGCTGAAAACATCGCCCAGAGGTCCGCTATGTGACTTTTGAAACCTCCCTTGTGTGACAGCCTCATTGCTCCTGCTGGAACAAGGCAGGGTTGCGCTCATCCCACAGCAGATCCTACAGGCGCTGATCCTATTATCCAGAACCCGCCTCTGGCTGCCTGCTAGAGGAGGCATAGATTGCAGCCACAGCAAAGGTGGCAATTTTTCATCTCTCGCCCTGATCTGGCCACAGTGATCCATGCAACGGTCACCTCCAGGCTTGATTATTGTAACTCGCTCTACGTGGGGCTGCCCTCGAAGCTGACCCAGAAACTCCAGCGGGTGCCGAATGCCGCGGCAAGGCTCCTTACATTCATCCAGTGCTTTACCAACTGCACTGGCTCCCGGTGGAGTACAGGGTCAGGTTTAAGGTGCTGGTTTTGACCTTTAAAGCCCTATGTGGCCTAGGACCCTTGTACCTATGGGACAGCCTCTCCTGATATGCCCCGCGGAGGACCTTAACATCCACAAATAACAACACTTTGGAGGTCCCGAGCCTCAAGGCTTGGTCCCAACTAGGGCCAGGGCCTTTTCAGCACTGGCCCCGATGTGGTGGAACTCTCTGTCACAAGAGACCAGGGCCCTGCACGACTTGACATCTTTCCGCAGGCCTGCAAGACAGAGCTGTTCCACCAGGCTTTTGGTTTGGACTCGGTCTGACCCTTATGTTTCCCTCCCCTTATGGTCTTGATTTATCTGCTATTTTAAAATGAGGCTGCATTTTAAACTGCATTTTAACCTGTATTTTAAATTGGTTCCCCCCTCTTTCCCCCCTATTATGTTTTTACTGTGATTTTATTGGTGTTAGCCACCCTGAGCCCGGCTCTGGCTGGGGAGGGCGGGGTATAAATAAAATTAGAAGCTGGTTCGCTGGCAACCAAGCTATCCTTGGGGAAAAGCTGTTCACCAGGTTTGATCTCCGGGAACGGTCCCCAGGCAACACACATCCCTTGTGAGCAACCCCGCTTCCCCAGCCCAGCTCCTTCCCGTCGCCAAACCTGTTTGGGTTCCTTACCTAAGGTTCATATACGGGAAGCCAGGCGGCAGGTCGGGCATTCGTGCACAAAGAGTCATCTCGTGGTGGTGGTCGTAGTACGGGAAATTCCTGGAATGGCAGTGGGGGAAAGAGAGAGGTTGCCATTAAAGGGCTACAGGAGACCTTGGCTGGCATCTCAGCGGGTGGATCAGAGCTAGAGCCATGGGGAAGAACTTGGAGGGGAAAGCAGGACACTAGAGAAGAGCTGCATTGCAGGATCAGACCAAGACCCAACCAGCCCAGTGTTCTGTGCCCAAGAGTGGTCAGCAGCTTCTCACAGCCAGGGCGCAAAGTTGATGACCATTTCCTAATGTGTTGGGTGTGTGTGTTGTTTTTGGTTCCCAGTAGAGGTACTCTGCTTTTGCACATGGAGGTTCCACTTAACAATCATGGTTAATTAACAATCATGGCTAATTGACCCCTCCCTCCCTGGCTGCTGGCCACTTAAGACACTTAGGTCCTGAAAGAACTACATTGGCTCCCAGTACATTTCCGAGCACAATTCAAAGTGTTGGGGCTGACCTTTAAAGCCCTAAACGGCCTTAGTCCTGTATACCTGAAGGAGCATCTCCACCCCCATCGTTCAGCTAAGACACTGAGGTCCAGCTCTGAGGGCCTTCTGGCGGTTCCCTCGCTGTGAGAAGTGAGGTTACAGGGAACCAGGCAGAGGGACTTCTTGGTGGTGGCGCCTGCCCTGTGGAACTCCCTCCCATCAGATGTCAAAGAGATAAACAACTACCTGACATTTAGAAGACATCTGAAGGCAGCCCTGTTCAGGGAAGTTTTTAATGTGTGACATTTTAATGTATTTTTAATCTTTGTTGGAAGCCGCCCAGAGTGGCTGGGGAAACCCAGCAAGATGGGCAGGATACGAATAATAAATTATTATTATTATTATTATTATTATTATTATTAGGCAAAAAAGTGGAGGTGAAAGAACTAGGAAGTGGCTCCCACTATTGGGGTGTCAGAATTGAAATTTAGGAGGATGGATCTTATCTTCTAAGCCAAAGGAAGAAAGTTGCTGAATTGCTTGACAGCCTGAAGCTGCGAGAAGCCAACACAGTAGCCACACCAATGACCGTCGATTTCCTGGAGAGCAAACATGAATCAAAGCTCTTGCCTGACCACAACCAGTGCAGGTCAACAATAGGGAAACATTTGCACCTTACCACGACAATGAGACCAGACATTGCAAATGCAGTGGGAATTCTAAGCAGGAAAGGAAGTGCTCCCACTGAGATGGATCGAGCCCTCATAAAAAGAGGAGCACAGCGTATGAAGTTTACGGCATGTAATGCCTTAAGAGAGAATATTATGAAAATGATATACAGTGGTGCCCCGCAAGACGAACGCCTCGCAAGACGAAAAACTCGCAAGACGAAAGGTTTTTTCGTTTTCGAGTTGCTCATAAGACGAATGTCCCTATGGGCTTGCTTCGCAAGACGAAACGTCTTGCAAGTTTGTTTCCTTTTCGTAAAACCGTTAAAACCCAGGGTGCATTGCTGGAAGAGGTGCAGTTGCGACTTGACCTCGAGGAGCAACACATTGCACGCGGTGTGGTGGCCTTTCTGAGCTTTTTAAAGAGTTTGCTGGATTTTGAAGCTTTTCCAAAACTTCTTCTACAGCTGTTTGGTAAGTTGAACTTTTAAAACTTTTTTTGGGTTTTTGGGATTTTGGGTTGGGGTGTTTAGAATTCAAGGACTTGGTGTTGGGGAGAGGTTTGCAAGAATCTGGGAGCTTGTGTGGTTTTTTTCTGCATTTTTATGATTTTCTGTGACCATTGGGCCATGTTTATTTTTTTTAAAAAAATCTGGCTTTGAATTTTTGAATTTCTGTGTGCTGGGTGGATGGGGAACAGCTGGGGAGGTGTTTGCAAGAATCTGGGAGCTTGTGTGCTTTTTTGAATTTTTATGATTTTTGTGACCATTGGGCCATGTTGTTTTTTTGAAAAAAGTTTCTGGGTTTTAAATTTCTGTGTGCTGGGTGGATGGGGGAACAACTGGGGAGGTGTTTGCAAGAATCTGGGAGCTTGTGTGCTTTTTTTGAATTTTTATGATTTTTGTGACCATTGGGCCATGTTGTTTTTTTTGAAAAAAGTTTCTGGGTTTTAAATTTCTGTGTGCTGGGTGGCTGGGGAACAGCTGAGGAGGGGTTTGCAAGAATCTGGGAGCTTGTGTGCTTTTTTTGAATTTTTATGATTTTTGTGACCATTGGGCCATGTTGTTTTTTTTGAAAAAAGTTTCTGGGTTTTAAATTTCTGTGTGCTGGGTGGATGGGGGAACAGCTGGGGAGGTGTTTGCAAGAATCTGGGAGCTTGTGTGCTTTTTTTTGAATTTTTATGATTTTTGTGACCATTGGGCCATGTTGGTTTTTTTTGAAAAAAGTTTCTGGGTTTGAATTTCTGTGTGGTGGGTGGATTGGGGAACAGCTGGGGAGGTGTTTGCAAGAATCTGGGAGCTTGTGTGCTTTTTTTTGAATTTTTATGATTTTTTTTTTGAAAAAAGTTTCTGGGTTTTAAATTTCTGTGTGCTGGGTGGATGGGGGAACAGCTGGGGAGGTGTTTGCAAGAATCTGGGAGCTTGTGTGCTTTTTTTGAATTTTTATGATTTTCTGTGACCATTGGGCCATGTTGTTTTTTTTGAAAAAGTTTCTGGGTTTTAAATTTCTGTGTGCTGGGTGGCTGGGGGAACAGCTGAGGGGTTTGCAAGAATCTGGGAGCTTGTGGGCTTTTTTTGAATTTTTATGATTTTTTGTGACCATTGGGCCATGTTGTTTTTTTTTGAAAAATTTTCTGGGTTTTGAATTTCTGTGTGCTGGGTGGCTGGGGGAACAGTTGAGGAGGGGTTTGCAGGAATCTGGGAGCTTGTGTGTTTTTTTTTTGAATTTTTATGGTTTTCTGTCACAATTGGGCCATGTTGTTTTTTTTGAAAAATTTTCTGGGTTTTGAATTTCTGTGTGCTGGGTGGCTGGGGAACAGTTGAGGAGGGGTTTGCAACAGTTGGGGAGGGTTTGCAACAGTTGGGGAGGGGCTGGGGAACAGTTGAGGTTTTTGAAGACTTTGGTGATTTTTAAAGCTTTCCCAAAATTTCTTTTGCAGCCATTTGAGGATTTTGAAGACTTTGGTGATTTGCAGCCATTTCGTAAGTTAAACTTTTAAAACTTTTTTTTGGGGTTTTTGGATTTTGGGTTGGGTGTTTGGAATTCAAGGACTTGGTTGTGGGTTTGAATTGCTGATTTTTTTTTTTCTTTTTCTGAGTTTTACAAAGGTAACAGCTGTGCTGCCATGGGACCCAAGAAGACTGCTGCTGCTGCGGAGGCCGGCGAGAGGAAGAAGGAGAAGGTGACGCTGGAGATGAAGAAGGAGATCATCCGGAAGCACGACGGTGGAATGCGTGTGACGGACCTCGCCAGGGAGTACGGCAGGAACCCATCGACCATCGGCACCATCCTGAAGATGAGGGAGAAGATCCTTGCGACTGATGCAGCCAAGGGAGTCACCAGGATCGTGAAGAACCGCCCAGCTGTTCTGGAGGAGGTTGAGAAGTTGCTCCTCATCTGGATAGAAGAGAAGCAGCGCGCAGGGGACACAGTGACTGAGGCCGTGATTTGTGAGAAGGCCAAGGCCTTGCACGCAGACCTCATCCGGGAACAGCCAGGAACCTCGGCCGAGCCAGAAGTCTTCAAGGCAAGCAGAGGCTGGTTTGACCGGTTCAAGGCAAGATCCGGAATCCACAGCGTGGTCAGGCATGGAGAGGCTGCCAGTTCTGATGTTCCTGCGGCTGAAGACTTTGCCTTGGAGTTCCTGGAGGTTGTGAAGACGGAGGGCTACGTTCCACAGCAGGTCTTCAACTGCGACGAGACCGGGCTGTTTTGGAAGAGGATGCCCAAAAGGACTTTCATCACACAGGAGGAGGCCAAGTTGCCTGGCCACAAGCCCATGAAGGACCGTCTGACCCTGCTCTTCTGTGCCAACGCAAGCGGCGACCTGAAGATCAAGCCCCTGCTGGTGTACCACTCGGAGAACCCACGGGCCTTCAAGAAACACAAGGTCGACAAGGAGCGGCTGAGTGTCATGTGGCGATCCAACAGCAAGGCTTGGGTCACACGTGTGCTGTTTGTGGACTGGGTCAATCTTGCCTTTGGCCCTGCTGTCAAACAGTACCTGCTGGACAATGACCTGCCGCTGAAGGCTTTGCTTCTGATGGACAATGCTCCTGCTCATCCTAAAGGCCTTGAGGTGGACTTGTTGGAGGAGTTCAGCTTCATCAACATCATGTTCCTGCCGCCTAACACCACGCCACTGCTCCAGCCGATGGATCAGCAGGTCATCGCCAATTTCAAGAAACTCTACACCAAGGAGCTTTTCAGGCGATGCTTCGAGGTGACTGATTGCACCACCATCACCCTGCGGGAATTCTGGAAGGACCACTTCGACATCGTCACCTGCTTGAAGATGATCACCACGGCCTGGAAGGGGATCAGCCAGAGGAATTTGAATTGCGCTTGGCGCAGCCTGTGGCCGGACTGTGTGGCACCAAGTGACTCTGATGCACCAGAGTCGACAGTGGTGCAGGACATTGTTGCCTTGGGGAGGACCATGGGCCTGGAGGTCACAGAGGAGGACGTTTGCGAGCTGGTGGAGGAGCACGACCACGAGCTGACCACCCAGGAGCTGGTTGAACTGCAGTCAGAGGTTGCGCAGGAGCAGGCCTTGCTGGAAGAGGAGGAAGCAACTGAGGAACGGCTGTCCTCCAAAGAACTGAGGGACATTTGCCAGAAGTGGAATGTGGTGCAGGCTTTGCAGAGCGGCACCACCCTGACAAGCACGTGGCACATGACCAAGCGAACATTTTTGATACGACGGTCATGTCGCCTCTCAGGGAGCTGCTGAAACGGCGGATGAAGCAGCAGACCATGGACAGGTTCCTCAGCAAGAAGCAAAGAGTGGAAGAGGAACCTTCTTCGAGTGGTCCCCCAGAGTCTTAGAAAATGTAATGTACCCTGTTTTGATTTTTAAATGTTTTTCCTGTCATGTTTAGAAACTTAATTTATTGTTCCTTCAATTTTTGATATGCTCTTTAAAGTATGTGTGACTTTAAAGAGCAGTTAATAAACTCTTGTTGTACCGAATTTGGCTTTGATTGGACTTTTTTTGACCATAGGAACGCATTAATTGAATTTCAATGCATTCCTATGGGATTTCGTGCTTCGCAAGACGAAAAATTCGCTAGACGAAAAAACTCGCGGAACGAATTAATTTCGTCTTGCGAGGCACCACTGTACAGGTGGTACATGACACCAGTCAAGCTTGCAAAAATCTATCATTTGCCCGATAATAAATGTTGGAAATGTAAAGAAACTGAAGGTACATTCTTTCACCTTTGGTGGACGGGCCCAAGGATTAAGGCTTTCTGGGAGATGATTTATAATGAAATGAAAAAGGTATTTAAATATACCTTTCTGAAGAAACCAGAGGCCTTTCTCCTGGGCATGGTTGGCCAATTGGTGTTAAAGAAGGATAGAACTTTCTTTATGTATGCTACAACAGCAGCAAGGATACTTATTGCAAAATATTGGAAGACACAAGATTTACCCACTCTGGAAGAATGGCAGATGAAGGTGATGGACTACATGGAACTGGCGGAAATGACTGGCAGAATCCGAGACCAGGGAGAAGAGTCGGTGGAAGAAGATTGGAAGAAATTTAAAGACTATCTACAGAAATACTGCAAAATTAATGAATGTCAGAATGATGTTGGATTGAAGTTAAGTGGTTTTTAGCAGCAATATTATAAAGGAATATGTAAAAATGGATGTTAACAGGTGATAACCTAAAGTTATAATATATTAAGATAAAAGATTAAGATAAAATCAAAGAGGGAAAGGATTTGTTGAATTAACAAGCAAATGAAAGATAAGATATGGAAAGACTGATTTGTTTTTTACTGTTTTTATTTTGTATTTTCATTTATGTTTTTTTTCTTTTCTTTTACTTTTTTCTCTTATTTTTGTAATATGCTGAAACTTTAATAAATATCTTTAAAAAAAAGAAAAGAAAGAGGAGCACAGCACTGTGGGTTAAACCACAGCTTGCTGATCAGAAGGTCAGCGGTTCGAATCCCCGCGATGGGGTGAGCTCCCGTTGCTCGGTCCCTGCTCCTGCCAACCTAGTAGTTCGAAAGCACGTCAAAGTGCAGGTAGATAAATAGGTACTGCTCCGGTGGGAGGGTAAACGGCGTTTCCGTGTGCTGCTCTGGTTCGCCAGAAGCGGCTTAGTCATGCTGGCCACATGACCCGGAAGCTGTACGCCGGCTCCCTCGGCCAATAAAGCAAGATGAGCGCCGCAACCCCAGAGTTGGCCACAACTGGACCTAATGGTCAGGGGTCCCTTTACCTTGACTATGAACTGTTAGGCTGACCGGTTGCTGACCAGGCTGGAGGCGCTAAAGATTACAAGGGAACCAGGTGGGTATGTCTTTATGTTTGGAAATGGTTCCCTTTCTTACGGCAGTTATAAAGAAGGATGTGTAGCTTTGTCTTTCACAGAGTCAGTGTATGTAGCTGCGACTGAGCATGCAGAGAGCTGGCCTGGCGGACTATGGATTTGGGGTTGGTGCAGGAGAAACCTATTTGACAGATGAAAGACAAGCAGAGCTTTTCCAAAGGTATTGCAGAGCGAGAAGTTCAAGGGAAAACCAAGCACATCAGGGGGTCGGGGTCGGGGTCGGGGTCAGGGTGAGTACCGCTGCCTGCGCAATGGCCTAGTTGAATTGGCCTACAATCATACCTCGTGTTGCGTTTGCTTCAGGTTGCACGTTTTGAGGTTGCATCCCGTGGCAACCCAGAAGTACTGGAAAGGGTTACTTCCAGGTTTCGCGGCTCGCGCATGTGCAGACGCTCAAAATGACGTCACGTGCATGCACAGACGCGGCAAATCGCGACCCATGCACGCACAGACACGGGGTGCGTTCTGCTCATGTTGCGAACGGGACTCTGGAACGGATCCCGTTTGCAACCAGAGGTACCACTGTATTGCCAAAGAGATGACCGCTGCAATCTTCACCAAACCTCGACCGAGAGATAGTTTTGAAAACCTTTGAATCAAAGATGGGACTTTGGGTGCTTTAATAAAAGTGTGCATGCAATTGCTGTATTTGCCCGAGAAGGGGTTTGTGGGAGATTAGCAGCCAAATCTAACAATGCATATTCTTGCCAGTTAGCATGAGGAAGAGTTAAGACCACAGAGCTGCGTTGCTGATAGGAAGACTCAAGCCATAGACATGTAATTGGTAGAGAGGGCTCTGTGTGAGGTCATTTCCCCCTCAGGACAGGAGGGAAAAGGAACATAATAGTATTTCCTGTTCCCCCTCCCTCCCTCTCTTCGACCAGTGCTTGGAGCAGACATATTCAGGGAAGTTTTTAATGTGTGACATTTTAATGTATTTTTAATCTTTGTTGGAAGCTGCCCAGAGTGGCAGATGGGCGGGGTACAAATAATAAATTATTATTATTAGTCTAACTGCTCCAGCTCACACACATGCATGCCTGAGGCTATTCCTTCTGCAAATGCAAGTATTTTACCTGCAAATTTTTACTGCTGCGGTTGCTGACAACCCAGTACATAGCTAAACTCCATTTTAAACTTACTTCTCAGCCTGCTATCTGATTCTTTGTTAAGTGGCGCAAGAAAAGGGGGAACCAGCTTGCTCCGCAGTTGGACTTGTTCAAAAGAAGGCTTTGCAGCCTAATTCATATGCTTTTAATTTGCTGCTAAGGATGGGATTTTCAACTCAGCCTCACATTTAAATGCAAGCAGTGAGCTGATGTTCTATCCATTCAACACAAACATGTGGGCACCTGGGGAGATGAATCGCAATTCATTTATTCTCTCCTACCTATTAAAACCCACCCCACATGAGGACACCTTGCAGTGTGCACCCTGTGTGTATGTTCCAATGAGGAGCTTATGGCAGAGTCTGTGCTGGCCTGGGACTTGGGCTCGAACTCGGAGCCGGAGGAGTCTCAGTCCGCACCGGATCCTTTGCCTCAGGCGGCAGCTGAACCTAGTCTGGGGCCTGATCCTGAAGAGCCCCAGTCTGCACAGGTTCCCCTGCAACAAGCACCAGATGGGCCGAGTCAGGGGCCTGAGCCTGCCCTGGCTCCAGATGCGGGGATGACCTTGTTGCCTCCAGCTGGGCCATCACTTACAGCTGCTCCACTACCGGTTGGGTCAGGGGAGGCTGAGGCGGCCCCTGGGTCTAGTAACCCACCGACGTCTCCCCAGCTGCAGAGACTCAGGTCTGAGAGAAGGAGAGACCTGAGTACTCGCAGGAGGAGTGCTCACCTTCGGGCGAAACAGGGAGGTGAGTCGCCAGGGGACCAGGACCGGCCGCTACCCCTACAAAGATAAAAGGCTGTCGGACCATGCCCCAGGTTGCGGGAGCAACGTTGCTGTTTGCCAAATCCTGCCTGTGATCCTGTGCCTGACCTTGCCTGGTTTCTTGCCTTGGCCCTGTCGTGGGACCCTTGGCTTTGGGACCAGACCTGGACCGTGTTGCTCAGGTTACCCCCGGGCCCAGCACAGAGTCTTTTCTATGCCCCCCTTTCCAAGCCCCCCCCCCACAAGAGCCCTGAGGGGGAGGAGTTGGGGTGTGGTCTGCAAAACCCTCCGAACCTTACAATCTTCTCAACTAGCTGGCTGATCTGTCGCTCGTTGGTGGGCGCCCCGTCGACGTAGTAGTCCATCCCTCGCAAGCAGTAATGGCGTCCCGTGCAGGGGCTGTAGTAGCCCTGATAAGGCATCCTTCCCGGGATGGTGTAACGGTGCTGTATGGATGGAAGCTGCTTCCGAGACAAGCTGTTCAACATGTTCACCACCACTTCCCGTTCTGAAGAAAATGGGAGGGGAAGAAAGAGAGAAGAGAGCTTGTGTCCCTGGAAAACTAGGAGGGAGTTTTATGTGTGAGTGTCTGGAGGCGGTTGGAGGATGGATGGTGGCTAATGGATTGAGGCTGAATCCTGACAAGACAGAAGGACTGTTCTTGGGGAACAGGGGGCGGGATGGTGTGGAGGACTCCCTGGTCCTGAATGGGGCAACTGTGCCCCTGAAGGACCAGGTGTGCAGCCTGGGAGTCATTCTGGACTCACAGCTGACCATGGAGGCACAGGTCAGTTCTGTGTCCAGGGCAGCTGTTTACCAGCTTCATCTGGTATGAGGGCTGAGACCCTACCTGCCCACAGACTGTCTCGCCAGAGTGGTGCATGCTGTAGTTATCTCCTGCTTGGACTACTGCAATGCGCTCTATGTGGGGCTACCTTTGAAGGTGACCCGGAAACTACAACTAATCCTGAATGCGGCACCTAGACTGGTGACTGGGGGCAGCCGCTGGGACCACATAACACCGGTCTTGAAAGACCTCCATTGGCTCCCAGTACGTTTCTGAGCACAATTCAAAGTGTTGGTGTTGACCTTTAAAGCCCTAAACAGCCTCGGCCCAGTATACCTGAAGGAGCGTCTCCACCCCCATCGTTCAGCCCGGACACTGAGTTCCAGCGCCGAGGGCCTTCTGGCGGTTCCCTCATTGCGAGAAGTGAGGTTACAGGGAACCAGGTGTTGTGTATTGAGTCAAAGGATTTTATATCTGCATTATTATTGTCTGTATTTGCATTAGGGTAAAGTAACTGCCTTTTGGTTCCAGAGGGTACAGCTACTATTGGTTCATTTAAGCTGCTGTATTTGGATCCTCTGTCTTATTGGTTCCCTCCAAAAGGCAGGACTGTGATTGCCTGATATTGTTCCCTCCAAAATGTATCCTTTCTTGCTAGTTCCCTGTCCCTATAAATGTAGCTTTCCTCTCCCCAGTCTTCAGTCTTGTTGCTTTAATAAAGAATTGTTACTAGAGAACTGTCTCCAGCATGTTATATCAGGAGAGCTGAAATCACAAACCCCACGTCACAACAACTGGCGACGAGGATGGGATCCGGAATGCTGAGGAGCGGTTAAACGCAGCCCTGCCTCAGAGTCCGGATTGCAGCTAAGAACAAGACTCACTGACCAGCTGAGAAGACGACCCTGCCACAGGACAATGGAGAGTCCAAGGGTATTGGAGGCCTTCCAGCCATCAGAGCCCGACACGTGGGAAGACTACGTCGAACGCTTCGAGTTCTTCGCAGAGGCTCAAGGGATCACCGATGCCAGCAAAAGAAGGGCCACATTCCTGAGCTACTGTGGGCCTGAGACCTTCAAGCTGGCCAAGGCATTGCTTGCTCCAGCGAAGCTAAGTGAGACATCTCTCAAAGATATTCTTGCCTGCCTAACAAGCCACTTGGCGCCTACTGAGACCAAGATGGCTCGGCGGATGGAGTTTCATAAGAGGCAGCAGCATGCTGGGAGTCTGTATCTGCATTTCTGGCTGAACTGCGGAAGCTCGCTCAGCACTGCGACTTCCAAAATCTGGAAGAGACTCTCCTGGATCGGTTTATCGGTGGTCTGAGCAGCAAGAAGGCCAGAAGACGCATCGTGGCTAAAGAAGAGGTTACCCTTGCTTCAGCCTTGAAGGAGGCCACCGCCACGGAGAATTATGAAAGAGAGGAGCTTGATGCCAGTCGCAAGGCCCCTAAGCCACAGATAGAAGTTGCGCATGCCATGGACGAGCTAGAGGCTACTCCGAGCCAGAGCCCAGTCCGTGGGGTCGAGTCAGTGAGTCAGGCCTGCACAGTGCACAAAGATCACCGAGGCAGGTGCCCAGGTTGTGGCGGAAACCATGAGCGGAAGAGTTGTCGTTTCCGGGATGCTATGTGCCGGACGTGCGGGAAGACAGGTCACATCGCCAGAGTCTGTAGATCGGCGGCGTTGGGAGCGACAGGAGCACCTAGACCGGAGCATCGCAGACCGCCCGCAGCAACCCATTTTCTAAAGGACTGCCACTACGTTACGGAGATCAACGGGAGGGTCGTGCAGTTCCCAGCACAAGGCAAGGCACACGTCAAGGTGAAGATTGAGGGTCAGCAGTGCGACATGGAGGTGGACTCCGGATCTGGATTCACTATCGTGTCGGACCAGACCGCGAGGACATTCTTCCCCAGGGGTAAGTTGCCCCCTCTGGAACCCTTCCCGGCAACCTTGCAGTCATACTCAGCGGGCCGCATCCATGTTATGGGAATGTGTGCCGTGAGAGTACAGTTCCGGGACAAACAGGCTGTACTCAAACTGGTGATTGCGAAGGGCAGTCGCCCCAGTCTCCTGGGCACTGACTGGTTCCCCGCCCTGGGACTGAGTATATCAGGGCTTAATTCAATCCAAACCTGCCCTGAGATGAGCGAGGCATTATGCAAAGAATTTGCTGGTCTCTTTAATGGAAAACTGGGTTGTTATAAAGGGCCCCCAGTTGACTTCGAGTTGGACCCTGGGGTGGCCCCAATCCGACTCAAACCAAGGCGAGTGCCATTTGCACTGCAACCCAAGATCGAAGCAGAGCTGGATAAATTGGTCAAGCAGGGAGTTCTCTCACCCGTGGACTCTGCTAAGTGGGAGACTCCAATCGTCACGCCCCTTAAAGCAAATGGGGAAGTCAGGATCTGTGCAGATTACAAATGTACTATCAATAAGGCACTCAGGGGAAACTCATACCCCATTCCAGTCGTATCACATCTGTTGGCTAAACTGGCTGGGGGCAAGGTGTTCGCCAAAATTGACCTGGCACAAGCCTACCAACAGCTGCCAGTAACCCCACAATCAGCGGAAGCACAGACTATTGTCACACATAAAGGGGCGTTCAGAGTTAACAGATTACAATTTGGAGTTTGTGTGGCCCCAGGGATTTTTCAAGGGCTCATGGAACACCTGTTAAGAGGTCTGCCGGGGTCTTGCCATTTTTGATGACGTTTTGATTGCTGGAAAAGACCCACAGGAACTGGTTGCGCGTGTTCGTGCAGTGTTGCTCAAGTTCAAGGAGGTGGGGTTGCAACTGGAAAAGGAAAAATGCAGTTTTGGGGTGCCAACTGTGGATTTCTTGGGGTTTAAAATTGATGCATCAGGCATCCACCCCACAGATGCTAAGATTAAGGCCATCATCGAGGCGCCACGACCACAGAACAAGACGGAGTTGCAGTCATTCCTGGGACTTATTAGCTTTTATCATTCGTTCTTACCCCAGAAAGCTTCGGTAGCTGAACCATTACATAGACTGTTGCAGAAAAAGACTGTGTGGCGATGGGGGCAGGGGCAGCAGAAGGCTTTTGACTCCTTGCGAGGAATGCTGAGTAGCAGGAGTGTCCTTGCTCATTATGACGAGTCAAAGCCTCTGGTCCTGGCATGTGATGCCTCTCAATACGGCCTGGGGGTGGTGCTAAGTCATAGGGAACCGGATGGGTCGGAAAAGCCCATCTCTTTCTATTCCCGTACGTTGTCGCCCACGGAGCGCAACTATGCTCAAATTGACAAAGAGGCGCTTGCAATTGTGGCAGGAATCAAAAAGTTCCATGATTATGTGTACGGTCGCCATTTCTACATTGAAACGGACCACAAGCCACTGTTAGGGTTGTTCAACCCGAACAAACAAACGCCACAAATTCTCTCCCCCAGAATGTTACGTTGGTCTATATTCCTGAACGGGTTCCAGTACACCTTGACCCATGTGCCCGGGAAACGGTTGTGCCACGCGGATGCGCTGAGTCGATTGCCCCTTCCTGGCGGGAGCACTGAGGATCCTGCTCCAGCGGAGCACATAATGATGCTGGAAACACTTCCGGGGCTCCTGTAACGGCTACTGATATAGCTGAGAAAACGAGGAAAGATGCTGTTCTCTCCCGTGTGCTCACTTGGGGGGGGAGGGGTGGCCAGGTGGTCCGCATGAAGACAAATTCAGGCCTTATGCGACTAGGCAGCACGAGTTGTCCATGCATAAGGGTTGTCTCCTGTGGGGAGATAGGGTCATCATCCCAGCACCACTGAGAAACAGGGTTCTTGAGACGCTTCACATGGGACACCCGGGAATGGTCAGGATGAAGTCGCTAGCCCGATGTTATGTGTGGTGGCCTGGAATGGACCAGAACATAGAACAATGGGTACGAACATGCAAGGCATGCCAAGAGGTGCGGCCAGAAGTGGCCAGAGCACCAGTCCACTGGTGGGAGCAGTCCAGATCTCCCTGGAGCCGGCTGCACTTAGATTTTGCTGGGCCATTCCAAGGAAAGGTCTTTTTGGTTATCGTTGATGCATATTCCAAATGGTTAGAAGTGGCGATGGTCCCTAGCATGGCATCAGCTGCCGTCATCAAGGTGTTGAGGCAGCTGTTTGCAACCCACGGGTTACCTGAGACCATTGTATCAGATAATGGGGCAGCTTTTGTATCCCAAGAATTCAGGGCATTCTTGGCTGATAACTTCATAAGAGGGGTCACATCCGCGCCCTTTCACCCATCCTCCAATGGGCAGGCTGAGCGCATGGTAAGAACAGCCAAAGAATCCATTGCGCGCTTAATGGAGGGTAACTGGTCAGCTCGCATCGCGCGAATGTTATTTTTGCAGCATGCGACGCCGTGTACCGCAACGGGCAAGTCGCCAGCTGAGCTGCTCTTGGGTAGGAGACTGGTAACGGTGCTGGATTATGTCCACCCGGATAAAATGCCAAACCATAATTCAAGAGCAACCCCCCAGGCTGAGACTGACACAACAAGGTATCTCGCCCCTGAAGATCTGGTCTGGGTGAGGAACTATTCACGAGGTTCGCGGTGGGTGGCTGGTGTGGTCACCCGGGCTAGTGGACCTGTGTCCTATTATGTGACCTTGGAAAATGGGCAAGTGTGGAAGAGACATATAGATCAGCTGAGGCGCCGGGCGCTCAGCAGGGAGGAGCCAGATAATTCATCCCAGGCTAACGACGCAGAGCCGCAAGACCAGAGTGAAAATGGCCCAGAGGTGCAAGCACCAGGGGCTTTAACAAATGAACCAGGGTCTGCTAGTCCTCACAATGACGAGGTACCGATAGGGGACCCTGAGATGTCGGGGACTCCATCTGTTCCTGACGAAACCCCTAGAGCAGCCCCTCTACCACAGGTAACACCCAATCCAGAACCTGCAACACCTGTTGTCAGGAGATCAAGTAGAAGTTGTAGGCCCCCACAGTACCTGAGAGATTACGTTTGCTGTGCTCACTAGGGGGGAAGGGGTGTTGTGTATTGAGTCAAAGGATTTTATATCTGCATTATTATTGTCTGTATTTGCATTAGGGTAAAGTAACTGCCTTTTGGTTCCAGAGGGTACAGCTACTATTGGTTCATTTAAGCTGCTGTATTTGGATCCTCTGTCTTATTGGTTCCCTCCAAAAGGCAGGACTGTGATTGCCTGATATTGTTCCCTCCAAAATGTATCCTTTCTTGCTAGTTCCCTGTCCCTATAAATGTAGCTTTCCTCTCCCCAGTCTTCAGTCTTGTTGCTTTAATAAAGAATTGTTACTAGAGAACTGTCTCCAGCATGTTATATCAGGAGAGCTGAAATCACAAACCCCACGTCACAACACCAGGCAGAGGGCCTTCTCGGTGGTGGCGCCCGCCCTGTGGAACACACTCCCATCAGATGTCAAAGAGATAAACAACTACCTGACATTTAGAAGACATCTGAAGGCAGCCCTGTTCAGGGAAGTATCTAATGTGTGACATTTTAATGTATTTTTCATCTTTGTTGGAAGCCGCCCAGAGTGACTGGGGAAACCCAACCAGGTGTGCAGGGTACAAATAACAAATTATGATGATGACAGTGAAGTGGACACTCGGATGCAGGATGCCAGCCAGCCAGCCAAGTAAATCAGTTGTTTCAGGGCAACAGAGAAAAGGAAGCCGCTTTTCTCGCAGTGCATAGAATTGCAGAATTGGAAGGGACCCCGTGGGCCATCTAGACCAACCCCCCGCAATGTAGGAATCACAGCTCAATTTAAACTGAGGGCATTCCCAATAATTGCTTGTGATGATGATAGCTGCTAGCTAGGTGCCTTTAAAAGGGATTGTTATCCAAGCTGACAGATGATAAAACTCCCTGATGGCTGTTAGGCCAAGACAGTTAAACAGAATCTCCAGGTTGAGAGGCAGTATACTCTCAAAAGATGAGCTGCTGGTCTTTATGACCCCGCTACCCAAAAGCATCTTGTGGCTGGACAGAGAATGATGGATCAGATGGGCTTTAAGGACAGTGATGGGTAACTAAGAGACCTGCAGGATGACGTGCGCAAACTAAGGGAAGGGCCATAGCTATTTAGACTATTTAGCTCTGTATGCAGAAGGTTGTGGGTTCAATACCCAGTCTTTCTGGGCAGGGCTAGGAAAGACTTCCTGCCTGAAACCCTGGAGAGCCTCTGTCCATCAGTGCAGACGGACAGCATTGGTTCAGTATAAAGCATGTTCCTATGTTCCTAAACAGGGACACGGGTGGTGCTGTGGGTTAAACCACAAAGCCTAGGGCTTGCCGATCAGAAGGTCAGTGGTTCGAATCCCCGCGACGGGGTGAGCTCCCATTGCTCGGTCCCTGCTCCTGCCAACCTAGCAGTTCAAAAGCACGTCAAAGTGCAAGTAGATAAATAGGTACCACTCTGGCAGTAAGGTAAATGGCGTTTCCGTGCTCTGCTCTGGTTCACCAGAAGTGGCTTAGTCATGCTGGCCACATGACCCGGAAACTGTACGCCAGCTCCCTCGGCCAATAAGGCGAGATGAGCGCAGCAACCCCAGTCTCGGCCACGACTGGACCCAATGGTCAGGGGTCCCTTTACCTTTACTATGTTCCTAAACCAGGCAGGACGTGCAAGATCGCAGAGGAGTTACCATAATTGTTGAGACGCTCAGGTTTCGGAGGGTACTGCATGGGCATCCCGCGAAGGATCGACTCTAACCCAGCCTCCTGCAAGGAAAGATTGCAACAGCGTGAGCCCATTTCTCTGGGATTTATTTTTTTTTTATATATAATTTTTTTATTGATTTTACAAACAAGTTTTATACAATACAAACAAATAAAAAGACATACAAACATGTATAATTTCATAACCTTTTTTTTCATAACCCTCTCTTCTCGGACTCCCCCAGACCTCCCCTTCCTACACCCCAATTCCCAAAATTATTTCAGCAAATTCTAAATAATTTTATCAAATATATTTTTCTTATTCTTTTTTTTTCTTCAACTTAATCTTATGTCGCTGTAATCTCCTTTTCTTTCTCCAAACCTCGACATTTTAACATTCCTCAATTTTATGATAGTTCTTTAGATAGATCTTAAATTTCTTCCAATCTTCTTCCACCGTCTCTTTCCCCTGCTCACGGATTCTGCCAGTCATCTCCGCCAATGTCATATAGTCTATAACCTTCATCTGCCACTCTTCCAAGGTGGGTAGTTCTTCTGTCTTCCAATACTTTGCGATGAGTATTCTTGCTGCTGTCGTAGCATACATAAAAAAATTTCTGTCTTTCTTTGATACCAATTGGCCGGCAATGCCCAAGAGAAAGGCCTCTGGTTTCTCATTTCTCTGGGATTTATGCAGGGACACATGCATTTGGCACGATGCAGCGCAATGCTCAAGTTCGGGACCCCGTGTCCTCCCCGATGCTCCGTGGAGGCGGGAGAACCGGGCCCAAACTGACGAAAGGAATTTCACGAGGAACCGATGTAAGGTTCTACGCTTAGGCCGGAAGAACCAGCTGCACAAATTTAAGCTGGGGGACGCTGTCTGACAGTGGGACAGACTCCTTTAGAAGGTGCTGGGCTCTCCTTCCTTGAAGGTTTTTAAGCCAAGGTTGGGTGGTCATCTGTCAGCGACGCTTTAGCGGAGCATTGCAGGAGATGGGTGGACTAGAGGACCTCTGGGGTACCTTCCAACTCTATAATTCCTCACCACAAGCAGCTGCCGCCCAAGGCTGCTGCCCGGCTCTGTCTGATGGTGGAACTGGCTTTGCTTAAGAGTAACCAAACCATTTAACCCCTGTGTTGCAAACAATAGTCAGTAATATCCAAGGCAACATGATGACCAAATACAATGATACGATATTGATATACACTCTTTATATAATATGAAATATATGAAATCACCTAAACAGAAAACTTCTGAATCTGTGGAAGTCGCAAAATATGCACTCTTTATGGATTCTCTAGAAAGCATAAAACCAAATAAACAAGTCTTATAAGGCTCTGAAAGTCTTTGAAGACTATGCAAGTCTCTGAAAGAAGCAATGTATCAGATTCTTATCTGGTGAAAACAGGCTGCAAAGCTTTGTTTATGGCGTCCAACGCTGCCGAAGTAGTTCACAAACAGACGTTGTGAACAGTGATTCCGGATATAGCCCCTGTTTCGTGGAATTCTTCTTCAGCACAGCAGAAGGATACAGAATTGCTTCATAAACCCATCTATATGGTGAATGGAAAAGTACTGTATTTTTCGCTCCATAAGATGCACGTTTTCCTTCTTAAAAAGTAAAGGGAAATGTGTGTATGTCTTATGGAGCGAATACAGGCGGGAGGCTCTGCTCAGCGCTCCCTTTCACGAGCCACGTGGAGCGTGTGTGCGGCTCTTAGGGGCTTTTCCCTGAGGAGGCGAAAAGCTTGCAAGCGCCACATACACACTCCATGTGGCTCGTGAAAGGGAGCACTGAGCAGAGCCTGGGATGCATACAGGTTCTGCTCAGCGCTCCCTTAAAAAAATTTCCCCCCCTTGCATTCCCCCTCTAAAAACTAGCTGTGTCTTATGGTCAGGTGCTTCTTATGGAGCGAAAAATACGGTATAACAACAATTGCTATGGAGCAGTAGTCATAAGTCAGTGGTTATAAGACATATTTATTTGGTTTTATGCTTTCTAGAGAATCCATTAAGAGTGCATATTTTGTGACTTCCAGAGTTTCTGTTTATGTGATTGCCTTGGATATTACTTGCTAAAGAGTTGCCTTGCTTAAGAGTGACTTCGCTGCAGCCTGGCCCTCTGTCGCTCTGCTACCAGGTGCGCAGGGGCAGTTCCTGTCCACAGCAGGGGCCTCCTTTCACATCTGCACCCCACCCCGGATTTCCGCGGAGTCACGAGGCTTACCCGAGGGATCCGTGGAAGGTACGTGGTGTATCGATTCCATGCCGCGCTGTTGTAGGGCCCCGTTCTCCACGTTGCGTACCTGTTGTCACCGATGAAGACCGGGTTGAACCTCTCTGCGATTTAAAAAGGAGACGGGAGAGTTTTGCAACCAGGGTTGAGGATGGAAAGCCCAGAGGGGGCAAAAAAAGAGGAAGGAACGTGCCACTGGGGACCAAAGCGTTTGCTATACAAATCTATGGTGCCACTGCGTTGGCCGTACCGTGAGCAGTTCTGGTCGCCTCGCCTAAGAACGGATGCTGTAGAATTGGAAAAGGGTCAGAAAAGAGCCACCAAAATGATCGAGCGGTTTCGGCAACTCCCCAAGGAGGAAATGTCACAACTTTTGGGACTTCTCTGTTTAGAGAAAAGAGGTGATAGGAGCGTGTAAAAATCCTGTATTGCATGGAGAGAGCAGATGGAGAAAAATCTCTCTCTCTCTCACGATACTGGAACTCACCAGGGACATCCAATGTAGGCGAATGATTTAGGACATGTGAAATTAAGTGTGTAAAAACTGCTGCCTCTCTCAGCAGGTACTTTTTCTTTTTAAAATGCCTCTCATAGAAAATTATGGGACGCGGGTGGCGCTGTGGGTTAAACCACGGAGCCTAGGACTTGCTGATCAGAAGGTCGGCGGTTCGGGGGACCACTAGGGGCGCATTGGAAGATGGCCGACAATACCATCTCTCCGGCCCACACGAGGTAATTAAGAGGCTGTTATGGGAGTAGGCAGCCTCCCTTGTTGCCCCAAGGGAATGGGGAACACTGCCCTTGCCTGCTGTGCCCATAAATCACCCCTGGATTCGAAAGAAGGGGGTGAGGGCACTAGGCAGAATGCCCTCGTGTGGACTCCGGCTCTCCTGGACGCTGTCTCTGATCGCGCACTAGCTGCAGCAATTTGAAATAAACAATTAGAAAGAAGCAAATGGACATATTTCAAGTGAAGAAGGGGAGTGAAGACTGCTAATTGAAGGGACCTCTGTGAAAGAAGAGCGACGGGTTGGATCAACAGGAATATTTCATGGAGAAGATACATCAAAGGCTGGGTATGTCAGCAGCAGGACTGGATGGGGGGGGGACTTTTTTTCCTCTCTTCTATGTGATTAACCAAGAACCCCTCCTCATGCTGGAACCGTCGGTTAACTGATCTAAGCAGGATGTTTAAGGACTGTGTGGAAATGAACTTTAACCAAAAGTATGTTTTATGGAGATTGAGTAAAGAGCAAGAGCTTTTGGAATGACGCAGCAATAAAAACAGTCGCCATGTTGGCAGGCTTTGTCGAAGGATTTACAACCGGGAGGAGGAATGGATTTGTTTTCGGACTGCATTCCTGGCGAACCTCCTCAAAGGTTGGAGAAAGGCGACAGACCTGTGAAGATTAATGACGGTAAGACTGTTTTTATTTATGGAAGTGATGATATACGGAAACCGTCTGAATATGGTTCTTGGATGAATAAAAATATCCACACAGGATTACAATTTGTCTTAACCCGCTTTGGAGAGCATCAGAGGTCACAAAGAGAAAGGAAAAATATATGCGAATAACAAGAAGAGATGTGGAAAACAATAAGGACTGGATAGCATTGTGAACATCATATGGACAGATTTGTGGACATTAAAGCAGCAGCAAGAAGATGATTGGATCCCCTTCGGAACTTGAAATATGGGTATCCCCAACAAAAAATTAAAATTCGGCTTTGTAATTTGGAATTAATGTAATTTGGTTTGATTTGATGTGATTGGTCGGTTAATCAATTTTTAATTTTTTTTTTAAAGAAGGTCGGCGGTTCGAATCCCCATGACATGGTGAGCTCCCGTTGCTCGGTCCCAGCTCCTGTGCACCTAGCAGTTCGAAAGCACTTCAAAGTGCAAGTAGATAAATAGGTACCGCTCCGGTGGGAAGGTAAACGGCGTTTCCGTGCGCTGCTCTGGTTTGTCAGAAGCGGCTTAGTCATGCTGGCCACATGACCCGGAAGCTGTACGCCGGCTCCCTCAGCCAATAAAGCGAGATGAGCGCCGCAACCCCAGAGTCAGCCACGACTGGACCTAATGGTCAGGGGTCCCTTTACCTTTACCTATAGAAAATTATGTTCCATCTCTACTGTCAGGGGCAGGAAATGCCTGGGAATAAGAGTCAATGGGGATCACAGGCTGGTTTACCAGCTCTGTCTGCTTCACCAACGATGGCCGTTCCTGGACAGGGATAGCCTGAGAGCACTGTAGTCCATGCCTTCCAAACCTCAAGGCTGGATTACCAATGGATTCAAGTTACAAGTCAGAATCTCTTTTCTGTTGACTTGTATACCTAATCAATGCCTGCTTTTAACCTTTTCAAATATGGTTTTCAGCTGTATGTTTTTATGCATACATAATTGTAAACTGCTTTGACATCTTTTAAAATGAAATTGTTGTCGTTTAGTCGTTTAGTCGTGTCTGACTCTTCGTGACCCCCTGGACCAGAGCACACCAGGCACTCCTGTCTTCCACTGCCTCCTGCAGTTTGGTCAAACTCATGTTGCTCGCTTTGAGAACACTGTCCCACCATCTCGTCCTCCGTTGTCCCCTTCTCCTTGTGCCCTCCATCTTTCCCAACATCAGGGTCTTTTCCAGGGAGTCTTCTCTTCTCATGAGCTGGCCCAAGTATTGGAGCCTCAGCTTCAGGATCTGTCCTTCCAGTGAGCACTCAGGGCTGATTTCCTTCAGAATGGAGAGGTTGGATCTTCTTGCAGTCCATGGGACTCTCAAGAGTTTCCTCCAGCACCAAAATTCAAAAGCATCAATAAATATTTTTAAATAAGTCATAGAATCATAGAATTGTGGAGCTGGAAGTGACCCCTAAAGGCTTCCCAGGTGTCAAAAAGGGTTATTTATGTATGCCATTACGGCTGCCCATGTTTTGTTAGCCCCAAAATAGAAAATGAGTGAGGTCCCAACCAAAGAAGAATGGCAACTTAAACTGATGGAATATGTGTAGCTTACAGATCTAACTTACAGAATAAGAAAACAAGAAGAACATTTGTTTAAAGAAGATTGGAAAATGTTTCTTGAATATATGGGGGAAGGAATTGTGTACACTTGAAAACGTTGGCAGCATTAAGATAAATTCAACAGTGTAAATAAGTTTTGATGGAAGCAATAATGGAATACTGAACGGTTTAGTTAACATAAAATATGCAGGGATTTACGCTATGCAAAATGAACCATGGGAAGAGAAGAAGGGAAGTCATTGATATTTTAAGGTTATTTACATGTATATTCTAAATTGTAAAACAGAAAATTTAACAAATATATCTATAGAAGCAACCCCTTGTGCACATGTAAGTGAAACGTACCTTCCTCCCTGGTCACCCAATATTTGTACGGCCGGTAAGCTGTTGGGTCTATGCAGTTCTTATAGGTGTATTCCTGCACTGCCTTCTTCACCATATTCTCCAGGCGGTTTTGGTCTATCGGGTGGTCGATTCTGGGCACGGTCAAGCCCTACAAGGCAGAAAAAAGACTCATGAACCCTCGGTTGCCCTGTTTGGGGGGTGTTGGTGATCTGGTGGCCCTGGGCAACTCACTTCCTGCCGGGCTGAAGACCTCTCCGGGGGTTGTTGCTGGACTCGCAACCATCCTGGCCCATCAGCCAAGTTGGCTAGGGGCTATTAGGAGCCTGATAACCTTAAGGTCCATGAATAACCATAGTTTATAGGTCCTGGGCCCTAAGGAAGTCAGACTATCCTCCACCAGGGCCAGGGCCTTTTCAGATGCTCTGTCCCAGGAGACCAGGGCCCTGCAGGATTTAACCTCTTTCCGTCGGGCCTGTAAGGCAGAGCTATTCCACTTGGCCTTTAATTTGAATTCAGCCTGATCTTTTATTTCCCTTCTCGTCTCTTCCCTCCCCTCCCCTTTTATGAAGATCACCTGCTCTGCGACCCCACAGCTAATTCTCCCCTGGCCTCCTCGCTGGCCCAAAAAGGACTAATTTAGCCAGCTAGCCCTGGGAATCATCTAATGCTTATTAGATGGATTTCCCCTAAATTGATTTCTGAACTTTGAATTTTATTGTTATTCATGTTTTTATACTGTATTTTATGCTGCTTTTACAATTAAGTGTTTTAAATTTGTTAGCTGCCCTGAGCCCGGTTTTTGAACCGGGAAGGGCGTGGTATAAATAATAAAAATTATTATTATTATTATTATTATTATTATTATTTGGCAACTCTAGCAGTGGCAGGTCAGCTGTGTTGGCTATTTGCAGACTAGTTGCACTGCAGAAGGCGTGCTGGGGAGACCACACATTACAAGGAACGCAAAACAACTTTAGCTAGGTTTTAATAACAAAAACAAAAACTCCTTTTACATTAATTATATCACTAAGCATGACCCAACCACCAGGGTACTGAGAGAGCTAGGTGCTGCTCTTTATATACTATACCCAATTGCTGACACAGCTTAATTAACACACCTTAACCGCACCTGCTATACTGCTTCACAGCTGTAAAACTGGGTCAAGTTATTTACTCTAGCCCTTAAAGACATACACATCTTGCGGAACAATAATGAACCTTCAAATTTAAGGAGACCATTCAACAAGCTAATCAAATTGGTTGAACACATACGGATCTCCTCGGTAAACTGGTCCCCAGTTGTTCTTTAGGAAAGCAACTCTTCTTCGAAAAGTTCCTTTGTGTCCTCACCACCCCCTTGACTCCGGACATACGTCAAGATTTACCTTGGACACGCAGTGGCTCATGTCGCCCATGCTGAGGTTGGGCTCCTTGTAGGAGTTGTCGGTGCGGCATGGCACGCGGTAGGAGTCCCTGTAGGTGCTGATGGGGGTGTCTGTCTTATGTGCAAAGATGAACATCTCGCCACAGGTTGACCTTCCCTGAAGATTTCCGCCTGGGGGCCTAAACTAAACTCTCCGCTACGTTTTCTAGCAAAAGGGCTTCTTTCCTCCCCGTACGCCACGCTAAACTAAAGGGTCCGCTAAACAGCTCGGTGCGAGTTTAAGGTAAGAAAATAGAAAGGGGACGCTTTGCACTTTAGTAACAAACTACAACCTGCTAATGGCTCTCTAAACTCACAGCCTCCCTCCCTGACACTGACCCTGTTTGCATCAGCTGTGATGTCACAGTCAGGGAGGGGGCATAATACCGGTGAGCTAAAAAAATGGCGGGGGTGTCAGGCAGGGGGACTGTGTCAAAGGGCTCGAGAACAAGGAGAGACTTTCCCCTGGAGTGTAAATGCGTAACAAGAACCACCACTGTCCCCCTGCTTAGATTGGGCCAAGTGGCCATTGAGTCTTGCATCCCAGAACCATCAAATTGTAGGGTCCCCAAGAGGTGCCCAGTCCAACCCCTCCGGCTGTTTTATGCGAAATGTTCAGTTAATACAATACGCTTTTGCACCTCATTTTCACACAAAGCAGGTCCAACAAGCTATATCCAGCCCTTCCAATCTGCTTTAAACTTCTGCCAGCTGACTTAATTGCACGTTGTTTATTTATATATAAACACTGCATGTCGTATGAAAAAGGTCCTACCGTGGCTTTCAGATCAATAATGCTAATAAAAAAACACCTTAGGTTTACAATCTAAAAGGCGCGACACAGAAAGAACCATGGATGGGGAGGGAGGAGGAAAATATAAAACCCACACACCATTTCTTAGCTACAAGGGCCAGCTGGGTTGAGAAGTAGTTTTTTTTTTAAGCTGCTTTGCCTAGTATTTAAGTTGGATGCAATAGTATAGTTTCAAAGAGATATATTTAAGCTAGACTTTTTGAATTACTTCTCAGTGGAATAAGAGGCAAGGGTGAGGGGACACAACAGATTATAAACTCATGCATGGCATGGAGAAAGTGGATAGAGAAGACTTTTCCTCCCTCCTTCATAATGCTAGAACCCGTGGATATTCCGTGAAGCTGAATGTTGGAAGATTTAGGATGGATAAAAGAGAGTACTTCTTCACCCAGCGCAGAGTTCACCTATGGAACTCCCTCCCACTGGAAGCAGTGATGACAACCAAACTAGATAGCCTTAAATGAGGATTAGATGACTTCATGGGGGAAGAGAGAGCTAATCACGGCTAGTAGCCTTGGTGGCTCTGTTCTGCATCCCCAGCAATGCTTCTGAATACCATTTGCTGGAAACCACAAGAGGGGAGAGTTGCCCTGGCGCTTGGATCCTGTGTATGAGTTTCCCACAGACGATTCTACACAAGTTGGGCCATGGGTCTAATCCGGCAGGGTCATGTTCCTCTCCCCAAGATAACCTCGCAAAGCCACTTCCGCCCTGCAGAGGAGGTGGGATTGCGGGCATCACGGCCCAGCGCAATTGGGGGAATCCCCGGCCGCGTCATCCCCTGGCCAGCCAATCGGCTGGCTCTGGGGGCGTGGCCTGCCCTATTTAAGGCAGTCACAGCCAGGGATCTCCCTCTTTTCCCGCCTGCCAGCTGTTCCTGTTTCCCACCCTCCCCGTCCCTTAAGGTTTCCGTTCCTTGACCTTGCTATGGACCTTGGTTGGTCGCCATTGAGGGGCCTGGTAGGAATTTTTCCACTTGGCAAATTGGCACCAGCCACTTGGTTTTTGCCTACCTCGTAGCAAATCGTCACAACTTTCTTGGTATTGGCGGTTAGGCATTGGTATTGCTCTGTAGATGGAAGAGGGGAGGAAGCGCCATCACCTGCCCCACATATTGAAAGGTAGTCCGATAAAGAATTCTGGGGGGGCGTGGCCCTGTCCGAAGCCTGGGGAGGTGAGGGCCCAAGGCACACCCCCTATTGGTGACCCTGGGGGAGCTCCTAGTTGCTGTGCATCAGCAGGACTCCCCCTAAAGGTAAAGGTAAAGGGACCCCTGAACATTAGGTCCAGTCGTGGCCGACTCTGGGGCTGTGGCGCTCATCTCGCTTTATTGGCCAAGGGAGCCGGCGTACAGCTTCCGGGTCATGTGGCCAGCATGACTAAGCCGCTTCTGGCGAACCAGAGCAGTGCACGGAAACGACGTTTACCTTCCTGCCGGAGCGGTACCTATTTATCTACTTGCACTTTGACGTGCTTTCGAACTGCTAGGTTGGCAAGAGCAGGGACCGAGCAACGGGAGCTCACCCCGTCGCGGGGATTCGAACTGCCGACCTTCTGATCGGCAAGTCCTAGGCTCAGTGGTTTAACCCACAGTGCCACCTGCGTCCCTAGGACTCCCCCTACTGGACTCCCCCAGACTTCAAGCGGATGGGCTGAACCCGGATATAGACAGTTAGGACCAATGCCTAAGCCAATACCGCTCATTACCTGTAACCAATAAAGTTGTGGACCTTTTTAGCCCATTAACCTTAATAATTGTGTCATGTGTCTTTATTCCAATGGGGGGGGGGGGCGCGGGAACTTGCCACGCAAGAGAGAGCCTTTATCTACGCTTCGCTTTCCCAAGCCGTCTGGGTGAAAGCCAGACCCAGCAGAATTAATCGGAGCCTTGAGAAGCACACAGAGCTGAGAAAGGAAGGAGCAAAGAGCGTGGTCCTTTTTCCAACTTGCTCCTTCAGCTCTACGGAGTAAAGGTGCTGATGATCTGGCAACCACCCTCAGCACTTGGGGACCTAAAGTTGGAAGGAGCGACTGGTCCGTGTGCGTCTCAGAGCGTTTGCAAGCGTCAGGGAGATAACTGAAGGGCACCCTGTTGGTGACACCTGCCCTATTAACAATGTCTCCCAAACTTCTGGTACTTGAAGCAGTGTCCCTGTCCCCCCAGTTAAAATTGGAGGCGCACCTGCTTCTTCACTCAAAAAGATACAGAAATAATAATAATAATAATAATAATAATAATAATAATAATTTTATTTATACCCCAACCTTCCTGGTTAAAAAACTGGGCTCAGGGCGGCTAACAACAAATTTAAAACACTTTAAGACACTTAATTATGAAAACAGCATAAAATATGGTATAAAAACATGAATAACAATAAAATTCAAAATTCAAAAATCAATTAGATAATCCCAGGGCTAGCTGGCTGAATTGGTCCTACTTGGGCCAGCGAGGAGGCCAGGGGAGAATTAGCTGTGGGGTCTCAGAGCGGGTGATCTTCATAAAAGGGGAGGGGGGGAAGAGAAGGGAAATAAAAGATCAGGCTGAATTCAAATTAAAGGCCAGGAGGAATAGCTCTGTCTTACAGGCCTGACGGAAGGAGGTTAAATCCTGCAGGGCCCTGGTCTCCTGGGACAGAGCATTCCACCAGGTCGGAGCCATCACTGAGAAGGCCCTGGCCCTGGTGGAGGATAGTCTGACTTCCTTAGGGCCCAGGACCTCTAAACTATGGTTATTCATGGACCTTAAGGTCCTCTGCGGGGCAGACCAGAGAGGCAGTCCCATAAGTACGAGGCCCTAAGCCCTAAGCCCTACCCTGTGTATGCCTGCTATCACTTCGATTGGTGAAATAATTCCCATTTGGCATTTGGAAGAACTTGATCTTTTATTGGGCAGCATGTACCCTTTGGAACTCCCTGCCTCTTGATTTCAGCTAGTGACCTTCACTGAACTTTTTCTTTTTCTTTTTTGCTGCCTGCTAAAAACAACCTTGCTTAGACGAGCCTCCCCAGAAGTTTAGGAAGTTGATGCGATTTTTAATCTGTTTTTAGCCTACTGTTGTTTTAGCTTTTTGAAAGTTTTCCATGATTGTTGTTAAGTTTTCTTATTTATAATTTTGTTGTTTCATTCTTTCTGTAGAATGTTTTGAGGGTTTTTTTGGTCTGTGTGTGTGTGTTTACAACCAAGGGGTGGTGTATAAATTTTATGAAACAAACAGTAAATAATTATATATTTTTATGGATCAGTCCCCAGAGCAGTCAAGCACAGCTCCTCCTATGAGACAGCCTTGCTAAAATGACCTATTAGCCTCCTGCCTGTGCTCTCAGTCACAGCTTTGGGACTGGTCTGGACTGTTATATTTATAGGCAGGAAACCTGCTGTGTGCAAAACCTACTAGACCACTGCTTCCCAAATTTGGGGGGTCGGAGAGGAGGACGCGAGCGTGCTTTTAAGGTCAAAGCGTTCCTTAAAAATTTAAACAGCTGTGGAAGTTACTTCCTTACTCTGCCCAACTGACTATATAGCACACAGTCACAAGAAAGTTCCGCAGCTAAGATAATTCAGCGCATCCGCCTTATTTGTCTGTGGACATCTGCTGATGAAGATAAGGAGTTCTGCTTGTTTTGTTGTGTTTTAAAACCGCAGCAGGGAGCTGGATTCAAGGCCAAGTCTGCAAGGCACGGGAGTCAGTTCACCACCCTTCCCAGTTACTGCTACACGGAGCAGTTGTTATTCATAGTTCTCTCCTCCCAGTTTTGAAGTACGTACAAACTTTAACCACATTAATGTATGCCCCTTCGTCCACCCCATCTTCCTGGGCTTGCTTGACATCATAATGCATTCAGTAAACTAAAACGTGACACGCAAATGTTATTTCTGCTGCATAATTTCGTGGCTGCCTTTGTTTTATGGCGTTTCTGTGCAACATCTTGTGGCTGAGTGGAGTTTTGAGTTGTTTTACTGTTGTTGTTTTTTTAATAGGTAAAGGGACCCCTGACCATTAGGTCCAGTCATGACTGACTCTGGGGTTGCGGCGCTCATCTCGCTTTATTGGCCGAGGGAGCCGGCGTACAGCTTCCGGGTCATGTGGCCAGCAGGACTAAGCTGCTTCTGGCAAACCAGAGCAGCGCACGGAAACGCCGTTTACCTTTCCGCCAGAGCGGTACCTATTGATCTACTTGCACTTTGACGTGCTTTCGAACTGCTAGGTTGGCAGGAGCAGGGACCGAGCAACGGGAGCTCACCCCGTCGTGGGGATTCGAACCGCCGACCTTCTGATCGGCAAGTCCTAGGCTCTGTGGTTTAACCCACAGCGCCCCTTAGCAAATGAAAGGCAGTGTATAAACTTAGCAAATAAGCAAATGCCAACTCACACAAAATATGAAAAATGCCCCCATAGTTGCTATTTTAAGCATAGCATGGTTGCAGTTTTTGAGGCATTTGGATCACGAAAGCTGCACTATTTGGGGCTAGTTTGTTAATTGCATTTATATCTTTGGGTCCTAGTCTGAAACTTTAACTACTGCACCACACTGGGGTTGCGGTTATGTGGGTTGTCGTTGACATTAATGGTTTTAAATTAATTGTGTGGTTTGAATGTGATACTTATCCGACAAGTTATAGTGCTTTGGTCTTTGTTTATGACATACTGCGCTCCTTTCAGCTGCTGTCAGCTGAATTTGGGAACTCCTGGGTGGGCCTGACTCTGGCAGCACAGATGGCATTGGGTAGCAGATTTAAACAGTGCAAAATTCAAGCTGGACTTGCAAAGGAAGAAGCATGAGGCTTTACCTGCAAGGAGGAGAGCATAGCTGGAAGGAAACAGCCCTGCATGTCAAATTGGGACCGCTATCAGGCCTAAGATGTCCTGAGGTTCCCCACCTGTGATTGATGCTATGCCGCCCTGGGCTTGAGATTGGAGAAAGGGGAGGATATACAAAAATATATATAAAATATCTAGCTTGTTGGCTGCCCAGTACAAGGAACTCCTGCAATTCCCTTCCAACTCTTTGGTTCTGTGATTCTACGGCCTACCTTACAGGGTTGTTGTGAAATAACTGCATGCAATACAGTGGCACCTCAGGTTACATACGCTTCAGCTTACAGACTCCGCTAACCCAGAAATAGAGCTTCAGGTTAAGAACTTTGCTTCAGGATGAGAACAGAAATCATGCTCCAGCGGCGCGGCAGCAGCAGGAGGCCCCATTAGCTAAAGTGGTGCTTCAGGTTAAGAACAGTTTCAGGTTAAGTACGGACCTCCGGAATGAACTAAGTACTTAACCCGAGGTACCACTGTACTGCCCAAGGCATCTACGAGTGAAGAATACACGCGCAATGGGTTTGGGAGGACCTAGTAAGCAAGACTGAAGCCAAGTGCACAGTTGCTGGAGCAGGATTGCTTGGCCTGGACCACCCCAGTGAGGCTAGCGGCGGAACTGGGAGGAACTGGGCAGGGTGGCCTGGCTCATGCCTTCCTGGGTGCTGGCTCTGGGAGTAGGGCTCTGGCATGATCTAGAAAGCTGTGATATAAATGTAATAACTAAATAAATAAGTACTAGTGGAAAGGCAGGTCTTGCTCGATGGAAACCTAGCAAACATTGGGGGGGGGAGCAGTGCATAGTGTACCACCAGTTGGGGGGTGCGGTTTGGCAGCATGCAAGCTGGGAAACTTGCTTAGCAACAGAGCCTTGGACAGAAACCACTTTTCTGAATGAGCTTCGCCTCAGAGATCTACTCAGTTTTTACTGCCTGTGCACCATCTACACAGCAGAGGGCGCTGCCTTCCCAACGACAGACCAAAGCCCAGGAAGGTTTTGGTGTTTTTTAACACAACCATCTTCATCTTTTCCTGGGGAGCCAGCTCCCTCTCCCATTCCCAGACTTGCCATAGTGGGATCCCCAGGCCAAATGGCAAAAGCCCCCAGCCGCCAGATCTCTCTAAGCTGGCATGCGCATGGAAGCGACATCATGGGGTGAGTTTTTCCAGCCACCCCTTTGGAAACGTTACAAGAGGCTGTTTCAGGAGAAGGGCTCTGAGCATCGCCACGTCCAAGCTCCCTTGTTATTTTTGCTATTGCCAAGAGGCATGGAGCCACAGAACGTTGATAATGCAAGCTTGATACATTTATAGTACCAAAACGTTGAGGATTTTTAATGTTGTGATATTTGCTATTACGTTCTTATGAAATTCTTTTTCCAGTAGTTGGTGCACTCCTGTTATAAGCCATGTTGGTAAAGGTAAAGGGACCCCTGACCATTAGGTCCAGTCATGGCCGACTCTGGGGTTGCGGCGTTCATCTCGCTTTATTGGCCGAGGGAGCCGGCATACAGCTTCCGGGTCATGTGGCCAGCATGACTAAGCTGCTTCTGGCGAACCAGAGCAGCGCACGGAAACGCCGTTTACCTTCCCGCCGGAGCAGTACCTATTTATCTACAGTGGTACCTCGGGTTACATACGCTTCAGGTTACATACGCTTCAGGTTACAGACTCCGCTAACCCAGAAATAGTGCTTCAGGTTAAGAACTTCGCTTCAGGATGAGAACAGAAATCGTGCTCTGGCGGCACAGCGGCAGCAGGAGGCCTCATTAGTTAAGAACAGACCTCTGGAACGAATTAAGTATTTAACCCGAGGTACCACTGTACTTGCACTTTGACGTGCTTTCGAACTGCTAGGTTGGCAGGAGCAGGGACCGAGCAACAGGAGCTCACCCCGTCGCAGGGATTCGAACTGCTGACCTTCTGATTGGCAAGTCCTAGGCTCTGTGGTTTAACCCACAGTGCCACCCGCGTCCCTTAAGCCATGTTGAGCACTATTCTTTTTGTGGAAAAGCAGGATACAAATAAAATTAATGATGAGTGCCTTATTCATAAGCTCAGGTTGGGTGTGGAGCCCACCTTGTCCCCAAACTCGGGGGGAAGCTTGCTCCTTTCAAAGCCTATTAATGCACAATTTCCCTTCCTTCTCATTATAACTCTCTTCAAAGCTCTTTTCCCCCCTGCAAGGCCTCTGGCTCCATCCCCTTAACCCCCCATTGCTAGCTGCAACCTCAAACTCACAAAATGAATTTAAATAGCGACAAAGGTAAGGAACCTGCTGTTCAAAGTTTCCCTGGGGCACCTGGCTGGACACGGTGGGAGACCCAGCAGCTCTGTGTGGCTCCTGAATCTCTTGCAGCCAGGAAGCCTTGTTAGACCCCCTTTGTGCAGAGGCACTATTGCCACATGGAAGTTTTACCCAAGAGCCCTGCTGGATCAGGCCAGCGCCCCTTCGGGTCCAGTGCCCTTTCTTCCAGCAGCCAAGCAGAGGCTCAGATGGGAAGCATGCAAGCAGAGCGGGAGCACAAGACCACTCTCTCCTCCTGTAGTTTCCAGCAACTGGTATTCAGAGGTATCCTGCTAATAGCCAACAACAGAGCCTTCTCTGCCATGAACTTGTCCGATCCTCTTTCAAAGCCAACCAAGTTGGTGGCCATCTCTACTTTTAATCATGCACTGTGTGACAATCCCTTTTGTCTCTTTGGGATCTTGCAACACTCAGCTTCCTTGGAGAGGTCAGGGTAAGGTAAAGGACCCCTGGACAGTTAAGTCCATCCAAAGGGGTGTGGCGCTCATCTCGCTTTCAGGCCAAGGGAGTTGGCGTTCGTCCACAGACAGCTTTCCGGGTCATGTGGCCAGCAGCACTAAACCGCTTCTGGCGCAGCGGGACACCGTGATGGAAGCCAAAGTGCATAGAAACATCATTTACTTTCCCGTCATAGTGGTACCTATTTATCTACTTGCGCTGACATGCTTTCAAACTGCTAGGTTGGCAGGAGCTGGGACAGAGCAACGGGAGATCACCCCGTCGCGGGGATTCGAACCAATGACCTTCCGATCAGCAAGCCCAAGAGGCTCAGTGGTTTAGACCACAGAGCCACCTGTGTCCCTCGTTCCTTGGGGAGCTGCTAGTGTTACAAGGGGATACGGACAATTTCCTTTGTGCCATGTATAATTTTACACACCTCTGTCATGCCTCCTCCTCCCCTTTCCTTTCCAGCGGTTCTCAACCTGTGGGTCCCCAGATGTTGTTGGACTACAACTCCCATCATCCCTGAGCTCTGGCCTTGCTAGCTAGGGGTGATGGGAGTTGTAGCTCAACAACATCTGGGGACCCACAGGTTGAGAAAGGCTGCTTTAGACCAAACCGCCCCCCCCCAAGGGTTGTACCTGCGTCAGGAACTTGTTTTCACTCCACAGGGCCAACGGAGCCTCATCGTAGGCCTTCTTCATGGTATTCGGAGCCCTGTAGGAGTCCGTGTAGGTGCTGATGGGGGTCTTGGTTTTGTTGGCAAAGAGGAACATCTTGACTCAGGGACTGGCAGATCTTGAAGAACTTGGGAGTCACCACAACAGTCACTGGGACAACTGGTGGGGTACACTTCATCAGAAGGGACGTCTTGAGCCTCAACTTCATCGAGTTCACGGATCTCCCCCCCGCTGTTGCTGCCGTGAGTGGTCAGAAGGGGAGAGGGGCTCTTCATGCCGGTGGGGCAAAATTGGTGAGTGGTTTTTCTTGAGGGTCATAGCCCCTCCCAGCAGCCAGCCTCTTGCATCACATGTGATGTCACAGTTGGCAGGGTCAGTGCTGCAGAAGTGGGGGGAGAAGGCCCAGACAGGCATGATGGGGATAAGGGCCAAAGGCTTTGAGTAGGAGAAGTGGCTGTTTCTGTGGCAAGGGGTGCTGGCTGACTCGCTTTGAATCTGCGCCTTGCTGCACCCTAGAAGCAGCGGGAGGTCCCCTCTCCCACTGGAGGAGTCCTGCCTTGGAAATCCTCTCTCCCTTCCTAGCAAGCGATCTACTTCCTAGCTCTCCTGTTTATTACTGTTTTTAAGCTCTGAAGTCACTGTAGTGATAGGCAGATGAGATGCTAGCAAAACCGGTAGCGGAATCTCTCCTATCCAAAAGCACTTGGGTCATGCAGACCTAGAAAAGTGAGGTCAAGGAGAAGACTGTGGCAGGTAATGGATGGGAGGAAGCTGCTCTGTGGCGTCCTCTTGCCTGAGGAAGGATCTGCAGAGCCCTTCCTCTTCAGAGCACAGAGCCTGTGAGTTTGCAAAATGCTCCCTCTTGTGGGGACTAATGGGCTTTTGCATTTTTTTTTAAACTTCGCACATCAAGTGGTCTGCAAAAGAACCTCTTGAGAGCAGCTGCTACATTGCAGAGTGTAGAAGCATATCCTATGGTGTATACTTAAGCTGTCACGGGGTACAGACACCCCCACACCCGAGTGTATTCTGCAAGCGCACACTAGAGCACAACACACTCCCTTGCACTTTCTATCACAGATGATCAGTAATAGCAAACAATTTTTCCGGTAGGGAAATTTGTCAGCTATTGCTCATCTTCTGACTGAGAAGTTCCCAAAGTTCTTTAATGCACCATTTGAAATCATCTGCACAATGACACTAAGCATCACTTGGAAGTCCACATCTGGATCAAAGCAAGTTTTTTGCTCCCTGCTGTGGAATCGGCGCACAAGTGACCCGCACTGGTGGAATATTCACGTAACAGCACTGCAAAAGGATCTTCTAAACCAGCCCTTAAGAGTGAGGACCAATGGCTTAAATCAAACCACTAACTGGGGTGGGGAGGGAGGAAGAAGAGGAGAGTCCCTATTTCTACTCTCATCTCTGCTATGAGGCATGGATACATATTTTTACAGAAATATGTGCGTGAAAAAACAAGACACAATTGACTGGATCGGAAGCACAGAGGAGCCTGCTTTGGACATGATTCAAGAACTGAGCCTGTACAGAGTGCGGCAACAGCTTAACTAGATTTCATAGATCTGCTCAGGGCAGCTGCTTTGCAAATGGAATACAGTAGGTGCAGCTAGGAACTGCAAGGCTTGCCAGGAAGTAGGAAACTCCAGCCTCGCAAGTCCATTTTTGGTCTCTCTGTATGGTGCGTACAATGGGATGGAGTGGGGGTGTTTGTTTGTGGAAGGGCCAGGTTCCTGAAAATGCTCTGCCACACGGCATCCCTGGAGAACCTTCTGCCACCTAGCTTTCTTTAGAGACTATACACCTGTGTTGTGAGGTGGGTTAAAAGTGTGTCTGTAATGTACATCTGTCACAGGCTAAAAATTAGGCTGTTGCATGCAAGCCCCTCAAGCTCACAAGTTTCCTGGGGTTAACTACTGAAGGGTGCTAGTCATGGAATGTTCAAGATCAGGACAGCTTCTGTTAACAGATGTGCAAGGTCTACATTGCAATAAATATTACCTATTGCCAACAATATGGAGGTTGTATGTCCTGCAGAAAATGAACTTGATTGAAATGGGGCAGTTGAGAAAGTGGTGAGGGAGCTAAAAGGAGCAGGTCACACACCTGTTAGGTACTGGAGAAGCTGCACACTAACGACAGCAAGGGATGTGGAAGGGTAATTGGGCATCATGTTTTAGGCTCAAAAGCAAACAAAAGGTTTTTATATTATTTGCTGACAGATTTTTGGAATTACAGGGAGAAAGTCGTTCTCTTCTTCTCCAGCGGTTGAGAGACACCCAATGAAGCTGCAGAGGCAGGTTTCATATCTATGCTTTTTTTTTAATATTAATTCTGTTACACTACACACAACCAGTAACAATGATAAATACTGCAATGGAAATGTTAAAAAAATATTATACGTTTCATGTCTTCCAAAAACCACATTTCAAAAATAAATTAATGCATAAACCTGTTGGTAAATCATAATAATAATAATAATAATAATAATAATAATAATAATAATAATACACAACTGAACGGATCTGTTTAAGGCAGTATTCTACATGATGGGAAAATGAGGACTGTGCTACATCATTTGAATCAGAAAGCAAAAGTCAGGACAAACATTTGCTAGAAGACGGAGGCTGGCTTACTATGAGTGGGCATAAACCAATATGAGAGAGTCCCAACTCCACCAGCCTAAACCTGTTTCTGTGGCAAGGTTAAAAGGGCAGCGAGGCAATAGGTGTCTCCCAAAGCATTGCAGAATAGAGCCAAGCTTTAACACCCAACATGGTTTTCCAATCAATCAATAGTTTAGACCAGCTATGCCCAAGCTAGTGCCCTCCTGACGTTTTGTACTACAATTCCCCATCAGCTCCAGGCAGCTGAGATTGGGAAAGGCTGATTCAGACTGAGTACCCATCTCACTTTTGGTTGTCTGGCACACCCAAGAGCCAGACGTTGGTGGGAATTCAAAGCTTGGCTCGTGATCAGCAATGTATGTCAAGGGCTCCTCCTGCAGGAAGAGTCTCAGCAATTGATGCCCAGTCTTCCAGGTTTTCTGGCCCTGCAGAACACAGTTCTGAGGAGGTGACACTCCTGAAAGGATTGGCATTTAAAGAGACGTTTTTCCAGTTTGGGAGCCAGTGGCGTAGCATGGGGGGTGCAGGTGGGGCCGGTCGCACCGGGCGCAACATCGGGGGGGGGGGGGGGCGCTCGCACTCGAGTGCTAAAATCCACGGGTTAGGGGGCGCAAATTACTTGCCTTGCCCCGGGTGCTGACAACCCATGCTACGCCACTGTTGGGAGCACAGACACACGTAAGACGCATTTCCTCTAAGACTGCTTTCTCTCGAAGACACCACTTCCTCTGCAAATACGTTTACACACAATCAGTCATGGCACATATTACAGGGAGAACACAGAAGTCATGCACTTGATCATGTCCGCTGTACCAGAACAGCATCACGTCCTGAGGCAGCAGTCCTGATAACTTTGCCACGGAGTGGGGGAGCAGAGTGGAGGGCAGGCGCGGTTCAGCAGATAGTGCAAAAAGGTAAAAACGAAAAAACGAAGGTCGCCTCGCCCTCCACAAAATAAATAAAAAGGAAAACAGCTGCTTCCTGCGAGCTTCTTCCATGGGCAGGACCCCTCCACTTCTCCCAAATGAATTGTCGTGTGCGCAAAAAAAGGTCAGGGCAGATATTACTCATCCGCCGTTGGTAGGGAGGTGCGGGTTGCCCAAAAGCCACAGACAGATCAACTAAGACTTGCGAAAGAATTCCCAGTGTCCCATTAAAGATAATTGCTACAACACAGGTTAAAAGAAACAACCATGAGTGAAGGATTGGCTGGGGTGAGGAGTGGAAAACAATTTGTAGCCACTTTTTATGTCCCACAGAGCCACTTGCAGCCACGGTAACCACCAAACGCACAAGATACCCAAGCAGCTGGTGTGGCTGCCATGTTTCTATGCGCACCCACGAAGGAACTGCGCTCCAGAATCCTCCAACACATCACTGCGCTGTGGCGTGCCTCTCTTGGAATGTGTGGGGCAGCTGTTTCAGGGTGTTCAGGGCAGGCCCTGCGTGCCAGAAATGTGGGGTTGGGAAAGGGCCATTTCAACAGAACAGACCTGGACTGTTGGGGTTTTTTGGGGGTGGAGGAAGTGGGAAAGAAAACATTAACTGTGACAAATCAAGGTGTGAACGATGGATTTGTGCAATTTAACAAGGCTTGTGAGTCTAGAACTAACCACTGGACACGGATACCAAGGTTTACCTGTGACAACTAAATTACACTTGTACGGCTCTTGCGGCCATTCAACCACCCCCTATTTGCCTGCAACTCCTCTAGTTCTCTCTAAACTTTTGTTTAGAAACAGAGGGGGATATGTGGCATGGCGTTCTACAATTTTGTGTTTTCATCTAACCCCCTCACTGCAGCACTTAAACAGAGGGACCCTGATCTTGCCTACGTACAACACAGAGCTTTACTCAAGGGTGCCGAGACATGTCACAGTATCTCCCAGTTTGCCAGAGCTGCTTCAAATTTCAAATGCCAGTTGGAACTGGTGGGCTCAGCCAGGCAGAGAAGAGACTCCTGGCTGTGCTCGTGACAGATCCAAGACTTTTCAGAGAACAGCTGCCATCACTGAACAAGAAGCCCAACGGGAGACAGTGCTCACACAACCTGTCTCCTCGCCTGGCTAATAGCTGCAGAGTGTTCAGCAGTCACCTATCGGCACTTGCTCCCGGCTACAGAAGCAGTTGAGAAAAAGAGTTTGGTTCCTCCCTCCAACAGGACAGGAACACACAACAACACAGAGTGGAGACTGCAACCCAAAGGGAGACGGAAGCAGTCAGTAGTGTATAAGGGCAAGGATCCAAAGATCAACTAAGATGAGACAGAATCCCTTAAGCCAAGGGAAGACTGCATCCAGACTGCTTGTTTCGAAGTACAGTGGTAACTTGGTTCTCAAACTTAATCCGTTCCGGGAGTCGGTTTGACTCCCGAAACCGCTTGGAAACCAAGGCACGGCTTCTGATTGGCTGCAGGAGCTTCCTGCACCCAAGCGGAAGCCGCAGAAGCTGCGTCAGACGTCCGGCTTCTGAAAAACGTTCACAAACCTGAATGCTCATTTCTGGGTTTGTGGCGTTCAGGAGCTGATTTGTTTGGGAGTCAAGTCGTTTGAGTACCAAGGTACCACTGTACAAGCATGTCAAGCCAAGAGGAAAGGGCAATGCTCTGATTGAATGCTCCCCCAGCGGTGAGGTTTGAGGAGGGCACAGACAAGATCAAGTACTTCTAAAAGCTTACATGGAATTCTCCAGCAATGCAGCTAGAGTGCCCCCACTCCACAACAGTCAAGCGATCCTTAGTTTGGCATGACCAGATTACATCCTTACTCATCTCCAAATGTACATCCATATAGTATCCTCTGTGCAATAGCAATGAACAAGAGATAGGTTCTTTCCCGGTAGTTAACCGGCTCGCTTAGCTCTCAAGTTAAAAGCACCAAGCAGCTTTGGTGACTCTCAATGCCAGTTCTGCATTTTGGGTACTGCTGTAGCCCTCCCTCTTCCTGCGGGATCAGAAGCCTCCCTCACCGACCGACCCCTACTTATGTCACTGCTTTGCATTAGGTTTTCCTTGAGATGTTCACTCTTGCTCTGAGCACAGATCAGAGCAGTCCCCACAAGGTCATGTGTGCTAAGGTTGTGATGAAAGGGGATGAAACTGATGCAGAAAGTGGTTCGGATTTCTTTCAAAAGTTTCAGGTGTGTGACAAATGGATAAAGTAATCTCAGTGCTTTTTTCACAAGGAGCCAAGGACCAAAAAGACCAGAGAGATTGGACTATTTAGAGTTTGCAGAGGCCCTAAAAGATGGCATCTTTAAGAAGGCATCAGATGTCTGGATGTGTAACATGGAAAGCACAGACATGTGAGACTGAGCATCCCTTCAGCATGTGAGGTTTCTCCCAGAGCGTCAGCCTGTCTCCAGCATGAATTTTAATGAGTTGTATCATAATCTTGGTCTCCCTTGATGTCAGACGACTTCTTAGATCATAATTTGTTGCTATGGAAACAGCTGTGTCACAGCCAAATCGTCTATCATGAAGTTGAAAAACTAAGCTCCGTTTTCCCTTAAAGATAACCGCTGGAAGAACCCTTGGGTCTCTCCTACAGGCACAAACAAGTGCGGGATTCGGAAAATAGCGGAAGTCTACTTGATATGACGGATTAAAAGAATTGCAGTGCTGATGAAGAATGCAAAGAGGAAATTGTAAACTGCAATTCACAGACTCTGAAGCAGCCACCGACTCAGAGAAGTGGCTTGGTGAAAAACTACAGGTCCCAGAATGCAAGACAGGGCCACGGTTTGCTGACTTACTTGAATCTTGATGGAGGCAAATCTGCAAGAAGCTGCCTGCTATGCAGACGGAATCCTTCTGCATGAGACTCTAAGGTGCTGGAATGCAGAAGAGCAAAACCTACCAAGTGGCTTCACTTTTCAGAAGCCACTTTTGACATATTTTGTGCAAGACAAAAACAATTACATGCTCCCAAATGACGTGTGTACATGTAACTTCATGTACATGAAGCAAACCCACAGGAATCCTCAGTACAGTCGTACCTTGGATCCCAAACATCTTGGTACTCAGATGTTTTGGCTCCCAAAGCTGCAAACCCGGAATTGAGTGTTCCGGTTTGCAAATGTTCTTTGGAACCAGAACATCCGACGGGGCTTCCGATTGGCTGCAGGAGCTTCCTGCAGCCAATCAGAAGCCACGCTTTGGTTTCCGAATGTTTTGGAAGTCGAACGGACTTCCAGAATGGATTCCGTTAGACTTCCAAGGTACGACTGTATAAAATGACTGCCAGGCCATGCTTTGGGTGTAACGGAGCAACTCTTCCAGTCCTGTTGTATGTATGAAAAGAGGCTGAGAGCAAAAAGGATCCAGGTATTACCAAGTTCTGAGCACAAAAATCAGAGAAAGTCACAGGCAGATGGAAAGAAAGAAAGAAAGAAAGAAAGAAAGAAAGAAAGAAAGAAAAGGGAAGGGGGTAAGCAAAGAACAGGAGACCTGAAAGGTATAGTGCCATGTCCAAAAATTAGTAACATGCAACAAGGCATATTTCATTCTCTATTAAGAGTAGCCACATTTCCGCAAGGTTTAGAAAATAGTAATAACAACAGACTCAAGGAGCTTGAAATACAAGAGAACTGAATATTGCAACTTAGTTTGTTGTGCGCACAAGAAAGGAGGAATTTTCATGTTCCTCATGTGCTGGCTACCCCAAGGATCCTGCTGGTTATTCTGTTCTCCTACTTCCTGTGCCCTGGGGGTTCACTGTCCCTCTTTGTCTTTCCCTCTAGCTGTTCAGGAGGCTGCACTGCTGGGAGGTCAAGAGCAGCATGGGCCGCAGGAATGCAGAGACGCCATTCCGGCCACCCACAGAAGACATTCTGGCCAAGCTACTTGCAGGGGCACATACTGCCTTCTCTCTTTTGTCTCTGTGCTGCAACCTGCCATTATGTATGCAATCAACTCCAATGTCGCTGCAGGAAGCTGGATTGCTGGGATTGTATCCAATGAAGTCACTGCATGACTGCAATTGCTTCTGCTCATGTAACAGGAATTCCACTCCCTTTCCTCCTTGCATGCACCACTGCAATCATGTCCCCCCGGCCACAAAAAATGCTCTGGAGGATTGGGTGAACCCCCAGAGCATATTGGGGGGCGGCGGCATGGGGGAGATGAGAAGTTCCATTGTTTGAGCTAAAGTTGTTCAATTCTAGCAATGCCTTTCCTGTATACAATTCTTGGTGTCCTGGGATGGACTGTTTATATCAGAAATTCCTGCTTCTTGTACCCACCGACTGGGAACAACTTCTGTGGTCTCCTGATGAAAGCAGCAAACCACTCCTGCTGTTTTGATTAGAAGACTCATTGGTTTCCCTCCAGGTGGAGGGAATCTGGCTGCAAGCACAGCTGAGTTTTCTACCATAAGAAGCTTTTTGCTCCAGGAAGCACTCTGGAGCCCAAGAGGAGGATCCACAGCTCCACTGCAGGAAAAATATGGCCCTTAGACGTTATGCAGCAGGAAAAGTCAGCGCTTCCACCAGCTGTGGAGGCTGAGACTTTATATCGTGGGTGCGTAGGTAGAAATACACCCTGGGATGGAAGCCTGGTTAAAATCAGCCACTGCTTCAAAGTCTTCAGAATGTTTTGGGTTGGGGGGCGGGGAGGAAGGGAGATGACTGACAGGCAGAATATTGCCCACAGCAACTTGTGGGAAGGGATGCCCCATTTCACATATTTTCCCCCAGCAGCACCAGAAACAAGAAGCCAATGATCGAAGTGCATTCAAAAATGAGGACATAAGCTTACCATTAATTAAGACTGAATGACTAATGGGGGCTTGCAGGTTAAATGTACATTTGCAGCATTTAAGCTAGCAGATATTTGCATGGCCACAAGTGAAAACGGGCCCTTCCTTTATGCTATTTGATGCTCTAATGTAAATCAAGGCAGTCCAGAAAGGCTTTGAGATCAAAATATCTATAGACACCAAATCCTCTTCCTTCCAGAATACCATCCAGCTTATGGGGAGTGTGATCCAACTGGAACAAATTCTTCCCAAACAGAACTGTCTGGGGTGGCAAGCTCTTCCTGCTTCAGGATTTCCAAAAGGCAATTGAATCTTCCAGAGTATGTTCTCTTCCTTCCACCCCCACCTGAATTACAGAGCTAGGACGCAGTTAAGTGCACCCCCACAACCTATGGGTGTGGCTCTTCCCTTCTTTAAAATCTGAAGCTAAAATGCGAAAGATGGAAAGATGACTGCTCAGAGCCAAGGACTGCACGTTGCAGAGACTGAGAGGCAGCCATAATGTAAACTCCTTAATTTTTATAAAGCTGCTTCAAGTTTCTTAAAAGGCCCCTTGCCACATCCGTTTTCAAGGATAACCCGGAGATGAAAAGCCTGAATGCAAATACAGGAAGCACGTGCTGCAGATATTTCACCTTTCGCCAATCAGGTGCCCTCCAGCAGTTGGGCTATACAAAGATGTGCTGTTTAGAACTGATGGAGGCCTATAGTCCTGCAACATCTGGATGGCACCAGCTTGGCCGAGGCTGATAGGCCCATTGAGGTGCTGTGGTGGGCTGAACTGATGCCCAGCTTGGTCTCTGTGCAATGTGGGAAATGGCCCGAAGAAACTGCAATATAGCAGGATTGTTGGCAAGCTTTCTGTGGCAGCCGCATGGGCTTCAGTCAATACATTCAGCTTTCCTGATGGCAACACCGCATCACTTATTCTCCCCCACTCTTATATCCACCCCCTCCTCAGAAAACATACAGACACAAAGCCTAGGAGCCAGGAGAAGCCAAAAGGTTTTTTTTTGTTTTGTTTTCCGTTTTATGTCTCTGCACTGACCTCACTAAAACTGTGCCACTACTGAGGATTTTGGTGAAGAAGGAAAAGAGAACTGCCGTGGAAATGCACACACCGGGGGAACAGCTCACAGGTAAGTAAAATAACGTGTAGGACAAATATTTTCAAACCTCATCTCTTCTATGCACGCATGAAAAAGGTTAAATTCAAAGCGCAGCCCTTCTTGTCACAATCCAAAAGGCTGGTGGAAAATAGAAAAAAAGTAGTAAGAAAATAAAAACTAGGGATTGCGCACTAACGACTTAAAATAACTGTGTGCAAATTAAATATGGATTAGTTAATCTCTGGGGAGAAGTTCTTAAAAGGAATTAAAATGTGTTTTCCAAATCAATCATCCTAGGCCTAGGTATTATTTCTGATAAGGTAGTTTCACTCCAAGTTCAGAGTTTTCAGTCTCTGCTGGGCTGCTATTCACCACTTGAAGCTCATTTGTTGCTGCGTTTAGGTCTTCGCAATCTCCCTTAATTTCAAACACCTAGCTCAGTACCCGAACTCCTGATGGCATTTCCCTACCCCCAAATCTCAATGAGGCAATCTTTGTTTTCATTTGCAACCCTTCCGGCTCCTTATTTCTCCTATTCTGGAACAACAAATGGGAGTGACAGTGGCCTTTCAACCAATACTCTTCTGGAAAGAGCAGAGATCACTCTGCATATTGACACAAGGACGACCTGCATGGAATACTGGGATATGTAGTCTCCCCAGGTAACAATACTGCATTGGATGGGAGGAGACTGCAATCCACTTCTTTGTTCTCTAACAGATTTGTGGCAATTCACAAGCACAGCTCCAGTGGAAAGTCTACATGGGGCAAAGAACTTGGCATTCCGAGGAACGGGGCAAACCAATCTGTCGTGTGCTTATGGCGTTCGAAGCTTGGCCAATAGAGCCCTCTAAAGAGGTAGAGTATCAAATCATTTTTTTTTAAAAAAAAGGCAAAGAGCTCACCTGTTTTGTTACAAAGCTTGACACAACCTGAGTTAGCAAGCAGAGTAATACGGGAGTTAATCAAATCTGCCAATTTGCTTCTGCATGCCTCCATCACCACTGATGGTCTGTGGCCATACAAATGCGGGAGAAGTTTCCCAAGCACCAAACTGGCTAGCCATGCTGATAACTGATGGGACACATCTCCGGGCACCAGTCTGTTAATGATGGCAATGTGATGCTGGTGTCAAGACAGCAACACAGGCACTGTATGATGAGCAGCAGAAGCAAGGATGGTCCCTTTCCCTCCCTGGCTTAGAAGTTTCACTTTGTGGCAATCGAAACACCTGGCTCTTGGGAGCTGAAGAGCCACTCACGAGTTTGGGTGTGTGTTTGGGTGAGCCAACACCTTAAGATCAATCTCTTGCATGCGCAGAGCGCACACAGCCTTTGGGATTAGCTCTACACAACGCCAGGCCGCGATAGAAGCTTGACCAACACAGCCTGTGTGGTCCCTGGAGCCAGAAAAATCTCATTCCACTAATGCAGGCAGGGGCACACAGCCAACACCAAAGCATCTCTTTCGTTGCCATTAAAAGGGTATGGGTACACGGACTTTGTCTCAAAAGTCATACAAATGCTTCTCAACTCCCATTCATGGGAACTTCAGGCAACACTTTAAACCTGATAAACTACATGGTGTTTTGCTTTGCTTTTTTACAATGACAGGCTGGTATTCAGGACTGCAAACACAAGCAAAGGACAAATAAGCGTAGACTTAATTTTTCAGTAAATGTTGTCTTATTAGGCTGTGCAATGCATTATTCTTTGCTTAATGCTTCTTATTTGGAAGCACGTTGCAAATGCAACTTTTCTTGCCATTTGCATCTTGTCTATAATCAGGTTTTTTTTATGTTGGTTCTTCCTAGCTGACTAGATCTTCCCTTCCTGTACTTCACTCCTGATCCCACCTCCTTATTCAGGGCCAGTCCATCACAGAAGACGTAGGCTCCCCAAGATTGATTCCAGCTCGTTCTTCCATTTCTGGTAAGAGACTTTTGCGTTTCAAACTCTGATTTCAACTCTTGCCCGCTAGAGTGAACTTGGGGAGGGCTCACTGCAGCAGCCACATCTGATCTCCTCCACCCCCCCCCCAAACTCCTGTGTATGAATTTTACAAGCTGAGCCCAAGTCCAAAGGGATCCAATGGGCTTTCCAGACCAAGGAGCCGTATCTGGTTCACTTACTGTGGTTTTAAAATAAAAATGAGAAGAGGATCATAAAATGAATAATATATATATATATTATTTTTTGGTTTCTCCTGGCTCCATGAACACAAAGAGGTGCACGTCCTACCATAGGAGGAAGCAATGGCTGTTAAGTTTTACAGTTATAGTGGAAAGCACTGATCAACCCTTGCCAGGCTTCCCTCATTACTGGATGTGGCAGGCAGTGGAGGAGGTGGCTTGACAGCACATGCAAGTGGGGTTGACCGACTTCGGAGGGATGAGGTCGAGGTCCTCGTCATCTGGGATCTCATCTAACCGGTAGCCATCCTTTAGCAGCTGGATGTTCAAGTCCTGGTTGATCTGCTGCAGACAAAGAGTCAACGAGTCAAGGAACTGACAGTCCAACATCATCTCCCATACCCAACATGGCTGAACGGCAATGGCCTGGTCCATTTTTAAAGAGACAAGTGCTAAGATGGAGCCACAGCTCTGCACAAGGTGTCAATTCACAGCTTCTCCAATTCGCAGGAGGAAATCCTCCTGCCTGAGACCCTAGAAAGTAACCAGGTGAGGCTGAAATTACTGGGGCAAAGATTTTTCCCAGCTCTGCTATCAGATAACCAAATGGATATGGAACATGACTTACGGATGTCCCTTCAGATGTCAAGGAAATGAACAACTTTCTGACTTTTAGAAGACATCTGAAGGCAGCTCTGTTTGGGGAAGTTTTTAATGTCTGATGTTTTATGGTGTTTTTACTATTCTTCTGGGAGCTGCCCAAAGTGGCTGGGAAAACCCAGCCAGATGGGCGGGGTATAAGTAACAAAATTATTATCATCATTACAGGCCTCCTAACTTACTTTTACTTGAAATTTAAGCATGGTTGCTGAAGTTTCGTTGACAGTTACTCATTTTCATTACCAACTCTGCTTTTGATTTGTGTGTGTAATCCAACTAACCTGCCCCATTAGCACAAGGATTTTCACTTATGCGGTGGGACACCCTCGCATCCAGCGTGCACCCTGAGTCTTCCTCAGAACTGCTCCAGAGGCCTGGAGGAATCCCTAGAGCAGATTTAGGGGGCACGTGGTGGTGGAATTCCCATTTGCAAGTGGAAAACATTGGGCTGATGTGTCACTTGTCTACTTTGGATACAAAGTACCATATTTTTCGCTCTATAGGACGCACAAGACGATAAGATGCACCTAGTTTTTGGGGAGGAAAACAAGGAAAAAAGTATTCCGAATTCCGGAAGCCAGAACAGCAAGAGGGATCTGGCTTATGGGATAGCCTCTTGTTGTTCTGGTTTCTGGGATAGCTGCCGAAGCCTCTCCCAGGCAGCGGGATAAAGGCTCCCCCTGCCCAGAAGACGCTGCAGGGGGCTAAGCGGCCCTCTATCCCTTCCCACCTCCCGCAAAAGCCAACCAAGAGCCGTGCACTCTTTAAAGGGAGCGTGGCTCTTGTGGGCTTTTCTACGAGGTGAGAGAAGGACAGCCTGTTAGTGACGAGCTGCCCTTCTCCGTCCTCAGGGAAAAGCCTGCAAGAGCCGCACTCCCTTTAAAGAGCACATGGAGGTGTTCTGGCTTCTGGGATAGCCCGCGAAGCCTCCGCAGGGCAGCGGGGTGCCTTCATCCCGCTGCCCTGCGGAGGCTTAGCCGAGCAGCCTGCATGCGCTCCACAAGATGCACACACATTTTCCCTTACTTTTTAGAAGGGAAAAAGTGCGTCTTTTAGAGCGAAAAATACGGTAGTCTGACAAGAACATTTTTGGTAACACCTGAGATTTGAATGAGCTACATAGGGGTCCTATCCTATCAAGGTGTTGGCCTTAGGCTTCTTTCACTTCTGTGATAAAACTCTATAAAAGGTCTTCTTAGGCCACTTTCTGGATTTGGGCTGCAGAAATACAGGGACGACTGGTTGCTTCAGCAAAAGAAAACCACCACTAAGGGATGCTGCCTTTGTAAAAACAGCAGTCAGAAATTTGCGTCCCTTCGGGAAAGAGAAAAATATTTCTAAATCTTACTAAGGGGAATGAATTGAAGGCACAGGAACTCACCTCAGCTGAAGAATATCCCGAGGAGGAATATCTGGACATGTCAAAGTCGTCATCACTGCAGAGGAAGAAAAAGTGCAATGAGGAAAGAGAACCCAGTGAGTGAGAGGGATCCTCCAGAGCTCACTGGCCACATCACTCTTGTTCACAGAGTGAACATGCAGGCAGATTTGCAGGATCCATCAACAGCAGCACCTGCTTCCAAGAGCGGCCACCCAGATGCCTCCAGGTAGCACTCAAGCAAGGCATGCCAGGTGATGCCTTTCTCCTCTTGTTGTTCCTCACACCTGATGCTCATTCAGCAGGTACACTGTGCATGAGTCTAGGAGTGGCTACTGGCAGGCCTCCCCCAGAAATTTGGGCACCTCCAGAGGACCTGTTTATTGAGCATTCCTCCAGAGCTACTTGCACAAAGCTCATGTGGAAATTAGATTACAACCTGGTTTTTACTGACCACCCCCATTTCTTTTGCAGGGAGAATATACAACAATGAGCATGCATCCCGATTTACGTATGGGGTCTCCCCGTTAATCATTCTTTCATTCCACACTGTTCAATGCATTTTGACTTCAACTTTGCTATCCGCAAGAAGTCAGGCTCTTTTTGCAAATGGATTTGTTGTGTTAGGGAGACAAGCATTTTAACCCACTTAAACTGGATTTAATTTCCCAATAGGCAACTGAATCCCTCCTGTGAAATACAGACAATAAATAAAATTCCATGTTTTAGCTCTGGAGACTGAGAAACTTTGCCATGCTGGCCGGGCAAATTTGATTTGATCACAGTGGTATGTAAAATAGGAAAAGGTTCTCAGGAGATTTCCAAGAGAACAACTGTATTTTACTGCAATCATCTGAATCTATACCTGTCTGTGTCCAGTGCTACCAATGGCTTTTCATCAGGACTCTGGTCTAATGAGGAATAGCCTTTATTGGGAACAACCAGCCTGAAATTAAAAAGAAAACATTATACATATCACCATGTAAACATTGAAAGCAGAAGTTAAGCAAGGAGCAAGGGGTGTGTGAAGCTGTTCCATATCAGAGGACCTAGTATGGCAGGATGTGGAGATTAGGTAGAAGCTGCTGAGAGAAATGGTAGCAATCTAGTTCTAGGGATGCTGTAAAAGGAAGCATGAAACATTTGGCAAATATGGTCAGCTCTAGTGAATCCAGATACCTTACAGAATACAGGGAAGACTGGTGTGAGTAGTACATAGCCCCCTATTTCCAACTACAATCTGAGTAACCCTCAAGGCATCAAGATTAGACTACTGTAATCTGGTAGTCTCTTAGGTTTGGAAGCTGAATATTTGAAGGACTGCCTCCTCTATGAACCTGAGTGGTAAGATCTTCGTTTGCCCCCCACTTATGGAGTGTTCTCTCCAGAAGGCTTGCCTAGTGGAGCCTTCCAGGATTTATTTATTTTATTACATAAAATTCCAGGATTTATTTATTCCATAAAATTTATATACCACTTGACTGTTAAAAAACAAAACACCTTCAAAGCAGTTTACAAAAGGAATAATGTATCACATCAATATTTTTCTTAACACCTAGACATTTAAAATTAGTTAACTCCAATGGTGTTATCTGTTCATTTAATTTTTAAACATGGTATTTTAGTACTGTTTGGTTTTCTGAATTCTAAGCTATCTTTGACATTTTTGTAAAAAATTAAATAAAAAAATAAAATAAAATAAAAGCTACCACAAAGCAGCTTCCATGACTCAAGAAGATGCTCACACTTCAAAATTCTTCCCAAACCTTCACATTGTTGTAAACACTTTGGAACAAAAAGAGTACCTCAAAAAATGTATTATGGCATTAGCTTTCATGGACTATAATCCACGTCGTCAGGTACACAAAGTTGTTACCCACAGTGTGTGTGGGGGGGGCTGTCTCCTCCCCCCCCCAAACACACAGTTGTGGGGTGTGGGTTGTGTAAAGAACAGTGGGGCCAAATGGCAATGAAATGAAATATCTGAAATTCAATGACAATCACAACAGCAGAATTGGAATTAACATTGCCCTTAAATTGCTAAATTAATTTGACCTTTGTAGTGGAACAGGAAACCCTTTTCGGTAAGATTTTTCCATCCTTGTGGAGCTGAAATGTGCTTCAAAAGGCTGGACATTTTGCAGCTTTCTCACTTGTAGCTCTTACCTATACTAGGGAAAAGCTACACAATTGATCTCTTTCCCAGGCAGACACAATTATATCAGCAGGTGCTGATTTACCTCTTAACTCAAGCAGAACTATGGAGTCGTTTAACCCATTTTCTAAGCTAGTGGCTATTGACAAAACTCTACTCCCAAAAGAGTTCTGCATGAACAACAGGGCATGCCTACCCAAACTGAAGTCCACTGGTATGGTTTACAAATTACCGTATTTTTCGCTCTATAGGACGCACTTTTTCCCTCCTAAAAAGCAAGAGGAAATGTGTGTGCGTCCTATGGAGCGAATGCAGGGGGGAGGCAGTCGGGAAAAGCCCCCAAGAGCCGCACACAAGCTTCGTGTGCTCTTGCGGGCTTTTCCCCAGGAGGGAGAAGGGACTGACTGGCTGCATCAGTCCCTTCTCCCACCTCCCAGAAAAGCCAGGAGAAGCCACGCAGCCCCTTTAAAGAGCTGGCGGCTTCTGCCGGTCTTGCGGGAGGTGGGGGAATCCCCCCACCTCCCAGAAAAGCCAGGAGAAGCCGCGCTGCCCCTTTAAAGAGCTCACGGCTTCTATGGCTCTCTGGGAGGTGGGGGAAGCTGCAGCGGATTCCCTCCTCCCCGGCTCCCTTTGAAGCAGCAAAGTGGGAGGGGAGCAGCTTACACTCGTGTAAGCAGCTCCTCTCCCACCTTCCTGCTTCAAAGCAACCACGGAGGAGGGAAAGAAGGGGACCATGGATCCTCCGCTGCTCGTGGCTGCAGCGGATTCCCTCCTCCTGGGCTCCCTTTGAAGCAGGAAAGTGGGAGGGAGCAGCTTACACTCGTGTAAGCAGCTCCTCTCCCACTTTCCTGCTTCAAAGTGGAGGGATCCACTGCAGTTGCGAGCAGAGGATCCATGGCTCCGCTTCCTTCCCTGGAAGCAGGGTGCGGGGGTGCAGGGGGGAAAGAGGGCAGGAAATAGATGGCGGGCAGGAAGACACAACCACACTTTGACCACTGGAAAGTCCACCCCAGCCTCCCCAGATTTCCACTGAGACGGCTAGGCTAATCTCGATGGCCATAGGTCAGGCTCAGCATTATTAACTGGACTTAGATAAGCCATGGTTCCCCTTCCTACCCTCCTCTGAGGCTCGATTTAAAGCAGCAAAGCGGACAGGAGCCACCCGCTTTGCTGCTTTAAATAGTTTAGTGCAACATTTGATTCAGAATATTTTTGTGTGTGTTTTCCTCCTCTAAAAACTAGGTGCGCCCTATGGTGCAAAAAATACGGCAAGCACTTGAATATTGTGAAGTGATCTACCTTGTTCGTGCCATCACATTGTTCTTCTTGGGCTGTTGGTTAACTGGGCTCCCCATGTTTCCATTTTTCAGGGACCCCTTACGAGCCAGCTCCCTCTGTTTCTCTGCAGAAGGAAGGCAGACATTAACATCCAAGTTAGCGAGGCTGCTTCTCCTTTGACGCTGATTAATTATAGCAAGGTTAGCCACAGACTATCAATCCCGTTCTCTGAAAATTATCCTACCACTTCCACATTCTTAGTGGGCTATGAAACAAAGGATGCTTGCAATCTCAAAGGAAAAGGGTCTTATGATTTTTGTTGCTTGGATGTGGGCTCCAGTGTGACCAAACAAAAGCTTTGCTTTGATACGCAGAACAGAAATGGTGCATTTCACTATTTGCGAAATACAGTAAACCTGCAACATATGCACATTTAATGTGTGCTCACTCAGCTTTACATGGGTGGCAAAAATATATATAAAAAACTTAGAAGGGGGGCGGAAAGGAACTGGGGACTTTGGCAACCCTGCCTGCCATTGAACCCAAAGTTTTGACTCGACACGATTCTGGCTTTAGGCGTAAGCTCCGGGACGTAACCCCCATGTAAGTTACGGGCTTACTTTAGTAATTCCAAGGGTCATTTCAGAGGTGGTAGGATAATTTTCATAACCTCCATGAGAGGCTAGACATGCCCTGCTGGTCCTGGGCTGGAGGAAAATACCTGAAATTGATTTTACTTACACCCCCCCCCCACATGTTGTTGCCGTCTATAGCAGGGGTGGCCAACTTCCAAGAGACTGCGATCTACTCACAGAATTAAAAATTGGCAAAGTTCTTCAGCTTTTTTTAGGGAGGGAAAAAGCCACCTTTTATTATTGGGGGTTAAGGTCACAGTTGTTGGGGTTTTTTTAGCGAAGGGGTTCGGGAGGATGAAGTTGCAAGTTGCTTTGCTTATTTTAGGGAGCGGGAATGCCACATTTTTTAAGTATTTTGTGGAGAAAGAGAAACAGCAACTCACAAAAGGATCGCTGGGGGGAAAACAGCCTCGGTTTGTAAACTCCATCTTCCATTCTCCAACAATGGAGTGCAGGGCCGGAAGGGGTAGGATGAAGTTTCTTTGCTTATTTTAGGGAGGGGAGCGCCACATTTTTAAAGTATTTTGGGGAGAAAGAGAAACAGCAACTCACAAAAGGATTGCTGGGGGGAAAACAGCCTCGGTTTGTAAACTGCATCTTCTGTTCTCCAACAATGGAATGCAGGGCCGGAAGGGGACCAGGGATCAACCGCGATCGACAAAAACATTGCAGGAATCTACCAGTAAATCGCGATCAACCTGTTGGACATCCCTGGTCTATAGCAACAGGAACATAGAAATTGCTTAGAAGGTACCTGCACATTTTGCCCTATACCTTACTTTCTAGGAGGGCTAGAGACTTACTGTATTTTTTGCACTATAACACTCACTTTTTTCCTCCTAGAAAGTAAGGGGAAATGTCTGTGCGTGTTATGGAGGGAATGCCTACGGGTGGCATGCCTACGGATTTTCCTCCTCTAAAAACTACGTGTGTGTTATGGTCGGGTGCGTGGTATAGAGCGAAAAATACGGTACTTTAAAAAAAGAAAGGAGAAAAGAAAAGGTCAGTGACACCTGCCAAACAGCACTACTTCTACCGGTGTTGGTTGCTTTAGTGTATTATATTAATCTGTATTTGTGAGCTACATTATATTAAAAATACTTAAAAAGAGAAATAATTGTAAGGTCTCTATCTATCAAGGCTGTTTCCGTGTCGGTCTCAAGGAAGCGCCATCACATGCGACACATCTGACACAGAGTTAACACACCTTACAAAAGCAGCACGGATTCTTAGGTAATTTTCACACAGTAGAACATCATTTCATTTGACTGACAGCTCAACACACACAGAGCATTGTAAAGTTTTGCTCCAAACAAATGCGACATATGAAGAATTTTAAAGTGCCACGCAAGCAGATGAAAACGGAATGGTAACCCGAAAGAGAGGGTTGGTTGGAGAGAGACAGAGACGAGCATCCTGTTCTCACAGTTCTGCGTGGCTTGTTAATAGGGAGGTGAAAGGAAGGGCAATGCAAGGCCTTCAGGGAATTACAAAGCCTTGCGCTTGTCTGCAATTCAACATCAGGAAAAGGACGGCGAAAGGCCATGGTTGTTTCCTGACCTGCTACGCTCTTTTGTTGGCAGCTTAAAGCCTTTCACTCAGAGGAGAAGCACAGCATTTAGTTTTTTTAGCATGATGCAGAATGCAGGAGGGTCAGCCCTGCGAGAAAAGTACCCTTCATTATGCCCTGCCATAAAAGGGATGGCAGTCAGTGAAGTAAAGTGATTTGTGTTGGCAAGAACTGCATCCAAATTGTGCTGCCAGTCATGCCTGTACCCCCTACCCCGGTTACATACTATGTGAGACAGTTTCCCCTTCTAGCTGAAGCAAGAGCAAACATGATGAGGAGGCAGCTTGCCAGACTTAATTCCTCACTGATCTACGTACCAACTAGGTTCAGAGCAACTTACTTGACTTATTTCTATTTAGGAAATGCTTTAATCGCTTCCTACAAAGCTATATTATATTATTTGCTTTTCATTCAAATGAATATCAAAGCAGTGTACAAAACAGAACTCAATTGCAATACAATATGTAGCCAAACAATAAACTAATAATGCTATACTATTCAACTACAACTGAACACCCATCCACATCCCTCCATTCAGAATCCCAGCCAGTCACTTTGCCTAACAAAGACTAAATGAAAATAAATTTCAAATGGAAGTCATCTTCTACCTCATCTCCCGCCTGGAGCAGAACATTTGCTCCCTCCCTGCCTCACACCCAGGAGGCAGCCGGGTGCGTGTGTGTCTGAGCTCTGCACAGATAAGAAAGTTATCTCTTCAATATAGCTCAGCCTGGTTATAAGATTATCAGACCAACAATTATAACCTCCATGCCTTCCAAAGGAAAACAAATAGCAAACATAGCAGGGAAGGGGAAATTGGATTAAAAAACAACAACCACCTCACATGTTGTTTGGCCTGGTACTATGCCCATCATTATGACAATTTGGGTGGGGGGGGGTGCCTGCACTGTGCCAAAACTCGCTTCAACAGCCCCTTCCTAAGTCATCCAGTGTTGGGGGATAGGGGGCCAGCAGGCTTTGCCCTTCCTATTGCAGTGGCTCCTAGATGACAGTTTCCTCTTTCCCATAGGTGAGGACGACCATCTGTTGCTTAGGGATACTTAAAACTTGCATTTACACAAAACCAAGTCATGCTCTCATCTGCATAGCTCCACCCTAAACCCCAAACCAGGCCTGCTCTCATTTGCATAATTCCACCCTAAACCCAAAACCAGGCCTGCTCTCATTTGCATAGCCCCACCCTAAACTCTATTCTGGATATACTGGCATGATAGGACAAGACTGAGCCAACTAAGAATGACTCCTGCTCAGTCCCTTGTGTGGAGCACAGCATTACTACAACTGACTAAGGAACTGGTGTGTGACTGCACAAGTCAAGTTTGGGATGGAGGGGGTATTGTTTTTGTTTGTTACGATGCTATGTATTTTTTTGTGATCCCGGGTGAAGGGCGGTATAGAAATTTAATAAATAAATAAAAACACATGGGATCCAACATACAGCTGCTCTTTCTTGCCCAACAGCACAGAATTCTTAATGTTTCCCAACACGCTTCTCCAAAGACACACCCAAGGCAGCACTCTGCCAACTGACTGCTGATGTTGTTGTGATGTGCAGCTGTTCTTATTGCTATGAGCTGCTTTGAGAATCATTTGTGGGGGAGAAACAAATGAAGGGAAGGGGATGGGGATGGGGATGAGGATGAGCTGCCTGCAGATCTTGAAGAGTCTGCTGTTGCATTCTGCTCCACCCCTCAATTAGCTAGGACCAAATAGGGGAATAGTTTCCTTTTCAGGATATCCTATCCAAAAAAGTTGGAGACTGCAGCAGCAAAGTCACTTTCTGAAAAAGCCAATAAGGTTAAGTTTCCCAAGAAGAAATTAAAAAACTCTATTTGTGCATATCAGAGCAATCAGATCAATAGATTGGTATTTAGGGAAATTATGTTGTTCCATTTTTCTTCAAGGTTCTTATTGCTTTTTATCACTTCAGTTAACCTGCTGAAAGAAGCCAATTCTAAACAGCACCCATGAGGCTTCTTACTTTCTCTCCAAAACAATTAAGGGTTCCTAAAAGGGGTTAAAGCTGTTTATCAAGCTACACCACGCTCTTGATCTAGCAGTTTTAAGAAATCGATTAGGACACAACACTTTGGTCTCAGCATCTTCATTTCTACTCTGAATAAGGAGAGTCAACGCTTCTTTTATTCTCAGCATCAAAACAAGCATATCAAAAACAGAACTTTGAAAATGACATTTGTAAAGCCTATGTTGATAGATCACGGTTACAATTCAAAGGAAGTTTTGTGTTTAGACTGATGAGCCTTAAGCATTAATGCTTCTCTCCGAATTGTTCCCAGTGTATATAAAAGCAGGCTCTCAGCAGTGAAATGGCTACAAATCCCATCACTCAATGCCTCACCCCTTGCGCTGGCTCTCTTTAATTATATCCACAAATGCCTTACAAGCATGACTAAACGATATCCTGAATCTGCCAAGACCTCCATGGATGCAGCTTTTATCTCTGCCTGGGACAGCAGACATAGCCCTTGTGTGCTTATTTAAAGGGCACATGATGTCAAGAAAAACATGCTTTGTCCTCCCAGTTCAGAGAACATGTCCCACACTCAACCACTGTAGGCTGCTGACATCATGGCTCTGATTTCACAGGAGCAAAAAGATGCACTGCCCTTTTGACAAATGCCCTCTGGAATACAGGGGAGAAGTTCTTGGAGAACACTCCCTCTTAGGATACAGGAGGATACCAATTTGAGATTTCTCTTGATTTGCATGTGCTGAGTCTCCTGAGGGAAGTCGAGTGGGACACCACCAAGCTGCTCCAGCAACTCTCTCTGCTTTCTCCAGCAGCAAGTGGTGAAGCAGCAGAACAGGCCTAATCACCAGTCCCGTTGGGTTCCAGCTAGAGCACAGCTCTGCCCCTTCACACAAAAAGAAACAGTGCTGCCCCTCTGTTCTCTGGAAGGCAGTGCCAAATTAAGGGGGCAACTGCAGTCAGGCCACTGGCTCACCTGTAGCAGGTTCTAAGAGTCTGCCTAGAAAGAGATTGTGTCAGGCAGGCTACATCCTTAAAGGATCAGCTCTATCACGGGCACCCCTTCACCAGCTCCCCCTCCTGCCCAACTGCAGTAATAATAATAATAATAATAATAATAATAATTTATTATTTATACCCCGCCCATCTGGCTGGGCTTCCCCAGTCACTCTGGGCGGCTTTCAACAAAATATTAAAATACAGTACAGTGGTACCTCGGGTTAAGTACTTAATTCGTTCCGGAGGTCCATTCTTAACCTGAAACTGTTCTTAACCTGAAGCACGACTTTAGCTAATGGGGCGTCCTGCTGCCACCGCGCCGCCAGAGCCCGATTTCTGTTCTTATCCTGAAGCAAAGTTCTTAACCTGAAGCACTATTTCTGAGTTAGCGGAGTGTGTAACCTGAAGCGTATGTAACCCGAGGTACCACTGTAATCCATCAAACATTAAAAGCTTCCCTAAACAGTACTGGGTTTTGTGTGCATGCGTCTATTCGTACTGCAATAGAACCTTGGTGCAGTTCTTATATTAGGGGAAGGCTATCCCATCTGCAAGTGATGAGACTGTGTCCTCAGTTGCAAGCACCCTGTGAGTCTGCTGGCCATTAACATCCCTCTTCTTGGCTTGGTGGCTGGTGGCAGGTGGCCACACAACATGATGCCATCTCATCTTTTGAGATCCCAGGAAAGACGTTACTCTCTCTTCTCTTGTTAGATGCACAGAGCGGTTTATGAATCATTTATTCCAAAAGTATTGCAAGAACGTGACTCTAATTACATCCACTTCGATCAAAATGGACACAATTAGCATAACGATATTGTCAGGCACACTGGGACACTTGGTCTTGTGCCCAACTTGATAGGAAGATGATTCTCCACAGAGAAGCTAGAGGCCGCTGCTGCCACCCTCCTTTTCCCGTCCAAGGTAGATTTGGGGGCCCTGGTGAAGGGGAAGGGGAATGAACATACACAAAGCATTGATCCTTTGCACACTCTTGCTTGTAGCACACATAAAATGATCCAGCCCCCCAGATGATATTTCTTGAAGACTTTTCAAAGGCAGCAATCCAACCCAGATATTACCAAAGGACGAATAAGAGTGGCAAGATCAACCTGTCCAAGATCAAAAGCAGCTAGTACATCACAGCTGGTAAAAAGTGCTCTGTGCCACAGACTCCACTGGCATCCGGAACAGAAGCTGGGTCTTGAAGCAGCCATTAGCTCTGAACTTAATCCCAATGGGGGAGTGCAACCCCAACCAGAACACTCCAAATATAATTTACATGATCAGCTAAACCTCCTACTACCAGCGTCTCTGCTTTGTTTCAATTGTGTTTATGAACCCTTTTTCAAGGATGTGAAAGAGGGGAATCAGGCAGTAAGCAGCTTACGTTACAGAGTTCCTAGCATGCTCGCAGAAGATATGCTGCAGTTAAACCACACGCCATCAGGAATTAAGTACTGAAATTTCATGTGCTGTTAAAGCACTAGTATGAGGCAGGGATATCCAGTGCATTATTGGGGGATATGTCACCCTGTAGGTGCCGTGCGTGGTGAGGATGCCAGAACTCTATGTCCTACTCTCTTTTCATAGATGGTAATGAAGTCAGAACCCCTAAAAATAAGAGCTTGATGTGAATATGTCCTTGGGCGTCCTTGAGACACTACATGCAAAACTCACACCGATCTTTTTTGGGGAGGGGGTATCATTTGTAGCAATATTCCCACCAGTCTTTTCTTCTCACAATGCAGGCAATCACTCCCAAAGGAATGGGGTAGGGGAGAGGAGAAAGGTGGTGGCGAACACCACAAGCCACCCATTAACAAGAAGCCTGCTCCAGGCCTCCAGAGGTGAAAGACTAGGCATTAATCCAAAAGCTCATTCTCTCAGCCCAGGCTTTTGTAGGAAATGCAATCCAGGATCTAATTTTCAGTTTCACTTTCTAATGAAAGGAAAATGAATGTCAGCCCAGGGGATTCACAAGGGGGTCCTGAGGGAAAAGGCTAGGTTTGCCACGAAAATTAATCTTCTTTAGGGCAGGTGACCTTTTTAAAGAAGTGGAAGTGAAATCTTAACAAGTTTACCTGCTACTGGAGAATCCAAGATTACGGACCAAAATATCACCTTGGAAGAACAATATTCTCTCAGCACTTGGTACAAAATCAAATAACTTAGGCAGCTTTTCAAAAAGAATTAAGACGCATTCATGGAGCGTAAGGTTATCGATGACTACTAGTCATGACAGCTTTATGTTGTCTCTTGGATCAGAGGATGCACTTGAATGCCAGTCACTGAGGAACATGAACAGGATGGGGCTATTAAGCTCCTGTCCTGCTTGTGGCCTTTCCCATCTGGGCAGCTGTTTTGCTACCGTGAGAATAGGATGCTGGAGTAGATGAGTCTCTGGTTGGATCCAGAAGGGCACTTCTTATGCCATTAACTACCATTTCAAACAGTATCATCTAGAAAACTATAGGATCACAAGAACTCTCGATATGTTATTTAAGAAACAGTGAACAAAATTATTGTTTCCCCCCATTAATATTGCTAAGAAATTAATTTTTGTTTATTCATGTACAGATCACATTTTACAAGAATTGACAGCTATTTGTGGAATAACTTGCTAGGCAGGAATTATAGACCTCTTCAGGCTTTACCTGAACATGGTTAGAATCACCCTTCAGACCTCACCTTTCAATGCAAGAAGATCTAAAGCAGAGCCAGTGCAGAGGGTGAGGGAAGCATTGGGACAGAGATTGCATGTGTGACTCTTCCCACTTTAAGCTCACATGTGTTCACCCTGGCATGCCTGTAGGGGGCATATTACACATAGGGAACGGAAATATTGCTTATGATCACCCAGCATGTTCATATCTGGGGTGGTGTTAAAATCTAAAGAAAAAGCTAGCTTGCTCAGGTAGCGAAGGTGAATCTGAACTAGAGACTTCCCAGGTTCGAATTCATCATTCCACCCCACTAACTCTTGTTAATAGCACAAGATTTCTATATAAAATAAAATAGAGGGTTTGAACTGCAGATACTCCAAAGTCTCCCTGGCCGCTCACCTGCATAACCCAATAGCATCCAAACCAAACCAGTAAGAGCCCATTGCCAATCCCTGTTGGATCAGACTAAATGCCTTTATAGTTAAGCATCCTGTTCTCACAGAGGCCAACTAAATGCATTTGAGAAGTCCACAGGTAGGGTCTGAATGCAACAGTGCTCCCCACCTCTCCTTGTGCTTCCTAGCAAATAGTATTCAGAGGCATATGGCCTCTGATGGTGGTGTTGGTACACAGCCATTACGGCCATGCCACTCACAACTAGGATAGCAGAACTGATTAGCCAGCAGCACTGAGAATGTGAGAGGGAAGATGGAGAAAACAGAGGAGAGGGAGAGAAAGAGAAGACAGGAAGGGGTATGTCAAGCTGTTCAGGGAGGTTCCAAATGAGTTGGAAGAGGCTGCAGCACAACGTTAGAGCATAGATACTGAATGCAAAAGGTCGCAATTTCAGCCTCCAGCATCTCCAAGGAGGGCTAGGAAAGAACACTGCCTGGAACCCTGGGAAGCCACTGTTAATCAGTACAGACAATACTGTGCAATGGACCTCTGGTCTGACCCTGACCATGGGCTTCATGGATTTTTCAATGGGAGCCGATTACGGTCACCTGAAACTTGTTCCTACAAAACGGCAGTGCTCATGGCCCAGCTGCTGCAAACAGTAGGATAACAAGAGCAAGCCCTCCCAGGACTACTGGAAGAGTGAGCAAGATAAGCTTGCAGTATTCCTGCCAATCATTTATTATGAATACACCTGTGTGCCACCCTCTCCTTTCCATTAAGGAGCGTTCAAGATGACTAACTATGTTTCCATTAAAGTGACAAACACAATAGAAAAAACCCAGACTGAAGGGTTTTTCATAAGGAAGGGAGAACACCATTACCAGCCCCACAATGGAACTCCACAGGAGCAGTTATCTCTTAACAATGCTCTGGGCGGGAAAAGGAACATTTATCACCCAGGAAAAGTGTGCATGGCATACTGCAACACTCTTTCACACAAGGAGTAGCATTTAAACACTATGATGATGGTGCTTGTAGGTCCACAAGAGCTGAGGCCTCCTCAGAAAGCCAGGCTCTCCCACAACCTCCCTTGGGTCAGGAAGGATTTGCTGCCTAAAAACCAAAATAAATGGAGATGCAGGAGAGTTAAAAGGCCTAAACTATGTCACATGAAGGCTGAACTGCACACCAGAGTGCATGAACAAAAGACAACAGCACAAAGCGCAAGCTCGCAGGTGCCTGGGTTTTAGTATGAGCTCACGCCCGCTCACACAGACATCTTGCTTAAGCTGCTGTATTTTGAGATTTCCTGTGAGTCACTCTGTGAACAATTCACTGTGGAATATAAATTAAAGCAACAGGAGAACATTCTGGTGACCTAAGGTCAGGGGTGGGTGACTTTAAGCTCAAGGGTCCAATGTGGCCCTCCAGGTCTCCCTATATGGCCCTTGGAGCTTTTGTCAAGCCACACTGCATAACAGGGATGCAATGGAGGCAGAAAGGTTGGCTTTGTTGCCTTGCTTGGGAATATTTGGTAGCTGTGGGTGGTTACTCTTGTCATGAAGGCAAGGAGATACCAAGGAAATTGACTGTTGGATTGGGGGTGGGGAGAAGAGGAGCTCCGAGTAGGACAGAACGTTCCCATCTCTTTCTGACAGTACAATTAAACACAGATTGTTTCAGTGGCCTGGTTCATTCACCACAAAAACCATGATACAATTGGGAATGTGCCACTTGGGTCCCTGCACAACTCCCCGAGTCTGTGTGGTTCCTGTGTAGCTCAAACAAGCCATATTATGACATGCCATCTGGGTCCAAATATTTGTTCTTTGTTTACTTCTGGCTTACTCCTTGTGGTTTGTTTGGAACAAAAGCAAACCATGGTCTGGGTTCAGTCCGGGGACCTGCGCAGTAAGGGAGACGCACATTATCATGATGAGCAAAGAAGGCCGGTAGGAGCATGTCAGAGGCTTCATATACAAGGGACAAGTTCCTGAGCCTTGTGAAACTTAAGCAATTGTGCCAGGTACGTTGTATTCAAAAAATAAAAAACAACAACCCACAGGAACCTCCGGGTATATAAATTCAATAAATAAAATAAATAAATAAATTTAAGGTTTTCCATAATTTCCTATTCCACATGGAGCACTGCCACAGGTAAGTGCTTTCAGCATCTTGTATGCAAGCATGATTGATGTCTGAACAAGCCTATGGAGGTAATAAAGTAAGAAACAGGACAAAAGATGCTAAAATTGGATTTCTGCTTCACTGCTCAGGGCTGTGGGAACTGCTTCCAGGGACAGCACAGGCTCTTTTGAGGAGAAAGCAAGCAGGTTGCTTCTATGAACTGGAGCAGAGAAGCTGTAAGTTAGGGCCTCCAAATATCGTAGAAATTCAGCTCCCAGCATAACCAACAGTAAGGGATGCTGGACGTTGCAGTCTAGCAACATCAGGAGGGCCACAAATCCCCCACTTCTAATCTAAGAATGTACACAGTATAAAGCCCTAAGCAACATAGGGAACCCTAAATTTGTTCCTTTCACGTCTAGTCCACCCACGAGAGATAGCACTTTTCGTTGATGGGGTAGCATTCTGGCTTCTACGGATACTTATTCTCTGCCGTAAAGGAAGAGAAAGGGTTAAAGGGGAATTAGAGTCCCTTAATGGAAGAGAACTGTCCCTGTTTAATTCTGAGGAGAAGGAGAGCTGCAGCTTTAGAGACAGGAGCTAGAAGCCAAGCAGGTAAATTATAGCATCCTTCAGAAGAATCCGCCCAGAAAGCCTGATTCCAAAAATAGCTAATCAGCATTAATTGCCCCATTACGGAAGATGCTAGGGAAATTTCAGTACTCAAGAAATCAACAAGAGATACCACACAAATGGCATTGATTTTTCCAGTCATTTATTTAGAAAAAGAAAAGTAGAAACCAAAACAGCCTAACAGGGATTGAGCACACTCAGTACTATGGAATGCTGACCCACTGCTGGGTGGGGGGCGGGGAGGGCTGAAATCTGGGTCAGAGATGGGAGGGGGAGAGTGGGCTGGGGTGGAATTGGATGGAACGGCTGAGTTCTGAACACCAGCACTCTACACAGCAGTATTATGTTGCAGGATCCACTTATACCAACTCTAAAACGTTCCATTTAGCTCTTGTGACTAATATCTGCAGATATTGCCTATTCTCCACAAATATGTGACTCCTTCTGAAAGCTACTGAAGGCAGTGCTGATCACATGGCAGCAAATTCCATACCTTGTGCATTAATGTGAAGTAGAGGTGGCAAAGGGCACATAGCTCTGTCCTCCAACATGCCACTGCCTGAGGCAGCTGCCTCACTATGCCTTATGGGGGACCTGACGCTGACCCTGGAAAACTGAATTTCATAAAAATTCTGAATATGTCCACAGCATATCCAGAAATTGTATGTACCGGTGTATTTTGCCCCCTTCTTTGTGTCTTTTCAAGGTTTTGGCATACTTAATAATTCATGCCTGCAAAAACTTTACTATTTTACTGCCCAATCTAACTCCAGATGATTTATAAGCAGAATGCAGCAATCCCAAAGGGGATGCAAATGGGTGGGTGTATAATTGTTCACTTCCCACCACTGTGAAGGTAGTCTTCTTACCTTTCTTTGATTCCTGTTTAGACAGTTACCTATTCGTAAGGGGATCTGTAATCTAGCTTTACTAGTGCAATTCACTGAGCGCAGATATCATGCAGAGAGGCCTGCAATTCCCCAGTGTCATTTTTAAGTTTGGTGATACAGTGGTTGCCTAATCTTCAAATAGGGACGTGGGTGGCGCTGTGGGTTAAACCACAGAGCCTAGGACTTGCCGATCAGAAGGTCGGTGGTTCGAATCCCTGCAGCGGTGAGCTCCCGTTGCTTGGTCCCTGCTCCTGCCAACCTAGCAGTTCGAAAGCACGTCAAAGTGCACGTAGATAAATAGGTACTGCTCTGGCGGGAAGGTAAACGGCGTTTCTGTGCACTGCTCTGGTTCGCCAAAAGCGTCTTAGTCCTGCTGGCCACATGACCCTGAAGCTGTACGCCGGCTCCCTCGGCCAGTAAAGCGAGGTGAGCACCGCAACCCCAGAGTCGGCCACGACTGGACCTAATGGTCAGGGGTCCCTTTACCTTTTTTAATCTTCAAATAAGCAGGCTGATTTTCCTGATGTTTCACATTTTTGTTACCAGATGGACCATTACAGGTTTCTTATGATATCAAATCCATTTCTGAACTTTACTCTGGCTGTTCAAAGGCATTATTTAACCACCAGCCTGAATGCCTTTGAAAAGGGATTAAACAAAATTTACGGAGTAACAGACTATCAATGCCTACTAGCCATGATGTCTATGCTCTGCCTCCATGTCTAAATCCCAGTTGCTGGGAATGTCTTGTGGGGAAAACGCTGTTGTAAAATCAGGTCCTGCTTGCTAGCTTCCCATAGGCACCTGGTTGGCCTATGTGAGCACAGGATGCTGGACTAGATGGGCCACTGGCCTGATCCAGAGGTTTTTCTTATGTTATTAGCATTTCATTGAGTTTTTCGGGGAGTGGGGTGGTGGTCGGTGGGTTCATAACAATGCTCAAATACCTGCTCTTTGATACAGTTGTGGTGGTTATTCTATTTCCCATAAAGGCCAAACGCATAGGTACTCTTGAGGAAAAATAGCATTTGCTCTGGGAAACTGGGAGATGCAGGGAGGAGGGTGCACACTCCCTTTCCCAAGTCAGGGGTGCATCAATCAAGATTTCAAACTGTCAAGACATGAACATGAGGCCATTATCTTGAATGCTGGAACTGTGTCACCTTCTGAATGGACAATGATTAGTATTTCCTTCCCTTATTTCCTCTTCCAGTCAGCAGAGCAATTTAGTACCCCTGATGGATCAATACCATTCAATAGACAAGACCACCACATGACATGTGCAAGTCAGTCTCTGCCGCCTCCTTTCTACTTCCCCAAACATATCATTCCTTTGACATCCTCAAAGACAGCCTCTGAAAAGCAGAGACAATCCATTAACCTGAGGTCACTGAAGCCTGGAGTTAACACAACCATTTCATGGGAGGGAAGAGGAATTATGTGCCTACACAATTCTGAACCGGACAGCTCAGTGCACAACTATCTGCTTGAAATGTGTGAACTTTGGCTTTCATTTTGAAACAAATATGTTTCTAGACTGTATGGCTTTAAGGTTTTCACATGTTAACACAGCTCCTGGTGACACGTGGAAATGAAGGACACAGCAAACAGACCAGGGCTTTAGTAATATTAATTTCTTGCAATGTACATACACATTTAGTTACAGCTTTCCAGCTCATGTTCTGATATGACCATCACCACTAAAAGAGGTGCTTTACTCACACTGTGTAGACAATCAAAGCACTTTTAAAGTAGCTGTAGTGCAGATAACACAGTCAAGAGAAGGAATTTTGGTTTACAGTCCCTAATGCATAATACTTTGGTGTTCCAATATTAGCACAAGACAAGCTTGTTGCAATTCAGCACTGGAGGCCTCACAATTACTTGGGGTGACTCAACTCATCCTGCAAGATATAAAAAAAATTCATGGTGTTGTTCCGTTGAAACCTCGGGGGTGGGGCATAGTGGCATCTCTTGATCTTCCATTAAACTATGGATTTCCCATACTTAAAGGAGTGAAAGTCATGCTCCACACTGGGAGGCGTGGGAGGGGGGGGGGGAAATCTAAATGCTACAAGAGACAGAGCTGGCAACCTGGAACCCTCAGTTCAAATCAAACTCATGTGGTAGCCTTAGGCAAATCACACTTTCCGCCTCAATCCCAGAGTTGCAACATACAAATAATGCTGAACCTTACACAGGATTGTGCTAAGGCAGGAATGAAGTATCTGTGGCTTTCCAGAAGCTGCTGGGCGACAACTCAACCTCTGGCCATGCCGGCTGGGGCTGATAGCAGCTGTAGTCCAACAACATCTGGAGGTTCCCTAAAGGTAAAGGGACCCCTGACCATTAGGTCCAGTCGTGGCCGACTCTGGGGTTGTGGCGCTCATCTCGCTTTATTGGCCGAGGGAGCCGGTGTACAGCTTTCCGGGTCATGTGGCCAGCATGACTAAGCCGCTTCTGGCGAACCAGAGCAGCGCATGGAAACGCCATTTACCTTCCCGCCAGAGTGGTACCTATTTATGTACTTGCACTTTGATGTGCTTTCGAACTGCTAGGTTGGCAGGAGCAGGGACAGAGCAATGGGAGCTCACCCCGTCGTGGGGATTCGAACCGCCGACCTTCTGATCGGCATGTGGTTCAACCCACAGCGCCCCCTACTCCCCGTCTAATGATTACTGAGGTAATGCATGTAAGTTAATATGCTGTGTAAATGCAAATTATTAAGCATAGTGAGTTGGTGGTACATCTGAAAAATCTCACCTGCTTTCCCTTTCCCTTCTAGGACTAGATCTTCACTTTTTACAGGAGTTCTAATATGCATTTTACAAGTTAAGCACATGATATTCAGTAGAGGTGACCAGGAATCAACAGATTTCATTAGAAACCAGAAGGTCTACTTAAGATTGCATAACCTTCATTAACAACAGTTTGTGCAGTTCTGGGAATTGCTCCCCGCCCCCAAGTCTGCCGCTCTACAAAATGGACTTTCAAAGACGTTTGTTATTATAGAAGGATTTTGATACCTTTTGTTCCCTCCCAGCTCTGACATGTTTTCATTGGCTTGCCATTATTAATTTCATGCCTTGCATCTGTTCAGATGAGCCCTCTTGCCTCTAACTCCCAAGGCTATGTCATTTACCATTTACCATATAACTTCCCAAACAAATGACAAGGTGCCTATCCTTAAAAATGACCTGTCACCCAAAATAAGCACAAATGCCAAAGCAAACAGACAACATAAAATTATCAGTCCCTAAGAGGGGAGGCCATTGGAAGGCCTGCAGAAGAGCAGAATAACAGTAGAAATAAATGGGGGCAGGGGTGATGACCAAACAGAAGCCACGAAGTGGCAACAGGGAAAATCCTACCGATATGGGTAACAAGAAGAAGGCATTCAAACAAGAAGGTGTCCTTCAAGGTTGCAATATTATCAGTGACCCACAGCAACTAGAGACAAACATTTTCCGCCATATCTATTTATATGCCTTTTGCATGGTACATCAATTTCCAATTGTAGGTCATGGTTGCATTTGTAAGAACTCTATCGCTTAGTGTGGCAGCAGCTGCACTTTGGAACTCCCTGCTTATCTGAGATCAAGCAAGCGCCTTAACTGTATTTTTTGGCACCTGCTTAAAACATTCTTGTTTTGACGAGTCTACCCAGATGCTTAGAAAGTTGAGGTAATTTTAATCTGTTTTAGTATTTCAACTTTTGGGTGCCTTATAGTATGGCTGTGAATTCTTATCAATTTAAGTGTTTTGTCTTTTGGTAAACCGCGTTGAGGTTTGTTTGTTTTTTTCCAATCAAGCGGTGCATAACTTTTAGGAAATAAATAAATTAATAAAATGGTAAAACCTATGGTGGTTCCTATCAGTGGCACCACTTCCACTCCTATGATATTAGAATCTGGGGTAATTCAGTGAAGCTGAATGGTTGGTTGGTCAGTCAGTCAGACGGACAAAAGATAGTACTTCTTCTCATGGTATATAGTTTTATGGAATTCACCATGATATGAGGAGATGGAAAATATGAATGGTTTGAAAAGGGAACTAGATAGATTCATGGAGAATGTGTCAGGAGTTTGTCCTACACTTGAGTAGGACACTGGTAGAGACACATGCCCGACTGGCATGTTCTCTCCCTCCTGGTCGTTCGTTCGGGAGCTTCAAAAGCTTTCTTCAGCCCGAACATCACAGCAACCAATGGCAACCGACACCAGCACATTTAGGGATCTGCAGAGTTTGCACATCTTGCGTGACAGACCTCAGCGACTCAGCATTTTGGCTAAATTTTACTCCATATATACCAAGCTCCCTTTCATGCAAAAAGGTACCTGACTTGGCAGACTCTGATCGCAAGAGGATTATGAAAGAGGCAGAGTGCATAAGCAACAGATTCCCTGCCAACAATATGAGAAACGGAGTGAAATGGTTTTTCCAAAATGCCACAACCATAATACCAACCAACCCTTCTTCCAGCATCAAGCCCCTTAGCTGTGCACAGAATATGCTTGAAGAAAAGTGTGGTTATGACAGCAGAGCATTTTAAGCCACTCTGAAAAGTAACATCCTGTCTCCGTCACTTCCCACTCTGTGGAGTCAAAACATACACCATCATGTGAAAGACAACAATCCCATGACTGCAATCATGGAGCAGGAATTCCAACAGAATGTGTCTTTCAATGGCTACTGGGCATGATGGCTGGATTCCATCTTCAGGATCAAAGGCATTATCCCTTTGAATACCAGTCGCTGAGGATCAGCAGTAGGAGAAAGACTATTGTCCCCCTGTCCTGCTTGCTGGTTTCTAATCTGTGGGGGGAAAGGATACTGGACTAGGCCTTTGGTCCAACAGGGTTCTTATGTGGGAGAGGAGAAAGAATGTTGTATGTGTACACCATTAAATCATACTGGCTTCATACAAAGATGAATTGTCATGGATTCCTCTAGCCCAAATCCTGAGAACTGCGGCTTAGTGTGGGCACCAAGAGTTCTGTTCTTTACCCCTCCCCCCAACTCTCACATGCAGTTCCAAGGTTTCTTTAAAGGAAAGAGATGATGGTGAAACAAGTGTATGTTGCCAGTGTACATTTGCCCTGAGAGGCAGAGAGAGAAGGGGAAAACAAAATGGAGACAAGTTCTAGGAAATTAAGTACAGTGGTAGCTTGGTTCTCAAACGCCTTGGTACTAAAACAACTTGGAACCCAAACACTACAAACCCGGAAGTAAGTGTTCCGGTTTGTGAACATTTTTCAGAAGCCGAATGTGCTCCGTTTTGAGTCTTACGCTTCTGATTTGAGTGCCACAGTTCTGTTTTGAACGTTATGCTGTTTTTGCTATTTACTTTGCGTTTTGGTAGCTCTTTCTTTTTTGTTTTTGCGACTGTGTGGAACCCAGTTAAGCTACTGATTGATTGTGTGACTGCAGCACATTGTTTATTGCTTTCATTTTATGGATCAATGGTCTTGCTTGAAAGTAAAATTCATGTTAAATTGCTGTTTTAGGGGTTGTTTTTAAAAGTCTGGAATGGATTAATCTGTTTTGCATTACCTTCTATGGGAAAGCACGCCTTGGTTTTGGAACGGACTTCCGGAACGGATTAAGTTTGAGAACCAAGGTGCCACTGTATGTGCAACTGCCATAGCCAAGTACCCAAACCACAGAGCTCCTTCAATATATGCCCAGATGCATAAAACCTACCTAGCTTCACTTGTAGGGGGGATGGTTTGTAATTCATAGCTACAGTTTCTCCCTCTCTCGTGTCACAGTCTCTGTCAGATATAGAGGCTGCTGTTGGATCCTGTTGGAAGAAAAGGAAAACCATCAGCTATGTTTGAACAAGGGAAGATATCACATCATTAATGCTTTGTACCTTCTAAATTAGAGCTGGGATAGCATATTGGTTTTTGCGTTTGGCGAGGCAGGAAAAGCATACTTGATTTATATTCAATAGGTTAGAGTCCAGATACTTTAAGTTCACTTTGAATTAAGGTTGCTATCTTTTAAAAATGTTGGCCTGTAGACTTCTATGATGGATCATCCAGGAGGCTGCAAACAGAATACTGGGAGTGGGGGCAGTTACATCTCAAGGTCACTAGATCAAATACACTCCACGCTGGTCATGTCCGAAACCCATTAAGCTGTGAAAGGTGGTAAACAGCCTGTACAAAATATTTTGGTTGATTCACCTTGATTCCTAGAAGATGTCAACACTTCACATAGAGTTGGCCCCAACGGACTGACATTACTGTTATGTCAAGGAGATGATGATTTAGTAACTAATTACTATTATTCTTCTACCTGCTCTTCATCTATACCTATGAAAACGACAGTATACCAAAAACAACAAAGCATATTCACCAAACATATGGAGACAGATAAAAGAATCAACGCAGACTAATTCCATCTTAAAACTTTAAAATGCTTGCGCATATAAATAGGTTTTGCCTGGGCACAATCCACCAAGAAGCTCTTCTATGTAGAACCCACAGAAACGAAGGGCACTGGATCTTGTGAGGTTCCCGATTATAATCACCAAAGACAGAATTTTCACTTCCTAACCCTTTGTTTGAGGCTTGTTTAGGTGCTTTTCTTATTGCTCTAAAGTTCTTTTCAAGAAAAAAAGACTGAAGACTCTTTCCTCCATGCAATCTGCACAATATCCATGAGACACTGCATTCTAGGATATATTATTCCATGGAATCCCCTAACACATGCTACCGAGAAACAGAATTCCACTGCTGATTCAAAATGTTCTAAAATGCATTCAGTGCCAACTTCAAAGCTATGAATGATCTTAATTCTTTTAAAAACATCTGAAAGAGTAAGCTGCTGCCCTGAAGCTCATGTCACAATAGGCCTGTCAGTTCCTAAGGAGCTGGAACACTTTTTATCTTTTCTTGCTACCAACAAACCATGGCTACTCTTCAGGAATTAAGCTGAGGTCCGAAATTAGAGCAGACTGACAAAACCTATTCATTTCCCCCCACCAGAAACTAAACAGACAATCTTGTGTGTAGATGCATGATTTGTGGATTACAAATTCAAGGAATATTGCCAACGGAAGCACCACTCTTGACCTCAACGTGGAGGAAAATTAGAATATGTCTTTTAGTAAGGGTGGCAACATTCAATCTCACCCCCCATTTTACTCCATATATACCAAGCTCCCTTTCATGCAAAAAGGTACCTGACTTGGAAAACTCTGATTGCAAGAGGATTATGAAAGAGGGAGAGTGCATAAGCAACAGATTCCCTGCCAACAATACGTATGAGAAATGGAGTGAAATGGTTTTTCCAGAATGCCACAACCATAACACCAACCAACCCTTCTTCCAGCATCAAGCCCCTGAGCTGTGCACAGAATATGCTTGACGAAAAGTATGATTATGACAGTAGAGCATTTTAAGCCACTCTGAAAAGCAACAGGACTACTCCAACACGCCTAACATTATTGGTACTTTAGCTTAGATTGTGTTCTGCAATTGTTGCTCTTCATCGCATGCAGTTTTCTCACGTGCATTGTTCCCTTTTGTACGATTAAAGCAACACAGCCTCTTAATAGCTGGTAACTTGCCAGTTCTGCCTTTAAAAAGGGGGGGGGCAGTCTTCACCAGCCAGGTGCCCTCCAAGTTTTGGATTGCAGCTCACATCAGCCACAGCCTGCGCAGGCTGCACTAAGGCTACATGTTTAACAAAAACTGTATTTTCATTCACTTTTGACTTTTTGCGAGTAATCACAAATGCTTCTCCTCCCAACTGCATGAAATATTTTTATTTCTGCATCTCTTCTGCCAGACTTGGCTAGACATTACAGTGGTACCTCGGGTTACATATGCTTCAGGTTACAGACTTCGCTAACCCAGAAATAGTACTTCAGGTTAAGAACTTTGCTTCAGGATAAGAACAGTTATCGTGTTCTGGCGGCACGGCAGCAGCAGGAGGCCCCATAAGCTAAAACGGTGCTTCAGGTTAAGAACAATTTCAGGTTAAGTACGGACCTCCAGAACAAATTAAGTACTTAATCCAAGATACCACTGTACTTCCCTAACCCCTGTAGCCCATCTCTGCTGCCAGAACCAGACACCAACTGATGCAACAGCTTTTAACTCCTTTGTTTTCAGGAGTCTGTGGATGCTCTTCTGCTCCGATGACACTTCACTTGACCTGTGGGGTATGAACCACACAGGGGCAAAACAAGTGGAGACTTCATGTTTTTGTTACTTCCGCAGTGCTTAGCAAGAATGGACTGAAAACTCCAAGTGCAGCCCTATTAATTTTCCAAGCCACACACCCAGCTTTATTTATTTTCTGCCGACTGCCACTTCTCCAAGCTCCAGTAACTGCTCAGAAGTGGCTCTGAAAGAATTCCAGTCACTGTGGTCCCTCTTAAACTGCGTTCAAGAGATGTCTATGGCTGCTGGTTTCCTGTTCTAGTAAATTTTGGGCTTGGCCCCAGAAAACAAAAATATTTCAAGCCCCCCCCCCCCCAATTCCAGTGCAAGTTACCAAAAGCAGCTAGGAAAAGACAAAGCGGTGGAGGACAGGCATGTTTAGCCTCAGAACGTATCATCGCAAGTGGCCACAAAGCAGCTCTTTGGGGGCAGAAGGAACCCTTTCATCAACACACAGTCAATGCTGGGAACAGAAGCAAACAGCAGTGACAGCATCTTCTGTCTGCTCCTTTCTGCAGGGAAAATAAGGAACAACAACTGCCAGTGACTCAACCGACATGCACTCTGGCGGGTGGAAGATGCAGCATTTCAGCAAGATGCCTCCCAGCCCATCCAGTACGTCTCAGCCTTGACATACCGTGGAAGGAATCACTTGGGAGGCACTACATGTGCTGTTGTACTGTCTAAAGCACGCATGTCTACGCTCGTGTCTGCAAGTGTGTCATCCTGGGGGCTGAGAGAGAGAAGCATCCACTCTTCCGTAAGGGGACAAATCTACTCTGTGCAATCCAAGCTCTTGACCCAGCCAGGATCACAGTACAATGTCAGGGAATTTGAATGTTGCAAGCACCTGAAATGGTCACACAAGGCTTTCTGAAAAGAACGTAAGGATCAGGCCAGTGGTCCATTAGTCCAGCACCTGGTTCTCACAGTGGCACCAGATGCCTATGGGAAACCCGAAAGCAGGATTCAAGCACAAGAGCACTCTTTCTGCCTGTGGTTTCGAAACTGGTATTGAGACGCATTGCTGACTCCGACTGTGGAGGCAGAGAACAGCCACCTTGGCTAGTAGCCATTGATAGCCCTCTTCTCCATGAATTTGCCTAATCCTGTTTTAAAGCCATCCAGGTTAGTGGCCATCACTGCCTCCTCTAGCAGGGAGTTCCATAGTTTAACTATGTGCTGTGTGGATAAGGGCTTCCTTTTCTCTGTCCTGAATCTTCCAACATTCGGTTTCCTTGGCTGTCCACAAGTTCCAGTGCTATGAGGGAGCAAAGCTGTTCTCTAGCCACTTTCTTCATGTGCTGCATAATTTTATAAACTTCTATCATGTCACCTCTTATCTTTTCTCCAAACTAAAATGTTCCACATGCTGCAATCTTTCTTCATAGGTGAGTTGCTCCACCCCCTTGATCATTTTTGATGCACTTTCCCGAATCTTTCTAATTATACAAATGACCAAAACTATACACCAGTATTCCAAATGTGAACACAATTATTATACAGTGAAACCTCTACTTACGCACATAATTAGTTCCGGAGGTCCGTCCATAAGTCGATCTGGGTCGCTGGTAGAAGCGCCGTTGTGCGCAGGCGCATTCGGCAGCAACACACCTCTGTATATGTGTAGGCGGCGGCAGCCGCTTCTGCGCATGTGCAAACCGCCGAAGCCGCTTCTGTGCATGCGCGAATCGCAGCAAACCTGGTATTTACTTCTGGGTTTGTTGCGGTTGCAACTTGGATCAGGCCCAAGTAGAGGAGGTTGTAAGTAGAGGTTCTACTGCATTGTCAGTTTTATTTTCCATTCCTTTCATAATGAGCCTTAGAATGGAATTCTCCTTATTCCTTCCATACACTTCCTGGAGCTATCCACTATGACCCCAGTGTTCTGCTTGTGAAATTATTTCACTGGATTCAACCCTAAATATTTATGGAGTACGAGCAACCCAAAATGTGCTCCAATTTTGGGGTGAGTTCCAATCCTAATGTTCCATTCTAGGGAATGAGACGCATTGTGCACAATGGAATACTTCTGTGAAAACCCATTCTGTTGTTTTCTGCCTGCATGAGTTCCCTCATAAATAATAAGGGGGTGCTTGTGCCCTTTCCATGGCATAAATCAGGTCATTAATACTGCAGATTGAGGAAACACCCAAGCCCTTGCCTTTGTTGCCTGTAGCTTTCCGAAAGCAGACCAAGAAGGGTAGTGGGTAGCAAGAAATAAACTACTGAAAGCCAGCCATTGAAGACTCTGCCATAAAACCTTTAGTTATTTTTCTTTTTAAAAAAGAAATAATTTAAACAGCAGACAATTTCTTTCCTCTTTAAGCTTTACAGGCAAGACCTTCATGAACTAAACCAATGGGTCTGAACAGCATATTCTGGCAAGGAAGAAGACCCTCTACTATTAGAAGAAATTGTCGCTACAACACCTGGTACCTATGAAGCACACAGATAAAGATAAGAAAAGATAAAGGTTCAGTTCAGCGGATTCTTTAAACTGTGGTTTGAATGATCCAGAACAAGCAGAGGCAAGTCTCTGGCTCATGCATACTCCTTTCCCCTTCTTCCAGGGAACCAAGGGGAGAAGACTAGAAATTTTGACTTCTACCTGACTTCCAGTTCTAGTCATGTTATCTCAAAAGGATACTGGAGTGTTGGGAAAGGGGTATGAAAGGGCAAACAAAAAGATAAAACATTTGCGACTTTCCACTTTAGGAAAAAAGTGAACAAGGGAGATATGACAGAGAATGCATGGTGCAGAAAACATAGATAGCTACAAATTATCTTCACTTACTCATGATACTAGGATCTGGGGTCCCAAGCAGGGATGACTAATCTTTTTTTCTTTGCCCAAGTGACACATTCACCCTTGGGCAACCCACCAGGAGTCACATGACAATGGTGGGTTTGGCTAAAAGGTTGTGTGGCCATCCCACACACTCTTGTGCTCACACACAGTATGTACCAGGGTTTAGTTCCTTGAAGTAAACTCATGATACTCCTCTGAAATTTATAGAGCATTACAATTCAGCTTCCAGATGCTGTGGGGAGTTGGGAAAATGACTAAACAGAAGCACATAAAGGTCCAAACGCTAGTTCCAGTGATTTGGGAGGAAGATCCAAAGAAAGAATGCAGAAGTTCTGTAACACAGCCAGTTCAGTCCTTCAGAATTCACAACCTATTCCATGGTTCCTGCAGCAGAACTGCGACTGCAACACAGAAACCGCTGTGCTCAAAGAAAGCAAGTTTCAGGATAGCAGGATTTAACTAGCCCCTGTACTATGCTTTACAGTACTAAAAGCACATTATTTCCCCAAAACTTATGTTTCTCGTAAGAGTATGGAGTGCAAACTCATTTTGTTTGCAGGTCATTCTAGAGCAGCAGCATTAAAAATGGCTTGTGACTTTATTCTTCTTCTCTATACCGCCCTGAGGGTCCCAGTGGGGCTACTGAGGCAGGCTTAACTCCAGTTTTAGTTGTCTGAGTATGCTTAGTTGTCTGTTTCATTAGGACTACTGTGAATTTTTGTTCGTTTGTGGTTGTAGATTTTCATTATGTATTTTATTCTGAAACCTTGTAAGCTGACCGGGGAGCATGTTTGAAAGACAGGGTAAAAATGCAGAAACCAAAACCAACAAAATTTAAGCAGTTGTGCTCCAATAAGCTGGAACGCCATCATTGGTTATAATTTTGTGCTGAGCACCCACGATTATGCATAAAAGAATGAATCCAATAAAACCAGAGGAGCAGGGAGAGAAGTATTTGTGAAATATAACTCCCTTCTGGTTGCCAAGTAGGAAAACCATTATGCCCAATGGGGTAAATCTTAAAATCCTTTACTTTCCTTTCGGTGCTCATAAATTTCTATTAGACCAAAAACTTGGTTACTGATCAAACAAGCCTGCATTACTGGAACAGGTAGGGAAACAAATTCCCTTTCAGTGAATAATTGGGTTGTGTTTCTTAAACCCTGTGCTTTCCTAATTCTCCATTTCCCAGACTCACTCTTGTAAATGGTCTGTGTATTGCTGTACCTTATTCAGAGATATAGGTTTTGAGTAACAATGGAATACAAGGCACCTCATGCTTTACAACCAGGGCTTTTTTCCAGCCGGAACTCAGTTCTGGCACCTCTTTTTTGAGAAAAATGAGCACTGGCTATAACTATGTCATTTACTGTTGGGTGTTGGAAGTGTGGAGATATAAATAATAAAATTATTATTTAAATTATTATTAAGGACATCTAGTTTCATTATCTACCCTGGCAGGATACCCTACGATCGTTCAACAGAGAAAGAACTCCACAAGTTTGTTAGTGCGCATTTGTGGTAGGAGCGAAACCAGATGGACATGTTTTTTCTTGGGGAGCTGAGGAGCAGAGCAGCAGAACTTGAAGAGAAGGCAGAGGCCACCTGCTGTGCCCAAGGAGAGCAGAGCCTGCGTGAAAACTTCAGTAGTAGCTAATCAAAGCCAAGAGAGCCCCCTAAGAAGCACAGCAGTGTCTCGCTTTCAGAAGAGGAAAAATGGGAGACGCGTCAGAGAGCAAATGCAGAGTGGCTAAAAGGTTAGGTGAAGGAAGGTGCAGCTTGTTCCTGAAAGCCTCTATTTTATTGCTGTGCAGCAGAATGAGTCCAATGCAAAGAGGCTGGCTGTATACACACAGGATAGAAACTTAGCTGGTAAGGGTACAAGTACCCAGACACCAGAAGGAAACCCACACTTCAATAAAAATATTTTTGATACGCTCTAGGTGTATGCTTTTGGTCCCCAATGTGAACAGATACACAAGTATGGATAGCTTCTGATATAATGTCTAGGTCAACACCCACTCACCTGGGAAGTATTCATTTTACATTTTCTCCTCCCAGCTTCCAGCTAGCCTTTGGAGGTGGAGGTAGAAGGTAGGTTGGGATTTACTGGTGTGTCTGGATGATTTACAGCAGATCAATAATTTCTGACTCTCAAATGTTTAATAACAGGAATAACAAAATGACTCCATCTGCCTTAATTGTACTGTTGAAATGCGGGAAGCTTGGGGTAACTAGGAAGGGATTCTTGTGTGCCTTTGGGATTTAAAGCAAATTTCTGGGCTCAGAATTATTTAATCCAAAATGTATTTCTTTCATACCAAATAATGGCTACTAAGGTCCTAGAAAAAACACACAAACGACATCCCTCAAGCCTCAGGTCCGCCCTCCTCTGCTTTAGAAAATGCAATGGGTCAGGGCCAAATCAGCCATAATGATAGGAATATTACTATTGTCGCAACTTTGGCTTTTTAATTGTTATTAGCAATTAAACAGGAACATTTTTAATTAGCACCTTGGTGCAAGTGGAGGGTTTAAAACTCTTTTTTTCTGCTCTTTTGTTTTTTTTTAAACAAAAACCAAAACATGATCCTGACCTGTACCTGCTATAAGCCCCAGGAGAAAAGCTTCCATGGAGGCAACTTGTTGGGATTGCAGTAGGGGAGAAAAAAGCTAACCCTCCCCTTCTGGTGAAAATCAGGGCCCCTGCCTCTACCATTAGCAATTTAAAAAGAAAGAAAGATGCAACATGAAGTGACATATTAGTTTTGGCCCTCAGTGGTTAACAGCATGTGATTTACATGCAGACTGTCTGAGGTTCAAGGTCAAGCTAGATGCAATGTTAACTGCATTACTGTAATGAATTTATCTAGTTTTAGAATTTTAAACATGGCCTCATGGGATTTGTGTGTGATCAGCACTGGGGTCACAGAATTCCTTTAATGGGAGATGCTTGGGACTGAGAGCTAAACTAGACATAATTTTCATTTCAGGACTGCAATTAGCATATCAGATGTGTGCTTATTTATTTATTTATTAACCCCATGGTGGTGGTGGGGAGACTTCCTAGCAGAGCTGAAATCATGGTTGAGGATAACTATTTTCTCCATACTGCAATGGCAGTGAAAATCACCCTATCGCAATAAAACTCAGCTGGAGTGAGGTGGGAGAACCCTCAATTTCTGCCAATAGAACATTCCTTCCCAGGGCATACAGAACATTTTGGGAAGGGGTTATTGGGTTGGGGGATGCGGGTGGCGCTGTGGGTTAAACCACAGAGGCTAGGACTTGCCGATCAGAAGGTCGGCAGTTCGAATCCCCACGATGGGGTGAGCTCCCATTGCTCGGTCCCTGCTCCTGCCAACCTAGCAGTTCGAAAGCACGTCAAAATGCAAGTAGATAAATAAGTACCCCTCTGGCAGGAAGGTAAACGGCATTTCCGTGCGCTGCTCTGGTTCGCCAGAAGCGGCTTAGTCATGCTGGCCACATGACCCGGAAGCTGTATGCTGGCTCCCTCGGCCAATAAAGCAAGGTGAGCACCACAACCCCCAAGTCGGCCATGACTGGACCTAATGGTCAGGAGGTCCCTTTACTTTTACCTTTATGGGGGGGGGGGAGGTAAATCCACATTGTTCTCTACTCTGCTCAGCTTACCCTGTGGGCTGCTACTTAAAATAAATAAATGCAGAAATGCTAAATGCAATCATGCAATAAACATGCTATCAAGTTTGGTCCTTAGTCACAAACATCTCCAGTTAAAAGGAACCCTACTTACTTGAGCCGAGCAAATAGCCCTGCCTGAGAACTTGAAGAGTCACTGCCGGAATAAGCAACATTGGCCAAGATGGACCAAAGGCTCACTATAATGCAGCCCCAGAGGTACTTCTGCAGCCCAATTCATTACATTTCCAAGTTAAGGCCACAGTCAGTGCTAAGGTTGAACAGCATTAGATCTTACTCAACAGGAAGCTCCAAAGTACTCTTGCACATATCTCATACCAGGAACTCCTAATGCAAAACTGGCAGACACTATTTTCCTGTTTAGGCAAACAATTTAAACTGGTTTCGAGTGACAGATTAATATAGCCCTATGCTTTCAGCTCAGCCTCCGTTGCTGCACCTGCTTCTTGCAACAACTGCCTGCAAAATACTGTCTGCAAAATAATTCCGATGTGTGAGCTCCTGCTTGTGTGTAGGGCCTCTTTGCAAGCAGGACACCTGCTTGTGATTTCACCAACAACAACGCTATGGGAAATATTCCAAGAAAGAGGGAGGTGAGGTGAGTGAAGAAGGCATCAGCAGCCTGCTCCAGTAGCACTCTCCTCCACCCCAAGATCATTTTACCATCAACAGCCCTGTGGAAAGGATTATGATATTTTATAGGTTGAAATTGTTTATCGTGGTTTTAAAAACATGTACTTTAGTGTTACTTGTAAGGATTTGTATCCTGAAAGCTGAGATACAAATAGTTGTAACAAAAATAAAGGGGGGGGCATACTGCAAACAATGTACTTTACGTTATTGCTTGCCTCAAGGCTTCACAATTCTTCAATAAATATTCCAGTGCAGGTGATTATATAGAAATGTCACTCTAACCTCTCATAAACAAGTGTTGTTTCCAGCAGTCACAACTGAGCAACTTAACAGTGCAGACTGTTCACTGAACACTCAAACCAAAAAAGGCTTCAGTTTAGTCTCCGATTGCATGGGGGAGACTAAACTCCATACTACAGAGGAGTGCTGAAACACCTTAGAATTTGTTTGTCTTTAAAGTTCCATTTTACGGGCTACAGTCAGGGATCTTTTCATTGCCGCAAGATGTAGCCGCAAAGTTAGATGTCTTTAAAAGGGGATTATGGACAATAAGGCTATCAAATGGCTACTGGTCGTGGTGGCTATAGGCTACCTCCGGGATCAGAGGCAACATGCCAAGATGGGCTTTTCCTTCATGTCTTGCTTTTGGGCTTCTGCCTGGACACTGTAGGAAAAGACAATGGAATAGAGAGGCCTTTGGTGGTATCCAGCAAAGCTCTTTTTATGCTCTACGGCAGGCTTCCTCAACCTCGGCCCTCCAGATGTTTTTGGCCTACAACTCCCATGATCCCTAGCTAGCAGGACCAGTGGTCAGGGATGATGGGAATTGTAGTCTCAAAAACATCTGGAGGGCCGAGGTTGAGGAAGCCTGCTCTATGGGGTGTGCTGCAATTCTGGCGGGTAAAGAAAATCTTCAGCATTATTGAATGCAGAGCCCAGCGAAGTTAGAGAGTTTCCAACACTGTATTTTGTTGGAACTTCTTGGAAGTTTGCCTCATCCCATTTTTACAGGTTTTACTGGAAGATGAGTTGTCTCACAAGCAGCAACTGATTATTATTATTTTAATAACTGTTGATCTGTTTCAACTTGTGTTTTTGTTTTGTTTTTTACTGTTGTACTGAGAAGGGGAACAATGCCTGTTGACCTCCAAGAGGCCAGAGAAGTTGCAAAGCAAGTTTCAGTTGGATAAATATAGCTGCATTAGGAACACATCTTGGAATCTGCAGAAAGGCTTGTAGGAATCTGACTTGAACATCATTTGACTCAACTGACACTCTCCAGATAATGGCTTCATAAAGAAATTGGAAAATTATTCTAGTATTAAAAACTCAACACAATTCTATGCATGTTTATTTTGAAGTGCGAACTGCGTCAGACTGCAAACTGTTAGGAGAATGTTAGTTGTTGAAAATAACTATGCCTTTGTGGACAGCGGAAGAACAGGATCCTTTTATAGATAGATAAGGAATTATAGCTTAGCCACGTATGACCTGCTACCTATGACGAGTTGCAAAATTAACAAACTTCTCATGCCTACAGAAACCTGGAAAGTTTAACCTGATGGGGAATATTTCCAGAAATTAAGGGACACGTGAAATGAGAAATCTCCTTCTTAGAGATCCTATGTTTTCATTCCACTAATGGAGGCTCCTATATTTATCCTGAAATAGCTACCGGGGTAAGAAAATAGAAGGAGCCGCAAAGCAGCTCCAAGTGGCAATCTGTAGAATGTAATTGGATGAACATTTCTTTCAAAATAACCAAAAGCTACTAACTTTCTTTTCTGGGAGTTCAGCAGCAAACACATCAGTAATGTCATGAACCTGCCTGTTCAGGCAGGGAGGACAAAGCTACGTAGAACAGAAAATTACCACTGTAGCTTTCCATTTAACACCAATGGTGGCAGAGATGGTTGCGACATGTTACATACACCTGTGAAGGAAACTGTGTTCCATTCCAAAATACATAGTACTTTTTAGATATAGCAGAGGTTGGTGAGGTTTTTTTGACACGTATAAAATCTTCCAATAATCCACGTGTGATAGAGCAAGTTGTCCAGGTATTTCAGCCTCACACCTTTAATACAGACCTGAATTAGTTCTCTTTTCCGATTTCCCTTGAGTGTTGCATTTTTACTAACAGCTCTCATTGGTAGATGACTAAATATGCTTAAAATATTAAGCCAATCAGCTGCCAGGAAAGCCTGCGATACGAGAACCTAAGAAGAGCTTGCTGGATCAGGTCAATAGCCCATCTAGTCCAGCATCCTGTTCAGTGGCCAACCAGCCTGCCTTCTATCTGTCATGAATCTTCCAACATTCCGCCTCATTGGGATGTCCACAAGTCCTAGTGTTATGAGAGAGGAAGAAAACTTCCCTATCCACTTTCTCCATGCCAAGCATCATTTCATAATTTTTTATCACGTCATCATCTCTTAATCACCTTTTCTCTAAACAAAAAACCCTTCACAATCCTCCAACCTTTCTTCACAGGCAAGTCACTCAATTCCTCTGATCTTGTTTTCATTTTTCTGAACGTTTTCCAATTCTAAAATATCCCTTTTGAGTTATGATCAGAATTACAGTAGTTTCTTTTCCTCAGTGCATCACATAATTACCACTATTTCTCTCCTCCCCACTACATACCCCCTGGGCTTGTCTATAACAATAACAACAATTTACTATGAATTTCTGTTTGGAGAGTAGACTGGAGGATATTCTGTTAATAGGTGGACTCCAATCCAGTGGGAGGAATCATCCTATTAACTGAATACCCTTCAGTCCACTTTGGCAAACGTGATTTTGCCTTCAACTGTTTCTGGCTTCTCTGGCTTTGCAGCCCAGTTATCATCCAACGTTACGTTATGCCTGTGAAAACATTGTGGAGCTAAGAAGGAGTTTTAAAGCTCTCAGTCGTGCTGTTGAAAGGTTGAAGTGTACTTGGGTCTTTTCTACTAATACTGAAAAACAAAATATACAGAAAGTTAGATGTGCATTTTACTGCTACAGCTGGAATCACCAGCCCGTTTGACTCTTCCTTTTCCTGTGTGATTCCACACTTTTAGACTGGGCACATGCTAATACACCATCAGCCTTAAGCCTAGTTTTGCATCACTGTGGTTGAAAAGACAAAGAACAAATTATGTAAGTCTTGGCTCTGTCCCTTACATATAAGAAAATTTATTCTAAGTGGATTTTGATTCCCAGATTGCAGTCTGAGATGTCTGCAGATTGACAGTGGCAGTGCCTTTATTCTGGTCTATATGGTAAAGCAGGATGGTCAAGAAAATCAGCTGGTTTTGGCTTCAGATGTCATGTCCTGAAGTAAGCCAGGTTGATGAATATGCTCTCTGTCATAACAAAACAGGAAGCCAACTACAGGAAGGCAAACTTACGCTGACAAGTTAAATTACCAACACTTCTAGCACATTTAAAATTGAAAAGTGATGTAGCTCATGCCAATTATTTGGAAGATAGCACCAGGGACGTGGGTGACGCTGTGGGTTAAACCACAGAGCCTAGGGCTTGCTGATCAGAAGGTCGGCGGTTCGAATCCCCGCGACGGGGTGAGCTCCTGTTGCTCAGTCCCTGCTCCTGCCAACCTAGCAGTTCAAAAGCACAAAGTGCAACTAGATAAATAGGTACCACCCCGGTGGGAAGGTAAACGGCGTTTCGTGCGCTGCTGTGGTTCTGCTGGCCACATGACCTGGAAGCTATACGCCGGCTCCCTTGGCCAATAAAGTCAGATGAGCGCCGCAACCCCAGGGTCGTCCTCGACTGGATCTAACGGTCAGGGGGTACCTTTACCTTTACTAGTGTATACTGACTGCATATTGATACACGACATGCTTGACAACATGTTTGCAACACACTTGATATGAGGAATGGAGTGAATAGGTATGTATGAGTTTCTTTCTAGGCAGCAGGCCAGAAGCCGTGAGAGACAGAAGACGTTGCCAAGGAGATGTGGCCAAGGCCACCTAGCCATGCTGGCACTGAAGCAACAGACACACAAAATGCCCAATGTGTGGCAAAATATGGCAGACACATGGCTGTAAGAGCACAGTACAGAAGCAAGTTGGATGAGACTTTTTTTAAGCAGCAGTGTACTGCCAAGACTCCAGCTTCCAAATTTTTTTCTATGAGCAGTCTAGACAGCTGAGGTGACGTAAGTATACAGCGTTATAATAGGAACTTAGATCAACTGCTGTTGATTTAATAAAGCTTTATTACTGGAATCCTACTGTTTGGTGTGTCTTGGGGCTCCTTCTGCACAATCCCTCCCCAGGCGAGGTCTGATCAATCAAGAGTCGTAAGAAAGATACTTAGGGACGTTTACTGGTCAAAATATGAATAGACAAGCATACAGAATGGAGTGCTAGGGACGACTGTTCCAACACACACAAAGCAAAAACAAAGCATGGTTATGGCAGGAATGGGCCACTTAGAAAATAGAATAAAAGGCTGGAGTTCACTCTAGAAATGTAAACGGTTAATCATAGCACTGGAAAAGTGAACCTTAGAAATCTAATCATACAAAACTAATAGTCAACCGAAATAATTTTTTGAAGAAGACAAAGTGAGGCAAGATTAAAACTTGCACCTTTAACACGTGAGGTGAATTCAGAAACCATCTTGTGAGGAGATCAGGAGTGCACTGTATTTGAGAGACCATCAAGGGCATACTTCCATATAAGGCTCTAGTTACCAGATGCCCCCACAATTCATCTGAGCATCTGTAGAAACTAGCCTACCGTACACCACTGCTTCACCCACTTTTCCTTCTGGTTCTGCTCACCACTGGCATATGATGCCTAGAAGGTTGCCCAGATGAGAATGCAGTGCTCAGTCTGGAAAAGGTCCCCATCCCTCTCCTAAAGCATTTTCTGTGTGCCTAGTCTCTGCAACCCCAATAACATTTCTGCATGTGAAAGTGAGTTCTTTCTGTATGTGGGCTTTCAGGAACCATTCCCTAGGGTAGCATGGTTGTCTTGACAAGACAACATCCATATATTTTACTGTGTGGCAGTTATATCTGTGTGCATGACCACACATACAGTGTTTCACATATTCAAAGCTGAACAGCCAAGTAACATTCCCACCTTCAAACATCTATGTGAAAATAAATACCAACCAGCAGGAGCAATAGTATCTTTCTCAATAGAGAACTGGTGTAGTATGATCTGTTGCAGATGCTCAACCAGTAGAATAACTCAGTCAAGCACCTATGTTGTGCTGGTGAAATACTTATCAGAGCCAAGTGTCCTCGAGACTCCCTTTTAAGTTTTGGAGTACCACTGCATCAACTGGTGTAACAAAAAGGCAGCAAAGGCATCTTCTTCTTCCCAAAGGAGCAAACATCCACACACTGTTTTAGCTTGGCCCCCAAGGGATGTGGGTGGTGCTGTGGTCTAAACCACACTGCCTAGAGCTTGCCTATCAGAAGGTCGACAGTTCGAATCCCCGCGACGGGGTGAGCTCCCGTTGTTCGGTCCCAGCTCCTGCCAACCTAGCAGTTCGAAAGCACGCAGTGCAAATAGATAAATAGGTACCACTCCAGTGGGAAGGTAAACGGCATTTCTGTGCGCTGCTCTGGTTTGCCAGAAGTGGCTTAGTCATGCTGGCCACATGACCTGGAAGATGTCTGCAGACAAACGTCGGCTCCCTTGGCCAGTAAAGCGAGATGAGCGCTGCAACCCCAGAGTTGTCTGTGACTGGACTTAACGGTCAGGGGTCGCTTCACCTGCCCACCAACCTGCGCCTCCTTAGAGTACATGGATCGTCCTCCTCCTCTTCCCTGCCCCATTCAGTCCTATGGAGCTGCAAGAAACTATACTTTGTGATGGAGGAACCAAAAACAGATAAATAGGCACACACTGTTCTTCTTACAGCTTCAACATCAACCAAATTCTTCTCTCTGCAGACCGATAAAAAGTTTATGAGATCTCAAAAGCTTGCACCCTATTTGGTTGGCTTAATAAAAGTATTGTCCTAATATGGATTTCATAATATAACTAGGTAGGTCTCAAGTCAAATCTGTTAACTGAATTACAGTGGCCACAAAGAAGGACCAAAACTGTGTCCTCTGGATCCCCTCCCATTGCTTTTTGGATGTGGGAAAATGTGTCTTGCAAGCCACAACCAATGCAGTGTTTTCTCAGTAATTTGACAAGCACAGTTCTAGCATCAGAAAAACCAAACAGCATCAGATTCTTCAGCTGAAATTCCTGACCAATACCATTTTTCTTAGTATGGAACGAGAGAAATAATAAGATTTTCCTTGCGGCAGAAATCTCTATTTCTTGGCCTTCATAAATAACAAAGTCAGCAACTAAGAAGGCTTGTATCGCCCAAGAAGTCAAACCTTGAGCTATAAATTGACTTTCTGATACAGTGTCAAAAGAAGAGCTGTACTACAAGTAATACTGCAGCATTCCATTTAATATTTCTTCACACCACCAGGTTCCAATTTCTAATGAAAACACCCTAAAACTGAATTCTTAGCATTATTTAATATTTACGTTACACCCACCCCATTTTCTACAGGGAACACTGGGCGAGGGAGAAGGAGGATGTTGGAAATGCTTGTTGTCTATGGCAACACCATATAATTCAGACTACAGCTGCAATCAACATTAATAACTCGCGCCATCTAAAAAGCGCAGGTAGGCTGGCCACAAGGAGAGGGCTAGATCCAGATATGTAATGAGCAAAGATCCACTTACACTGAAGGAAGGAAACATGGAGGCCTCCCCCCCCCTTCCCCCTAAAAGCCGTTCAGGAAGGCTGGGGAACTCTCCAGAACAGCATGGAAACTGGTGCTGGGGGCTGCCAGGAGAAGGAGGAATCAGTGAGTATCACCTCCCAGCAGGTGTCTCCTGCTAATGAAAAGGCATTGAGTATTGAGGTGGAATCTGTCTTAATTAAGTGGCTTTCTTGGTGGCCGGAAGTGCCTTTTACCAACTGTGACAGGTTTGCCAGCTACAGCCACTCCTGGACCAGGAAAACCTTGTCACAGACTAGTTCAAGCATTGTTTACTTCAAGGCTGGATTACTGCAGTGGGCTCTCTGTGGAGCTTCCCTCGCACTAGATCCCATAAGCTGCAGTTAGTACAAAATGCTTCAGCACAGTTGCAGGCAAGCACAATTGAAGCCATGTCAGCATATATGGCATGGGTAGGCAAACTAAGGCCTGGGGGCCGGATGCGCCCCAATCACCTTCTAAATCCGGCCTGCGGATGGTCTGGGAATCAGCATGTTTTTACATGAGTAGAATGCATCCTTTTATTTAAAATGCATCTCTGGGTTATTTGTGGGGCAGAGGAATTCGTTCATTTTTTCTTCTTCAAAATATGGTCGGCCCCCCCACAGGGTCTGAGGGATCGGGGACCGGCCCCCTACTAAAAATTTTTGCTGACCCCTGATACGGTAACACCTGTGCTCAGAGATTTGTACTGGATGCTGATCTGCTAGCAGGCCAGGTTCAAGGTGCTATTGTTCATCTATAAAGCCCTTAACAACTTGGGACCAGTTTACCTACAAGATCGCCTTGCTCTACATGTGCTCACTTGACTACTTTGATCAGCAGAACTGGCACTGCTACAGGTGTCGTGTTGTACCTTTTCTGCATTTGTAAGAAACTCGGTCATTTAGTATAGTAGCACCTACACTTTTGAATTCCCTGCCTACTGATATCAAGCAGGTGCTTTTGCTGTACTCCTTTTGGTGCCTGCTTAAAAACATTTTTGTTTAGACAAGCCTACCCAGATGCTTGAAATGCAGTTTAATATCTCTGAGCTGGAATGTTTCTCAGGTAACAGATTAGAAACCATTAAATTACAACCTTTTTTCCCACTGAAAAAAAATGGTATTTTGCCAAAATTCTGTTGACAGGGCAGAGTTTTGCCCTTGCTGCAATAGAGCCCTGTCCAACTATTTATTTCCCCCCATAAGGTGAATGTCAAACATTTATTTTATTTATACACATAATTAATTTCTATGCCACACTCGATCCAAGGATCACAAGGCAGTTTATATCAAAAACGCAAAAATACATAATGTATTAACAAACAAAAACAGCCCCCCCCCAATATACAGTTATGTATCTATATGGGATCAAGCAAAAGGTTGCAGTTCGAGATAGCATGCAGGTGTTTGTACCAAACCTTTGCCCGTCTTCCAGACACTGCGCTCAAGCCAGGGCTCACCTGCATGGTCTCACCCTGGATTGGTTAGATCAGAGTTTAATGGAATGCTGGGAAACTGCATTTTAAAGACTTAGCTGGAACCTGGAAAAAAATACTGCACTGTTTTCTGTTCACTTATCCAACCACACTTTCTGTTCCTGGATAGTCCCTCCCATTCCCCAAGCCCACCTCAGCAAACAGGAGTTCCAAAAATATGTTCATTTGTTACTCAGGCTATTTTGGGATTTGGTCTCAGTGTTTTATACATCTGGAAGTCTTGGGTTCTCCCAACCCTGTACCCCACCCCTTCTGTACAAGGGTGGTGTGCTGTTTTGGTTACACCATGATCCACACTGGGAGAATGAGCTCACTACTAGTATATAGGCTTGCAATAAATACTTTCCATAGTCAATCAAAAAGGGAAACCCAAGCGAATAGCTTAGTCAATGCACATTACTGACAGGACACTTGATTTTGAAAGAGGTCTGCAAGATAGCGTTTTTAATAAAAAATCTCTCTGGAGGAAAAAGGATTGCAAAAGGAGAACCGTTTACATAGGGAAAATTACTGGCTGCTTCCTATTAAGCAACCAGCAGCAGTTTCCTGAACAGAGGAGAGAGAATCTTTTGAAGCTACTGTGCAAGCCAAATTGAATTTGCCCTTTTCCTTTTCTTATCTTCTGGCATTTCAGAGAGAAGGGTCAGCAGGCACTCTGAATGCCGAAATCTCCCTCCTGGCTTACCATCATCATTAGAAGGGATCAGCTGATCCAGTAATACATGCATATTTAGCAGTGTATCTGCATCCCAGCTGTCTATGGGGTAATGCAGACTTCAAAGTAAAAAATAAAATAATAAACACATCCCAACTTGCTTTGCTGGCAGAACTACATCTTCACTTGGACAGCTACCTTTGTACTTGAGAAGCTACTTATTGCATAATAGAGGGACACCTCACACTCCAGAGTCACGGTTGGTCTCTTCCTCATCTCTCTACCCATGAAGCCAAAACAATGCCTATTTTTCACCAAGGAGACATGGTTAATTGATCCAGGGAGATTATTTACATTTCAAGAGGGGCTATTTTTGCATTTCAAAAGAATGCTACTGGAAAAAGCAGGCCGTTTAATTTTTAATTTTTTTAAGGAGCTCTTGCAAGTATATGCTAATAGTCAATCTGGTAATGCTATTCTCCCAACAATGAACTGTTTTAAGTCAATAGAAAAAAATAGTTGTCATCAGAAATGGTTAGCAGTACCCCACAAAAGTAACCTTCGGTTCTACTCTAACAAAATCAAGAGAGACAGATGTACAGCCCTTTTGAGCAGTAACCTTTTTTAAAAAATCAAATCTTTTACCATTTTATGTGTCCTAGAAAGGCTACTAACTGAAATGGTTGGTGGAAGTATGTAATGACCTGCTTATCCAATCACTTCACAGAGTTGTTACCGAGACCCAAGGCAACCAGTGTTTGGGGACTACAAGTAGGAGCAGTGATTCAAGAGTCTGAAGACATAAAGGCATATTTAGATTTGACAGGTCTCTTGTCCCCAAATGCCTTCAAAACCTACGATTCTGACTGGCAAGTCTGCAGGAAATAGGCATATATATTGAGATTTAGTATATCTACCAACAGGCCCTTCCAGAAAGGCTTTCAGTGCTGACTAATAAGGGGCTCCATCCTTCCAACAACATGAGTGCCATTTAGCCAGGACAACAGCCAGGGTCTACAGTACAAAGCAAGGGAGATGGCTTTGGCAGGGAGGTGAGTTGTTATATTTGCCCACCTCCTCTGTGAGGCAACAAGGTCCTTTACTGGAGGGGATGAAGATTTTCCTCATGGATGTCGAGACCCAGAGACACTGGGATGGGTCTGGGACATGCTGGGATAGGTCAGAGCCACACCACGAGTTACACTTCCTCATCTTCTAAATGCAGTGAAATGCCACAATCATGGAAAGTCAAGTTCTCATTTCCCCATTCCTTGGCAGAGATCTTTCAAGAAAATGTGATTCAGTTGTTTGGCTTAATAGGTCTGCTTATAACTCATTCAGCATAGTGACTATAGCAAATAGACTGCCCCCTCCCTCTGCTTTCCAACAAAGGATGGCGTCATTAATAATGCACTCTGTATCTCGTCCCCTCTGCAGTGACTGAATTCTCGTCTGTGCTTTTCTGAGTCTTTCTTCCAGCCAGACGCATGTGGCAACCTGTTTCAAAGTACTGCTGTTGCCATCCAATACCCTGACTTGCAGAGCGCTCACCCCTTTCCAAGCCATTATGACAACCTTGCTCTTAGCCATCTCCCCAGGACAAACAGCACCTCCTTCTGGGAAGCTAACATGCCAGCCCAATCTCTAAGCAGCTCTATCACTCATAGTGACAAGGCAAAAAACTGTGGCTTCTTTTGGTGGGCTAGCAAATCATATACACTTGTAAGGATGTAGCAGGATTTATTTATTTTTAATCCCTCCATTGTAGGACTACAGATCCAGAGGATAGAACAGATGCGTTACTAGCACTACCAGTAAGATCACACCCCTATAATGCATGTCATTTAATTCACGAGTACAACCACACATCTCTTCTTAGGGCAAAGGGAGTAGCAGAGTTTAGATTTCCTTCCCCCAGAGGCTGCAGGTTGAAAGGGCAGAACAATCCATCTTTATTGAGAGTAAGAAATAGTTAAAGGGCATTACAGATAACTAATTGGTATTTAGTTACCCTGAGCACGCATCTCTACAAGCACAAGCTTCATGGAATTCCTTGTTGGTGTAATGTGAACAATGGGCTAAATTACAGTGCTGGGGCTCATGTCTTGAGGAGTACAATCCCCCCTACCAGGTCTGGATGTCCTGCAATAAGGATGTCAGGTGCACTGGGCTACCATGGCAACACTACTGAGGTCGAGGGTATGACTGGCTGAGTCATTCACATTCCCACTGGTTCAGAAAATAGGCCAATGTGTAGAGACGGGTATAATAGTCTCTAGGACTATTGCTGTCCTTATGTCTTGTCGTGTCCTGTCCAAGTCCTACTGTGCTTGTGTGTGTCAGGGTCTGACTCTGAATCTGTGCGTGTCAGGAAAAGAGGCTGTGGGTTTTGCACAGCAACGTTAGGTAGCCTGGGGATGGTGTGAGCAGATCTCTCTGTACTTAGGTACCTTTACTTTAGAGACCAGAATAACTGCATAGAGAGTAGTGTTTAGCTTTTGTGTCTGGAGACAATAAACATATTGTTCCTTAGAACTGTGTGGGAGAGGAGTTTTCCCCTTAACTGGGGACTCTGGAAGAAGCTGTTCTGTTGGAAGCAGGAAATCTCTGGAGACCCTGCTGGGGCACTGCTTACTCTGCTGATACATCACATGGGTTGAGCTGTGGTGGACTACCAACTGTCTTCCACAAGTCACCAACAGTCCTGACTGATGTAAGAACATGTGTGAATCTGCAAACACAGAACTCCTTTCCAAATGAGCATCAAAGGCCTATTTAGGAAAGTTTTTAATGTTTGATGTTTTATTGTGCTTTTAATATTCTGTGGGAGCTGCCTAGAGTGGCTGGGGAACAAATAAATGAATTATTACCATTATTATTATTATTATTATTTTAATGCCACATCATTTTCAGTTACTCAAAAGAATATAGATTTAGTTACTGAGATTCTACAAATTCCTATGCTGAGATTCTGCACGTTCCTATTTTAGACATAAGCAGAAGGTAATCTGTTGCAGTAAGAACACCTCATCTTCTTAGTTGTATCTGTGAAAGCAAAACTGATGGCTTATGTACAATAGCTAGAAAAAAAGAACTGTCAATGTAGTAGATAGGTATGTGACCTAAGAAGTTCAAGTATTACCTGATCCACATAGCTATTAGTCGGTCTTTCAAAAACTACAGTTAACCCTGTCCCTTGAACTTTACATGGGGATAGTACTGACCTGCTTTTACAGAGCTACTATTAAGAATGACTGAGAATGTATGTGAGGCACTTTGGGTACAAAAAGCTATTTTAGAGTACTCTGTGTATAGGAATGAATTTTTATTATTACAGCTAAACAGCCAGCATAGTAAAACCAGAATTTCAGCATAATTTTTACATAAACATTATGTATAAGGGATTGTAAATCTATTTTCTTTTGTTGACCAATTCACCCAAGTATTTTCATCTGATATGCATGATGGATTTAGAGACCCCTGCACTTTGCGGATAGTCCAAGAATGAACAGCCAGCATGATGTGTCTCTTTGCCTTGTAAACAGCATTCTGCCTTGGAATACATTTGCCACTGCACTGTTTTTCAACAATGCACAAGACTCTTGAATGCAGTCTTACAAGACAGTCAATAAAAGGGGAAATTCTACACTACTATTTATTTGCAATTCAAACTTTACCCTGTGTGTTGGGACAATAATTTGTTTTCTTAGAAGTTTAGCCTCTGGCCAGACATTGTTTTGAATTTTAGGATTTGACAGGTTTCATTTGCCAACAGCAATTCTTCCTTTATCAGTTCTAGTTTTATCTTCCCACAAGGTCCCTGAAGCAAGCTTCCTGGCCAGTGACTGATATCCAGCGATCAAAATCAATACCAACAAACAATAACCACTCTTTTTCTAAGATAAAAGGAGCTTGCTTCCTTACCTTCACTGACCACCTGAGGGCTAGAATCCATTTATTCAAGTCAGCCACATAGTTTGAAGTGTTCTCTTAAAAAATGGCATAGGAGTCTTGCTATGTCAAATGTTTTCTTTTCCAGAAAGGAAGACAAAGAAACCGTTCTTAGCAAGAAGCTTGCTTAGTGCAGACTGGACAACCTGAGGTCAATGCACCTCTTTACTCCAGCCTTTCACATCCGATATGCATATTTTAAAGGTCCACCATATTTTTGAAAATTGCATTCTTTGTCATTTTAAAAATTGTTTTTCAAGTTGAATTGTTGCAACCTGCTCTGGGACCTCAGGGGGAAGAGCAGATAATGAATTACAACAACAATAGTAATTACTACAAATCACTACAGGAGATGGCATTGTGGGGACAGTTGCGTTTGACATGATGTACCCTAAGCTAAATGCTGACGTCTGAAGTTGAGCAAGTGGCAAATATATACAGTGGACGCTCGGGTTGCGAATGTGATTTGTGCACTCTAGGATGAACGTTTGTAAAACGCAGCAGCGCGTCTGTGCATGAACGGGTTGCGATTCGGTGCTTCCGCGCATGCGCAACTGCTGAAACCCGGAAGTAACCTGTTCTGGTACTTCCGGGTTTCGGCGGGTGCGTAACCCGAAAAAACGCAACCTGAAGTGGCTGTAACCCGAGATATGACTGAACATGGTACACAAGAGGATAAAACAAGTAATAATAAGAAACAGAAACACACAAGCTTACTGGAGAAGTAAGTATCTGAATATTCATTGAGACAGGAGAAAGCCAAAATAAGAGAGTCAATGTTGTGTAGAAGAGAGAATGGATCCAGAAGAGCTGGGTTCAAAGCAGATCCCCACTACGACACTAACAAGTTGGCCTTGGGCCAGTCTCTGTGACTCAGTCTAAGCTACCCTCTAATGAGGGCAATGTGCTGGTACATGTTCAACACCTTGAGCTCCCTGGAGGAAGGGTGGGATAAAAAAATGTGACACTCAACTATTTACTTCAGTATATCTGCAGTACTCTGGGGGGAAGGCTCCTCTTAGTCTTGCAACTGTAGATCATGTGTGCATTCAAGCTCAAAAAAGTGGCTTTGCTTCCCGCTAACCTCACATATTTGTTTAAACACACCATCCTAAGTTGTTCAGTTCTCACATTCAAGACACATCTACATGGAAGGAAAGTCCCATTGATTTCTGATCATGATCACAGCCCATGCAAGCAAGCAAAAGTACATTACAGTCTACTTCAATAGAAGAAGCTTCTACCAATGAAGCCCAGAAGCACTGGTCCACTGCCAAGAGCATTGGCTGGCAACATATTACTGCAGCCAGGACCAAAGGAGGTTTTCTAGTGCTTACAGCAATATCAGAAAAGGGGGAAAGCACAATCAGCAAGCAGCCCTATTGTTCTGGTCACCGACAATACAGTACTTCAGATCTGAGTAGGTTAAACTGACCTGGGGAATAAATCAAAAAGCAGTTTCTTAGCAAGAGCACACAAAGCCCAATTTAAGCAAGCATGAGCACATAACTAGTTTTACAAAAGCAGCACACTGGCAGCTATACCTTCTGCATATGGATTTAGAACAGGAGTGGGCAACGCGTCCTCCAAGCAGGTTTTGTATAGCTCAAGGAGTCATATTAATCCCACCTTTTTACTCTCAAGCATGTGCTTTAAGTCTTTGTAGCTATGCTGGCCCCAGAGGGCAAGAAAACAGAGAAGGTATATGCTGGAAGTGAGCTTCTGAGTTAAATACTCATTGGTGCATTGGTGTTCAGATAAGCACAGACTAGGAAAGGAAATGCTCTCATGAGTTGGAGTGGCTTCCCCAGTTAATTCTGATTTTAGCAATTTGGCTGTCAGAAGTAAAGCCACCACTAGCAAGGACTGGGGATGACAACGGAGTAACTTCACCCATATAGATCTCCAAAATAATGTCTTGCTGAGAATCTTCCTCTCTACATCCAAGCGAGCCCAACTCAAAAGGTATTTCACTCCAAGCAACAAATAGAACTGGGATGTTTCTCATCTCAATTCAGACTGTAAGAGGAGCTTACAGTCTGAATTACTTCCCCAGCTGTTTCGTACTTGTTTGGCTTAGCAAAGGCTGTGAGTAGAGAATACTCATTTGAAACCAGCAGAGTCACAGAAGAAGCTTTGGAGGGAGCACAGGGCTCTTCTGTGTTCCACAGACTGGATGTGCCCACACCCTGCATGGATTCGCCTACACTGTTGGCAGCCAAGTTCATGGATGGCATCTTAAAACTGAATCTAGTTTCTCAGCATGAGGCAAGGCAAAAAAAGGAAAGCTAGAAGAATATGCAACGAAGGATGCCTACTGCATATCTAGGAGGAGTATTCTATGTTCCAGTAGTCCCTGGAGTGATCTCATATTGAATGGAATTACTTTAAGATTTGCGCCAACAGTGTTGCTTTTCCAACTGAGCATATATGGCCTCCTAAAGCTACAATCGCTTTATTTATTCTTGAACTTCTAACTACCTGCATGTGTAACCTCGGTTGAGTCATAAGTAGTTATTTCAGCTACTCACTCAAATAATTAGAAGGGTAGGACCTGCTCGGAAATGGAGCAGTCTTTCAAGTCTTGCTTTATTGCATAAGAAAGTTACTGAAGAAAGAAAAGTAAGAGTTAAGTCTTCAATTCTTCAAAGTAATTGTCCAACCAGGTCTTCTATTCTTCCAGTAACTGTCCAACCAGGTTACTAGATGGAGTAAGGTATCATGTGATACCACAGCTATTTACAGATAGCGAATCAATTAGCTTAACTGTCAGGTGGCTGGAGAGTTTAGGCCAAAAATGCTTCAGGTGAGTTTTTAAGCACAACTACAAAGGTTCACTCAGCTCTCAGTTCACACATCTGTAATTGCATTATCAAGCTACACAGGCCAGCCCAAACAAAGGTGAATTTACATTTAAGAAACCTCAGGCAGAAATCCTGGAGTTCAAAAGTGTTGCAGTTTGCTTCTCCAATGGCAGCTTTCTGAACTCCAAAAATAAGCACTTATCAGGAAAAACACACAGGAGGATTAATCATAGATTTCATGGAGTAGGGAAGCAAGGATCAGATGCTCTTAAGATATGGAAAACTAAATAGTCAGTTCCAAACATGATCAGCTGTAAGTGACCTCCTTTTCACAAACTCTGGTAGAGAATTTCCCCATGTTCACCAAATTGCTATACAGGGAGAGGAGAGAAGAGACTGGATTTTAAAGGTACCCATGGCAGCCAAGCAACTGGGTGTTTCTTCAACATTGACAGCTACTGTATATACCACCGTCACAGATGCAAGGAAGCAAATCTACATCTTATTGGTAAAACATCTACTGATTGCGGTTTTGCATCTCTTACTGTTGATTAAAGCAATTCTGTGAGCAATCATTCAGTGTCTGATTTTATTTATTTTATATTAAGCTACACATTTATTATGGTACACCTTGAGCTTTTTAGAAAAGGTAACAGAAATGTAATAAATACTGTATATTAAGTCATCCTATAAATCAGCCTTGGAACAATATAAAATGTAAGGAACCACTTGAACCTATAATCTAGCTCTTCCTCCCTTTGAAGCATTAAAATACCAACTCCTGGCTTTCTCCTCTGTCCCGACAAAACAATCATTTTTTGTCTACTGAATGAAGCTAACCAGTACTGCTAAAACAGTGGAGGTGAACCAAAAACTAATAATGTATTCATGATTTATATTAATTTTTACTGCTGATATGAATAAATCCCGTGTTAGATTTACCCCATTCCAATATACCAACCTTTGAAAAGGAAATGTTTTACAATGGATCATAATCAATAAATACTTATTCAGGTCAAGATAAGACAGATTCCCAAATAATTAATTGGCTTACTGCTCATGGATTCTGAACTTGCAAATCATAATTTAGTTAATTTAAAAATGCAGAACAGTTAAGTCTAATACGTATATGTGGAATCTAAAAAAAGTATACAATATTATTTAGTTTTATCAAAATGTTTTCTGAACAAATATGCCGACAGGAGATAATGTCATGTGTAACAAACACTCTTCCATCTCCTAAGACTACCTTAATTTGAGTGTTTTACTGCAGCATGCTATAGTTTCTACATCTAAAGCAAAAAGAACAGAGTAGCACTTGGCAGCTTTTCCTTGGTTTTCCAATAAGGCTGAAATTTAGGCACTATATTCATGTGCAAACAGCCTCTTCTCCAGAGTTACACATTCACACAGTTCTTAATACCTCTAGTGGACTTTGCTTACTACAACAGTTAGAGGTACTGGCCCACACCATTTACGTCCAAGCTTAAATATACAGAAAACACAGTGGAAGCAACACAGAGGGGAAACTCTCACATACCAGCAGCCTAACTCTTTGCATGCTTACACAGGAATCCCACTGAAGGCAATTAGTCTTCCTTTCCAAGTGTGCATAGGATTGCCACCACCTGCCACTTCATTTGCAAGAGCACTTGTGCCTTGATTAAGAGGTGATCTTTCTCCTCCATCTTCTGGGAGGAGGAGGGGGAAGAGAGAGAGAAGAGCAAAGATGCTGAAGTGTTCTGCATGGATGGGACCAGAGAAGAGAACAAGCAATTAAGGCTTGTTACCAAAACAAGCAAGCACTATGGAGTGTGCTCCCAACAAAAGAGCAGACCTGATGCTGCTAAATCAAAGGGGCATAAAGATGCAAGCACAATACCTTTCCTTCTACGGGTCCCCCATGTGAGAAGGCAGACTCATAGAAAAATCAAGAGTAGCCTCTATCAACCTGCATTCTTCCCTCAGGACACCCCCAGTCCTTGGGGACCCGACTTCTGCCAGCTCCTGCTTACAAAACTGGTAACTTCTGGAGGTTGTTCTTTTTTCCCTTAAAGTCATATTTGCTATAAGAGAAAATATGCACACTCACACTTTTATGCACACAAAATGCTGTATCGATGAGAAGAGGTATTTATTGACATGAAGACATTAAGGAAAGCTAAGACAGGCAACAGTGATTATATCTCATGCTTTATGAGCCACAACTAAGAGCTTCAGTTTTATCTGCTATTTGCACAAATATCTAAAATTCATTTCTGCCTGTACTCCAAATTTCCAAGGACTGCAGATGAGAGCACACAAGATGTTATACACATTAGAGGTTCTTATCCAGGGGCTGAAAAGCCATTTTCCAATAGCCAGAGTGAAAATGTAAAACAAAGTTCACGGAATATCAAGAGAAACTGACCACAAGGGCAGACAGCAGATTGAATATATAACATGCTTCACTGAATAGTTTGTGAATTTTGCAGCTACGGAATAGACCCTCAACAAAAATCATGGCATAGTTTCTCTTAAGAAGTTTTAGATTCTTGTAGCAGCAAAAATTCAAAATATGATAGTTATATTTGCTAAAGAAGCAAAATAAAGCAAACCCCAACAATGATTCCAAGGCAGGTACCAGTGTTTCTATGGGCTGCACAACACCTTATATTCTTTGACATCTCCATTGCCACTTTATACTTTCTTCCTTTTTTTAATGTTAAAGTATAGAATACAACCAAGCACTAGGGAGATTGTTCCATCACTGTTAGAGAAATGCTATCAGAACAATCTCCCCTTTCCTCCTGCTATACAATGTTCTGACCTTCCAGTGCAGTTTTGCAGGAGGCATGGGGTTGGAGAGGGGGTGAAACCCTATTGTGCTAGCACGCGGCAGCTAAAAAAGCCAATGCAATTCTGGGCCTCATCAATAGGAGTATAGCATCTAGATCAAGGGAAGTAATAGTGCCACTGTATTCTGCTCTGGTCAGACCTCACCTGGAGTACTGTGTCCAGTTCTGGGCACCACAGTTCAAGAAGGACACTGACAAACTGGAACGTGTCCAGAGGAGGGCAACCAAAATGGTCAAAGGCCTGGAAACGATGCCTTATGAGGAACGGCTAAGGGAGCTGGGCATGTTTAGCCTGGAGAAGAGGAGGTTAAGGGGTGATATGATAGCCATGTTCAAATATATAAAAGGATGTCACATAGAGGAGGGAGAAAGGTTGTTTTCTGCTGCTCCAGAGAAGCGGACACGGAGCAATGGATCCAAACTACAAGAAAGAAGATTCCACCTAAACATTAGGAAGAACTTCCTGACAGTAAGAGCTGTTCGACAGTGGAATTTGCTGCCAAGGAGTGTGGTGAAGTCTCCTTCTTTGGAGGTCTTTAAGCAGAGGCTTGACAACCATATGTCAGGAGTGCTCTGATGGTGTTTCCTGCTCGGCAGGGGGTTGGACTCGATGGCCTTTGTGGTCTCTTCCAACTCTATGATTCTATGATTCTATGAGTCCTTGCATTGGCTTCCACTAACAGAACAGGTTAGTTGAATTCAGCCAAATATGTCTACTCCACGTTTCTTTATAAATAGATTCAAAGAACCTTACAAAAACATTAAAAGTAATTACAATCAGATTTTTTTAAAAAAATAAAATGATAGAAGAAGGGTGGGTTAACACAAGTTTTAAAGAAGATAAAAGCATCAAAGCACATTAAAACATAAAAAAAATAAAAGGTTTTAGCAGCATGCCTGAAGCTGAAAAGTGGAAGTGGGAAACTGCAGGACTGGCAGCTCAATGTGGCCATCCAGGCCTCTCTGCCTGCTCCTGGAAACACTCTCCAGACAATGCCCCCTCTCAACATCCCTGCTCCCCACAATCCTTGCGTATTTTTGCCTGACTAGAATGTGCCTTTAAACCTCATTAATGACTGGAATAAAAAAAGGAGTATAGAAAGAAACCAGCTTACTGCCCCAAGTGAAATTTACCTGTGCTGTTCTTCCCACTTTGCCTCTGGCCCTGCCCCCCCCATGTGGCCCCCAGAACATTGACCAGTAGGGAATGTGACTCTCAAGCTGAAAAGGGTTCCCCACTCCTGCTTAGAACAGAGGGATCCAGACACATTTCTCTAAGGAAAGAGTTGCATAACCTGGATACTAGAGTAGAAAAAAGATTCATCCCATGTCCCAACCAACCATACCTCTCAAAGTGATGCAATGTATAGCAAGGTCTCTGATGTTGAACCAGTAAGCTGGTTTCCCCCTCAAATAATGACAACTGAATAATTCAAGCCATAACATTTTCATAATGCAATCTCAAACTAAAATTCATGTTTAAGCAACACTTTTGCCACTATTTTCATGAACAAGGGTAGATTTTTGCAAGGATGACGAACTGCATATGGTTAATTGAGAAGGGGGAATAGACACAGTGCTTCAAGGCACTCGATCTGTATGGCTCCAGTTAATGTGAAATTTTGCTGAACTGTTACTGCACCACTCAGTTCACAATCACGAGTCTTCAAGATCAGAGAGTGAAACATACCCTGATGCCAAGACATTACCGACCACCTTTAACTGTTATGGGGATACCAGGTACTGTATGGGAAGTTAAACATCTGAGCAAGGCATGAGCCTGCCAGAATAACCAATTAAAGGATTCCTCTACAATTAAAGGATGGTCAGCAAATAGACAAATAATTAAAACTACTAGAAGAACTTCATAAGACTAATGCAGGCCAAAATAAGTCAAATCTCCATTTAGCATTTAACATTGCAGAGGAAAACAACACAGTATAACAGAAAAGGGGAAGAAAGTTACATCCAAACAGGAGCACAGAAGGCTTGCCAATGAAGACACATGTTCAGACTAATGATTACTGATGAGAAAGTAGGAGACACTCCCTCTGATTCCCTAATATTCAAATGACTACTATGAGCTGTGTTTTAAACTACAAGATAGGAAATCCACACCCAATAGGTCATTAGCTTCTCTCTCTGTATCAAATTAGTGTTTACAAACTATCTGAGAGATGACAAAGAGCCCTTGATTGGAAAACGGGATAAAATCTCTTACTAATGATGTATGTACATGCAGAAAGAGAAAGTGAGTGTAGAGGATGGAACAAAATGGTTGGAAGTACTGCAGGTGCCCAGAAGCTGCAACACACGGCCTTGTAGTAATTTAAAATATAGTGTAAACAATGTGAATGGCTTGGGTTTAAGAAGCATATACAAATCAGTAGGAATCAGAAGTGTGTGTGTGTGTCAGGGAGTGTGTGAAACAAGAAGCCTGGTAATCACTATATGGAACAGTCAGTGAGAAAGGAGAGGGAATGCAAAGAAACCAATTTTCACCTTCTGTAAAATGAACTCCATGACATGGTGGTGACATTTTATCACCCACACAATAAGGGAGTCAACCCCTGATTGGGAGGTGCACAGAAGTTGCTCTACATATGGAATCTTTGGGCGGGAGGCAGCATCTCTGAAAACTGTTTGCCTAAGCCTCTTTCAGAACCATTTTGAGGGACAGCAACCTACCACACAGCCCTATGCTTCTAATTTAACCCATCACATCTCGCAAGGAACACAGGCTTCGAAACAGCAACCTTTCCCTCCTAGACCAACTCTGGTCATGCAGCGAGGCTATTCTCTTAAAAGCAAAAAAGACTAGTAGTGATTCTCGGCATGCAAAGATTCTGAACACAGATTTGAGCACGAAGGTACAGTCAAATGGTAACAAATCTGTTCTTTCTTTTGCTGCCAGTAGATGCTACCGACATGCAATATTTATCCCTCTTCCCTACATGCTTACAAAAGGATTACGTCATCAAGCCAGCCAGACATGGACCCAAAACATCCAGTCATGTTCCGGTCCCTTCCGTGCCTGCCAGTAGCAAGAGAGGCTTCCATAAGCCTCTTGATGAAAGGGGCCTGGAGCAACCAGATCCCTAGAGCACGAGATCATCATGTCATACCTAAGAGAACAAGCTAAGGTGGGGGATCCTTCAGGAAAAGGGAGGGTAAGCAGAGCTGCAGAGAAGAAACAGCTGAGCAAACAGAGGGTAAGCAGCTTCCCTGCAACAGAAAGAGTAGTTGATAGCAAAAGGGGCTTCCCGCCCCCCTTTCCTTCTACGGAGGGGTTTAAGAAACCTTAGCACAGGCAGATGTTGTTCCTCCTTATGCCAGCACAGCAATGTGCCTTAAAGTGAGACCAGTCTCACCACTGCTCAAGGACAAGATTTCCTTTGAATCCTGAGAAAAATATCCGTTTTGGATTTCTGTCTCTGTTGATCTTTTAAAAATAAAATTGCCTTGACCCTGACCTTGCGCACTTGAGAGGGGCACTGGGCTCCCAGGGCTCCATTGGGATCCTAACATCCACTGGAGTGAGATCTCTAAGCAATGCTTCATAACAGTCTCACCAAAAACCATAAAACACCCCCCCCCAAAAAAACCCCACTCCTGAAGAAAGCTTCACCAAAGACCCTTGGGACTACAGCTCCCCTTATGCCATACTTTTCACCTGGGCATTTTTGGGGGGGCGGGTTGGTGGGAGCAAAGGCAGGTCAATCACCCCACCATCAAAAAACGCAGTGGGGTGTCAGCTTCTCAAAACTTCCTTTTGAAGAGCGGGGTTGGGGTGGGGAGCAGGAGGAGAGAAGGGGCCACAGAGGAGAGACCTCAGTTCAAATCCTGGCCAAGTCAAAGCAACGGGGAAAGGATGTTTCTCCACCCAAAGGTGCGCGGTGTCCAAGGCAGGAAGAGGAAGAATATACTTTATGACTATGGGGGGGGGTGTTTGCTGCGTGCGGCTGGAGAAACAGCCCTCCCCCCCGCCCATAAACGATCTTCTCCCCTCCCGCCCATTTCCCCTGATCACTTTCTCCTCCTCCCCCCCCCCCCAGCCGTGTCCTTTGCGAAGGAGGCCTGGAAGGGCGTCTCCCCTCCATCCATCCATCCAGCCCCCCCGCCAAGGCCGGGGCCGAGCCTGCCGCAGAGGTGCGGCCGCGCAACCCCGAGACCCCTTCAGGGTGGGGGGTGAGGAGCCCCTTCCTCCCACCGGGGGGGCTATTTCCCCCCAAAAAAATATTTCTCATATTAAACCGCCCTGAGTCCTGCGGGGGTGTAGGAATAATAATAATAATGGGGGAGAGAAAGAGCAGCAGGTGCGTGTGGTCATGTCCCCCCCCCTCAGAGGGAAGATGCTGAGGGGGGGTTGGAAAGAGGCGACTTAGCCCCCCTCCCCCCATTCTTCCCAACGGCGAGGGCTCCTGAGGGGACTCACCAGCGGCTGCATCTCGGCTCTCACGGCGGGCACTTGGAAGCGGTCGATCTCCTCCATCATGGTGCCGGCGGGAGAGGGAGCCGGGCCGGGAAGGCCGAGCGGGCGGAGGGCGGGCGAGAACCGGCAGCTGGAAGAGGACGAGGAGGAGGAGGAGGAGGAGGCCCGGCCGCCGCCGCCGCCTCAGTGTCGCTGGGGCTCGCCCTCCGCCACTGCCGCCTCCGCCGCTGCCTGCCTCATCCCCTCAGAGACGCTCCTGGCGAGGAAGGAGAAGGAGACGCCGCCGCCTCAGAAAAACCCTCCACAGCCGGCCGCGGTGACTCCGCCCTCTCAGTGCGCACGCGCGAACTCGGGTGGGAGGGGGGGGGAAGCGCCGCTCCGGTCCCTGGAGGCTCTCTGGCAGCCTCGTCACGCGCCCCGCCCACCACATCTGCATATTCAGCAGAGGGGCGGGGTTGCGTGACGAGGCGGTGCTCGCTCTCCCTCGGGCTGGACCCCGCCCTCCTTCTCTCCGCCCATTGGCTCTTTGACCTTCCAACTGGGGAAGGTGGGAGACGGACGGTGGAGGCGGCCAATCTCAGGCGGGCGCGCCTTCTCGTCAATCTCTGTGGGCGAAAGGAGGAGCGGCGGCGGCGGCGGCGGCGGAATCTACTTCCGTTTGGTTGCCATGGATGCCGAGATCAACTTCCGGCAGCTGGCCGACGAAAGCCGGGCGTGAAAAGAAAGAGAGGAGGATTTGAAATAGTGAAGGAAGAGAGTCGGGCGACCACCGCCGGTCATTGACGCGGAGGGAGGAGAGCCGCAGATATGCCCCTGAAAGAGCCTTTCAAGCGCAGGCAGGTCAGAAAAGGGAAGGAGGGAGGGAAGGAGGGGGGTCGGGCGTGACGTCACCAGGTGCACTTGCCCCCCCCCCCCGTGATGGTTGTTGTTGTTGTTGTTGTTGTTGTTGACATACTCTCCAATGAAAATAGGGATGTTCCATTCCAGAATGATATTTTTATTCTGGGCAGCTTCCAACATACTTAAAAACATAATTAAACATTATTATATTTAATAATAATAGTATTAAATATTTTAATAATAATATTTATTTATACCCTGCCATCCCCAGCCAAGGCCGGGCTCAGGGCGGCTAACAAGCAATAATAAAAACAAATTGAATGAATACAACTTAAAAACAAAATTATAATACAATATTAAAATATTGAAACCTCATCGCAGGAGGAGAAAGGAAAAGAAAAAAGAAAGAAGTAAGAGGGGGAGGGAATCAAATCGGCTCCAAGCCAAAGGCCAGGCGGAACAACTCTGTCTTACAGGTCCTGCGGAAAGAAATCAGATCCTGCAGGGCCCTGGTCTCATGAGGCAGAGCGTTCCACCAGGCTGGAGCCAGTGTTGAAAAGGCCCTGGCTCTGGTTGAGGCTAATCTGACTTCCTTAAGGGACAAAGGTGGCGCTGTGGGTTAAATCACAGAGCCTAGGACTTGCCAATTAGAAGGTCAGCGGTTCGAATCCCCGTGACGGGGTGAGCTCCCATTGTTCGGTCCCTGCTCCTGCCAACCTAGCAGTTCGAAAGCACGTCAAGGTGCAAGTAGATCAATAGGTACCGCTCCGGCGGGAAGGTAAATGGCGTTTCCGTGCGCTGCTCTGGTTCGCCCCAGAAGCAGCTTAGTCATGCTGGCCACACGACCCGGAAGCTGTACGCTGGCTCCCTCGGCCAATATAGCAAGATGAGCGCCGCAACCCCAGAGTCATCCGCGACTGGACCTAATGGTCAGGGGTCCCTTTACCTTTAAGGAAGATTTGGACATCCCAGGATCAATTCAGAAACCAGGACGGCTTATCTAAATCAGGGACGTCCCTGGGAAATAGGGACACTTGGAGGTCTGTGTTGTTGTTGTTAATTTATTCCATTTCTCTTATTTGATCTATTATTTAAATTTCTGCCCTTCATCTAAGGCTTACAGGGTGATTTGCAATATAAAAATGCAAAAAATACATACCATAATGACAAACAAAAACAATACCCCCCCCCCCAGTTTAAAAGGCCATAGATTGCTTAGTTAGCTAAAGCCTGGGAGAAGAGGAATGTTTTTTGCCTGACACCTAAAGATATGTAGTGAAGGTGCTTGGCAAGCCTCTTTGGGGAGAGCATTGTGCAAGCAAGGAGCCACCACAGAAAAGGCCCGTTCTTGTTTCGTGCCCTCTGGACTTCTCATGGGATGAAGTAACTGTTGGGTGGATTTGTCACTGGTTTCTCATCATCCTGGGGAAAAGTTACAACAGAGGTGCTTCAGGGTTCTGTCCTGGGCCTGTTGTTGTTCAACGTATAAAAAGACTTTGATGAAGAAATTGAGGGGATGTGTATCCAATCTACAGATGATACCAAACTGGGGGTGGGAGTAGCTAATGCTGCAGAAGACAGCAACTGAATTCAAGATGACTTTAACAGATTGGAGAACTGGGCCCAAACTAACAAAATAAATTTCAATAGGGACAAATGTCTGCACTTAGGCACTTAGGCAGGAAAAACCAGTGGCACAATTATAGAATGGGGGACACCTGGCTTGACAGTGGTATGAGTTTCCTTGAGAAAAATCACATTTTGTGAGTCAGCACAACAACTGCACCACTTACTGACTACTAATATTTTGCCAGCTGATAAAAGGTCACAGATATGGTGATTTGCCTCCTACAGCACTTAAGATTCCCACATGCACCCTTTCCACCTTTCCCCTCAAGAATACGGGTGAGATGAACATCAGCAGCACCCCCATCCTGTGTTGTTCCTCATCGTCTCATGAAGGGGACAGCCCATGGCCAGGGTGGCCTCTTAAAGGGGAGGGGTGTCATTAAAAAAGGGACAAAAGGTTATGCTGATCTGCATAAAATGTGCACGTATTTCAATTTATAAGCATTTATTATTTATTTATTCGTTGCACTTACAGTCATACTTCGGGTTGAAGTAGCTTCAGGATGAGTATTTTTGGGTTGCGCTCCACGGCGACCCGGATGTAACGGAGTGCGTTACTTTCGTGTTTCGCTGCTCGCACATGCGCAGATGGTCAAAATGACAACACGCGCATGTGCGGAAGCGGCGAATGGTGACCTGCGCAGACACGCGGACGTGGGTTGCGTTCGCTTCAGGATGCGAATGGGGCTCCAGAACGGATCCCGTTCACATCCAGAGGTACCACTGTATATCTCACCTTTTCCTCCAAGAAGCTCAAAGTGTCATGTGTAGTTCTCCCTCTTCTTCACTTAAACCCCAAAACAGCAACCCTGTGAGGTAGGTTAGTCTGAGAGAAGCAGATGCTATACCTCAATGCCACCCAGAGAGCTTCATGGATTTGAGCCCTAGTCTCGCCCAAGTCTTAGCTTGGCAGTCTAACCACTATGCTGCACTGGCTAACTATAGAGAGATACATTTAGACGTAACTAAATTTAGATGGAAATGCAACCCACCTCACCCTAGTGACCTGTGTGTATGCTCACCCTGCTCCCCAGGTGATTTGATTTGATTTAATATTTGTATTCCGTTTTTCCAACAACAAAAATATTTTGTCTCTTGAGTGTTGGATTAGCATAGATGTACTTCACTTTCAGTTTTATTCAGTAGTTGCGGGTGTGGAGGGGTGTTTGTGTGTGCATGCGCACACGCGCAACGACCTTGTAATGTTCTCTATCATTATAAAGCACAACAGTTCTCTATTATCAATTGCCTTGCATCTGGGTTTGCAGTGGCCCCAAGATAGACTCAGATTTGGACAACTCACAGGTCACCCCACTCCGAAGAGGGAAGGCCTCAACATCTCCTCTACTATGCCTTCCTGGTCTGGGGATGACTGCCTTATACCTTCTCCTGCTTCAAAGTCACGTAGGAGTATGTGACTCCAGAATCAGCTACAGGCCCTTTAAGGGTTGCAGACAGCTCTTCCAGGGGGCAGAGCCATCAGAATGGGGCAGCTTCTGGCTGGTCTTTTGCTGAGAACAACTGTAGCTCAGTCTGTAAGGCGCACAAGGAGCTGACCAGGGTCCTTAATTGGCAGATCAGAATCCTGGACAGCTCCGAGGAGACCCTGCAAGCTGAGATATGGAATGCTGTACAGTACATATTTCTCAAAGGACTTGCAACATCCAAAGAAAACATTTGGTTTTCTCTTGCTCTAATGTACTGGATTGCCTGGCAGTCCTTTTATGTCTGCCCCAGCAAAACTGAAGGCAAGAAGAATTTCTGGAATGACCTCAAATAATACATTCAACTGCTCTAATGGTTCATCTGCCAAAAGTCACATTTGCTTGAACATACAGTAAAGGATCAATTTAGATCGGTTTGTTGATGCTGCACATTGTCAAATGAATGGTGCCTTTCAAACAACCCTGGGTGATTGGTTTTGGGATCATGAAAACTAATGACTCGGGCAAACTTTGATTCAATGGTGTATGAATCATATCTGTGAAACATAAGGCAAAGTGTTGTAAGGAAGTTTTGCAGAAAATGTGAGTAGTCTCCCAAGACTATAGTCATAACCCAGCAGGTGGTTACAGAGATGCTTGCTATTTCTAGAGGTTTATAAAACTATCTTCCAAAAGTTCAATGGCAGCTCTGTGTGTCTCAGGCAGCAGATTTAAGCACACTGGTGAATAGGGGTGATTTAGCTGCTCTGCTAGTAGCCGCTGCAGGGAACACTAAGAACTGCATTTCTTCTGCTTGTTATAGTAGCCTTTCACTGGTATGTGTAGGCTTGCTGAAATTTAAAACAGGATTAGGAAATGGGCTACCTGCCGGGTTTAAGTACACATCAGCCTTTGCTTTTTCCAAAGACACAGCAATAAGGACAGAAAGATAAAGTGCTGTTACCAGGCAGGATGAGTCTAAGATTGTATCTGCATTCCCTGCTGCCACCACTGCTCTGACAGAACATGAGGTGGGATGAAGAGATTGCAAGTTGCAATACCCAGTTCTGATATGGTGTGGAATGGAAGAACCTGGAGCTGGTATTGCTCCTGACCCATGTGTATACTGACATAGCAGTGGCAATTGCAACTCTCTTATTTGAAACCAGTGGCTCAGTTACACACTTGCATGAAGACCATTGATGGTCCCAGGGTGATTTGCAAACATATCACAGTTAAATCAATTTGCATTAAAACCACGAAAATAAAACAGCAAAACAACTCGTGACAAAAAATAAATCAGCAGCTCAGAACAGCAATTCATAAGGAGGGAAGACACCCCCACACCCAAAGGCCTAACTGAAGAGGTGGTCTTAACGTGCAGTGCGGGTGCAGAACACACCATGGGGGAGGTCATTCCACAGCCTGGGGCTCACCAGAGAG